GTAGCGTTGAGGATCATTCGCAAGTTCATTCGAAATGCCCTGGAGAGCAGTGTTGGTAGCACTGTGCCTAGGTCGAGGGATGAGAGGCTTTCGGGCCCTGGACTGAGTCTGAGAGGGGTGCAACGGGGTTTGCTGGTCGAACTCGAATTGAGAAGCAGCCCTTGTAGGGTCGTAGTGTGTTTCGATTAGGATAAAAGCTGACCATTCGACCTTGGGTGTGTTGCGCTCAGTGTGGACGGCATCAATGAAGCCTTCCCAGTCGTCCTCCGTTCGTAGTCTGCACCATGGTGCATCCCGGCTCCTTCCACGGCAGACTTTCCAGCTGATATTGGGCTTCAGGGAGTATTTGTTGACGCCTTCGACGACCATATGATCATGACGGAGCTCCTCGAGGGCGACATCGATCAAAAGCTGCTCTTGGTCGGCCCAAGACTTGACTGGATTGACCGTCCAGTGTGCTTGAGGAAACCTGTGGTTCTTTTGCCTAGTGACGAGAACGAAGACCTGGAAGCCGTCGAATCTGCTGATAGTATCAACCGGTGCGTCTTCGTCTTCGAGTTCGATGACTGTCTTAGGCCGTTTTTCCCTCCGGACTGTATTTGTAGGTGGTGGTGAGGCTGCATCTTCGAGGAGACGGGAGGGCGGTTTGGGGGTACGAGACGATGCCCTGCGCTTATACGAAGCCTTAGCAGCTCCTTTCAGCTTCCTTGGAGGCATTTTCAAGGTTTGGCGGCGTGTTTGGTGGATTGGTCGTGTCCTGCACGAATATGCGGTAAAATGATGCGCGTCAAGAATTTTGCACACAGCAGTATTTTAGGTTTAGTCGGTCAGGCAGGGCATGTCTCGCGCCAGACTGCTCAACGCTCCCTCGAACAGCAGCGCAAACTCCCGGTCACCACCAACAATCAACAATGCCGGCTCAACAAGCAGCGGCTGCTCCAGCTCAAAATGCTGGAGGTCGACAGCAGGAGGGCGGTCTCTCCCCTGCAATCCGTAAACTCCTCAACATGGCTATGGCGTATTTCGCGTTACAAGCCGTTATGAACATGTTTGCCAAGAAAGCCACTACCCAAACTCCCGTTCCCCCCATTGGATCTGGATCTGGATCTACTTTTGATTCCTCCTCTCAGCCCGACCTCCCAGAAGGCGTAAACGCCATCGTTGACCCCCGCCTCTTGCTCCCAGAAAAAGTCGCACCCGCTTGGCCCGCAAACTCCGAATTCGATCTCCGAATCTACACCTCCCCCTCCGACTCCTACACCTCTCTTGACTTCTCCGACCCTTCTTCGCTATTGCTCCACGAACGCTCTCTTCACCTCGGTGACTGGAATGATGAGCGTGTTGTCGAGGTCGTCATCCCCGCTACCACAGCGATGCAAAACAACGGGTCTTTGTATGCGCATATCGTGTTGGCTAGGGATGGTGCGGAGGTTGATCCGGGAAGGGAGGAGTATGATGGGAAGAACGTCGCGAGGATGACGAAAATGTTGAACAGATACCAAAAACTGAAGCGGAACAAGAAGACGAAAAACCTCCTCGACAAATACGCGGAAGAGGCGGAGGAGGAGGAGGAGGAGGAGGTTGCCGCTGCGCCGATCATCCCAGGCTTGAACTTTGGACAGGATCAACCCCAACCCCCTATCGTATCCTACTGGTCCCCAAACCTAACCCTCGCCGTCATCGCCGATACGGGTGAACTCCCATTCACGACCCTCCCCCCCGTCGTGAAAGACTACGTCCACATCATCGAAGGCGACATCCGCGACGACACCGGCAAGGTCGGATTCTACTACCGTATGCTCCCGTTCCCCATCATGTTTACTGTTTTCATATTGCTGACGCGGCAAGTTATAGCCATCGTCTTCCCCAACGAATTCTGGACCCTAGATTCCTACCTCTACCCACTCAACTCCACAACCCCCCTCCTCCCCCTCAAAATCACTATCCACCCCCTCTCTTGGTTTAAATTCCAGATGTACGCGAGCGTGGATTACTCCTTCAAGCAACAAGCCGCGAGCGGACAACTGGGTGGAGGCGAGGTGGAGGAGTTGAAAAGGGTTGTGTTGGAGACGAATGTGTGGTTGTTGGGGATTACTGTTGTTGTTAGTTGTTTGCATAGTTTGTTCGAGTTTTTGGCGTTCAAGAACGGTATGTCGTCCCCCGAGATTGTGATTTGCTTGACGCTGACTGACTTGGGGTCCAAAGATATCGTCCACTGGCGCCAAAAGAAGGACAACACCGGTATCTCCCTCCACGCAATCCTCTCCAACGTCTTCATGCAACTCATCATCTTCCTCTACCTCCTCGACAACAACGACAACACGTCATGGTTGATCCTCATCGGACAGGGATTTGGGATTTTGTTGGAGGCGTGGAAGATTACGAAGGCGGTTGATGTTAGGGTTGAGGGGTGGAGAGTGAAGTTTGAGGATAAGAATGAGTTGACGGAGACGGAGAGGGAGACGAAGGAGTATGATGGGGTATGTCATCCATATCCTACGAAAAACCCATCATGGTGCTAACAGCCGATCATAGATTGCGTTCAAGTACCTCATCTGGGCCGCAATCCCCCTCTTGTTGGCATACGCCGCATACTCCCTACTCTACGACACTCACAAATCCTGGTACTCCTTCGTCGTAACAACCCTCGTCGGCTTCGTCTACACCTGGGGCTTCCTAACCATGGTCCCCCCCCTCTACATCAACTACCGCCTCAAATCCGTCGCACACATGTCTTCCCGCGTCATGATGTACAAATTTCTCAACACGTTTATCGATGATTTGTTTGCGTTTGTGATTAAGATGCCGACGTTGCATCGGTTGGCGTGTTTGAGGGATGATGTTGTGTTTTTTGTGTATTTGTGGCAGTTGTGGAGGTATCGGGTTGATAAGACGAGGGTTAATGAGTTTGGGCAGGATGGGGAGGCGGAGACGGGGGTAGCTGCGCTGGCGCATATGAAGAAGGCGATTGAGCCGGAGGAGAAGGAGGTTAAGGAAGACAAGAAGGACATTTAAGGGCATGTGCAGGTATGGTTAATGTGGTTGGCGCTGCCATGGCCATGAGATACGATTTGTTTTATGTTTTGGAATAAATGAGATTAACTCCAATGACCCCTCCCAAGAATATGCTGGTTTGGATATCTCATGTAATTTAATTCATGGTTCATGCAACCTGAACTTTCCCTGCTTCCCTCATCGTCCATATCTTCCCTCTTGCCCCGCCTTCCTCAAGCTCCTCGACACTTCCCACGAATTCGTAGTCACCCTTCGCGAGGAATATCATATCGATGACATGTTCCACCTCTCCACCGGGTTGTATGACGCCTATTGAGGTCTGTAGGCATCCATTCCATGCGACGCGTCTCGCGAGATCTAAGGCGGTTGGTAGCGGTTGGTGTTGCATACTTGGCTGTAACCGCAGGAAAAAGCGGGTAGCCTCCGGCTTCCGGTTTCGGACGACCGTACGGATTTGAACGAATTCATCCATTTCAACCCTCCACCGCCTCTTTCCAATGCTCGTGACACCTTCGCCTTCAATGCGTTCTATCTCGACTTCAACGAGTGGCACACGCAGAAGGTCAACCATTCTGGCCGACAACCTCAACCCGCGCATCTCGATAGCGCCTTCTCGGTCACTTTCCAAATCTTTCCATTTACCACCGATTCGCTTCAGTAGTTCTTCTCTGTACCAGAATGCCTCGCGTGCTTGACGTTCTTGTTCTGGGGATGCATATTTTCCTGCGCTGACGACGAACTGCTTCGGAGAAAGAGAGGGAATGCCACGGGTGAAGTCATCGTACCCTAGGTCGATGCGGCGCAGTGGTAAAGCAAGTCGAGAAGTGCGTCCGGGCTGGATGAGGTCAGATGCCGTGAACTGCTCACTTTCGTCACCAGGGCCATTCGAAATAGAGAGCTCGACATGCATGGAGTTTGGCCAGACGTTGCGAAGGTCTATTAGAAGAAGACAACCCTCACCACTGGCAGCCTCCGCAAAAGCTTTGGCAGCCGTTGACCGGCTGGCTAGGTCAGAGTCTTGAGAAACCTCTCCTGCGAAAGGGAAGACATCGCAGCCAATCATGTCAATGCTGGCGTTGACGGTCACAAGTAATGGCACAGTAAGCTGTCGAGTAAAGAACCTAGTCAGAGATTCACGGTCATCACCCAGGTATCCGTAATTTACCTGGATTCGTCCGTCTGTCAGACCTCGTTTACCAAGGATGTCGACTTTGAAGGTCTCTTCCGCACCGGGAGCGATGTTGACTTTGCCCTCAGTGGCAACATCCCAAGAAAATGCCCGTCTGTTGTAGAGATAGACTTCCAACTCGTAAGCCTCATCCGGCGGGATGCTCTTATTCGCCAGTGCCTGCTCCAACGGGCCTGTGGTCGAGTCTGAGAAAGACAAAAGTACCAAGTCGATGGGTGTAGATGACACGTTCGTCAGCGTCACTTCGACTACCCGACGTTCACCTTCAAGCAGCATTGTTGCGCCGTTCGTCAAGGTTGTTGCCGATACGGTCGCTAGTGGCTGAGGCGGCACGACGGTAATGGAGACATCTCGAGGAGGTGCCAAAGGCCCGCTTCCATTAGCCTGTGCAGTCGCGCAGTTCTTGCGCGCAGACAATCCCATCTTCTTCGTCTTCTCCCCGACATCTTTCAGCGTCACCCACTTGTCTAACTCCTCGGCATCCGGAGGCTCTCGGATTGGGAACGATTGCTCCTGGCAACCGAGGATTCGGATTTTACAGCCCGTCACGATCATGGTACCCGTGGACAAGAGCTTCGCCTTCAGCACTACCGGTTGCACCGAGTTTGGTGGGATGACGACCGCTATAGGTTGTGTCTCCATGTCTACCCCCGTAACTTCCAGAGCAAGACTCTGTACATCCAAGTCAATGCCAAAGGGGTTCTGTAATACAACTTCAAACTCAGCTAGCTCGCCTTCGACGAGAAGGTTTTCGGCTTTGACAGCTACTTTCTTCTCGAAGGGATTGTACAGAAACGGGTTATCCGCCTTCTTCTCGCCTTCACCATCTGCCTCGACCGGCGGTAGCAGTGTCGACATAGGTAAAGCCGTAGGCGTCTGATACACTTGGGACTTCACCACTTGAACATCTCTCACGACGAATGGATCCCAATAGACAGCCTCAACATCCTTCATGCCAATCCTCTTCGCAGCACCAACGGTTCTTGCCAAATTTGTTGCAAGTCGGCCTTGCTCCTCCTTCGTGAGATACGGCACGGCTATCGCAAGTAACTTTGTGGTGAAGCGCAGCACGCCGGGAAAATCAGGAAGGGCCTCACACAGAGAAATGCAATCTCGTAGAACAGACAACTTCAGCTGCGACCACCCGAATTGACCTGCCACCACCTCTTTCTCGAACGCATCATCATCCCCAGCAGAAACTGCTATACCATAAGCCGCACACATATCCTCGAGCATGCCCAATACACCTCTCTCTAGATCCATCGGTCCCAGTGCTGGCGCCGCCGTGGCATTGTTGTTCAGCATTCTAGCAGCCGGATGCATACCTTGTTCAGCTGCACCGACAACCCGAGCTTGAATCAACTCCGGTACGATAGTCTGCACAATCTCCCGCAAGAAAAGGGCTCGCTTCCTCTCCAAACCTATAGCTCCAAGCACAGACGCAAGTCCACCCAAGACGTGAATTCTATCCATGACAAACATGTCATCCAGATGTATTCCTCGAGCGCCAATAGCGCGTGCTGCGATCTCCGCTCTTGGAGGGTATCCGGACTTCGTGGAGGGCGGTATTGCCGCATCCGTGACGATGTTGTCTAACGCAGCGTCGTTCCAGCCGCCCGCGACATGAACAGCGCAGAGGAACTTGCAACATCGCAAAATCGTCTCAGAGTAGATTAATGGCGGAACCGAGTCTTCCCTGAAATTAGTTGATCGCTGGTGTAGTGCCGCGATGGCGTTTTGTAGATCAGGGATGAAGTCCATTAGATGAGGATTGTAGTAAGCCGCTGCTGCTTCATACTCGGTTAGGGTTGAGGATCGCGCTGGAGACGAGGCTCGACTTGAGGAGGTTTTTGCGCTCGATTTGAGCTTCAATGTCGAAGATGCTGCCTTCAGACTGGCTTTATCGGGTACAGGAGCAGCAGCCACGAGTGCAACCGCAGGTATCTGGTAATCCAAGTGCAGGTATGCCATCAGAACTAGAGCAATTCCAATACCGTCCAGTGCTGCAGCATGCCATAGATGATCACTGTTTGCCTTCGCGATCGCCACAGCTTCAGCATACTCTCTCATCGCATCCGGTAATCGCCCAGCCAGGAGATACAGGTCGCCCAATGTTTTGGACACCCGTCCCTTTCCCTTTGACTTTGCTCGCTCAGTCATACTTCCAGCGGAAGAGCCGAGTCCGGACATCGTATATCGCTTCATATCCTTCGAGCTCATAGACGAACTTCGTTTCAGCTCGCCATTAGGAGCTGCTGGTGGAAGAGAATATCGAGGACTGTTAGTAACGAGGTTCTCAGAACTGGGGTATGACAACCTGGTAGCTGTATGTGGTGAGTCCAGCGTCGTCAGTGACTGTAATCGTTGTGCCAAAGGGGCGAACTCCGACAGCATCGTCGCCGTAAAGTCACACATAACCGTCCTTAACTGATTAAAGCTCGACGCCTTACTCGCGCGTTTACTGTAAATAAACGCTGAATGCTCCGGGTACTTCCCCTCCGCCGCCACCTCGCAATGAAACACAAAACACTGCTGTACCAATGCTCGCGGATATCTCATCTTCAGCATCCCCATCCCCTCGTTCAAAGCCTCCAGATCATTCTCCTCCGCTCCATCCGCAATGGCAATGATCCCCATCGTCCGTCTCCACATCTGGAATTCCTCAAGATACTCATGATCCTGATCAAAGCTGGTCCCAACATCATACACGACCCGCCCATCCGGGAACCCTTGCGGACTACACGTTGCCCGCTCTTTCCGCGTATCAGCGCTGACGTCGCCTAGTCGAACCATCCGACATGCTTGTAGCCGTGTGACACAATTATCGAATGTAGACCGCTTGATTCGACCGATTGGTACGCAGAGGACGCGTATTCTTGAGGGCGCGACATATGATAGGCTGTCTAAGGGTAGGCATGGGGACGACATGACCAATGACCTCTCCTTCCCACCGTTGCTGCCGAGGTGTTTGGGGGGATACGTGGGGACTACGCGCCTCGGCAAGGCCCGCGGCACGGTGCTGTCAGGGATGCAGGGTGGGCGTATTTAAGGTTATTCGGCACGAAACTTGGATATAGAGAGCGATTCTTTGGTATCGGAGTATGCCTAACCATCTTTTGCCATAGCTCCTCTAATCTTCCTTCTACGGCATCTCCTGTTCGACTCAGAGCACCGTATCCACCGCATCGTAATGATCCCCAACCAACCTGTAGAGATAACTCGGCGGGTGGCCTCCCAAGTTCGTAATGTAAAGCTGAACCAACTCTGGCGAGACATAGTCATAGTATGGGTTGATGACCTCAACCTTGTCAATCAATTCACCCTCCTCAAACCCAAGAACCTTCTCAGGACTCGCCAACTCCATAAAGCTCTCAACGTCATGCGGGTACATCGGACTCAACTTGTAGAGTCCGGTACAGCATACGACAGGGATAGCATGTCTCTGTGCTGCGGCCGCGATCATCCTTGCACCACTTGAAGCCAGCAATCCACCATTCGCCAAGACAGAGTGGGTACCCAAGAGAACCTTGTTCACGCGGGACATCATTGCGAATACTGCGCTCTCTGGAATGACAATGACATCAATACCGGCCTTTGACAGCGTCGTTGCCATGGAGTGCGTGGGCTCGAGGTCGTTTGGCATAGCCTCGGCAAGGATGACGGTAAACTTTCGCTTTTTGGCTGCGTGGCGGAGGAAGGATTCGACGGTCTTGGATGATGCGTGGGTCATAATGATCTCGCTATAATACAGTTAGCGACCATTCATAACCACCAAATGTGCAAGCATCTCACTTAGAGTGAATGTGATCCAGAGACTGCGCACTGATATTCTCATAAATCGTCTTCAACTCATCAATAAACTCCTGAATCCCCTGGATGATTTGCGGCTTCAAGTCGAAATGCTGCTCTTGCCGTGTTGTCATGGATTTTGCTGGTTGTGCACCATTTGACGGATGGAACATATTGGAGACGATAGGGGAGACTGTAAGGCGGTCAAACTGGAAGTTATCCGGTGCGATTGTTGCAGGGGTCATGGGGGTGAAGGGAGTTGTTTCCCCGATCAGTTCTCGCAGTTCTCGATATTCTTCGCGGATAACTCGCAGGATGCGTCGAACGACATTACCACAGGCAAGCTCTATAACAACCGTCAGCACACACTCACTCACTCATCGTCATTCACTACTCACCTCTTGGAGCAGCCTTAACAAGCCGTCGTCCAACCTCCTTCACCTGATCCACCAACTGATCCTGGTCCAACCATCGCGCATTGGACACAACCTGTCTGAGCACCAATGCAGTCTCGAGGGCGACCTTGTGAGATCCGCGGATTTGCTTCCGCTTCAGGCGAGCTGCCAGCGACTCAACAGCAGCATTCACATTGGACATTTCGAGATTGAATGCTGTTCGAAGAGTCGGTTGTACGCTCCTGTCGTACATTTAGCGGCTGCATGGACGTGCAGCAGTCGAACTCGAGGCGAAGGCGTGGGAAGGGCGCAGACGGAATTTCGCAACAATTGTACGTTAGCCAATCAACACCTAAGGCATCGTACACGGTGTTGCAATTGAGAGATAATCAATAACGGGAATTCTAGTAATTGGGAAGAAGAACCAACGGCTTTAAACAGAAACTTGTAGCTGGCTCTGGTTTCACATAAACCTACGTTTGTTCGTCATATCTCGCCTATTCAGCGACCAATATCACCCAGTATTGCTATCTGCAAACTTCATCCGTCTCGTATCACACATCGAGAGTCCAAGCAAATGTTGCCTGACCCAAGTGTAATCGCAGTTGTTGCAAACCGACTATACTAGCGATGAACTTCGGGACGGACTTCGAAGGCAAGATTGGCGAGATCTATGTGCAAGATCCGTGCTATATCAGATTCTAAAAAAGCGTTCTACTGCCAGATACGGCCATACCATGATGAAAGCACAGGATCCCGTCCGATCTCCTAAGTTAAGCATCATAGGGCCCAGTCAGTACTAGCGTGGGAGACCAGCTGGGAATACTCGGGTGCTGTATCTTTGGTCTTTTGCACTCCTCCCCAGCGCTGCAGGTGATGAAGATCAGCGAGCGTTTGGGCGCTTTATGTCTATCTTATACGTCACTTTAGATGCTATGCTAGCACTATGTTAAGCTATCTTAATTTTCAATACCATACACAATGTCGTACACCTTCTCCTTTCCCTTCGCCGTCACCCTTCGCTCAACCCCTCTCCCTCACCCCCCCACCCACGCCTTAACCCCTCCCTCCTCCTCTCCTTTCCCCCCTCTCCCCCTCTCCCCCTCTCCACCTCCCTCAACCTCCACAACTCCCCTCAACAATCTCCCCACCCCTAACCGTCCTCCCCACAATCTCCTCAACATCACACGCCGTAACCCGTCCATAACAGACACCCCTCTTTGGCTGTCTGGTTGGTAACACTGTCATATTTTTGCCTATCCAGTTAGCTAATGGGTATATATCAACTCCAACCGGAGCGGGAAGAAACGAAGAACGCCGAGTATCCCAAAGATGACTGTGATGAATGCTTGAATGTGACTTATCGCAAAACGACGTTCGCTCCACGAAGACCAAGATATTGTTGCTCAACACCTGTAAGCCAACACCATGTCAGCTTCCACAAGAGAACCGGACATGCAGAAAAGCTTACCATTGGCCATCCCCTTGATAACCCCATAAACCTCCTTATCGCAATACCTCAACTTCGTCTTCGGATCCGTATACTTCGCCTCCAGCCCCGTCACATCACAGTACTTCTTCTGTGGTAGCAGAGAAGGAGGTGCCTCGATATTCGCATAGGTTGGAATGTTGGGGTTGGTTGGTGGTGGGAGCGTGAGGATTTGTTTGAGGGTCTTGTTGCGGCGAGTTGTGCGTTTGAAGTTGGGACTTTTCCATGGTCGGGGGGCAGTGGAGACGTCTAGCGACGTCAATAAGGAGCTCTCTGAAGCCATAGTAGCTGCTGGCATTCTCGCAACTCTACTTGTCCTCGTCGTCGGTTGTCCGGTGTACTGTCTGGAGTACGTCCCGCGCCTGTCAACGTCACGTGCACCCAAATTCCATACACCTCCATCGTAACCGGCCGTCTCGAGCTCGCCTCCATCAACGATCCACTCACGGAGACATGAGCGCTTACTCTCCAACATCACAAGCAATTCTCCAAGAACTCTACGCAAAGGAAGCCCAACGTCAAGCCGAGCAAGCCGCGAACCCAAACGGCAACTCCAACTCCAACTCCCAGGCACCCACACCAGAACAACAAGCACAGCCAGTACAAGACGACCGAATCTTTGGCGAGATGACTACACCCATTTTGATCGGAGTTGGAATTGCCGGTCTCGCGACCGCTGCGAAATTCGGGTTGAGAGCATTTAACCGCATGCCCGGCGGCGCAGGCGGATCAGCGTTCAACAAGAAGTTCTACAAGGGTGGTTTCGATCCGAGGATGAACAAACGTGAGGCTGCCCTCATTTTGGGATTGAAGGAGACTGGCATCACGAAGCAGAAGCTGAAGGAGGCACATCGCAAGGTGATGTTGGCGAATCATCCTGATAGGGGAGGAAGTCCGTATCTTGCGACGAAGATCAATGCGGCGAAGGACTTTTTGGAGAAGAGTGGATTGCCACGATAGACGACCGAGAGAAGCGAGAGGAAACGTGTGTGGGGGAGAAGAAAAGGTTACTTTGGGTTTTTGCATAAGCGGTGTTTTCGTTCGATTTCGATTCTTTCGGTCTTTTTACTCTGGGTTCAATATATCCACTCCATTCACCGGTTTCCTCCCCCATAACCCCACGTCCCCATGCAACAATCATGACTGTTCCTGCTCCCTCGCCGCCTCCTCCGCCTCCTCAAGCTCCTCCAACTCCGGCAACGCCCACTTCAACACCGCCGCCACCCCCGTCAAACTGTCCAGCCCCCGCCCACTCTCATGCAAACTCGAGAAAACCAATACCTCACCTCCCTGACTCCGCACCTCATCCGCGAGTCTTACCCACTCTTTTCGTGTCTCGATATTGTGGGAGCGGAAGAGGGTGTCGGAGATGAGGAGGGCTGAGACTGCGCCTTGGGTGACTGCGGCGCGGACGTGGGTGGCACCGTACCAGGCTTTTGAGTCGTCTGTGGAGAGTTGGGAATAGAATTTCTCCATTGCTTGGGATTCCTTTGCGTACTTGGTGTCACTCAACACGCGTTCGACGGCAGGTGTCTTCATGACTTCGTTGAGAGCATGGACGTGCCCGGTGGAGCAGTGTACCACCACAAATTTTGACCGGTTCTTGATGAGTGCTTTGTTGTCGAAGAGGGTTGCTTGTTGGAAGATGTAGGTTGAAAGGGAGTCGGCGAGGAAGCCGGGGGAGGCGAGGAGGATTACTTTGAGGTTCGTTGGGTCGAGGTGGCGGAGGACTGAGTCGTATACCGTCTTGAAAAAGTTGTCCAGCCCTGTCATAATCTTCTGTTAGCGTCGTGCGAGGATAGAGAGAATATAGTTACCTTTCTGATACTGCGACGAACTCCCCCGTGCTTTCCTCGGTATCGAAACCTCAATCCTCTGCTTCACAATCGTCATAAAATTCGTAATCAAACAAACATTCGCCAACCCCTCCTGCAACACAACCGCTCCCACCTCCGCCCTTGACCCCGGATCACATGCCTCCTCCACTCTTCTCAGTGCCTCACTATCCCACTCTTGTTTCGCGAGCGTGAAGTTTCGGTGGAGTTCGAGATCGAGGGTGTGGAAGGATCCGAGCTTTACGTGCGGGGATTCGAGGATGACGGTGCCGGAGACGTGGAGTTCAGAGGCTTGGGAGTCAAAGTCGAGTTTTGTTACGCGGATTGTGAGGGTTGTGCGGACTCGTTGGGAGGAGGAGGAGCCGGTTGATGATTCGGTTTGGACGCGGCTATCACAATGTTAGGCACACATCTCACGAGCGAAAAGATAATACGTACCGGATTGTCGGAGCGCGGAGCTGATCACCTATTTGGATCAGGTTGTACACATTGTACATATCCTCTGGCTCTTCAGCGACGAGCGTAATCGCGCCCTATCCCCATTGATCAGTGCACACCCCAAACACCTTCACCCAACACTCACCGACGCATCTCTTTCGATGTTCTTCTTGATCAACTTCATCGCTTACTTTGCTTATTTCTCGCAAAGGTCAGTGGTTGCTTGTTAGAGTTTGCGGTTTTGGTGCGCGGTGTGATCATGGTGCAGTGTTGTGCATCCGCGATTGGCATGTTGTACCGTACGCTGGATCGGCCCGAATGGCGATAATATAACCTCCAAAAGGCGATTCTCGATTTTCCAAGCTGGATCACAACGAAGATGCTGTCTCTACTCCTCATCATGTCACTCTTCACTGCCGCCCTGGCTCAAGGTCGGGCCTTCTCCCTCTCCTCAAAGTTCCAATGTTGACCCTTCTCACAGATCCATCCAAGTCCGATCCCGATGCCTACCCTGACCCAATCCCAGATACGGAACCTATACCCAAGGACCTTCCTGAATCCGAGAACATGTTTTTCTATTTTGTGCTGTCACTGCTCATCGGACTCTTCGGAGGATCGCTGTTGTTATACGCATTCCGACAACTAAGTAAAACGAAGTACGTACATCAATATCCGTTAAAGTTCATCCTACGAGACGAAGGACGGATCCGATTATCTGGAGACGGAGAAGAGGATCTAGAAAGTAGCTGGGGCACCTTCGGCGGGGAGTCTGGCGAAGGCGGGAGTCGTGGTCCATATTACGGCTATTACTACCATGACCATGATCAAGATCAAGAGGAGGACGGAGTTGATGACGGTATCACAGATGGAGCAGTGTCTGTGGAGAGATACAGGGATGATATAGAGTTGGAGGAGGAGGACGCGGAGGGGCATAGAATTGTGAGGAGGAGTAGTGTGCCAGCTGCGTTAGGAAGGGCTGGGGATGAAGAGGAGGATGTGTTCTTAAGAAAGTCTGATGACGAAGGGGCACACTAACCTTAACGTGAATGGTGTTCTGCGGGACGTTGATTGGGGTTCGGTGTATGTCTGATATGTTATCCTCATATTTTTGGAAGTATAGACGGTTTGGGGTACGGATCAAGAATAATACCACCTTCACGGATCTGCCACGGTCGTAGCCAGGGTGTTACAGTCTGTCCAAGATAAAAGTCTATGCTAGTTATTGTGCTGCCATGTGCGGTCATAGTGTCCCCGTATGTTCACCCCGGCCGCCAGCCCTGGGAATGTACTTGGCTGGCGTCGCGGGCAGTTCCCGCGCCCAACTGTCCAAGTAACTCGCCACGTCAATGCTTCTCCGACTTCAACAAGCACGAGAACCTATAGACCGCACAACCGTCATGAACACCAAGATGCAAATCTGTTCTGTTCTGTGCTCAATCGTTTATCACGCTGACCAGATACTTAAGCTTCGGGTCTGCGGGACGCCCATTGCCGTTCGCTTTCTTGACGGCAACTGCCTCCAGGCACCCACAGGAGCATTAAATTTACGTCTGAGATCCGTCACTGAAGTCTTCATGAGCTTTAACAAGCCTCTTAAGCAGGATGAAGAGTATTTCGTAACTCCTTAGCCTCAACTCAGCTTCACCTTTAAGCGAGCGATAGTCATCCCCACGGGATAACTTCACAAAGATCACGAAACATCGTACTTGAATGAGAGCTCGAGATGCCTCTCATTGGAAAGCAGGACTAAATAGCGCGCAACTATTTTGTGGTAGAATTATGATTCTCCAGAACTGGCGCAAAAGACTACTCCACTGCAACTGGGAAGGCAGACACCACAGTTAACCAACATACCGCAGGCCCTGGGCAAGAAGTTTGAGTACATCAACGGGTGAAGAATGCAAAGAGACCCCACGAGAGTTGTGAACCAAGTCATCTAAGATGATTGGCGAGTGGCAACATTGATGAGCTCAGATCAGGCACCCGCAAATCCCACGGCAGTGCCCATACCGGCGGCGGGATCGAAACGGCCCGAAAGGGACCTTTGGAGGGGATGGGCAACCGAGTCTGAAAGACAAGCCTGTGCGATTGAACGCGGAAGCAAATGCGTGGAAACATTGCCGTACCGCACGCAGTTGCAACAGGCCTGAGCAAGCTGCATGAGCGACGCCAAAGACGAAGAGTAACTGGCAGTGTTACAAAGGACAACTTGGCGTTAAAGGTGCGCGCGGCAGGACAGTCTATCGCAGCAGCAAAAACGTGCCAAGCACGACCGAATCCTTTCAGGCAAGTACGAAGAGTGCTAACCTGCTGCGAATTACCCAGCTCGTACGGTGACATGAGCGTGAGAAGAAAGTCTTGGTGTAAAAATGCACAAGAGTTGTGGCAGCGTGAAGGCTCCGAAGAGGACTTTCTAATTAGATCCTTCGAGAGGAAGACAAAAAAGATACAGCACCCGAGTATTCCCAGCTGGTCTCCCACGCTAGTACTGACTGGGCCCTATGATGCTTAACTTAGGAGATCGGACGGGATCCTGTGCTTTCATCATGGTATGGCCGTATCTGAAAATTAAACCAAATCTTCTCCTTCTATATAACCCCGATCTCCCTCTCGTTTGCTAACTATGCTCCAAGACCAGCCCATAGCGCCTCCCCTTATACTCTGCCCATACCACCCGTGCAACACACATAAACACAGTCAACACCTAACTTGTCTTCTGCAATCCCTATGCCATCCTTGCCCTGCAACAAAATGCATGTCCAGTCCATGCTCAGTGCGCTGTTCTGCTCGTTCCTCACGAATCCAAGGGCCGATTAAACCCTCCCTTCCGATTCATATACTGCCGATATTCCCTCTTCTGCTTAATCTCCACGCCACCAATATCACCGTGTTTCTTCAACTTTGTCGTTTCGAACCCGCCGAAGCCCATCATTGCTTGCATTTGGGCTTCCATGTCGTCGTTTGCTAGGTCGTTTAGGTCGATGGGTGCCGGTGCCGATGGAGCGGCTTTGGGGGAGGGCGAGCGTGGTCGAGATGATTGATGGTGATGGGCTGGGGAGCGACGGGTGTGAGGTGGTGGTGAACGTCGGCGGGGTTGGGAGCGGGAGCGGTCTCGGGAGCGGTCTCGGCGGTAATCATCGTCGCGTCTTCGATTCCCGTCCCCAGCCCTCTCTGCATCATAATCCCGATATCGTCTATCACCCCTGTCACTCCGTCTGTAGTCTCTGTCTCCCCCATCCCTCCCTTTGCCATCGTAATCCCTTCCACGATCCCGGTCTCGCCGGTAGGGGCTTCTTGAGCGTTCACGATGTGATCGGTGAGAGGAGTAGCGGTCGCTGCTGTTTTTGTCTGAGTTTAGGGGGGCATCGTAATCGTATTGTAATGGCGGTGAACGAGGCATCTTGGATTGTTTGGGAGTGATACGTCTGACAGTTGACGTACATTAATGCGACGTCGGCCGCGAACACGTGCAGGTAACGAAGATACGATAGAGAATGGATGTACCGATAGGTCTATAAGCCAGACAAAATCTCAAACAACAAAATCCATGTCATTTAAACCTCATCGGCGCACCTACTTCCTAGGTCCACTATACATGTCGTATGCTCGACTCCCGCCGGTCAACTTTTGTGCTGCAGATTAGTGGCTGCCACAAACGCAACGAATTACGGAAAAGTATCAGCTGCCGTATCGATCAGAAAAAACACCAGATCAACCAGCTCACTCCGCCGAACGTCGTTCTCTCTTACATACACATAGCCCGTCATGTCCGCCGGATCATACGCTGCCGCCGCCCCCACGCACGTCACTTCCGCCGTCCCAACACCCGAAGCTACTCTTCCTGCCCTCTCCCTCGCGACCGAGCCTGAGGCTTCATGGACTCGTTTCGTCCCCTCCTCCGTTACTTCAACCGTTGACAGCATCGCCGCATGGCGCGCGTCCCTCGGTCTCACCAACCCCGGTACCTTCGAGAACTTGACCGGTAAGGTCCAGAAGGAGGTTCTCTGCGGAAACTACATGTTCACCGGTATCAAGGCCGACCTGAGTAAGGCTGTTGCCGTCTCCCCCGTCTTCCACTTGACCCACGGATTCGCATTGGGATCTCAGGTCGCGCCACCATACTCTTTCGGTGTTTTCTTGGCTCAGGGATCATCGTTCTTGAGGGGTTCCATGGACAGCGATGGTTCCCTCCAGGCTATGGCTAACAGCGCTTGGAACTCCAACTCTTACACCCGTGCTCAGGCTCAGATTTCTTCTGTTCCTGGACAGTCTCTCCTTCAGGTCGAGCACGACTACCAGGGCTCTGACTTCTCCGCTAACTTGAAGGCAATGAACCCCTCCATCCTCGACAACGGCAGACTTACTGGTATCTTTGTCGGTAACTACTTGCAGTCCATCACTTCTCGGTTCGCGCTCGGTCTCGAGGGTGTTTGGCAACGTCCTCCCGCCTCTGCTGGTCCAGAGAGCGTGAACCTTGCCTATGTTGCCAAGTACGCCGGTGATGACTGGATTGCCGCTGCTCAGCTCCTTGGCGGTGGTAGCGCTATCAACGCTACTTTCTACAAGAAGTTGTCCGACAAGGTTGAGGCTGGTGTCGATATCCAGCTCGTCAACGGTGGCGGTAACCCCATGATGGGTCCCCAGAAGCAGGCCGTCACGGCCGTCGGTGCCAAGTACGAGTTCAGAGCCGCGACCTTCCGGGGACAGGTCAACTCTGAGGGTAAGATTCAGGTCTACCTGGACAAGAGAATCACCCCCGCTTTGGGTATGCAGTTTGCCGTTGATGTCGACCACGCCAAGAACGCTGTCAAGCTTGGTTTCGGAATGAGCTTGGAGACTGCTGATGATGACTTGCAGAAGGAGATGGAGGCTCAGCAGGCTGGTGCGCCGGGAATGTTCTAAGTGCGATGTTAAGATAGGTAGCGATCAAAATGTAGATATGGGGACGGGTACAAGTCGACGGGCTGCAGCTTGAGCTGGCTATTGTATTTGTGGCCATGGGAAGATATTTGGTGTTAGGGAGCACGCACTTCTGCATTTCGAGAAGATTACTTCGTACTCGGTGAGTGCAGTATAATATAGGACTCTTCACTTCAGTTCTAACTTTAACCTTCGTCCATTTTCCTACAGTGTCCACACGTACTTGAGCTCATGAGCCCTGCAGTGCGGCGGTCGGCGTGTTCGTACGCCCATATGTACGAAACGCCATCCACGCAGCGAGATAAGGTATCCCATACATTAACCCAGAGAAGTTGCGACATGGTTCACTCAAAGCCTGAGGTATTTCCTGTCGCGAACACTGGTTCGCCGAAGTTTGTGCCGCAGATGGACCAACAACAGCAGCCTGAGAAGCTTGGCTCGAGCGGTCCCGGTCGTAAGGGGTCGTTGACATTGGATGTGCTTGAGAGCAATAACTATCATCGGATGGAGACACATGTTGGGCAATCGCCTGCGCAGTTGTATTTGACGGAGAGTGGGAGGTTGTTTCACGCTGGGTACGTGCAATTGCGTTTATGTTGATGGGGAGTGAGCTAATTCAGAGGGGGATAGTAAGATTGCGATTGTGTTTGTCGGTCTACCAGCAAGAGGCAAAACACATCTCGCCGTATCACTTGCTCGCTATCTGAATTGGCTCGGCGTCAACACCCGCACCTTCCACCTCGGCGATTACCGTCGTGCTTTCGTCGCCGACAAGGATCTCCCAGAAGACTACTGGATCCTCGACGCGAGTGAACCGACAAAGGAGTTACGAGCCAAGATTCTGGAGAACTGCAGAGATGATCTGATTAGGTGGTACGACGAGGAAAAGGGACAAGTCGCGATCTATGATGCGGTCAACCCAATTGCGAGTAAGAGGAGGGAGTTGAAGGACATGTTCGCCAGGCATGATATCCAGACGCTGTACATCGAGTCCTTCTGTGATGATCCGAAGATCATTGAGGCGAATGTACATTCTGTCAAGATCTCTTCACCGGATTACGTTGGTTGGGACCCGAGGGAGGCTGTCAAGGACTACCTTCGCCGAATCGACGCCAAGATTCCTCATTTCGAGTCAATCGAGGATCGTGATCTGGATTATGTCAAGGTTATCAATGTTGGAGAGAAGATTATCGTTAACAACGCCCGTTTCGGGTATTTGTCGAGTCGTATCGTCTTTTACTTGACCAACCTCCACATCAAACGCCGCGTATTCTACCTTGCACGCGCAGGCAACTCAATCGACGAAGGCTCCTATCGTCTCGACTCCGAACTCGACGACGAAGGTCGTTCATACGCCGAATCCCTTACCCGAACCGTCCTGAAACGTCGCGAAAGCGAATTGAAACAGCGTCGTGAGAAGGGCGATATGTCACCCGAGAACTCATTGATCGTCTGGACATCTACACGTGCGCGTACAGTCCAAACAGCAAGCGGCTTCAAAGAGGCAGGCTTCACCGTCCGTGAACGACCACAACTGTCCCAACGAAACCCCGGCGTCTGCGAAGGCAAATCCGCCGAAGAAATCCGAAAGATGTACCCGGATATCTGTGCCGCCCTCGATCAAGACCCCTACCATACCCGATTCCCGCGTGCAGAAAGTTACCACGACGTCGCACTCCGCACCTCGGACGTCCTCCTCGAAATGGAGAGACAGCGGGGCGATTTGTTGATCATTGCGCATGAGAGCGTGTTGAGGTGTTTGTATGCTTATTTTAGGGGGACACCGGCGGATGAGATTCCGTTTTTGAGTTTTAGGAGGAATGAGTTGGTGGAGGTGTTGCCGGGGTCCTATAACTGTGCGGAGGTGAGGATTACCATTGAGGGGTGGAAGTAATCATGTAGGATGATGGAGGGAGATGAAGCATAGTGCGAATGTGTACGATACACTTGAGATGTTGGAACTTCGGATGGTATTCTTAGACAATTGAGGTAGCCTCAGAGGATCACAATATACCCAAGTATGACCTTCCTTCGTCGAAGCTTGAAGATGATGTGCGTTGTCTTTGCACATTACTACTCCTCGTGAAAAAAGGCAGAAGTCACGGAATTCATTCCAAAGTCCAGAGAGACAGATGCCAAGCCATCCCATACGGCTTCAGGCACCTCGAATAACAGCGCCGGTAATCCTGCGTATGACGACCCCCTTCATGAAGCGTGACATATCCATCACCCATATCGATCCTCATTTCAGTAACGCACTCAACGTCGGTCTTCTCTGGGTGCACCCGGATCTTCGTCCCTTCTCCCGTCCCCATGTCCTGGCCGTCGTTCCCTCGATCTTGATACTGACTTTGACCTTCGTCGTGACCGATATCTGTCCTCACTCCTACTTCTACTCCGCCTTCTCCGCTCACTCCTGCCCTCATCTCTATCCCTTCTGGAACTGTGTGTGTCATCTCTTCTGTCCCGCGACCTATCGCGACTCCTATGCCGCCTGTGTCGTGATCGTGATCTAGAGCGATGTCTGTGTCGTCTTTCTCGGTCGTCATCATCTCGGCGAGAACTTCGATGGCGCGTACCGCGGCTACGATTCCGTTCTCGTGAACGATCCCTTGGTAGTCGCTGCACTGCTTCCCCCGAGAAGCGACCTGGTGGACCACTAGGATACGGAGCAGAATTTCCTTCGTCTTCGAGCTCATCCTGTGATCCTCCTTCACCTGGCGTCCGCCGGATCGGAACTGGGAGACCCCTACAATCAAGTTAGCTATCACGCCCAGATATCCACGGGACCAGAACAACATACAAGGCAGCCGCCAACGCGTCCTCCTCCTGCTCCTTGATCCTCTGAATCTCCGCCTTCTTTGCCGCAGCAACTTCCTCCGCTGAGGCACCATCCTTCGTGTACCAATTCACATCCTTGCCTTTCTGCCAACGTCCCACGGGAGCCATCACGCTGTGACCGAGGTAGTTTTCGCGATGTTTGTCATTCTTGACATTGTCCCACGAAAACTGGGCTTGCCCTCCACGGGTTCCTCCTCGTGTTGGACCACTGAACATTGTTATCGATGGTGTTTGGGTTGGGGCGTACTTACAGTATGTGAGCAAGATCACGTGATGTCAATGCAGTCCACGTTACCACTCACCACCCGAATCCGTCATTTTCAGATCTCCGCGACCACTACTGCTGATTCAATCCTACAACACGACGATGCTCAGATCATCGGCCATCCGTCCGCTACTGACTGCGCGCTCAGCTAGGATCTTGTCTCGGGCTGCTTACTCAACTTCAGCACCATCTGTTCCACCAGCCCAGGCGTCAAACAACGATGTTCTTCCTTCCCTTGACCGGCCGATTGGCATTGAAATGATGCCGCATGCGGGAGACCAATTAGTTGGTACTGAGAATGATCCACGAGCATGGAAAGAGCGAATGAGGGATAAGCTTGACCACGAGAAGATGTTGGAGAAAGGCCAAAAAAACTTGGTGAAGTTCTTGAACAGTTCCTACTGGAATGATTTCCATGCCATGAAGAAACATATGGGAAAGCACTGGGTTGCGCCGACACGTATGTTCCGGCAGGACAAAGCACTATACATGCCGAACCTGAAAGGACGAACGCTGAACACAAGTTCGGCAAAAGACGAGAGTACGACGACAGCTATCCTGAATCACCCTGTCACTCTTGTTTCCATCTTTTCTTCTCGGTCGGCTGAGGAGCAGGCTGCGACGTTCTCCAATGCCTTCAGGGAACACTTTGCCTCTGCCGCAGAAGGTGAGCGACCCGGCATGGTAAGCATCAACGTCCAGGAAAACCCCTTAAAAGCAGCCCTTGTCTGGGCCTTTCTCCCGGGTATCCGCAAATCCGTACCTCCTGAGGAGCATGACAACTACTTCTTCCTTACCAGCAGATTACCAGATGAGCTGAGATACAGTATTGGATACCTTAACACGTACGTTGGGTACACATACTTGTTGGATTCAGAGGCCAGGATCAGATGGGCGGCATGTGGTGATGCGGAGGAGGTCGAGAAGAGTACGATGATCAAGGCTGCTACAAAGTTGCTCGCGGATTACAAGGCTGGTGACCGGCCAGTTGAGAGCTTGAATGAGGCACCCAAGATTGTCGACACAGCTGCGATGGAGGGTGCAAATTCGGAGAAGGCTCAGGAGTTTCAGGCAAAGATTGAGGAGGTGAAGGTTGAGCCCAAGCAGGAAGAGATCAATGTGCTTCAGTCCGAGGTGGATTCACTCGGTGAGCAATTGGCAAGGAAACTGGAACAACAAGCAAAGAACTCAAAATAGAGACAACCGTTCTAGCGTCACTTCCCCTCTCCTAATGGACGCCAGTTGGTTGCATCGTACGATACAGTACACGTGAACACCTTATTACTGCCAAAAAGATCCTTCTATATAACCTTTGCTAGATGCCTAGATACCTTATTTATACGTCTCAGCCATGATCATCACGACCATCGAAGTCCACCCCGTGAAGCCCTTCGCACGCGATCCTTCTCCAGTCTCACGATCGTACTGCTCCCACGCAATGCCCGTCCTCTTCCACTCGTTGAACACGTTCTCGACAACATTCTGTCTCAACTCCGTGTAAATCTCCCTCGCCTTCTCCTGGTTCGGACCGGGCGTGTTGATGTAGTTCTTGTACAAGCTCGAAAGAGCGAGATACTGAATCGGGATCCAGATAGGTCCACGCCAGTAGTTTTCGCCTTGCCCGTAGTACTCATCTTTCTTTGACAAACTCCTCAATCCCCACGGACTCCACAACTCCTCCGGATCACGCATCAAATCCAACACGGCACCCAAATGAGGCGACTCAGGCGATAACAGTCCCAACAGGATCGGAAAGAGGGAGATGTAGCCCTTGTGGCACACATGCACACTCTCCTCATACTCATCAATAGTCGCGTCGCAGTATGCCTGCTCCTCCTCATTCCAATGCAAGTCATCGATATTCCGAATGATCGCCTCCTCGACCCTCTTTAACTCTGCCACATCATCTTCCTCACCAACCTTCTCCGCAACAACCCTCAACGTCTTTGTCATCAACCCCATCCAACTCAACAAATCGACATGCAACTCTCCCGTGTGAGGAGGTCGCGCGCGGGGGTAATCGTCCAATCCACTCGTCAAGCAGTGATCAGGAGTCCGTCCACGCCAGCGGTATCCCTCCTTCATGGAAAACGCCTCGCGATCCCAGGCTTTGATGTCGCCAGCCTGCGTCCTCCTAAACCAATCATAATGCCTCTTCAGAATCGGGTATAGGTCATTCAAGTACGTCGTCGCCAACGTAGGGTGCTCAATATGCGCCGAGGAGAGCATCTCATTCTCAATACCTCCTCCACTCAACCCAATCCCATTGCCATCTTGAAAGTTGAAAGAGGGTTCCGAGCCGACGTTGGCCTGTTGATCCAATCTTTCGATAAACGCAACCACAGCCAACATCAACGTCGGCGGATTCGCATACCTCGTCTCCTGCACCACAAAATCAGCTGGAACCCGACTTCTTGCCTCACTCCCCAAAATCTGCTCCCTCCCAACCCACCCATCCTCATCAACAAGTCCAAACCAACTCTTGACGATCTCCAAGCTAAGATCATTATCCCACAATCCAATCGGGAGGAGATGGAACCCTTCATCCCAGTAGAAACCACGGGGGAAGAAGCATCGGGAGGGGGTTGCTGTGAAGAGGGTTGTTGGGCCTTCTTCTTGAGGGGAACGGGGGGTGGAGAGGGAGGATTCCCAGAAGTTTTCGGAGTCTTCGTCGTGGTGGGTGCGGTCGACGAGGGAGGTACCGTGGAAGTAGCCGACACCACCGAGGAGCGAGGAAAACAACTCGCGGGCGAAAGAGACGTATTCCTCTTTATCGAACGGTGCCTTCAAGGGAAAGACTTCGTCAAATCGCGCCCTGAACGCAGTCTTAATTTCCTCGATCCTCTCCCCCAAACCCCCAGACGTCATAGCCTGCGGCGCACTCCTCGAGGTATAAAGAACATCAAACTCAAAAGAACCCTCGAACGTCTTCTGCACAGCCTGGAAATTACCACTCACCACCCCAGTATTCGGTAACGTGAATATCTGCGCAGGAGGCGGCATATCGTTCTCTCCATACTTCTGACTCGCACTCTGTACCGCCGCCGAGATCTGCTGCAAAATCAAATCCTTTGCGCGCCACAAGGTATCCTCCATCAAGTTCGCACCGACATATTGCGTCTTTTGGATATCTTTCTCGGCGGCAGCGTCGTGGTTAATCACTGGATGCACATTCGTCTTCGGACCATCTGTGATCTCGACTTTGAAATCACCGAGATCGGGGGTCCGGCCACCGATTAGGACGGTACCCTCGATTCCGTCGGTTTCGAGGTCGGAGTCGAGGTGGAGTTGGCCTTGGCCTTCGAGGCCGGTGTAGAAGATTAGAGTTGTGCGCACGTCCTCGGGTGCGCCTTCGATGGGGGTACCGCGGATTCTGACACCCCAGTTGCCGCCTACAATGAAGAACTGTTAGAATTTGTAGTGGAGGGGAGTGAGGAGCGGGGGGGGGAGGGGGGTACCTTTGTCGCCGCCCTCGACCTTGACGAATTCAGTCTCGATCTTGACGCTCATCCCCACATCGTTGATCACCTGTCGTCCACCACTACGGGCATCGTACTCGACCCATCCAAACCCTCGAACATCATCTCCCTGTTCAGCCGAATGCCTCAAATCTATCAATTCACGTCAGCTCCGTAGTCAATTGAAGCACGACAGCATAAGCACATACCCTTAAAATGCGCATAATCATCAACATTCGCCCACATCAACCCCGTCATAAGACTTTTCGGTATCCGCGGCCTAACACCGAAATACAATCCCGGCCTATACGGACCCCACAACAGCGAGGAGTTCGAGGCGGCTGTGATTGCGTTTTCGAGCGCCAGAGTTGATTGATCAACCGTTTCGGAAGCCGAGGCCAGCAGAGCTGAGCCGGCTGCTGCTACCCATAGGATTGGGTCGAGGAGCTTCATGTTGCTCCTTGCAATTGCAATTGGTCGTCAGTGCTCGAGAAACACGTATTGCTTGGGATTTCGCGCCGTTGACGTGGGGAGATGCAAGGGCCTACTGTATATAGGGAACCGGCGCGTCTTGGCTCGACGAACAATCAATCGCTTGATGATACCGCGGATGTTGATTAGAGCATGAGGTCCTTGCTACACGACCTCTTTAACTCCACAGTCCCCTGGCCATATCGTATACATCAGATCTCACCGCATTCAGAAAGTCTTCCCACGCCCTCCCTCCCCCTCACTCCTCCACCATATCATCCAAATCCACCTCGAAATGGTAAACCCTCTCCGGCACCGTATCAAAACTCCCCCTGCCCTCAATTCCGGCCAACCCATCCATTCCCGTCCCCTTTACAACCTCAAATGTCCCCCACGCCCTATACGGGTTCAGCTCAAATTGCCCAGTCCCCTGCGTAATGAACAATCCCCTCCTTCCCTGAAAGTCCTCAGCTTCGACAGTCTCGGCGAATACGAAGGAGGCGTTCCCGTCGGGGCGGTAGGTCATGAGGTATGTGGTTTTGATCAGGGCGCGGAGAGAGGGAAGGGAGTAAGTTACTTGGGCGGGTGTGATGCGAGGGAGTAGGGTTTGGGTGCGGTCTTCAGCCCAGGCTTGGATTTGAAAAGGGGTTGAGAAGTTGAACGTCATCTTGATCTGTAATTGCTCGGGGTATTTGGTGTTGCGATTGGGTTATGTCTTGACCCGTACGGCGCAGGAGTACCACATGCTCACTCCGGGGAAGCGGGGCTGCTACCAGGACCCTGCATCCTCAGAAGCTCGGCAGGCCGTTTTGCGTAGCGATTTCTGCCAGGATGCCGATCTTTGCACGCACCAGACGCGTCGCATGTCCTTCCGGGGTCCATTTGCGCCGGACCGAGGGTATGACCTCATCGGACGTCTTCTCGAATCAATAGCTCTGTCTCGTGTTGACATTATTCTCGACATCAACTATTCATGTATCCAATTGCAATGGCAGATCTCGTTCGACAAAGCTCATTGCAATTCCTCCGCGCCCATGGTCCCCAGCACCCTGTGGCGCAGCATTGTTAATTACGGAATTCACGCGCTGAGTGAACGCGTTCAACATTGTCGCGTCGTCGAAGGCCCATAATATAATCCCCAGCTGTTGATCAGTCATGCCGGGACATCTCGTTCAAAGGAATGCCGGGGTCACGGTTGAGAACGAGGAGAGGATTGTCGCACGTAAGTCAACTGTATACAGGGTTAATCCGTGGATGGAGGGCTGACGTGAATGGTACAGTCAAGAACTCGCAAACGCCAAAGACGCCTGCCACGATCAAGAAGCAGGGGACACTTGATTCTTTCTTTGGTGTTACTCCATCGAAGGCTAAGGCTGCTGTCACTCCTGCGCCGAAGACCGCTACGAAGCGAACAAAATCCGAAGCGACACCGGCGTCCACCAAGTCCTCCGCCAAGCGCCCTGCGAAGAAGCAGAAGATCGTCGTCGACGATGACTTTGAGCCAGAACAATCCGCATCTGAAGCTGAAGAAGATGAAGCCTCCGAGGTTGCCCCATCATCCGCTGAATCCTCGGCCGCCGAGGAGTCCGAGGTCGAGGAAATTCTTCCCGAGGAGAAACCCAAGCTGAAGCAGCGCACCATCTCAAACAAGCGCTCCACCTCCTCCCCAGCCGTCTTTCCCGGTGCAAAAAGAGGCGCTGGAGCCGATTACTCTGATCTCCCACCCATTTCCTCCATCCCAGCTATGTTCCAGGATATGGTCGGTAACATCCCTCAAATCGCCGACGTCGCCAAACACCTCGCTGGACGCAAACTCCGCGTCGCCACGATGTGTTCTGGAACCGAGTCCCCTCTCCTCGCTCTTGGTCTTATCTCCCGCGCGATTGAGAAGATTTACGGGGTCAAGTTTGGCGTTCAGCATGTCTTCTCATGTGAGATCGAGCCGTTCAAGCAAGCTTACATCGAGAGGAACTTCCAGCCTCCGCTTTTGTTCCGTGATATCTGTGAACTCGGGAATGAGAAAGCTACAACTGCTTACGGCGCCAAAGCCACAGTCCCGGGTGATGTCGACATGCTCGTCGCTGGTACGTCTTGCGTCGACTACTCCAACCTCAACAACGAGAAGCAGGACTTCGAGGCACAGGGTGAGTCCGGGCAGACCTTCCGTGGTATGATGTCCTGGGTTATCAAGAACCGCCCCCCTGTTGTCATCTTGGAGAATGTGTGTAACGCGCCGTGGGACAAGGTCAAGAAGGCATTCGAGAAGGAGGGTTACTCTGCCCAGTTCCAGCGTTTCGATACGAAGCAGTACTACATTCCGCATACTCGTACGCGTGTGTACTTGTTTGCCTACTACAAGCCCAAAACCTCGTTGCCGGAGAAGTGGAAGCACATGGTTGCGTCGCTATCTCGTCCCGCATCCTCGCCTCTTGAGGCTTTCCTTCTACCCTCCGACGACCCGCGTATTCATCAAGCTCGCGAGAAGCTGGTTCGAGAGGCTGGATCGGGGTTGGAGCGTCGCGGTCGTACCGACTGGGGTAAGTGTGAGTCTCGTCACCACCGTGCTCGTCATGAGGAGGGACTTGGTACCAACCGTCCCTTGACCGCGTGGCAGCAGCAGGGTGAGTGTACGCTTCCGGACTTTGCCTGGAATGATTGGGGACTTGCTCAGACCGAGCGTGTTCTCGATTTGTTGGATGTTAACCAACTGCGCATGGCGTTGAAGGGTGTCGACTCCGCCTTCAAAACCCTCGTTTGGAACCTCTCCCAAAACGTCGATCGTACCACCGGCTCTGTTCGCCCTGGTATCTGTCCCTGTCTTACGCCCTCAATGATTCCGTATATCACGAATCGTGGTGGTCCCCTGGTTGGACTCGAGGCGTTGTCGTTGCAGGGATTGCCTGTCGAGGAGTTGTTGTTGACGAGGGAAAGTGAGGATAACTTGGCGGATTTGGCTGGTAATGCGATGACCTCTACTGTTGTTGGTGTTTCTATGCTTGCGGCACTCGTGTTGGCGAAGAACGAGTTGAGGTTGGGTGAGGAAGTCCCCATGGAGGTTGATGATGTTGACGATACTGTCGTTGAGATCGTCGAGGCTGTTGTCGGAGAGGAGCAGTTGAAGGAGAAGCCGCTTCGCATCGATTCCGCTGAGAGCGTCCAGATTGCGAAGATCCTTGAGGATGCTCAACGCAGTTCAAGACATTGTGACTGTGAGGGAAGAAGTGGTACGACTGATCGTGATATCCAGCGCTGTCAAGATTGTCATACTACTACTTGCGTCAAGTGTGGTCGTCGTCCTGAACATAACTACACCATCGAGAAGGCGCAGCGTCTCCCGCCTTCGGAGTTTGAGAAGGAACTCTCTGCAGCCTTGCAGATGCGTATTCGCGTCGAAGGGATTACTCGTGAGACTCTTGAGGCAGCGCGAGCGGTGAACGGGGCTAACGTCGCGGACAAGGGTTGGGAAATGTGGAGCGAGGCTGTTTTGAATGCGCTTGTGTCCACTGAAACAGAGTTCCGATTCAAGAGTTTGACCCGTCAGGACATCTGGACTGCGGTGTACCATGCTCCTGATGCTTCGCTTGAGTTGATGTTGAACCCGGCTATGCCGCAATGGCAGTTGTTTGTCAAGGCTCCAGAAAGTGCGCCGATGAACAGCCCGTTGAGGAGGTTATTGGAACAGCCTGTTGCGCGTATGAGGCTCGGTGCTTCGGGTTCATCTTTCTTCGAAGGCAAGTGGCAGATCTGCATTCCTGCTGTGCACAAGTTCTCGATCGAGATCAAGGGGTGCGGAGAGAAGGTTCCTTCTTACGAAGCCAGGATTGGGCTACAGGAAGAGTATGCGAACAAAAAATGGTGGAGTAAGATTAACGTCTCTGTCGTCCCGGAGAGTGAGGATGCGAAGCAATATCTTGATCGTGATATCTCCGGTACCTACACTCTTCATGAAAAGTGCGGTACTGCCATGGGTGCGCTACACAAGAGGGAGAAGACCGATGATCTCGCTGATATCTTCCTCTTCCTTGATCCTACTAGAGCTGGAGAACCCGAGCAAGATCCCTTCGTGTTTTCTTCCAGTATTAGGAGATACAACTACGGAGAGGAGCGGCCTATTATTGCGAGAGTGGACACAAAGTGGCGTCCTAATGCGAAGGATTCTGTACAGAAGATTTCGTGTGAAGCGAATGGTACGTGGTTGATTGTCGATGCTGTCAAGTTTGCGAAATCGGGCGCTGCTGCCAATGCTACGTATGCTATGCCTGACCCTGAAGACTTGAGCGTGAATATTACTACTAAGGGCTGCGAGGCTGCTACGGCTATGCTTTTGGCAAAGGTGCCGCTCAAGGCATCAGCAGATGATGATGACCTGTGGCCTCGCGGTCGATGGAGTGAGGTCGATCTTCAACACAAGGGACGCGCAACCTTCGAAGCTCTGTCCTGGATCACCGAGAGGTTGCCTACTAGTCAAGGTATCTCCGAATGGGTGGATGCTGGCGTCGGGGATCTTGATGCATCTAAATCTTCGTGCGAACGATGTGCTCCTTCGGCACCCATCATCAAGTGGTTGTCTGGCGATAAGGGTTACGTGCCGTACGAGGACCCCATTGAGGCTGGCGCATACGAACAATCGCTCAAGAAGCGACCTTCTCCTTTCGTTGTGCAACTTCGCCTTGAGAACGGGTTTGGTCTGTTACGCATTGGTGCGAATATCACCTCGCTCCTCCATCGTGCTTTGCACCTGCTTGCGAAAACGGGATCGAATAAGACCCAAAAGCCGCGTCTTTCTTGGCGTTTGGACATGAACCATGATGCTACTCGATTCTTCGACCCAAACACTCGCTTCTCGTTGTCGAGTAACAAAAAGGATCCAGAGCATTCTCAACCTCCACTCTGGAGCGAAGAGTTCCCTCTTCGTCCTGAACAGCTTCGTTCTCTGGGATGGATGTTGCGTCAGGAATCCAAAAACGCTCCTCCCTTCATTGAAGAGGAGATTGAGGAGGCCTTGTTGAAACCGCTTGGCTGGAGGGCGGAAGCTCGGGCTACTCGTGCGGTGCATGGCCGTGGTGGTGTCGTTGCCGACGAGGTTGGGTATGGAAAGACTGCCATTACGCTTGGTTTGGTTGCATCTACTTTGGAAGAACCTCTCGTGGCCAGAGACATAAAACCGGAGGTCGATGGTGTTATCCCGGTGAAGGCAACGTTGGTACTTGTGCCCGCTCACTTGACGAAGCAGTGGCCTTCGGAAGTGGAGAAGTTCACAGAGAACAACCTTAAGATTGTCGCTATCCCCACTGTTGCGGAATTGAACAAGCTTACTGTTGCGAAGATCCAGGAAGCGGATATTGTCATCTGCTCATCCAGTGTGTTCGGCAGTGATCTTTACTGGTCGAATTTGGCCGCTCTCGGCGGTAACGAACTACCCAATAACAAGGCTGGTGGACGTCACTTCGATGACAAACTCTCTGAGACGCTCCAGACGCTCAAGAAGCAGGTCATTGCCCTCACAGCCGAGGGTGGTGTCAAACAGGTCTTGAGCAACATCGAGACCGCGCGTGAGGAGGCCGCCGAGCGTGCCGCAGAGGAGGCACAGAGATTACAATCGAAGCGATTGAAGGGTAAGAAGTACCGTGATGCGCAGAAGAAGAAGGCTGCTGGCGATAGTGACAGTGAAGATGAACCTGTGGTCAAGAAGCCCGTAAAGAAAAACGCCCGCGAAGACAAGGACCCTTGGAAGCTCGGCTCTGCTGCGAAGAAAGACTGGAAGCAGTTACACTGTCCACCGCTGGAGATGTTCCACTGGAAGCGTGTCGTCATTGACGAGTACACCTATTTGTCTGGCAGGGAGCATGCTGCAGTTATCCATATGAAAGCCAGTGCTCGTTGGGTCTTGTCGGGTACACCGCCTGTGTTCAACTTCTCTGCCGTGAAATCCATCGCTGTTTTCCTTGGCATCTCCCTTGGTATCGACGATGAAAGTGATTTGTCGAAGAAGCAGAAGAAGGAGCAGACTGCTGCAGAGCGTTTCCACGCCTTCCGTGACGCTCGTTCCGCTTCGTGGCATGCACGTCGCCATGAGGTTGCTCAGGCTTTCCTTGATCAGTTCATGAGGCAGAACGTGGCGGAAATCGACGAGATTCCCACCGAGTATCATCTTAACCGCGTCACTCTTCCTGCGGCCGAGCGTGCAATTTACCTTGAGCTTGAACATTATCTTCAGGCGCTTGACATGAACATTCGTCGCAAAGGCAAGAAGAGTACTCATGGTGATCGTGATGCTCGTCTTGCCGAAGCTCTGGGCAAGAGTAGCTCTTCCGAGGAAGCACTCTTGAAGCGTTGTTCTCATTTCGACCTCGACGAGAAGGATGATAAGGAGAATGCGATTCAAGCTTGTGACATCATTGTTCAAGAGCGTACTGGTCAGCTTGAGGACTGCAAACGCGATTTGCTCAGGATCCTCATCAAGACGAAGGATGCGCACAAGCGTGCGATGAAGGAAGCTCATGGGTTTGGTGAAGTTGCCGATCCTTGGAAGGAGTTCAGGGCCTCTGTTTCTGATAAGCGTTTGGGTGATCTTGAAGCTGCCGAAGCAGTGAGCGACCTCCTCGCCGAAGTTGAAGCTGGCGCGAAAATCGAGAAGAAGTCTAAGTCTTCGAAGAATAAGGATAGATACGACTCCGACGACGACCCTTCCAAGAAGAAACCGAAGACTGTTGAAGAGATCCGCTGGGACGCCCGTGAGCGTGTTCATGGAGTTCGTGCTGTTGCGAAGGAGCTTGTACTTCGTTTCCGATCTCTTCGCTACTTCACGATTGTCCGTGACATTCAGAAGCGCATTGAGCTTGCCGTGGAGTGTCCTGGATGCCACAACCAGATCTCGACCGAAAATGTTGCCGTCATGTCTTCCTGCGGTCACACGGGATGCTATGAGTGCCTCTTGAGATCTGCAGTCGAGAAAGAGCGCTGTGTTTCGGAGGATTGTCTGGCTGCCGCTCGTTCTCTCAACGTCATCAAGTCCGAGACTCTCGGTGTCGAGGATGAGAGTCTTCGTGAAGGCCGTCATTTCGGAGTGAAGTTGGAGAAGGTAGTGCGATTGATTAAGGACATCCCCGAGGACGAGAGAATTCTCTTATTCGTGCAGTTTTCTGATCTTATGGAGAAGGTCGCTCTGGCTTTGAGCGAGCACCGCATCGATTTCCTCCAGGTTGAAGGATCAGCACACAAGAAGTCCTCGAACCTTCAGCGATTCCAGGATGGCCAGGCTCGTGTGTTGTTGCTGAATGCAGGAGACGAGAGTGCGTCCGGTGCGAACCTTACCGTGGCGAACAACATCATCTTCCTGAGCCCCTTGCTCGCTGATACCCAGCAGAAGTACGATGCAGCGGAGACTCAGGCCATCGGTCGTGCTCGTCGTTATGGTCAACAGAAGACTGTTCACATTTGGAGGTTCTTGTCGAACGGCACGATCGACGAGGAGATTTTTGAGAGTAGAGCGAAGCAGGTTACTGGTGGGGGACGTAACCGTACATAGAATATAGGCGTTTTGTCTTGGAGTTAGAAAGGCTATACGGATCGCTAGCGTACTTTACCATACCATTGCAAATAGACTCAGTTAGCATCATCTTCAGTTTCATTCGCGATCGCCCAACCGACAAGAGTCCCCTGGACTGTCACGATATCATTGTCCCGTCGTGAAGAACCACGGCTTTTGTCCTTCTCGATACGCCATGGCAGGCAGCTGAGCAGGGACAGGTATCACCGTCTGTCTTGCCCACAAAACGGTGGTGCCGGCCTGAGCATCGCGTAGCTTCTCTTCTTCGGGTGTAGGCAGCACAACTCCACACTCCCAATTCCAATTCTTCAACTTCAAACCCTTCTGAGCCCTATCCATGGTGACATCACCCCTACTCATTGATTTGGTCAGCCACTGTCAGATGGTGGGAAGATACACGTACCATGCCGAGGAACTCAGGTTGTGTGAGCCGACATACACCCAGCCTGCATTCCCACGAACAGGTACCGAGAACCTCGCGTATATGTGCTACACCACAGCATTTAGTCCGTCGTTCGATCATACCCTGATCAGAGAAGTACCTTATTGTGCATCAAACACCCATCTCTCACGCTCCGGCAGTCCCGCATGAGCTTGCGGGGGAAGTCGGGCTTTGCCCAAAACGTAGGATGTAAGCATATAGTTCCGCCAGAATTTGGCCCACCCCGTGATTTGGCAACTGTATCCGATGTCGGGAAGAGAACACGGAAGCTCCGCTCGATCTCGGCCATCTCGGGGGCGCTTTCAGTGTCGCCTTCCTCTTCGTCTTCCTCATCCGTGGTCTCTTCTTGAGCCCGTTTAGTGCCGGAGATTGTGCCTTTTGCATTTTTGTTTCGGGAATTGCACTCCCACATACGATTCAGCCGTTTCCCTTGCATGGAGCCCATGAGGTAACCCAGAAACTTCGCATTCAGCGAACCTAAAGACGATGTGATATAGTCGACATCAACCTTCTGAACCCCGCCACCAATCTCCCGTACAGCAGTGCCGAGCGCTGGAAATCCGGAATTGTACACGTCCCGGCCAAGGTGATCACCCGCAATGGAACCGACGAAGTGCGCCGTAGCATTGCCGAAGTCGTACTCGTCCAAACGGGATAGTGATGTTTCGGGTATGCCTTGCTTACGACAGAAATGAGTCAGATGCGTCAGGAACTTCGGTTGAGCACTTTCTGCCCCAGGTCCTGTGCGTTTCGGGAAGTCCTGGATAAACGTCGAGTTCTCCATGATGCCCGTCTCACCCCAGTCATACGGAACCAAGTTGGCTGTTGGCACGACCACGCGAACATGCGTTGGATGAAAGAGGATCTGTAGCTTCGAATGCATCAACCTTGCCTTGTCCAGATTTGGGAACACCACCTCCGTGTTCGGGATCATCCGCATCTGCCGTCGAATATGATCCTGTATTTCCGGAGATTTCGCATGTTGTACGAGAACCAAACTCGTCTGTGGTATTTTGAGCTTCGTGAGGACCCATATTACGTCCCATTGAAAGGCAGAGAGGATAGCGTGCTGAAGGGTGTCTTTCTGAAGGACCTCCTCGATTTTGATATGTTGAGGCGTATGTGGATAGTTGTAGACCCAGGTGAGCTTGACAGTAGGATCCAGAAATTGAATGCCGCTATTGGTAGGAGCTGCAACATGTGCCGGGGTTGTACTGGTCTTGGGCCTTTTTCTCTCACCGTCCTCGATCGTTTCGGGATCCAAAGGACGTTTTGTACTGCTGCCAGATGTTCTCAAAGTCGCTGGTGCTTGTCGTGGTTTGTTACTACCATATCCCAAGTCCGTGGTAACCCGGTGTGTACTTTCGCCGTCTAGTTTGTCCTGCCTCCTCCTCTGTCGCTCAAGCCTCTCTCCTTCCATCGCTGCCCTGTCAAGTCTCGCCAAGCCCGGATCTCTCTTCGACATGACCTTCTGCACTGTAACCTCCACAGGCTCTCCTACCGGACTGACTTTCTTGACATCACTCGTCGGAGCGGCCGTATCCCGATCAACCACAGCTTGCAACTGAGGAGCAGGATCCTGCTCTTGCAGTGACATTGCGATAGCCCGTTTCATGTCTTCATCTTCGCTGTCACTGTCACTGATGAGGATAGGACGGGAGCTTTCGCCGGCCATTGGATAAGGGTTGTTGACGTCCTGGAATCAACGTTACGGGGGGCTCCCGCATGACGTCGTAGCCATGGTGAGAAAAATCTGGCGCTCCATCGAAAGAAACGACACCCGGTTGATGAGCTGCTGCTACATTGCATGGGTATTATTATCTAACCCTCTTACTTCCCGACACAAAACTGCCCAAACACAACCCCCAACACCTCCTCCACATCAACCCTCCCACAAATCTTTCCCAGCGCATCAGCCGCATACCTCACCTCCTCCGCCCCCAACACGATATCCGCACCTTCCCCTCTCGTCTCGGCCTCTTCCCGAAGTTTCATGAAATTGTCGAGGTGGGAGATACATTCAGCGACGAGGGTGCGGTGACGTTCGTTCGTGCCGACGACGTCGGTTGTGCCGATGTCTGTCATGGATTTGAGGGTTTGGATGAGGCCGGAGGTGAACTCGTCGATGCCTGTTCCTGTTTTGTCTTTGAGGGTGGAGAAGAAAATGCGCTCCGTTCCGATTCCTGTGGCCTTTGCGTATTCTTTTCTCAACTCTTCCATACTGCTCCCACTCCCAGTCCCCTGCAGGTCAATCTTATTCAACAGAAGAATGGTCGGTCGTGAGTTGCCTGTTCGTATGGGGAGGTGTTGGAGGATTTCGTCCGCGATGTGGACGGTGCCGTGCTGGTGGGTTGTTGTTAGATCGAGGACGCAGACACCCAAGTCACCGCTCGAAACCCTCTCTCGTGCGCGCTTGACACCCTCCATTTCGACTTCGCCCACGTCCTCGCCTTCCCTGATTCCAGCCGTGTCGCCGACAATAACAGGGTATCCGCCGATATCAATCGTAGACTCAATGATATCCCTCGTCGTACCAGCGTGAGGAGATACAATCGAAACAGACCGTGACGCAAGCCTATTCAACAAACTACTCTTCCCTGCATTCGGCGGCCCAAAAATCGTCAAATGGACTCCATTCCTCAACAACTCCCCCCTAACACTCCTCTCCAAATGCCTTTCCAGCTCCCCCCGTAACTCCACCACCTTCTCGACAACTTGCTCGTAAATCCCATCCTCGATCCCTTCGTCTTCGCCGAAATCGATGATGGCTTCGAGGAGGGCACGGGAGTGGAGGAGGGATGTGCGCCAGGTGTCGTAGAGGTCTTTTAGGGCGCCGCCGGCTTGGCGGAGGGCGGAGCGAAGTTGGGTGGTGGTTTCGGCGTTGATTAGGTCTGCTAGTCCTTCTGCCTCGGTCAAGTCCAGTCGACCGTTATCGAACGCCCTACGCGCAAACTCGCCTGCCTCTGCGTATCGTACGTTCAACGGCTTTGTGTTCTCCCCATCAGCGGCCGAGGAGGAGGAGAGGTTGTGTGATGATCCAATGGCTTCCAGCACAGCACGCACGACGGCGTTCCCGCCGTGGGTGTGTAGTTCGATGATATCCTCACCCGTGAAGGAGGCCGGACTGGGGAAGTATAGGACGAGGGCTTTGTCGAGGAGGTCCCGAGTTCTGGGGTGGAAGAGGCCGCGGAGGGCGCCGTAGCGGGCTTTTGGGAAGAGTGAAGGTTTGAAAAGGAGATTTCGCAGCACCTGGAACGATGTCGATAAGCTATCTGACAGTGAAAGGGTGGGAATATATGGGGACGTACCTGTGAAGAGCCAGACCCAGATATCCGAATGATGGCAACACCCGCTTTCCCAGGCGCCGTCGAGAGTGCGTAAATCGTCGGTTTGTCAACTGAACTCTGGAAGCATCTCAATCCTAACGGAGGTCGATCACATCGTATAGGCCGTCGAAAGGCGAGGGAGCGGAACATCGCAGGGTGTATCTATTTTTAGACTCTTGGGGTTTGGGTAGGTGCAGCCCTGCATTACCGGTAGGTCATCGTGCGCTGAGGCAGGGCTGCGAAGTTGCCCCGGGAGACCAGCGGACAACAACACAAACAACTCCCTCGGCATACAATGATCCCAAGATCAGCATTCAGATTCACGTCCTCATGCCGTATCCCTTCAGCCAGAATACTGCCTTCCATGGCCGTGCACCCGGGGTGGAAGGGAACGCAGACACGCTCCGTACATCATTTTGATACGTTGAAGTTCGTGAAGAAGATGGAGGCGGAGGGGTTCACTCAACAGCAGAGTGAGCAGGTCATGGTTGCCATGGGTGATGTGATTGACGAGAGGTTTGTCAGTTGCCGACTTGCGCATGTAACACGTACTGATTAGGGTGATTGACAGTATGCGGAATTTCACGCGGTTGATGGTTACGAAGGAGGATCAAGAAGCGGTATTACACGGACAAAGAGGACTGGGAGGTGATTGGTATGCTGATGAATGTCCATGACAGAACATCTTCACCCAAAAAGTCGACTTAGCTCAACTCCGCTCCGAACTACAAACAATCGAAAAAAACGACGCCAGCATAGCCCGTGATGCTCTCGAACGCCTAACCGCCGAAATCGAAACCCATAGACAAAAACTCCGCGAGGAAATCACAAAAACACAAGCTGGCGTTCGTCTTGATCTCAACCTCGAGAAGGGCCGGATTAGGGATGAGGGTAGTGTGCATGAGTTGAAGATTAAGGAGACGGATACGAGGATTGATCATGAGATTGCGAATATGAAGACGAAGATGCAGGGGATCAAGTTTCAGGTGTTGCAGTGGGTTATTGGTATTGTTACCGGTGCGGGGGCGTTGGTGTTGGGTAGGTTTCGCTTGATACTACAGGTGTTTTACGGAGTGCTAACAGAGGGAATAGCGTACATTCGTTTATATTCATAGGGATTCGGTTTGCCGTCTTCGCGTTTGGAAGAGGTGCAGCTGGCTGGTGTTTGAGGTCTTGGCGGGCTGTGGGCCATTCGCAAGGCAGAAAGACATGTATGAGTAGAGACAGCAAACAGACAGAATGGAAGGCATTACGATACACAAAATCATCGTTGACATTATCTTATACCTTTCCAAATTTCATGGTATAGCCAATCACATGGTCGCCGATAAGGTTTATCTGCAGTTGCCCTGGCGAAAATCGCCTAAACACAAAAAATCGGCTGTAGGCGGCAAAGTGAAGGAAAGCACGAGAAAGTCGGACGATCAAGAAGAAAGTCGCAAGAGTCAAGGAGATTCCCTCTCGACTCCAATTGTATTCCGCTCTCGTCCTTCGAAGTTTTCTCGCAGTCAGGTAGACGTACAACCGCTCTACACCTATACCCTACCCACCGCCTTCGTCTTCTTATCGTCCTCGAACGACATAACCAACCATGCAATCCGACGAAATTATCTGGCAGGTAATCAACCAAGAGTTCTGCTCCTACAAACTCAAAACCAACACCCTCAACTTCTGCCGCAACGAATACAACGCAACCGGCCTCTGTAACCGCCAATCCTGCCCTCTCGCAAACTCCCGCTATGCAACGATCAGGGAACACAATGGTGTCATCTACCTCTACATGAAAACCATCGAACGCGCCCACACCCCCGCAAAAATGTGGGAAAGGATCAAGTTGAGCAAGAATTATGTCAAAGCATTGCAGCAGATCGACGAGAGGTTGATTTATTGGCCGAATCATATGTTGCATAGGTGTAAGCAGCGCTTGACAAAGTTGACGCAGTACCTTATCAAGGCACGACGGTTGGCGTTGAAGCCCCAGCCAAAGTTGATTGGGATTAAGCCGAAGACGGAGAGGAGAGAGGAAGCGCGTGAGCGTAAAGCACTTCAGGCTGCGCGCTTGGAGAAGGCGATTGAGAAGGAGTTGATTGAGAGGTTGAAGAGTGGGGCGTATGGTGAGCAGCCCCTTAATGTCAATGAGGAGGTATGGCGTAAAGTCCTCGAAGCACGTGAGAAAGCAGGTGATGCGGAGGAGGATATCGAGGAGGAAGATGAGGAGGAGTTGGAGGAGGAGGATGAGCTTGAGGTGGAGTATGTGTCTGGTGATGATGAGGTTTCGGATTTGGAGGATTGGTTTAATGAACAGGAGGCTGAGGAGCTGGATCGTGAAGCTGTGGATTACTTTGATGGCGAGAATCAGTATTCTAGCGAGGAGGAGGACGAGGAGGATGAGGAAGATGATGAGGAGGATGTTACGGAGGCCAAGAAGGTCGCTGGAAAGAAGAGGAAGGCTGAGGAGGCGAAGAAGCAGCAGAAGAAGAAGCGTGGACCTAGGGTTGAGGTTGAGTATGAGACCGAGGAGGCTGCTCCTGAGCGTGTTGCGCAGACCGCGTGGTAAACCGCATCGTGGCAGTTGAAGGGGAAAGTGAACGAGAGTGTATAGCATAATTTTGCATACTTTATCATTGGGCAGCGCATCTTGCTTCATTGGCTGGCGTTTCGGTTGGGAATATCAAAATCCGTTATTGCTACTATCTATACTCTGCAGGTGTCCACTTTGTTTCGTTTTGTCGTAGCCACCTGTTCAAAGTGTCTGCTGGATCTTGGTGTTTTTGAAGGTCGAGTTACTTCCCAAGGACCACGTGCTCCAGATTTCTCAAACTCCGTCACGACGACAACCGCGATACGGAAAAAACCATATCGCAAGAACAACGACGACGTCCTACATCTGATTCAGACCAATCCTCCTATCTGGCAGCAAATAACGTCCAAGTCCCTCCTGTCAGCAACGCCGACAACAAGCAACCTCTTATCCCTCCACAGCTCTAATCAATACACCATGCCTCCATCGCGACGGAAGAAGACCCACTCAAAGCCGATCACAGCGACAGCTCAAAGGCCGATCTCAAAGAAATCACAAATGACAGCAACCGTGATCAGGACCTACCACACCCTCCTCAAACGCCACGCTCAAGCTGAACAAGAAGGTGACTTCACCCTCGCAGCCTCCCTTCAGCAGGAAATGGACGCACTAGGTGGTCTGGACGCTTACCAAAAATCGTCTCTGCTTGGACAAGATAAAGGCCGCGGTGGTGATTCGAGTCGCGTACTGTGCGAGTGGTTACAAGAACTTGGGTGGGGGAAGGGCGAGGGGAAGAGGCAGGGGAAGGTGTTGGAGGTTGGTGCGCTGAGTACGAAGAATCAGATCTCGAAGTGTGGGTATTTGGATGTGACGAGGATCGATTTGCAGAGTCAGGAAGAGGGGATTTTGCAGCAGGACTTTATGGAGAGATCGGCGGCGAGGACTGATGAAGAGGTTGGTGTCGCTGAGCACGTTTCTGTGTGATATGCTAACGGATGGCCGGCAGAGATTTGATATCCTCTCATTATCACTGGTATTGAATTTCGTCCCGACTCCAGCTGGTCGGGGAGAGATGTTGCACCATATCCGCAATTTCCTGTTTCCGGCATCACATTATACTTCCTCAAACAAAGAATCGCAAATAGAAGAAGGAGGGCTTCTTTTCCTTGTTCTTCCAGCGCCATGTGTCGAGAATTCGCGATATTTGACCGAGGAGCGTTTAGAGGACATCATGCGATCGTTGGGATACGTGTTGGTGAAGCAACGTACAGCGAAGAAGGTTGCATACTGGTAAGTGAGCCTTGTGTACGAACCTCTTCCTAGAGCGTGACAGCTGATGGGACACGTAGGCTCTGGCGGATGGTCACTGAAGGCAAGGAATGGGGACGACATGGGAGTAAGGCTGTAAGCTGGAAGAAGGAGGAAATGAGAAGCGGCGGGTCGCGAAACAATTTCGCAGTTGTCCTCGAGTAGGCAGTGGAAAGGACTTATGGGGACATACGGGATTTGGCGTTCGTTTAATATTGGAAGCAGCGCAAGTAAGCTCAAGAACCTCTACGCCATTCAACTCATGGCCGCTGAGATCAGATTCTAAAAAAGCGTTCTACTGCCAGATACGGCCATACCATGATGAAAGCACAGGATCCCGTCCGATCTCCTAAGTTAAGCATCATAGGGCCCAGTCAGTACTAGCGTGGGAGACCAGCTGGGAATACTCGGGTGCTGTATCTTTTTGGCTTTTTTGCTGCAACAGCTGCTGCTGCTGTCTCGCTCACGATGTCAGCTGCAGTCTTGTTGAAGTTCTGTCGTCTGTCACGGAAACACCGTAACTTCCTGTTCCCACGCTCGCCGGTGACGAAATCATTCCGTTCGCACGATTGGGTTCCATGGACGCCACCACTACTTTCGTATCTCACAATCCGCCTGTAGAATGTTGCCCTTCCTACGTTCATGTGGATTGGCCCTACCAGGCATGCCGTAGGATCGGTGAATGGCAGTGTGAGGCATTTCAGCACCGTGGATTGGAGACTGTGGCACGAGGAAAGGATTGGGAAAGCTCGTAGCTCGTCTGTTATCGTTACCATTTGAGTCTTTGCCTGAGGTATCTTGAGTATCTATATCCCAAAAGCAATGCCCTGTGCTCAAAGCACCTCGCTAGGATCCAACATTCCAACATCACAGCTCTTCGCCTCGCCATCCAAGATCATCTCCGACAACACCTTCCCCGTCCCCGCCGACAAACTAATACCCCAACAACTATGTCCCGCAGCCACCCACACCCCTTTCCTGCCCGGCACAGCCCCAACCATGGGTCCACCCATGCCGCGCTCCATGACGGGGAGGTAACATGCTTGACACGCGAGAACTTCTCCCTCTTTGAGGCGCGATGACAGCTCACCAGCTTGTTTTACGAGGTCGTCGCAGCGGGATTGAATCACTTCGACCTTGTCGGCCGTCTCAGGGATGGAGGTGAGGTGATCGCCTTCACCACAGACGTAAACTTCATCGGGTCGGGCGTAGAGTTCTGGGGCGACGGTCTTACCCGAGGAAAGCGTCATAGAGGTAAATAGTGCGTGTGCGCTGACAGGTTTCTTTGGGCGGATAGTGATACTGTGGGCGCGGGTTGCGCTGATCGGTGCTTCTTTGAGGATCTTTGGCGTCCATGGACCCGCGGTGACAATAGTTTGTGTGCTGTCGAGGGTTTTCTCTTCATTGGTGTCCTTTGAGACGTATGTCACACTACCATCCTTGACATCCGTGACCTTGCCCATAATGAGCTCAACCCCCTTCTCCCGCGCCAGTCTCATCATCTCATTCGTAAATTTGTATGGATGGACCTGTGCTGTCGTCTCCTCCGTCCCCAACAAACTCGCCTTCTCCAATCCCTTCTCGTTGACCCAATCGAGACCCGGCGGTAGATTCGCGGTTCGTCGGGGTTTAAAGCTGGTAGATATACTCATTGTCGTAAGCGCTCTGTAACCCCACTTCTCGAATCCGCCATGTTCGTCCGCGAGCTGTTTGTGCAGGTTGTAGGACAATTCACCAAGATTCGCCGTAGAAGGGCCATGCCAATCGAGCGCCAATAAACCTCCAGCCTTTCCCGATGCTCCCGCAGCAACTTCAGTCGCCTCGATCACCCTAATCTTGTACTTCGACAGATCGTATTTCGGGTGGCGAGTAAGGTAGTACGCCGTCGTCGCACCGATCACTCCGGCGCCAATGATAGTGATGTTCTCGGTAGACATTGTAATTGATCTATGGGCAAGTGAGCGAGCGAGGATGCTTGCCAGTTTAACGGATCAATGGCGGCAATGGGATGGTCGTGCGTACAAGTTTTAGGATATGTATTGCTGGGGCCGCCTACCGGTATCGCGGGTGCGCAGGGGTGGTGCGGGCTGACGTGTGGTCGTGGGAACAGGAAGATGGGTGGGTGCGGAAGTAGAGCATCCGAGCACCACCTGCAAACGTATCAATAGGTGGGAGGTTTCATTTGAATCTTGTGAACTAGCAATAGTACTACTCAAAATAGTTAAACTGCTTTTGCTACAAGAACAACAAAACGCAGGGATCAGGTCAGCAAAACCAAAGATACAGCACCCGAGTATTCCCAGCTGGTCTCCCACGCTAGTACTGACTGGGCCCTATGATGCTTAACTTAGGAGATCGGACGGGATCCTGTGCTTTCATCATGGTATGGCCGTATCTGGCAATTTGCTTTTTTGAGGTTTATAAAGCACGAATCAGTAAGTTTGAGTACATCAACGGGTGAAGAATGCAAAGGGACCCCACGAGAGTTGTGAACCAAGTCATCTAAGATAATTGGCGAGTGGCAACATTGATGAGCTCGGATCAGGCACCCGCGAATCCCACGGCAGTGCCCATACCGGCGGCGGGATCGAAAAGGGATACGTCATGGTATCCTCGAGCTCGAGCAACGAAGGGAGGTGAGTTTCTGTCAAGCGAGAGCTTCGTGGATGCTCGTTTCAAAACGGCCCGAAAGGGACCTTTGGACGGGATGGGCAACCGAGTTTGAAAGACAAGCCCGGGCGATTGAACGCGGAAGCAAATGCGTGGAAACATTGCCGTACCGCACGCAGTTGCAACAGGCCTGAGCAAGCTGCACGAGCGACGCCAAAGACGAAGAGTAACTGGCAATGTTACAAAGGACAATTTGGCGTTCAAGGTGCGTGTGGCAGGACAGTCTATCGCAGCAGCAAAAACGTGCCAAGCATGACCGAATCTTTACAGGCAAGTACGAAGGATGCTAACCTGCGAATTACCCAGCTCGTACGGTGACGTGAGCGTGAGAACATCAAGTGCTAACGCTCACGTGATAAGAAAGTCTTGGTCTAAAACCGCACAAGAGTTGTGGCAGCGGTTGCAGCGTGAAGGCTCCGAAGAGGACTTGCTAATTAGATCCTTCGTGAGGAAAACAAAAAGATACAGCACCCGAGTATTCCCAGCTGGTCTCCCACGCTAGTACTGACTGGGCCCTATGATGCTTAACTTAGGAGATCGGACGGGATCCTGTGCTTTCATCATGGTATGGCCGTATCTGACATTTTCGCAAACTTATGTTATATAACCAGTGCGCTATGAACCGGTGTCGTTGCACTATGCTATGAAGATCAAACTCCTACCAAAACCGTGGGTATCCAAACATATCAACCCAAACCCCTTACTCAAACTCATCCCAATCATCGTCATCTTCACCTGCGGTGTTCTTCTGACTTGAGAAGCCGAAGATGCTCTTTGGCGTAGCATCTTCTGCAACCTTTGGTCTCTCTACCACTCCGCATCCCACGAATCTCCATTCCAGCGTTGCAGTTGTGAAACCGTCGGTGTTACCGATGTCCTCAAATCCGATAATCCTGTCCTTCACAGTAGCGTCGACGAAGGACAATACACAAGGGAGGACTTGAATCTTGAGCTTGACAACGAGGAAGGGGACTTTCTCGACATCGACTTTGACGAACCGCGTGCCAAGGTGCTTCTTTGCAAGTAATGACAGGTGGGAGTGCATGATATCACATCTTCGGAAATCCTTATGGTAAAAGTGTGCAATCACTCGCTTTTTGGTACTATAGAGACATCAGGTCAGCGTCCTTGAGCAACCAAGAATAAACCCACGTTGTCAATTCCATTAGTGTCTTGTCATCTGTAATATCCTCGTACGCTCCTCCTCCTGCCTCCTTGAACTCTTTCTCTTTCGCGAGCTGCTCAGATAATTGTTGCATGCGTTGCTCTCTGAATCCGTAGTCATTTTCCTCATTCTCAAGTTCCTCGAAAAGGGCGTCCTCGTCAATGTCGCTATCTTGATCATCCCTAGCCTCCCTACCAAGGGAATCAGTGTAGCGGTCGACAAGGTGTGCGACGGAAGCGTGGATCTCGTCCGACATGGCAAAATGAGGTTGAAGGTGACAACGACAGAAGGGAGATTGATGTGAGTGTTGTGATTCCCAGTGATAATAATGGGGTCACTGAGGGCGAGAGCAAATGCTGGAAGTTGTTGTGCTGATCGCAGTGTTTGGTTCGTATACGACGCGTTCTGCAGGTCTTGAAGGTTATCGCAGTGATAGCAGGCTACAATGAAAAAGCTCCTAAGATAAATCAACTGTATCCTAGAGGATATTCATGTTTCTACCTTTCTGATAATGCGCTTGTGGGTCCTTCGGTAACGTAGACACAGTCCTTCGGTAACGTAGACACCCTATTTTTGCCTTCCTCGGCGCACACATAACACCCGGAATCCGACGGTGAACCCCGCACTCTCCGAACGCCATTTACCAGGCCATATACCCCAGATAGCCTCGGAACATTCTTGATAGCATCATCAATCACTCTCGCGATGTTTGCTCGCAGACCGGCAGTTTCTTTTAAGGTCTCTGTTGCGTACAGACCCCTCATTCGCCTTCGACGTTCTCTTGCAACTACCACATCAACACTCCCTTACGATGTCGTTGTCATCGGTGGTGGACACGCCGGATCCGAAGCTTCGGCCGGAGCAGCACGTGCTGGAGCGAGGACCCTCTTGATCACTCAGAAACTCGAGACTATCGGTGAAATGTCGTGCAATCCGTCATTTGGAGGAATTGGCAAGGGCACGCTTGTTCGGGAGGTCGATGCCCTCGATGGAGTGTGCGGCAAAGTTTGTGACAAGGCGGGAGTTCAATTTCGGGTGCTGAATGTGTCGAAGGGACCGGCCGTGTGGGGACCCAGAGCACAGATGGATCGCAAGCTTTACAAGAAGCATATGCAGGAGACGTTGTTTAACTACCCGAATTTGTCGATTATGGCTGGCAGTGTTCATGATATCGTTGTGGAACATGACGCAGCGGCTGAAGGAAGTGAGGATCGGGTACCAGGACAGTATGGAAAGATTACGGGTGTGAAACTGGAAAGCGGCGAGATTATCCCAACATCACATGTCGTGGTTACTACAGGGACGTTTTTGGGAGGTGAGATCCATATCGGCTTGGAGGCGTATCCCGCCGGACGTATCGGCGACGAGGCATCTCTTGGTTTGTCCAAGTCACTGAAGGACGCTGGCTTCGAGCTTGGCCGATTGAAGACCGGCACACCCCCTCGTCTTGACGGAAAGACTATCGACTATACCAACCTTGAACGTCAGGATGGTGACGAACCTCCACGACCTTTCTCTTTCATGAACACAGAAGTCGCCGTTTCCACGGCAGACCAGCTTCCTTGCTGGATGACCAGAACGAATGAAGCAACCCACGAGATCATCCGTAACAACCTTGACAAATCCATCCATATCCGCGAAACCGTCAAGGGTCCTCGATATTGCCCATCCATCGAATCCAAGATCATTCGCTTCGCGTCGAAGGACAGCCACAGAATTTGGCTCGAGCCAGAAGGCTTTGATACTGACGTTGTCTATCCCAATGGTATCTCCATGACCTTGCCAGTCGATATTCAAGAACAAATGCTCCGCACTATTCCTGGTCTCAAGAATGTCACCATGACCCGTCCTGGATACGGTGTCGAGTACGATTATGTCGATCCCCGTGAACTTCGACCAACCCTCGAAACCAAGCGGATTTGTGGGCTATGGCTTGCTGGTCAGATCAACGGTACTACAGGATACGAAGAAGCTGCAGCACAAGGTGTCCTTGCTGGTATCAACGCCGGCCTGGCCGCACAGCACAAAGAGCCCATCACGATCAGTCGTGCCCAGGCTTACATCGGAGTCTTGGTTGATGACCTCGTAACAAAGGGTGTCGAGGAACCATACCGTATGTTCACAAGCCGAAGCGAATTCCGTTTGTCTGTCCGCGCAGACAACGCCGACCTTCGCTTGACGGAGATCGGTAGAGCCGCAGGCGTCGTCAGCGATGAACGATGGGATGTTTATCAGCGCGAAAAAGCTTTGCTGGATTTGGGAATGGCCGCCCTCGAGAAAGAGAAATTGACTCCACAAGAATGGGCCGAGAAGGGCTTCCAGATCGGTCAGGACGGACAGCGCAGGTCTGCTCGCCAGCTCCTGACGGGACCCAAGGTCACCATCGAGGACTTCATCCAGCACATTCCAGTGCTTGCCACCATTGCACCTCACCTGCGTGAACGTCTTGACAGGGAAGCTTCCTACGCTTTTCACATCCGCCGTCAAGAAAAGGATATCAGGTTCATGATGGCATCCGACGAGTCCCTTAAACTTCCCCTCAACCTGGATTACGAGAGCTTGACAGGTTTGAGTGCCGAGGAAAAGCACGTCTTGAGCACGATCAGACCACAAAACTTGGGCATGGCCAAAAGGCTTCAGGGAGTCACGCCGGGTGCGTTGTTGTCTTTACTGAGGTATGTGCAGAAGGAAGGAAGGAAGCCTGCTGAGTTATCCGAAGCAAGTGCTTGAGCAGATGTTTATTATGTTGTGGCATTATTTCCTTGGTTTGAATGGCGGTGCATAGGCGTTATCTGTTATTATTGTCGACAATCACGATGAATATTCACACCTTTGTTTTTGAAGATCATGACCGTGGCCACTTCTAGTACGTCACATACCTCCAGGGATGTTAGATTCTAAGCAATGAATGGAAAAAGCAAAGCGACTCAATTGATCTCTGTTTCACATCTCAAAAACGTTAGGTAACTGAAACGTTCATACCGGCCGAACATCACAAAATAAGAAAACGACACACAAAGAGAGAACGAGCAACATAAAGAACAAAAACAAAGATAGTCCATGCATTAACACCCCACGACCATCATTGGTCTATGAATTAAGCGTCAACCTCCTTGACGTCTTCAGTCTCCGTGAGTTTCTCCGCCACAACTTCGGTTTCTTGATCGTTCTTGTCCGCGGAGGTTTTCTCCCCCTCAACTTTGAGTTCCTCTTCGGTCTCTTCTGGCTTCTCCTCATCCATAATCTCCTCCTCATTGGCGCTCTCGGCCTTCTCTTGGGCCTCAACCTCAACCTCAGGCTCAACCGGCCTCTCGGTCTCCTCAATCTTCTCCCCACCATCCATCTCAACCTCCTCAAAATCATCTCCCTTAATCGCCTTCGCCTCAACAGCATCAACAGAAGTCGCACCCGTCACAGCGGTTGGCTCCGTGGACTCCTGCGAATGCATGCTCAACCCCAACCCGGTCGTAACCGTATCGGTCGTCTCCTGCGCACGTGCCGCAGACTCGGCCTTCGACTCCAGCTTGCTCGCAACAGGAACACCTGCGGACACAGAGGCCGACTCAGCTTCCTCGGAGACGCGGGCGAGTTTATGTCCGATGGCGGGGGAGGCGATGGGGGACATCAGTCGCGGGGCATTTCCATTCGCACCGTTGACAGAAGCACGTTTGTCAGATGATTGCATCGTCCTCCTCTTTTCCCTCCTCCTCAATCGTGCCTTCAATACATCAAAGTAGTGATCCTCGACGTCGAATGCACCCCTCAACCTCAGCTCACCACTTTCCTCCTCGATACTCCACTTTCCTCCATCAAGCTCATCTGCGACACCGGCAAGGAGACTTCCCCAGGAGCGAGCAATGACGTACTTGACATCTTGATCGCGACCGAAGAGGATAATCTGTCCCCAACGACCTGTAGGTCCCGGAGCAAGATCGACACCGATATTGTTACCCTGGAAGTCCTTACCGAGAGGAACCCATCCCGGGTGCGCGTAACGATGCTTGACTGCTCCCTCCGGTCTCGAAGATTGTTTGGCCAAGATAGCCTGAACCTGTGCCGCAGCCTCTCCACCACTCAACAAAGCCTCATCATCCCTCCCAGCAACCGACCGCCATAAATTCCACTCCTCCAAAATCTCTTCACAATCAAGAAGTGTGACGCCAAAGAGAATGCCAGTCGGGTACCCGCCGCGTTCTTGACCGTCGTGAACGTAGAGGGATTCAACGACGTCCCGGGGCAAGGAAACACCGAGCTGTTGCTCGAGCTCTTCGACGTCTGGAACGGTTGCTGGGTATGATAATTGGTCCCATAGTTCGTGGTAGTGTTCTTCTGCCCACCTATCGATTCTCCTCCAGCTTTCACTTACAGGCGGAGGAGGCGGTAAGCCATCCGCTCCGAAATCCTGTAGAGGGATGGCCGTACTCGAACTCTGCGGTGCGAGTTGGGGTCTGGGTGAGTAAGCGATACCCGGCCCGTACGGAGACTGAGGCGGGTACATGCCGGTATTCGCGAATTGAGTTTGTGAAGGTGAATTAAGGTCGTAACTGGAGTAACTCTGCGTCTGTGTAAGAACCTCAGTCGACCGTCCGAAGCCGTTGGAGATGGCATTTAGTTCTGCTGGGTGACCAGGGTCTACTACACCCGAGGCATAAGGTGAACGATGCGTACGAGGATCAGCGTGTCGATTGCTCGTAGAGAGTGACTGGAAAAACGAACTGACTGATGAAAGGAACGGCATTGTCGTGGTCGTCGTCTCGTCGTCGAGGGAGTGAACCTAACCTGACCTTACCAGTGCTTCGTATTGACGAACCCCTGAAAGTGCAATGTTGTGGAATGCACGTGCGAGTGAATTGATTGAGTGATCGAAGTAGATTGCAATTGGTCTCGCGGATAAAACAGCCGAGGAATCCTCCTTGCAATTGAAATGTCCGTCGAATAAGTGAAGGGGTCTGTTGTGGTCGAGCCCTCTCCTGCTGAGCAACCAGCAACGACAACAAGCTAAGGGGGCTTCCCTGCTACTGTAGTCTCACATTTCTACGTCGCCGCAAAAAGCCAAGACTTGATAAATACAATTTTATATGAAACTGAAAAGCATCATCAAGGACTTAACTACGAAAAAACACGACATCCACGACATTAATACGCTTCCCCATTAACATGGGGACGTTGCAACGATCTCATCATCATCAACCGCCTCTTCGAGCGAGCAACACTAAGCAGAGGAAGAGAGAGTCAGATGACCCTGGCCCTCCTCGCAAAGTACATCCCAGCCGAAATAATCAACACCATGAACGCACAAATTCCTCCAAACCACGCAAATGTAGGCTGCTCCATCCCAGGAACATGCACGTTCATACCAAACAAACCCGTAATGATGTTCATCGGCACCAAAATCGTACCAATGACAGTAATGCGGCTAAGCACCACATTGACGCGGTTGTTCGACATGATCGAGTCGACGGAGAGTTGAGCGAGGTAGTTAGAGTGCGAGCGAGAGAGGATCTTCTCGAACTGCGAGAGGGAAGAAAACATCGTGATCAAATGGTCCTGAATATCGCCCAAATAGAGCCCGATCTCGGATTTCGGGGCGACATCCCAGTGTTCGTTACACCTCTTCGCAAACATCTTGATCACATCCGCCTTTCCACCAAGCAACCTTATCAAACCCATGACAACCCTGCGACACTCGCCCATGCGCCTCAGCATCTCATTGTGGTCCTCCGCACGAGCAGTCAAGACAGCGTCCTCGATCAACTCCGTCTCCCTCTCAATCCTTGCCACAAGCGGAGCAAAAGAATCGGTGATGTCGTCAATGAGCGCATACCCAATCCAATCGCTCGAAACACTGATGTAATCCCTCAACTGACGGATACGCCTGCGCACGTTCGCCGGGTGCGGAGAAGGCGAGAAGTGGAAAGAGAGTATTCCATCCCTGAACACAACCAGATAGTGGTTGACGGGCTCGAGATACTCCTCATTGCTCGGATCCGCCTCGAAAGAACGGAAACAGACAAAGTAATAGGACTTGAACAACTCAACCTTCTCACGAGTCTCCTGGGTACGAATATCTTCAGCCGTCAAGGGATGGATACCGAAAGCCTTCGCCAACATCCTCATCTCCGCGTCCGAAGGATTAAGACAATCCAACCACCACGTCCCATTCTGCGCCGAGAACAAATCGCGGAAGGACTGACCCTCCTGCGTCAAATCTCCCATGGTAACGGCATGAATCGTCTCATCCATCTCCGAATTAAAGAACGAGAAACGCTCCGGCTTCTCTTTCTCCCTCTCACCCTCATCTCCACCACGCCTCGCGCGGAACTTCTCACCAAGACCGGAGATACCTCCCATCGTAGTCTCAACCGTGTTCGTCTTCCTTAACTCCGGAAGCGCAGCAGAAGCCTTAGTCATAGCATGATCAATCGCAATCGTCTGCTTCTCCAAGTCAATGTCATCCTCATCCGCAATCGCACTCCCATCCCTTCCATCTCCTCCGTATCCTGCGTATCCACCAGCACCATACGGATACATCCTCGCCCTAAAAGCAGACGAGCTCGAGTACTTCCGGCTATGGCCCTGGCTGGAACCAGCACTCCCGCCCTCCTCACTCATGAAACTCCCGCGACGCGCCCTTTCCTCCTCCACGAACTCCTCGATCTCGTCGAAGTCGATGATACCCGGCGCGGAAGGCTCGTCAGACATCGGGAAACAAACATCCTCTTCGGCGGGTTGAGCAGTGTGGTTAGAGTCAACACGGCTGACCGCATCATCATCCTTCACCAAGGGGAAGGGATCAATGGTACCGGCGCGGGTGCGGCGGTTACCAGAGGGAGTACGGACGAGGTCATTCCTGTTGTTCCAGCTACGACGGGAAGTCGTCGACCCAGAAGACGAAGAAGACCTTCTCCTCTGCGGCCTAACGTCCTGAAAATCAATGATCCTGGACCTGGTAGCCGTACCTCCATTGTTGGGGTCCGAAATCTCCCTCATCGGACTCGGACGAACCTCCATGAAGCGGTCGTTCGTCTCACGTCGCGGACGGGCCGCAGACTGGGGTCCGTCGCGGGAAGAAGGGGGAGGAGAAAGTGCTTCCTCGACGATGATGCGCTCGACGGCGGTATCATCGCTTTTGTTGCTTCGCCTCGCATAGGCCATGGCACTTTCCGCATCTAACCTGGCTTCGTCGACGTCGACGTCAACATTGTCAGTCCCAACACGTTGCGCAAGAACGCGAGGAGACGAAATGGGATGAACAGCCGGAGAAGGCGGAACGAGGCTGTTGGAGCGGCCACGAGGGAGGTTGTGGGGTTGGTTACGGTGATCGAGAAGTTCCTCGGACTGACGACCGACAGGGGAGCCAGGGCTCATGTCGACGGGGGAATCGGTGTCGGACATAATGATATGATGATAATAATCAACAGTTTTTGATGGTTTTTCAGAGTGGACTGGAAGAAGGCAAAAGTTAGCGATCCGATGTCGATCACGAAGTCATGTGCGGCATATATGCCATGTTGCAAAACTCACCTCAACAAAGAACCCAGTAAGATACGATACTTGGAAGTAGTCTTTCTTGAAAGCAAGATAAGATTTCGTTCCTCAGATATCAGTCGAACGTAGTAGTAACGAACAAACAGCAGAACCCAACAGGTTCAACAGACAACAGATGATGACAGTGACAGTTTCAATGAGAATAGCAGACAAAGCCCAATTATGGCGGCTTCTTGACGTCTCCGCTCAAGAAAGGAAGTGGAACCGTCAGAGAGGGAGAGATGAACGGGTGAGCGCGCTGGGTGAAAGCTCGCGTAAAGCCCGCCAACTTTGATGGATGATGTAAGAGAAAAGTAGCGGTTGACGAACCGGGAAGGATATGAACAGAGGTGCAAAGCTTTACGCTCCTTGTGTCCTCTGCGAAAGTGGTTGTGGGGTGAACTGAAAGGTGAAAACTAGATCAAGGGTTGAAGCCTGACGTTGGTGTCTCTGTTCCGCGGTCGGGTGGTGATGTAACCGGGTGGTTGATGGGTGTAAATAACGCGACAACGATGAGTAGACCTCGACTTCCTCTGCTGTTACTCGATTGATTGCACTGCTTTTCCTTCTCGACAATTGGTCAATTGGTCAACAACACCTTTTTTGGGAGGGTGGTGGTTGGGTTATGTACTGTAGAAGACGGCCGCGGCCCAAGAAAAATGGCGCCGCCAACTGACTGCCTTTGTGGTGCGCGCACTAATGACCCTCCCTCCACGGTTAAGCTCAAGCTTGGCAATTTGGCAAGCCAGACTGGAACAGATTGGAGGGTAATGCTAACCGACGCACACCTGAACCTACAGCCTGCATTTACCCGTGTAGCCTGAACGTCGTGCACCACAAGATCAATGGCATCCATCGTAGACACGCTGGTACGGGGGAGCATCGTATGCCATTTTCTTCCTCTTTCTTAAGCCATTCTAATGGGGGGTTGTAGGACTTCCACGGCCAACGCCTCGCGGACACACTCACCCAATCAATCCTAATCATCTCCGCCATCGTCGGCTTCATCGTCGGACTGGCCCTCCAAGACATCAGGTACACCGTCTTCTCTACACTCGTCGGAGCCGGAATCACGGTTCTCATCGTCGTGCCGCCATGGCCCTTCTATAACGCGCACCCGGTGAAGTTCCAGGCGTCACAGAAGAAGGCAGCGGCATTGACAGTTGAGGAGAAGAAGGAGGAGCAGAAGGGCGCCAAGATTGTTTACAAATCATGAGAACGACACTTCTGACAGTATGAATGCAGAGGAGGTCCGCGATAAGACACGCATGCGTGCTATACGCGTCGAAAGGCAGCATATACCACGGGAGAGATGTGGTGTACGATTTTGATACCTAATTATGAGCTTGGCAGTGATAACAAAAACTCAAATTCGTTTGCAAAACATGCTAAGCGTCAATGTCCATTCATCTTCTCACCATAACCACTACACGCATAGCCATCTATAGAAATAACTACACCTCCCAACCCCTATTATAACAACACCATCTAGTTCTTAACAGCATCCCTCATGCTCGCCGAACTCGCACTCATGGGAATGCCCTGCGTAGGCAAGCCCTTCTTATTAGCACTCCCCTGCTGCATCTTCGCAACAGCATAAACAAGACCCGCCGCAAACCCAACAAAAATCGCAGTAACACTTCCAAACGTAACCGGCGCATCAAAGAAGATCAAACCACTCAATGCAACAGGCAACTTGTTCAACGCACCGACCATGGAGTACGTGGTGGAGGAAGTAACACGCACACACCAGGCGGAGGTGTATGAGATACCGACGGAGGTGAGTCCGGAGACGACCATGGCAATGATGAGCGAGTTGCGGGATTCGGCGGGGAAATTACGGGCGAGGTTCTCTGCGCCCCAGTTCTCGAGCGTAAAGGAGCAGATGACGAGGACGGGGATGGACAACAAGTTGTTGTAGTACATCGTGTCGAAATCCTTGAAGTTGGTCAACTTGATGCGCTTGCGCATGCCGAGGACGTAGGTAGCCGAAGAGATACAGTTGATGAGCATCCAGAGGTATCCAGCGTTCAACGTCGACACATCCGACGAGACCACAGCTCCAGATCCGTAGGAGGAGAGCGCAGCGGAGATATCAGCCCAAGCCGCGACGACACTCGACACAACCATCAATCCAAACGAGAAAAGGGTGATGGGGGTGACACTGCCACCGAACCACAGGACCTCTCCATACGCGATCAAGATAATCGTCAAGTTCTTGAAGATGGTGTAGACGGGGATCGAGAGGAACTGGAGCGCCTTGGAACCGGTCCAGATCATGATGACGAGGAGGAGGGAGATGGGGAACCACTTCTTGGCCTCGGTAATAGAGAAGTCGCGGTAGGTAATGATGCCCATAGACTTGCAGACTTGAATTGCGACGACACAAACAATTGACTGTCGTCCATCGCATTAGCCATTTACTCTCCGTGTCAGCCCGCAAGGACGACATACCTGAATACACAACAAAAAGAAGTTCAAATTGAAGTCATACCCACTCAACACATACTTATTCGTAACCGTCATCAAGATACTCGCTCCACAATAACTCAAAATCGGAAACGCAGGAGAATTCAAGAACTGCTCCACGCTGGATGGTTCGTCGCGCTTCGTCGAAACACGCTCATCGTCTTCGGGGACGACGACGCGGTAGTCGCCGCGTTTGTCTGACATCGTTGCTTATTGAAAAGAAAGACGAGACGGTGGAGGGGACGGTTGTGTTTTCGAGGCGGGATAAAGTTGCGGGTTTGGGGTTACTTGGTTGGCGCGCGCCGAGACAGCAGGGGCCTAGGGGCGACGTACAGCGCATTACTTGGCGACTACAGCACTGAAGAGAGGTCAACGTGAAAGGACCGTGATATAATTTGCATATGGAGGAGAGCCGCGCTCGATGGGAAAGGGTAGAGGGCCGCATGGCCCGGACCTCTGCAGACTGGGGAAAAGCCAAAAGATACAGCACCCGAGTATTCCCAGCTGGTCTCCCACGCTAGTACTGACTGGGCCCTATGATGCTTAACTTAGGAGATCGGACGGGATCCTGTGCTTTCATCATGGTATGGCCGTATCTGGCAGTCAACCTTTTGCACTTGTGATGAGCGGCTGCTGGGTTGCGTCCTGAACATACAAGCATGCTATGCTATCCGCACCTTCTTCCCATTACCCTCCCCCTGTACCTCCTCAACCTTCACAATAGGGGCCTGCACAACCTCCTTCTCCCTAATACTCCCCTCCGCAGCCCTTAACGCGATTTCCAACATCTCCCTCTCCCGCCTCTCTTCCTTCACCTTCTCCGAGTCTCCTTCCTCCTTTGTGAACTCATACGTATATCCTGCTCCTGCCGGATCGAAATTCGCTAGTGAAGTAGTGAGAGTTAGTGCTTCTTTGACTGAACGTAACGCGTTTAAAGTGCGAGAGGTGAGGATTGAGTGCAGGGATGGTGCGAGGTAGATATTCCCGTTTGCGCAGAAGTAGAGGTGGAGGGGTGTCGCTGCCGTACGTCTTGTCAGCTCCGTTTACAACAAAAGATGTCACTACGCACCGTGATTTGGACTATGCCGTTCTTGTGCCCGGATAATAAATACGTCAGGCATGTTGTGGTATGCGAGCACGTACTCCAGCCCCCGTAGTTGTTTTAGCATGTTTGTGAATTCTGGGGTGCCCATTGCGTATTGGTGTGGTTGTCCTATCTGCTGTTGTAGTACAACCTGTAGAACTCCATCAGCAATCGTGTCATGAGGTGAGACAGGGTATGGTTCCGTACGTCGTTGTTGCATCCTCTACTCCAAAACACCGATAATTTGAAGTAATCCAACACTGTACGCCAAACGTTAGCAACGTCCATATCTTGTTGCGGATATTGGTGCACCATTGTCGGGTCTCAAACTCCCCCGTCCAAATTGCGGCTGCCGAGTTCGTCAACAATTGCCCGAAGCACATCACAACAGAAGCCACGGCTCACATGTGCAATCCACCCCGGTTCTCTCCATTGAATCGTCGAAAGATCGATCTCCTCTGTCGGCAGTGGTGTATTCTTACTCATTCGTCTATGCCTTTGTATCCCAGTTATTTTATCGAGTTCCGTGTCAGCTCCGCCTACCGTACGTACGTCCCGGAGGTTATCGATAAGCCTAGGCACGGCTGCAAGTAAATGACCAGACCGAGAATGTCACTCTCAATTTCTTTATGAATATGATATAGATGGTAGTTTCTGCTCCTATTTTACTCAGCATTGGGCTCCCTCCCCTCCACCTCAATCATCTCCCCCCTCAACCTCATCTTCTCCATCTCCAAGTCAATCCCCATCCTCACCAACTCCTCCCCAAAGAAATCTCTCTCCCCCTCAACCCTCAACCCCTCAAACCCCATATTCTCCATCTGTACCGGATACCTCCTCAAATGATGAAACTGCACCAGAGCGCGGAGAGCCTGCTCCTGCGGTTGTGCAGTCTCGACTTGTTCATCCACATCGAGCGCCGCAACCCAATCGTCTCGAAGTTCGGGACGACAGTGGAGGTAGATCGAGGTGATGATTCGCATATTTGATTGTCGCCATTTACGGCCGTAGAATGGGACTTGGCATTTCATGACTTTGAGGGTACACACTCTCAACTCCTCATGCGGGATCTTCAACAATTTCCGAAGATTCGCCTATGTGTCAAAACAAATATTAGCCATGAAATAATCGCGTGCCAATAAAATGATACACACCGATGCTTTATACTGCACCATCAACAGATTCCTCGCCGCTTTCCTCTTCACCATCTTCGACATTATCTTCAAATAATTGATCGTAGCGAGAAACACTCTCCACGAATACTCCCCAATCTGAACAGGTGGTTGTGTGTCATGGTCTTGCCTACCGTCATCGGGCATCTCCCAATTACTCGTCGCACCGACGGCGCCAGCGGCTTTCTTGAGGGCTGCACCTGCTGTCGTTCCTTGTGTTCGCTCGGGCGGCTGAGGTTGTGCGGAATGGAGGTTACAGAAACGGAAGAAGCTGTATGGTACTCGTTAGCGGACACTGCTTCACCAAAGCGCACCACATACTTTTGTTCTTTGATCTCAGTCTTCTCGGCTACAGCCGTACTGAGGTCATTCGCGAATATCTTGACCAGGAGCAGCAGGGAATTCGAATCCACCAACAACTGTGCCAAATATTCGAACTTGAACACATGCGATACCCGGAACCATTTCAGCAGTAGCAGTAATGTCGCCGAGATCGTTTTCGCCATGATCTCCCTCGTTCTTCGTTCGTCAATGTCAGTTTCCGATAGGTGTTTCGAATCCGAGCTCAATGATATCAAAATGGGCGACGACTTTGTGTCATCATCGCTGCTGTCAATGTTCGTCGTAGCCAGAAGCACCTTCAGCAAAACGACGACAAATGACTGCAGCTCCGGCAACGTACTATTCTGTAAGACTGTCGTCAGCAACCAACCATCAGGAGAATAGTCACCAGACAAAGTCTTACATAAACCTCCTCAATCCTCCTCAACCTCCGTTCCTCCTCATTATCAGATTCAACCTCATCCGTATCATCATCATCGTAAACCCACCCCCTCTCCCTCCTCTCAAACTCCTCTTTCTCCCTCCACATCTGCCAAACACCTAACGCCGTCCGCGTCCTACTAGCGTAAATCTCACTTGCCTCCCTCACACTCTCCGGGACCGACTCCTCCAACCCCAAGCCCGCGGGATACTGGAACGGCATATTCGCCGGAGTCTGGAAGATTGAGCGGGGAAGTTTGGGAGAGGGTCTGGGTGAGGGTGGGGGTGAGGGGGCGGGGGTTGCGAGGAGGGGGTTTTGGGCGTTGGGGTGGGGGTTTGTGGCGGCGTTGACGGCGGCGGTGATGGGGGACACTTCTTCGGGTTCGGCGTGGATGGCGAGGGAGGCGGGGAAGAGTGAGGTTGCGTCTGGGTCGAGGCGTAGGAGTGGTTCAGGTGGCTCGTACGCGGGGAATTTGGCGATGATTTCTTGTCGAAATGCGTTGTAGTCCAATGGACTTGCCACGATTGTCGAGTGGTCCATTTCCTCAGGCAACCCCATGCGCTTCCGTGCCCATATTTTTGTTTTCGCGAGGTCTTTCCGTCCGCCGAAGACCGTGAGGATGACTTTCCAGAAGAAGGACAGCAGTTGTCGGATTGGGCAGTTTTCAGGGTTGCGATATCGGAATTTGCCGAGTTCGGTGATGAGGAAGGATACTGGGTTTGGTGATAGTGAAGACATTTGAGATCGGAACCCGTTGTCCGTGCGGAAGATCTCGGTGAGGAAGTAGAGGACTGTGAGCGCGTTGGTGAGTTCCGCCCGTGTAACTTCGATATCCACAGCAGTAGTTCCTTCTTCTCTGTACGGTGTTGTCAGCCTGGACGCCGGATGCGGTCTGCAACAATCTACCTTTCGTCATACACCTTGCATGAATGCAATAGCGAACCCCACATGGTATCCAGTGCTCCACATGATCGTACCAATTTCGCATTCTCGAAAATCCAATGCAGTTGGTGCTCGGTGGAAACTGTTTCTTTGAAGATACCCTGGCAAATGTAGACCAGGCAGGTACCTGCCCTCAGGCGTTCTGTCGCATTGTCCGTGTCGAACTTCCCTAACTGCGTTTCGACGAATGATTTGCGGGCGTCAGAAGAGGCTTTGAGCCAGGCTACATCGCACATACGTCAATATATTTCCAAATTCGAACAAGAGCGTAGCATACAGCCAGTAAATGTCTTCTCAAACACCTGAGCTCCATTTAACAGGTACTGGTTCTCCGCATACACGAACCACTCCTCGAGCTCAGCTTTGATATTGTCCGTATCGGCATACTCAAACGCATACTCCGGCACCTTCGCCTTTGGCATATGGCTCACCAACGCCTATAATCCACAGTATCAGCATATGCAATGGCTCCCATAAGGACAAGACAACGTACCTTCAGCTGAGCAAGCGTGAGGGAGTCAGGGGGAATCCCATCCACCGCTGACTCACCCTGTGCATCATCCTCTTTCGTCTCCTCCGGTTCCTTTGAGAAGAATGAAGGCAGAGGCATCTTAAATCAAACAGTGCACTCGTTCGATTGACGGAAGTTGGAGGTTAGGAGCAGCTGTCGTATATCATGCAGTCTGCAGGGCGTGCATCACCCGGTGCACCCGCTGCACCCCGGATCCAGCATTCAGCCAGACCGCAAGAGCAACCTGAATGGCGAATGAAGGGAGGAAGCCGGGATTGCCGGTGGAGGTGAATGCTAAGTTCTTTTCATGTTTGTTATGGGAATTGACCATGTCTAATTCAGGTCGAGCTCATTCTGAATGACAAGACAAGTCGGACCGGACGGCCGTGGAGGAACAATCTCGCCGTCGCATCCCTGAAGTACCCCTACCTATTCATCGGTACGAACATTCCACATCTCCAATTGGCTCTTATCTGACTATACGCAGGCTACGACGACCTCATCCATGTCTACCCCTCCCTCGGCCCCTTCACTGAGCCTTTATACATCCTCGAAAACCCCAACCACGACCCGCGTGCACGCGGCCACATCGTTTCAGAGCACCCCCGCACCTTCAACGTCCTCGAACTCGGCCTCATGGGCTCGGATGAAGTACTCGCTGCCGCTGATGATTCAGGACATGTATGCGTCTTCTTCACCGGCAACTTCACCCGTTCACCCCTTCACTTCAAAGTTGGAAAATCCGCGTGGAGTATTAGCTTTGCGGGCGAGAGGCGGTTGATGGCGGTTAGCAGTAACGAGCATGTTGTCACGGTGTTTTATTTGGGGGTTGGGGTGTATGACTTCCCCATCGAAGCCAAGGAGGTTCGGAATGGAATCGAAGTCATGGTGCTCGAAGGCCACGACAACAATATCCCCGACTGCGCATTCAACCGGGACGGTTCCCGATTACTGACGGCTTGTATCGACGGTACAGTGTTCTGGTGGAACATCGACGACGGAACAGGATGGCTCGAATACGACGCCGGCGAACACGAGGAAACACCCTCATGGTCCGTAACCTGGCTCAGCACCAAAGATTTTCAATGGATGGGCACAGGCCGTGGCGGAACACCTGACGAACGATCAAAACCTGATCCATTCCTCTCAGATACCGGAACGGCGCTCGTGGGTAATCTGCATGAGCACCAACTATGGATGCACCCCGACCCTGACGCTTCTCTCTTCGGTGTCGAGGGGCCGGGGAGTCGGTTTTGTTACTGTGGGCGATCGAACGGCGGGATTCTCATTGAGTGCGATGGGAGTCAGTGCAAATATTCTGCTTTTCACCTTGGATGTGTGGGGTTGAAGATGGTCCCCCGCGGAAGCTGGTATTGTCGCGATTGTGTCGAAACCATCTCCGACGAAACTTTCAAACTCTTCATCAAAAACAGCTACCACACCACATCCTCCTCGGACGACGACGACCATATCCGCGCGGACCTCGTCCCACAACTCCTCGACGCAGAATTCTTCCTCGGAACCACAGACACGGACGTCTTCCTCGCCTCCCTCGATACCGATGCGCTCGGACTTCCGAAGATACACGCAGCCATCCGCGACGTCTTCGAACAACCCTCCATCTCCCTTTCCATACTACTTCGGCGCATGAATATGACCTCCGTCATCCCGGAATTGAATTTGGCTGTCGTCGGAACACAGATGGGTGAAGTCTGCCTCGTCCGTCTCGTGTGGTACGGGGATACACGAAACCCAACATTTGCGTTGAAGCCAGAATGCATATTACCGAAAGCCGAGGATAGACCGGTGGGTATGCGTGCGGGAACGAGAAGGGTGGATGGGACGACGATGTTGATGGGGGTGGGCGTGCAGCCGTGTTCTGTTGACGATCGGGAGGATGCTGCCAGTGTTGAAAGGAGGAGATGGAGGGTCTTCATGGTCTACTTCGATCATGTCAAGATCTACCAGGTTGGGAGGAGGATGGATGCGATGGATGGCATCAGCGTGGAGGAAGTCATAGTATGAGGGATGAGTAGTGGGGCGGTGAGCAGCGAGCTGATTCTATACCAAGTATACCTAAAGCAAACAATGATTTCTAGATCTTAACAACCCTAATGCCAACGATCCCCATGCTAGGACGACCGTTCAGCCACCTCCCTCGAGATGCCTGTCCCACCGGCGAGTAGGAGTTTTGTCCCAATCGCTCCCTGTCTGCTTCTGCGGTGCGAGTCAGACTCTGACTTGGAAACCCACAAATTGCATCCAAGCATCATCCTCCTGTCGCAAGGGCAGAACTAGGGAAGGTCCGCAATGCAATTGAAGTCGTCGAGCTACCAAAACAACTTCAAGCAAAGCTCCTCTTTGCTGATGCGAGGCGAGTCAGACTCAGCAAGGAGACCAATCAGTGTCACCACTGAGAATCTCCGAGCGTCATCCTTCTGTCGCAAGGGCAGGCTGAGGGAAGGGGCCACACTTGGTGTGGTTGGTTGAGGTGAGAAAGCTCGCAGGTCGTCTGTCGCCCTCTTAGAAAATCATTCTAAGCTAATGAAACTAATGGCAGTGGGGAAAATTTGATTGGCGGCGCTGGTGCTGCGGTATTCTCCCACGGTATGCAGTCGAGACGGATCCGGTACTGGTGATCATGATCTCAAGAGCGCGCGCGAGGACGAGCTGGCCAACGTTAACAAATCTCGAGGTATCAATGTTATGCAACCTATTCCATACCATCTTCTCCATTCAGTATCATCCTACACCCCTGCGGTTTTATTCATCCCTCGTTAACTTCACTTCTTTTCCTCCTCCTTTGTCGCAGCATCTCCTTCCCGCGGCAAGATCCGCACAGCATCATTCGAGAAGACATAGGACAAGCCAGACCAGACAGTAGTAGACGCAACAGTATATCTATTGTCCAAATTAGCATATTGAGCATGTCAGGAGGCGGGGTGAAACTGACTGGAAAGCCATCATGGCGAGACTGACGTCCATCATGATCAGTGGCTCAGCCATGGTCGCACCGATGAGGCCAAGTTGAAGAGCGGTGTTAACCTGTTAGCAGTAGTTAAACCACCTGTTTGAAAACGAAGCGTCGTGTATTGCTCACCTTGCTAATCGTTGTAGGCCGCACTTCAGCACTGGGAAGGGAAAAATCCCAGTATCGGGTCATGGTCTTCGGTGGTGGTAATGAGATCCACCGGTAGTAAAGTGCCGAAATTGCAAGACCCACATCACGGCCAAGGATGATAACTGCAAGCCATACTGTACGTCGACGTCCATTAGTTCGAACTCCGACAACATGCAGACGATAATTATACCTGGCAAAGCTCCCTTCATCGCCAACGTCACCGTCAAGATCGTCATCAACAGCTTGTCCGCCATCGGGTCAATCACAGTCCCGACAACACTCTTCATATTAAACTTTCGCGCGATCCAGCCATCCACTAAATCTGTGATTCCAGCATACGCGAATAAACCAAAAGCGGCTCTAGGGTAGTCATTTAGCACAAGCCAGCCTACGGCAGGCGCGGCGACGAGTCGAGTGAAGGTAAGGATGTTGGGAATTGTATAGATGTTTTCGCGTTTTGTTCCTTGCTTTGTTACTGCGGCGACTTCTTTGGTTTTTTCGATGACGGCTTTTAGAGGTGATCGTGGTTTTTCTTCGTTCCGTGGTGCGGTAGAGGAGAAACTCCGGCATGATAATACTATTCTCGACGGCAGAAATTGTGAAGAAGTCGATAGAATACCAGATCGGCTAAGGCACGGATGTTAATATCTACATGACGTAGAAGAAGAAGGCATTCTCACGAAGTCGTACACAGCCTCAGCACTGGTCCCGACGCAAAGGACCTCGCCAATGGCAATGGCACCCGGCACTGCCTTGAAGCAATTGAGATGCTTGATCGTATTGACAATGCTACGGACTGCATCTTTGACCTTTTTGGGAAACTGTACTTACCGGTATGTCCCAGCTTTCTGGGGTTGGGCCTTGCATGAGGAGTGCATGGCGGGTGTCCGTGCTCCCAACTCAAATATGGATTTCCCAGGATTCAAAATTCAGCTTTTGATGCTTTCTTGACTGCCATAGCTGCCATGTTACATCTCAAACCTTGGAACTTCATGGCGTCCAGATCGATCGAGATTGGGTCCTTCAGAAATGCCGGCAAATTCGAATTAATATTCTCGGTACCGGTCCTCCATGACCGGTCCGTAACCGGAGCCAAGGGACGTTGAAGGCTTTATCAGTTGCATGGCTGTTTAGATATCAGACGTCGAAATGGAGTCTTACGAATGGGCCGAATGTCTATTGAAGCTTCGGCTGGCACACGATACACAAGCTTAAGCCAAAAGGCCTTAAGTTTCGAAGTCAAAAGCTCGGGCTGGAACATGGGGATGAATGCGGATACGAGAAGGGCAATCTCCCCATACGCGCTTAATGCTTGGCCATTGGAGACTGCCCTTCATTTGCATGTATTTTGGCACGAGCCGGGACTGTGACGCGGCCGCTGGACTCGGTCTCGTACCGTACCGTGGCATGGCGGCTTCTAGCGATGGCTGGAAACCCGTTGTCCCGGGATTCCGCATATCCGCCGCAGTTAGGTGTGGGTGTTGCCAAGCTCCAGAAGTCGCGGATGTATCATATACCATGCTCGAGCTACAAGCCCGCACATCAAATCAACGGCGAATTCTTGCTGGTGAAGCGTCAGCACGTGTCCCGTCTAATTTCCTACTCGTGGCCGAGACTGCGACCCAGCAGAGCAGCTGCTGAGCTTGCGGACCGAAGTAGCGAAGGGGAATTCAGAAAGTCCTGTCATGAGCTCAAGCTTTATGCAATATGTGCGAATGTGGGGAGCTGCCAGTTGCGTTGGTGACGGAGAGCATATGCTTCCCCCGGTCCGTTGATCTTTCCGGCAATGCTGTTTGTTGATTGGCGGAAATAAGGTTTCATCATCCCCTGCTACAGCTACAGGCCCGTAGCCGCCCTTCACCACATCTTGCATGAGGGGGTCGGCTGACCTAAGCCTGGACTCAGTCTTCTGGTCGATTGCAGCTTCGGCGGATTAGTTTTCTTAAAGGTTGGGTCGTGCGCAGGCAGCAAACAAACAAACTTTCGGAGCACATAGCGACTGGTCGCTTGGGTAAGGCACCGCTTCCTTTTCTTTTACGTTCAGCTTCCAGGTCCAGATCTGGCGAGGAGCCCTCCGACGTTTACCGGCACAGGGACGCAATCGGATTCTGACTCAGCTGAGCACACCGGATCATCACCGCCGTGCTCAGCCTTTACGAGTATTTCTTTCGGCTTCGCTGGTACGATCGCCAAGAGACCTTCTATTGTTTTGTTTGGATGTTATTTCTTGAGACGCTCTCTTCTCAACGTCATTGCATCACTTTACAACTTCGTCGAAAGACTGGTGCTTCTTTTTGTTCGCGATGAGCCTTCACCCTACCTTCTTCGGCCACGTACATACCACCCAGGACGCTCTCCTCATCTTCGAAGCCTGCCGCCGCGACATTGTTAAGCCCATTACAAGACGACCACACGACCGTGAGAGAGAGCAGGCGATCCGGTCAGGCTGCATCTTTGTGTTCAATGAGATACAGAGTGGGATCAAGAGGTGGACTGACGGCGTGGCGTGGAGCCCTAGCAGAATTATGGGAAATTTTCTGCTGTATCGGGAGTTGGAGAGACGATTTGCCCCAGGAGAGAGGAAGAGGCAGATTAAGCCAAGTAGACCAAAGCCAGGTCGTACGACAACGACGCTCGTCACGCCGGAGAGGAGCTCAAGGGGTGAAGGATCTGGGTCCCACCATCGTCGCAGTGCGTCCGTTGGGAGCCCTCCTTTGGGTACAGCTGCCCCTTATCGGTATACGTCTCCCGGTCCATCCTCAGAGCTCGATTTCCCTGAACTTGACACTGACCGCGCTCTGGTGGGATCACTCACTGATACATATGGATTCAAGGAAGGCGGATTGATCAAGAAGACGATGTCCTTGATTGTTGATGGCCAGCCGCACCATCTGATCTCGTATTATACAGCGGAAGATGTGAAAGACGGCGTTCTGGCCACGCCGAGTAAGTCGGCAATGTTCGCCGGTGTTCAGATCCCCGCAGACCTCGTTATGCAGCAGAATTTCCGCGTACCGCCTGTTTTGGACGATAAAGCTACGGCTTTCGATATGGTCCGCCCGTCAGCGCAAGAAGAAGCGCCATCCCCGGCACCAATCGTACGCTCTCAGGCTGTTCAGGGGATGAATACCCCATTCCGGGCTCAGACATTCCCTGGCCACTCCCGTACGCGTTCGCTAATGTCAACACTTCGAGGTGGTGGCGTTACATCACCGACCTCGGATCTGGCATCGCCAACACCGTCACCAAGGAGATCGAAGTTTTCTCAGATACCAGACATGTCACTTGGTAGCAGTCCCGGTTCATCAGCCTTACCGTCACCAACGCAAGCTACGCCTTACGACCGTCCATCTCCCGTAGGTTCGGGGTTCTTCTCGTCGAGAGGTAGGATGCAACTGGCACCCCTCGAAATCGCGAAAAGCGTGCCGTCACAGACCTCCAGTACGTTCTCCAGCTTCCCTTCGAATGTTCCTATGCCTTTGCCTTCGCTGCCAACACCAACCTATGCGGGTTCCCAGTCAGTGTCACAACGTTTTACGCCAGATTACTATTCTACACCTGGCACTCGAGGGGGCGTTCGTGGTGTCGTTCGGCCGCCTGCTCCTATACCGTTGAGCAATGAGAACCCAGAGTCGAATACCCCAACGCAAATGATGCCCGTACCAGCTCCGTTGAACGAATCACCACGAGCATCATTCTTCCCACCGTTCACGCCGACGAGGCAAGAAAGCAGTTTCAACGAACCCCTCTCGGCTGCTTCCTCTTCTTCAGCTTCGGCCTCCCAACCATCACCGCTTCAGCCCGCGTTCCAGATAGGTAGTATGGGGTCACAGTCGACGATGCACGGCCAGGCTATGTCATATCATCAAGGCCAATCAGGGATGGCTCCTGGGTATGAGTTCCCTCCCAGACAAAGTTCGGTTCCTTCGTATACGTACTACTCGTCATCTACACCTACGCCACAAACCGCAAACTACAGGCACCTCCCTGAGCGGCCGAACATGGGGCAGCCGATGGGAGCTATGCCAACACAACCTGGCACAAGCATTGATTATGAGGGGTACGCTACGAGCGGTAATACCGGTGTGTCTCAGCAACCAATGCAGCACATGCAGCACTATGAGCAACACCCATCCGAGCAATACCAGGCTCCAACAGCACCTTCGAATCAGGGCGATGTCAACTATGAGATACAACAGCAAGTGAGGACGATTCCTCAGAGAGAGTCATATGCTCGAGCTCGGCAGGAGGGGTGGCCGAATCAGCAGCATATGGGAGGAGGAAGCGGTAGTGGACAGCAGCAATCGTAGGTCATAGTAGGTATTGGAGAGCATCGTTGGAGTTGGAGTCGTGCTTGTGTGGCTTATGTTAGGATTATTTATGGGACATATAGGAGTTCTGTCGTTTCTTACAGGGACGGTCATTCGTTGGGATAGTCTTAAAACATCGAAATACTCTCCGCTTCATCAACAGCTGTGGCATGGCGCCTAGTTATGAATTGCAAATGAATTTCATGTAGGATATAGGATGCAATAAGGCGAGGGTGGCATGAGTATCCGCTATAGCATCGATTCATGTCTGAAATGCTTATATAAGGCCATAACGCTTGGTTTAGTCTGCATCTTCTGGATCTCGACGTACCCGGCTGGCCCCAAATCTAGTTCTTCAGAGGCGGCAGATTTTCCATCTCCTCCTCCGTATCCTCCTTCATCTCCCTCTTCTCCTTCGTCGACAGCCCCAACCCTTCTTCCTTCTCTAATCTCATCGCCCTCTTTTCCAAATCAAAAATATGCGGATCCCGTGTCTCGGGACTCAACTCCCTCAACGCCTTCGCCATATTGTACAAATACTCCCTATTCCGTCCACTCGGCCCCTTACTCTTCAATATCCTTCTCGCCAATTCGTCTTGGTCGTTACGGGGAGGAGGACCAACGAAGGCTTCGTTGGAGGTCATGCCGATGTAGGTCGTTGCGCGGGGGACGATTGGGGAGGTTGAGGAGGGGTGTTCGTAGATTGGGAGATAGTGGACAGAGTACCCGTTTTGTTCGCGGATACCGAGTTGTTCTTTGACTTCTTCTACTTTTTCGGGTTGGATGTGGTAGGCTACGCCCCACACGACCTCATCCTCGTAGCTCTCGTGCTGTATACGTAACGTACGCACCCGTCAGCAGCAATCCACAATTCGAAATTCTTCGTGAGGCGGGGAAGGAAGGAGGGCGGCGTACGATATCATTCATCTCCTTCCACTCGTCATACGGAATCAACGTCACAACCCGTCCGGGATATTCCGGCGTCCCCCGATGATCAACCGAGGATTGCCAGAACCTTCGTACGTAGCCGCGTACGAAGCCGGTGACGCGTTTATCGGTGTGCGGAGGGGGTTTCCAGATTAGACTCCCGTAGCCGAAGATCCAGTAGTTGGCTTTGTCCTCGTCCTGGTCCTGGTTACGGTCTTTTGTCATGGTGAATGTCGAGGAGGAGGAGGATCACCGCAGTCGAGAATCCTCATTACTAGCGTGGTTGGAGTGACGACATCATGGGAATTCTGGGGAGCATCGACGACATTTGACGAACCAATATCAAAACAAATAGTACTTGACAATCAGATACGGCCATACCATGATGAAAGCACAGGATCCCGTCCGATCTCCTAAGTTAAGCATCATAGGGCCCAGTCAGTACTAGCGTGGGAGACCAGCTGGGAATACTCGGGTGCTGTATCTTTTGTCCAACATCATCTATAGCTAGTAAGTCTGCCACCACACAAGCACCACAAACCACACCGCAGCAAACGTCCCAACCTTCCCCAAACTCTGCAGATAACTACCCACAACGACTCTATCTTGCTTCTTTCCCTTATCCCATTTGTCATCATCGTCGGCATTCGTGGGTAGTCCTGTATATGATCCTCGCCTCGAATTTCGCATGACCAGGATACCTCGAACGACGAGCGCGAGTTGTGTCACGAAAGCGAGGATGCCGTAACATTGAAACGTCACCAGCGGATCCGGGAGGAGACACAGGTGTGTTTCGATCCCGCCATCAGGGTCGAGGGAGAGGAGTTGGAATCCGGGCCGGTGGACGCCCATCGCCCAACTAAAACTCTTGACGGTCACCTCGTCTACAGTGTTTGTTTCATCATAAGTATGCGTGACGCGGCAGTAATCGTGGTCATCACCCGAGAAGACCATACTCGGTTTGATCTTGGAGAGGATCTCGAGTGAGAGATCGGGGAGGATGACATTTTGGTACTGGTATCCTTTCTGGATCTTGATTGGTGAGCGGGATTCGCGGAGGGGTCCACAGGGGGTGTCTGGGTCGCGGTAGAGGGGGATGTGGGTAAACAACACCCTTTGTTTATGCTCTGATTCGGTAGAGATTTGGGCTGCGAGCGTATCGAGGAATTGGCGAGGGGGGGCGGAGATGGCAGGGTTGTTTGTGTTTGAGAGGGAAACGGTGTCCAAGAGGACCAGAGAGTGATTGGAGCCGATGGAGATTTCGGTACTTGTCTGTCCGAAGAACTCTGTGAAGCGTGCTAATGCGGTGCCAGGGATGGTGTCTGCTACGCCGATGTCGTGGTTTCCCGGTAGGTTCATGTAAACTTTGTTCTCTCCCGCGACGTTGGGAAAGACGCTCAGCAACCTCTCATACTCCGGCACCCAAACCTCATCACCCCACTCCCTTCCCCCATCCATCAAATCACCCAGGAAAACGGTGGTAGATGGGTGGAGGATTGAGTGGAGGTAGAGGTAGTTCCGGTGCATGTAGAGATCGGTGAAGAATTTTGAGAGGGAGAGGAGGAGGCCGCGTCTGGTATAGGTGTTCTCGTCGATGATTTGTGGATCAGCGATGACTGCTATGTGGTGGGGAGAGCGGCGTTGTTGTTCCCAGGCCGACCATTGGCAGGAGCGAACGGCGGATCTGTAGATGCGCGACTCGCCGTACCAGAAGGCCGCGACCCAGACCGCACACAGCACCACTTCCATAGTCTCTTCCATAGTCGCAGGAACACAGGGTGGTGTTTGGGTGGCAGGGTGGGGTCGACGCAGGCCCAACGCAGGTCCCACAGATCAATCCTCTCAGTTGCACTATAGTTTGTGCTCCTCTCTTGCACGATGGCATACAGCCTGGCGACCTCCCAGTCCTTCGTCGCAGTCGGCGCAAACTCAACACCGCATGCCGCTGACTGGTGTCATGCCTCAAACACAATCGCCTACGCTGCTGGACGCCTCGTGGCCGTGTGGAGACCGCTTCGGAAACGGGGTCTGTGTGCGACGTTGAAGGGCCATGCCGATAAGGTCAATGTTGTGTGCTTCGTGGGGAGAGGGTGGCTGCTGTCGGGATCGAGTGATTGTACCGTCCGCGTGTGGAAACAAACAGAAGAGGAGAGGTGGGAGTGTGTACAAGTCCTGAAAGACCACGCGGGTGCTGTGAACACGATCGCAATCCACGATACCACAATCGCTACCGGTGCCGCGGACGGCACAGTCTGTATCTACAGCTTCGACTCCACCTCAACTTCCCCCATCCCCATCCTTCAGCAAACGATCAAAACCGCGCCACTGTACCCACTCGCCATCGCGCTAACCTCACTTCCCGATACCTCCCTCCTCCTCGCCCTCGGCGGCTCAAGCACCTCAATCAAACTCTACACCCGCTCACCCGAGTTTACCTTCTCAGAGCAGGCAACCCTAAAAGGCCACGAAGACTGGATCCACTCCCTCGCATTCACCCACGATCCCTCCTCAAACAACGACATCCTCCTCGCATCAGCCTCCCAAGACCGGTACGTGCGGTTATGGCGCATAACACCCGTCAAAACAGAACAAGAAAGTACCGAGCAAACCCGGGCGCAGACCTTGGAGGCTGCCTTGTTGACCGGTGTTACGACCACGAGTTCGAGGCGGTCACAGGTGTTTTGTACCACGAGTGGGACGAAATTTAGTGCGTCGTTTGAGGCATTGTTGTTGGGGCACGATGATTGGGTTCATTCTGTGTCGTGGCGGCCGGCTCGTGACGCCTCCGCAGAGCTCGTTTTGTTGACTGCGTCGGCGGATACGAATTTGATGACATGGTCGCCTGATCCTGATACCGGGATTTGGGTGTCTACTGCACGTCTCGGTGAGATCGCCGCGAAAGGCTCTACCACAGCTACTGGCTCGAGCGGTGGATTCTGGGGCGGGTTGTGGGGGCCGAACGGTGCGGAAGTCGGGACATGGGGCAGGAGTGGCGGTTGGCGCCTGTGGAAGGCTTCTTCAGAGGAGGAGGGCTGGGAAGCGAGAGGCGCGGTAGGCGGACATGTCAGGGATGTCAAAGCGGTTGCGTGGGAGAAAAGTGGTGCATATCTCTTATCGACGAGTTTGGACCAAACGACGCGTCTTTACGCTCCCTGGACGAAAGAGGGGACCTGGCACGAATTCGCGAGACCACAGATTCATGGGTATGACATCAACACCATCAGTATGGTCGACTCCTGGCGCTTCGCCTCCGGCGCAGACGAAAAAGTCCTCCGAATCTTCGATGCGTCAAAAGCCATCGTCGGCCTTCTCGAACGACTATCACTCACCACAAAGGCGGAGGGCGTGGAGGACTTGCCTGAGGCCGCGAACGTTCCCTTGCTTGGGTTATCGAATAAAGCCATGGCGACGAATACTGCGACGAATGACCCGAATAAGGCGGAGGCTGCGGCGCCTGGAGTGGGATCCGTGTTGGATACGTTGACCACACCGCCGCTTGAGGAGCATTTACAGCGGCATACGTTGTTCCCGGAGATGGCAAAACTGTATGGACACGGGTACGAACTCATCTCCGTTGCTGCCTCACCCGATGGGAGATATGTCGCTAGTGCGTGTAAGGCCTCCACTCCCGAACACGCTGTGATCAGGATATTTGATATGAGGGATTGGAAGGAGGTCGCGATTCTACCCGGGCATACGCTTACCGTCACGCGTATCGTGTTTTCGGGTGAGGGTCGGTGGATGCTCGCGGTTGGACGGGATCGGAGTTGGGCGGTTTATGAGCGGCAGTCTGAGGCGGAGGGTGGAGAAGCGCCGTACAAGTTGGTGAGGAACCAGGTGAAGGCACATGCGAGGATTGTGTGGGATGTGTCTGTCGCTCCTGCGCCGGAGGGTGAGCAGGAGAAGGACGAGGGGTTGGTATTCGCGACGGGGTCGAGGGATAAGACTGTCAAGATCTGGAGGAATTATGGGTGTACTGCGACGATTAAACTCCCCGAGCCTGTTACCGCATTAGAGTTCTCTTCTTCGACGCTGGATGGGTCACTCATCCTCGCTGTCGGATTGGAAGATGGGAGGATTTATGTGTTTAATGGGAAGCAGGAGGTGGGTGAGGGTGAGGTGGAGGAGTGGAACGTTGTTGGTCAAGTTGAGAATGTGCATGATGCGGCGATTACGAGGGTTGCGTGGAGGCCTAGGACGGCGGGAGAGGAGGGCGAGGGGTGGATGTTGGCGAGTGGGAGTGAGGATTGTTCGGTTAGGATTTATGATATTAACTTTGCCAAGAAGGGATAGAGGTGGTTATAGCATACGGTTGGTATAGATGGTACCTATAGGCCTAGTTTTGAAGATACAGCTTCAACTTCATCATCCCATGATTCAACCTTTCGTTCTGCGGCTTCGGGGGTGTCCCAGAGGGATTTTGCGACGGCTGCTGTTGCTTGTTTTTCTTCTTCGGTTGCGTCGTCGTCCCAGCCTGAGGTTGTTCTTTGTCTCCGCTCCCCTTTTGGCTCGTCACCCCACCCTGATGATGGTTCTTTGTGAGTGGGAACGGGGGCGGTTTGCCAGGAGGGCTTGGCAGCATCTGATGTCTTCGGCTTTGCCTCCTTCGTTGCGCTGGTCTGGTTAGATTTGCCATGTTCCCATGCTGGGACTGCGCTCTTCTTCACCTCGGCACCACTCAGTGAAGGCCACACTTCTTGTTGTGGAGGTTGATCTTGTCGAGGCCCAGAACCTGGTCGACCGCCTCTACCGCGTCCGCGCTCCCTGAATCCAAATCCGTTTCGCTCCTTCGGAGGCTCATCCGCATCCCGTCCTTCTCTACGCAACCCTCGCCTCGGGTACGTTCTAGGCGCCTCCCGCTCCTGAACCTCCTGCTCATCCTTATCCGCATCCCACGCTCTTCTCCCCTGGCCCACCAGTTTCCGTTGTCTATTCTTTTCCCGTTCATCCGCCATCACCTTAAGTGCCTTCTGCTGATCTTCTCGCTTGCGAACCTCCTCTTCCCGTGCCTTTCTCCGCGCCTCATCCCGCTTCTTGCGTTCTTCCGCGATAACGGCATCCTTCTTCCGCCGATCCTCTTCCGAGCGCTGAAATTGTTCGGCGTCGGCGGTGGATGCTTCGTGACGTGCGGTGAGCTTGGCATTCTTGAGTTTGATTCGTTCCATGCGTCGAACGAGTTCTTCCTCGCTGACCTTTGGTTTGCCTGATCCGCCGCTTTGTAGTCTGTCTACCCTCGATCCGGTGTCGGGACCGTCATTCTGAAACTCTCGACGCGGAGCTTGATGTCCACGACCACGAGTTGGTGGGGTGTGTGCGAGGATGTGTGCGTTTGGATCGACAAGTTCGACGTCTAGGTCGCGAGTTTGGGCAAAGTCAGAGGCAGAGTCCCAGCCTGGAGGAGGTTCTGGTATGTTGTTCATTGCAATTGCTTAATTGAAGGAGAATGGATCGAGAAGAGCCGGGTTGTCGTGTTGACGGGTACCGTGCGACGTTGGCGCGTGGAGCAGAGGTTGGACGTCATTCGCCCGGCACATACGTATACATACTCAGTATTTTAGAAAGTTCATGTAGTAGTTTCGAACAGTTGCGCACTGTCAAATGAAGTGCCCTGGATTCCCATACACCGTCGCATGTCCGTACTGTGTTGTACTGTGCCTGGTTGCCAGTTACGAAGGTAAACGCTCTCGAGGTCGAAGGTTTCGAAACGATCCAACATCGATAACGACCATGGGTGACTACAACCGCAGAGGTGGAGGCGGCCGTAAGCGCTACAGAGACGACAACGACGACGATGATTATTACCGCCGCCAACGTCCCTCAGCTGCCGAGGCTTCCCTCGGTAAGATTCGACGAGAATTGGTCGGCTTGGCGGATCCACATCCTAATGCGCGACTTGATGAGGATATCTCCTATATTGCCAAGGTGATTGCGGGTGAATTGGACCAGGTGGAGTTCAGGACGGGTTTCTTGGAGGTGCTGAAGGGGTGTATCCTGGAGTTGCCGTTCAAGATTCCGCACTTTGCCAGCGTGGTTGTGGTTGCAAATGCGAGATATTCGGTTGTTGGACAGACCGTGTTGGAGTACATTTTGCCCGCGTTGCAGAAGTCTATCGATTCTGGGGAGTGGAGCAAGGTGAAGCTCTTGTTGCGATTCCTGGCACAGTGTGGACAAATGATCGATGGACGAGGGATTACCGAGGTTTTGGAGAACATGGCGGCGCTGGTTGAAAAGGGCCCTCGCTCGACCTACTTTGATGAGTTGGCCTCAATCATCCTTCTCACTATCCCGTACGCCGCGTCGGCCTTGAACTTCACCGGTGAGCAACATCCCGAAGTTCAGTCTATCCTCGACAAACTCACGCCTTACTTCAACTCCCGCTCCGTCGATTTCTCTCTGAACTGTCATTACCTCGTCGACGAGGCTCCCTACACCCAGACCGAATCCCTCGTCCTCCTTTGGCAACAGATCACTGAGCAGCAGAAGACTGGATGGAACTTGGCCTACCTTCCAAATCCCCAAAGCCGATTCATTTCTGAGCTTGAGGCCGGAAAGAAGCACCCGCTCGGCGAGATCAACTTCCCCGAGGCATCTGAGAAGGCGACCTACATTCCTGAACCCCACCTTCAGATCTTCATTTCCCAGGAGATCCAGTCCGTCCCTTCATCTACTGACCTGGCCTCTTGCCTTCTTCGTGATGTTGTCTATGATGGCGTTGACGCCCTGGAGTTTAACCGTAAAGAAGGATCCCGGTATCTCGCTGACATGGACGCGTACTTTCCCTTCGGCGCATTCGCTCCCCGTGCGATTCCATACGACAAATTGGGCGAGGACCCAAGTCCATCGAAGTGGAAGTGCGAAGATATTGTCGTTGAGGGAATTTTGGCGAGGATGCTCAGGTTGCCTTCGCCCCCCTGTCGGGCGGTGTACTATCAGGCCCTCCTGATCGAGATGTGCAAGTACGCACCTGGCGCCATTGCTCCCGTCATGGGTCGTGCTGTCCGATTCTTGTACGCGGATCTGGATAAGTTTGATGCGGAGGTGGTCTATCGGTTCTACGATTGGTTGAGTGTTCACTTTTCTAACTTCCAGTTCATGTGGCGATGGGATGACTGGGCTGGTGACTTGGGCTTGGACGACTTGCACCCCAAGAAGGTCTTCGTGAAGGAGTTGTTGGAGAAAGAGATTAGGCTGTCGTATCATGCTAGGATCAAGGGTACCCTTCCTGAGGCATTCGTGGAGGTTATTGGAGCGGAGCAGGCGACGCCTGAGTTCAAGTATGCGGATAATGAGGATGTCAAAGTTTTGTTGGAGATGATTCGGACGAAGAAGCCTGCGGACGAGATTGAGACGCAGTTGAAGAAGGTTGAGGACAAGGCTGAGGGTACGGAGCAGGAGAAGGCAAGGAAGGCACAACACGTGTTGGTGCAGTGTGTTCTTCAGCTCGGTGAGAAATCTTTCTCGCACGCTCTCAATACTTTCGAGAGGTCTTTGCCTGTTCTTTTGGCGCGTTGTGCGTCGAGTACTGAGGCGAGAAGGTTCACGGTTGGCTGCGTGATGGAGTACTGGGCTCCTCAACCTTCCATCGGAGCTACTCTCTTGGACAAGTTGTTGAACTACACTGTGCTTAACCCGTTGGCTGTCGTAGAGTGGTTCTTCACCGAAGGAGACGTGGAGTTGGCGTGCAGAAGTCATGCGTGGGAGGCGTTGGAAACCACCCTTGACAAGGTCAACAACCGCGTTATTCAAGTCCGTGAACGTGCTGAGCAGGCGCGTGCTGCTGGCTTGTCTGAGGAGGATGAGTCCAAGATGCAGGCGACACTCGACAACGTACATGCTGAGCAGGCTGACGTCTGGCGTACAATTTTCAGGTCGTACACTTCGTTCGTGGAGAGGGCTGGCAGAGCGGAGGACGGGGCCAGTGAGGAGCGGGTACAGTGGAGAGTTAAGTGGGCGAAGGGCTGGTATAAGGCTGTGGTGAGAAGGTACTTTGAGGCGGAGAAAGAGTTGAAGGGTGTTTTGGATTCCGTGGTGCAGGAGGCTGGGGAGGAAGCCAAGGACTTGTATGAAAAGGCCATCTCTTTGTGATTCGGAAAGTGGTCATAATGCTGTGGCGGCATGCCTTAAAGCGTTAGATATCATTAAAATATGCATTGCACCAACGCAAGTCCAACTAGCTGTTACATCTTCCACGTTGTACGTTCGCCCGGTACCAATGGCGACCGTCGTTTGTACAGCTGCAGGTAAGGTGTGGAGCCGGGACATCCTGAGAGACCAGGGATTTGACAAGGGTAAAAGGTACTCGGAACAGTACCCGGGGTAAAATTATGGCCAATCCTCTATCTATACTAACGATACAAAACTCCGTAATACGCCCAAGCGAATGATGTGTTAACCCAGTCAACAGGATATCCTTTGCAATGTGAAACCCAAGCAATGCAAACCCGAAGAAGCCCCAGCAAACCCCGCAACCCATATGCGCCAAAGCCAGATCACAAACTTAGTCGCCCATCTGCAACCTCTTTAACAGCTCCGCTGCATCCAGCGCTCCACCTTCTGCTCCGGCCTCTCCTTCATCCTCCTTTCCCTCCACAAAGCTCACCCCGGCCTTTGCGATAATGGTATCAACCGCAGTCAACGCGGTGCCCTTCTCATCATCGGCATCATCATCGTTCTCCTCCCTGATAGAAGCCGGTCTGTCTGAGCCTGACACCCTCTCTTCCCGTAATCCTGACAACATACTGCGTGCACGTTGCGAGATGTCGTCCGCTGCTTCAACAGTTGCTGACAATGCTGACAAAGAGGCAGAAGGAGTCATCGTCAAAAGGCTTCTATCCACAGTGTCCGGCGCGGCACTACCACTTACTGCTCTCATGTGCCTGCCAGACGTAGTGCGTCGCAAACCCTTTCCGCCAGCAGCACCGCGAGCTTTACTGGTACGGGTCGGACGAGTATTCCTCAAATTCTCGAGAAGTTTATCCATGACGTCCTTCTCATCGCTGGCCTTCTCAGATACCGGCGAGGCTTCAGCCGAAGAATCAAGCACCTTCTTTCGACTTTGGCTGAGACGCTCCTGCGAGGCAAACTCCATGTTCTCCATACGCGCCTTCTTGTATTCATTGATGAAAGCGTTGAAGCCGGGGAAGAATAACTTGCGACCCAAAGCATCTGACGGATCTTCACCGAAGTACTTCATGACGCGGTCAAGACTTAGCGTAGTGGCAGAGACGTAATCCTGCATCATCGAAGCTTTGTCCAGCGCCTTCTTTAATAAGGGAGTAACGACTCTGGTGACCTCGTCATCCTCATGGAAGACGGAGTGATCACTCAAGGCGCCTCGCTCAAGCGAAGCCTTCAGGTTGAAGATGCGTGTATAGTACGCCTCTGCATCTTGCTTGACAGCGTTCACGTCCAACTTAGCTGCCTCAGCGACGTCCTTGGTGTCATCCAACCAGCGTTGTTGTACTTGGGGCCATTCCTTCTCGAAAATCCACTGAATAGCATGAAGGAATGAGCGAACATTCTTCTCGTCCTTCGTAAACACGAGGCGTGACAAGGATGATAACTTGAAACCCGCGGCTTGCTTCCTCATGTCATTCATGTAGTTGCCCAAACCGAGAATAACGTTCATGAACTCGACAAGGGCTTGAGACGTCTTCATACCGTGAGCGGCACTGTCAATGACGCGTAGCTTCTCCACATGACGTGTGTAGTCGGTCTCAAAGTTACGTGCCACCTCCAAGGCGTTCATACGAGCAGTCCAGTAGTGCCTGCATTTGAAGAACAGCTCAAAGTATACGCGATCCCATTTCGGCAGCTCATCGGGATTCTTAGCAGGAGGAACACCGTTTTTGGACAGGTACTTCTCCATCTCATTATTGAGCTTCAAGGAAAACTCGACACGCTTAGGATTCGACATAAACTCGAGCAAAGTCGTGTTGTCCATGACGGCCTTGTCGCACCTCATGATCATCTTAACAATATCGTCGGCTGCGACATCCGCAAAGGTACGGAAGGAGATTTCAACTTGCTGCAAAAGACTGTCGTCAAGAATGTGCTTTTCCTCCTTCTTCGCCTTTTTACCGAGCGCTGCCAACGACTTCGCCTGCCTTGCAGTGAACGCGCTGTCGATGAATTCCTGCAGCAGACCCCTTTTCCGCAAATGGATGCAGAGTTCATTCGCATCGAGCTTGTGATTAGCCCACAAAGTATACTCAAGACCAGCGTCAAGCTTGTCCCAATGCATGGGCTTCAACTTCGTTCCACGCTCGTAAGTGACAGCGCGGGACTTGATCTCAGGCTTAAGGATAGAAATGCCAGTAAGACCCTTCTCGCCAGTATGCTTGTGCTCTGGTTCTTCATCCTCAACTGGTGTGAAGGATAGCATCTGAACAGGAGTACGCATCCCAGGCATAGGCGGAGGAGGCGGCGGTGGCCCACCTATCATACCAGGAGGAGGCGGTGGAGGTGGTGGAGGTGGTGGGCCTCCAAGAATGGGTGGCGGACCAGGTGGTGGAGGTGGTGGTGGTGGAGGTGGTGGTGGTGGAGGAGGAGGAGGAGGAGGAGGAGCGGGCGGTGGTGCCACACCATCGAGAGTGGGAGGCATAGGGGGGGCCGGCGGCGGTGGAGGTGGTGGTGCTGGTGCTGGTGCCGGTGGTGCTGATCCAGTATCCGCATCGGCAGACGCTGGAGAAGGTCCTGCAATACCCGCCAGGGTGCCTTTGATGCTTGGCATTGCGGCAACCCCCGGAGAGAGTGATGGGTTGCTAGCAGTCCCGGCTGAAAGCATAACCCCCTCGTCCTTCGACGAAACGCCCTGTGTTTGAACCCGTAAGCTCGAGATAGATGCCTTACGCTGAGCGGCAAGCGGTCCCGACAGCAAAGGTCCCATCTGCTCCGCTCTTTCAGCAACGCTGACCTTCCTCGTATGACCAGAAGGTTCATCCTCATCACCATTCACGCTACCACTCTCATCAACAGAGCCCGCCCGACTATGTCGGTTCGCCTGATCACACAGAAGGAAGTTCGCCTTTCTTGCACCCATCGGCTTAGGCCGACGAAACTGCATGATCCTCGGTTTCTCATAGATCGCCAAGGTCTCCTCATCCATCGGCGACGCAGGTGGCTCTTCCCCAGGACCGAACCTCTGGAAAGACGGGATGGGGGTCCGTTCACGGCCATAGCCTGGTGATGTAGGCGACAACTGCTGGTCCTGGCCCTGATTACTGCCCTGTCGAGACATATGAGCCGACTTAGTCCTTGAGCTGCCAAAGAACGACTTTGTGTAAGCTGCTTTAGTTGGTAATACACCATCATCCTCGTCTGAGCTCTCCTCTCCAAGCCTGTCATGCAAATCCCTAGCATCGCCCTGCACCTTGTCAAGACCATTCATGTCCATCTTGTTGCGCAAATGCATCAACTTAGCACTCATGTTCGAATCCTGTTTCCACATGCGTCCCTCCAGCTTAGCGACAGTCATAGTTCGCTGCAACTGCCTCTCCAGCTTATCCGTCAACGCCTTCCGATCAGCACTGAGTAAATCCCGAACAGCCGGGTTCTGCTTAACCATAAGGTACAACTCACGTGTCTCCACCTCGCTCGTCTGAAGCAAGTCCTGGTACTTCTGTTTGGTTTGGTCAAGTTCCTCTTGGAGCGTCTCGTTTCGCCGGCGCTGACTCTCCAGGACCTCGTGGAGCTCCTCGTTCTCTTTTTTCAGAAGCGCAACAAGACCATCCGCGCCCAACGCGACCTCCCTCTCCATCGCATCACGCTCCGCCTCTGCCTGCTCCGCGCGTGCCCTCGCTCTCCTCGATTCTTCGTAGGCCTGACGGACTTCCTCATCCGTCTTCATACGATCCAGAACCAGTCCGATACCGATGTTGATCCCCTTCAGTGGATCATTCACCAAATTCCGACCTGAGTGAAACATATACCCCATCACACTATCCGCGAGCTGGAACAACCTCGCCCGTTCTTCATCCTCACCGCGGACGAGAAACATGTGCTGCAGTGCATTCAAGAAGAACTGTTCAGCAGATTTACCTTGGGCTTTCTGCATGATGCCGTGGACGAGCTCATAGGGATTGTTTATGTCGTTCACTTCGACCGCATCCTCTTCTTCCTCCGCGCCGACCTCTTCCGTGTCAAGCTGCTCGTCGTTCTCGTACGCCTCGATTTGACGCTCTACGAGGTCGTATTTGAATTCGCGCATCTTGTTTAAAATTCGCTGGAGTCCATAGGACTTCATCTGCGACCGAATCAACATCCTCGTTCTAACATCCTCCGCTCCCATCACAATCGCATTGATCAAGAACAAGTTTGCCAGAGAGTATTCCATAAGGATACTGTCTATCCCCAAGCCACCCTTCCTCATCTCCTCGCTTGCTCCGACCAAACTGCCAAACTTCCCACGTCCGTCGATGGAAACCTCCAGCTGCCTCATCCAAGCATCGAAACGCCCAATCTCATTATCCCGCTCCTTCATCTGATCAAACCCCGTCAAGACACGCTGGTGTCCGTTTGGCTTATCCCAATGACACAAGAACGTGAGAACTTCCGCAACAAGCTTTCTTGTGGGAAGGTAGTTTGACCCAATGGAAGAAGTGATAGCATACACGCAGGACTGATGTCGCACGGCGTCCTCGGCTCCATACTGGTTGTTGAGTAACGATTTCAGGCACTTGATGATCTCGTATTCTCGGGCGATATCGTCGTCACGCTTCGTGTTTCGATGGTTAATCTGGGATAAGACCTTCGTGAGGGCAACTTGACCCTGGTTGTCGATAAATGCTCGTAACCAGCTCATTGATTCCGTGCGTAACGAGACTCCTAAACTCTGAAACTCCTTCATCGTGATTTGGTTGGTAAGGATGCGCTGGACAAAGTACCGTGCTGACCCAGCTTCACCACGTTCAAACTCCTTGTTCTTCTTACTTCCCGACTCCCGCTTTTTCGCATCCCCAGACCCATTCATAGACATATCATTCTGTAACAGCTTCCACTTCGTCTCCATTGGTTGCGCCATCATCTGGTCCCTGTTTGAGGGTGGCATATTCCTCCTCTCCAACAACTCCGAGAACATTTGGTCGATCTTCCGATGGTCGCTCGGAATTTTGTCACCAACTGACGCTCCAGATATGGATGATGACCCTCGTGAGTAGTGATCCATAACGCTCCCTGCTCGACTCGGCGCATCTTCGCGTAGCGTTGCCGATGATCCGCCCAAGCTATGCACGTCCACGCTGCGGCGGTATTGATGGGTAGGCTGAGAGGCGCTGCTTACTGAACCGCGTTGTGACGAGATAGAACCGATCCTTGGTGTGCCGCTTACAGGAACTGGTAATGGCCTCTGTGTACTGCCGTTCTCATCCCTTTGTTGTTGCATAAGTTGTAATGCCCTCGAGTGAAGTCCATTAGACATGTAATCCGCCCCTCCAAATCCACGGCTCGTTGCCACCGAACTGGTTACACTCGCTGCTGATGTTTGCCGACTCAGTCCACTCGGGTAAGCAGGCTCAACCTCTGGTGGTGGCGGAAGGGCGACAGGTATAGGTTTTCGAGTATCGCTGGCTACATTCTTATAGCTAATCGCCGCAAACTCGTCGACAGCCGCGCCGTTATCGTTCCCATGTCGTGCATTGGCAGAGGCCGACTTCTTCCTGCGACTGAAGCCGAAACGGGAGGAGAGGCTGCCGGAGCCTGGTGGTGACCCTCCGCGATCTGCTGCCATATTTCAGGAGCGACGCTCGAACGATTAGAACGTCTAGGTTGAGCTCCTGAATCCCCGTTTGGTTGCTGGCGTAGAGGGGGGTGGTTCGTGGGGTTGGGTGCAGCAGGGCCGAGGGAGTGTTTGGCTTTCAGGGTTGACCTGCCAGGGATCTCGCGTGGGGTCTGCCGGTGCATGTGTTCACCACCCGGCCGCGTCCCGTCAATTGACACGTAATACGTTTGATCGAATTTTCTCCTGGATTCTATGCATTGATTACGGTCCTATCCAATCTCCATTTCCGTCGTCAGTATCTGGATTCCCACCCTTTCCGAGGCCCTAAAAACCCGCTTCTGCTCGCATCCTTCGAACCACAACCTCCATCTGCACAGCACTCGCCCTCTCCGGAGGAGCAGGCTGTAACTGCTACACCAATCTCTTCGGTCTGGTAGCGGTACAAGCAGTTCAAAGGCGACGACTTCGGTTACGCCGAGGAGGAGAGTGATTCAGGATAGCATTTAAGCCGGATTGTCGCTGTACGATTCCCTGCCTTCAGGGTAGGGCGTTGGATGGGTGGGAATTGACTAAGTCTATCTTACAACTCTTCATTGAATACAAAACTTCTTCCTTCAATGCTGTTCTTCTCACTTGCCCAATTGCCGAATCGAGTAATTTTGCACCTGTAACGTTCCCTGATGTTTTTGACGTCCTCGAAGATCCGACGTCACTGAAACACACGTACCCCTTGGGAAATCTGTCGTTCGGTTCCAGCAGTTGTAGCAAACAAGCATCAGGGACGCAACAACTTCAATAGCAGATCAACGCGCCATTCTTCCCCCACTTCGATCGGCTGGACGTCCATCAGGCCCACAGTTTTAGCCATCCATGTCAAGCCCGGCTTCAGACCCTACCACTGATCTAGACAACACCATGCTCCCCCGCCGAATTTGCGCAATCATTGGCACCACCGGCGTCGGCAAATCAAACCTCTCCATCGCCCTCGCAAAGGCTCTGAACGGCGAATGCATCAACGGCGACTCCATGCAAGTCTACTCCGGAATGCCCATTATCACGAACAAGATGCCCATGGAGGAACGGGAAGGCGTGCCGCATCACTTACTAGGTTTTCTTGGAAGGGAGGAGGAGTATCTGGTTGGGGGGTTCGAACGGGATGCTAGGGGTGTTGTGGGGGAGTTGGAGGAGAAGGGGAAGATGCCGGTATTGGTGGGTGGTACACATTACTATACTCGTTAGTGTCGCGTTCATCTGATTCCTGGGACAGTACTGACTGTTGGACGCAGAATCACTCCTCTTCCAGCAGTCGCTGGTTTCAACATCCACCGCGACATTTACATTCTCAGAAGACGCAGCATCGCATCCACACCTTACAGATCCTACTGTACCAACATCAACCATCCTATCCCACCTTCGCTCTCTAGATCCAGCAATGGCAAACCGCTGGCACCCAAATGACCGCCGCAAAATCCTCAATTCACTCAGAATATGTGTCAGAACAGGTCGTCCTCACACCGAAATCCTAAAGGAACAACATGGAGACAGCGTTGAGATGGATAAAAAGAGATACGAGAAGACGCTGATTTTCTGGGTATACTCGAGAACAGAGGAGCTTAACCAACGACTCGATAACCGTGTGGATGCGATGATCACCCAAGGTCTCTTCGAAGAGATCCGCGAATTGTACGATTTTGCGCAACAACTTGCCGCACGAGGACGGGAGCCTGACTGCACGAAAGGTTTATGGCAATCCATCGGATACAAAGAGTTCCTTCCCTACCTCTCCTCGAATCCACCTCTCAACTTGGATGAAGAGACGGCAGAGTTGAGGGAATTGAGAGCAAAGTGCACGAAGACCATGAAAGCCTCAACACGGCGGTATGCGAAGACACAGATCAAGTGGATCCGACATAAACTCCTTGCGGCGTGCAAGAGTGCGGGTATCCCGGTCTACCTCCTCGATGCCACAGAACTGAACAAATGGAACGAGACAGTTCGTGATCCTGCTGTGTCAATAGCCAAATCATACTTCGCCGGCGAAACGGTTCCTGAACCTGATTCGTTGTCAGACCTTGCAAAGGATATGCTTGTCCCTGTCCAAGAACTCGATATGGCACGGCAACCATCTCGCTGGACCCAGAAAGTTTGCGAGCTATGTTCAGAGGCAGAAGCAAAGACTGTCGCGAAAACTGGCAAGGATCCAGAAGAAGCTCAGGTCGTGATTTTAGGTGGCGAAGAAGAATGGAAGAAACATATCAACTCGAGAGGACATAAATTGCGAATCAAGGCAAAGTCAAAACGCGAGCACTTTGAGAGGTGGAAGAGGGAAAAGGCAGCAGCGGAGCGGGCTGCAAGAGAGGAAGGCGAGAGTTCCGAGAAGGATGAAAGTCCATAGAAGGTATCTCGTTGAAAACAGACATTGCGTGCAGGTTCTGGAGTACGGCGTTCTTCTTCATAGGTAAGGTAGCATACATAGCACAGACGATCGACTAGTTTTACATAGCTTATCGCATGTTACATTGCAATTCAAAACGTTGTCAGATACGGCCATACCATGATGAAAGCACAGGATCCCGTCCGATCTCCTAAGTTAAGCATCATAGGGCCCAGTCAGTACTAGCGTGGGAGACCAGCTGGGAATACTCGGGTGCTGTATCTTTTGGCTTTTTGCTTCTGCTGTGTCCGAGGCACACTGGAGGATGGTGGGTGGTGGCGTGGAGAGTGTGAGAGCTTCTCTACATAGTCCGTTGCAATTACTGAGGAAGAAAGGAACTGAAGACAGTTGAAACCCCATTGCATTCTTAACACTGCTCTAAGAGAAGAAAAAGACCACCAAAGTATAGCATACAATCCCCTGAATCACGGTTGACCCAAACCAAAGCCAAGCGCGGAACAACGGCCGCGATGGCACGTAGAATCTCTTTCAAACTGAAGCACTCTTCACTCTAAGTGCTTCCATTCATTCACGTAGCATACACTCCCTTCATTTGAACGGCGACCACTGTAGGTTCTTTCATCAGCATTCATCCTGAGAAGTTGCTGACTTCGTGAATAAACCCACCTTTCTACTCCTTCTTGGCCTCAAACCCAGCCAAATCCAACAAACTCTTCCTCCTGGTCCTCTGCTGAGCACCCTGCGGCACCTCCAAACCTCCACTCTCCTGCTCCCCAACAGCAGATTCAAACTTCTGTGCCGTGGCGGCGGCGGAAGTAGTTGTGGATGGAGAGTAGTGATCATGTTGCTCGTGGAGGAGAGCCATCTGCTTCAAGCGATACTCGCGGTCCTCGCGGGCTTTGCGTTCGTCAAGAGGGGTGGAACCAGTACCAGAGGCAGATTCGGAAGTGAGACGGTCGACGAAACGGGATGGGAGAGACATTGTTGTAGCTGATTGTATTCAAGTGATTAGATGTGAGGTCAATTGAGGGATGACAGGACGGAGGCACCTTTATATAGCAGGAGTTAATTGCAATGGCTGTGTAACTGGTGTTGCAGTAGAATGAGCTTATCGTTTTAGCTTGAGGCTCTGACTGTTCCCCGCGAGGCGCAGTCGAACGTTATGACGCAACGACGAACACGAAATATGAGGGTTGACCTGAGAGTGGCAAATGCCCAGGTAGTTCCTGGAAGGTTCTTTAAGGGTTCAATTGGATCAAGTACTACGGGCATGTGCTCTATCCCAGAGCGGTAACGAGGGTGAGGAAAGAAGAGTTGGGGGACTGTCAAGGGATGTTGGATTGAATAAGCATCTCGGCACGCATACGCCAAGGCTCGGCAAAACTGGGCAATGCTCGGCGTGATATCCGACTCAAACCCACCGGCGGTCCGAGTTGACGTGGCACTTTATGAATCCGAAGGCTTATCTGCAACAGCTGCTGTAGCGAAGGTTCGAAAGCGGGGTAATTGGAACCGGTCGGATAATAAGGTCAATTGAATTGTGACGTTAAACTGTAGCTCACTTCCTGATAGAGTAATGTAAAATGCCACTGTAGCAGTTCCTTCCTATGTGTGCTCAAGACCTGTGAAGCAAAAGTGACGTCTCATATGGCCTCCGCTCGTCCACGGGTTGTCGGCGTGACGTGACGAATTACCGCACTCTGAGAAACTCCATGAATCACCACAGAGGACTTGCTAGCATGTACCCCTCGTCATTGGTCAGCAACCAGACATGCTCCTTCACACTATAAACCACATGCATCCCATCCTTCACTCCACATCTACACTTCATCGTAACGTCCCCGTCCTCCTTCCCATCCCCTCTCCTTACCCTCGCAGCAAACACAACCTCCTGCATTCTACTGCTCACTATCGACCTAGTCCAGCCTCTGCCAATGCTTTGCAATTCATCTAATACTCGTGGCAACGACGCACCCACGTTACTGTGTTCGTACATACGGTGGTATCGTACGACTGTCTCTACCACAGAACGTAGAGGTCGAAGAGGTACCCGTTTCAGACGGGTTGCGGAAGCGGTTTTCATCTCTTAAAGCCATACGCGAGCTTGTAAGCAATGTGCATCATTAAGACGTAAACAGTACTCTGCTAATGCTCGTCGAATCTCGTCGGTTCGTGCTCATTCCTTCCACCGTTTCAGCATCGCATTAACCGCGAGGATCCCAGAGTAAGGGCATGAACGGATGATGTGAACTAGCTTTTCTTTATGTGATCCTCTCGCAATTGTCGGTGATATACTCTGGATCCGGACCCTAGACTAGACGCAAAGTGGTGAGATGTGGGTAACAGTCGACCCGCTAGTCATGCTGATAGTTTATCTATGCGGACACATTCAGGTATGTACACAGAAGTAGATTATGTTCAACAACGATAATCTGTCAACGTCCTTCATGACCCGTGGGAAGATGAGGATAATGACATTCGTGACGACTTCGCCCCCCTTCATCAACTCCACAAGCCCGAATCATACTATATAAACCGATCGAAACCCCGTCAGCCGCCCCCAGCCGCTGTCATTATAAGTGCGCTCAAAGGGGCCTTATCCCTTCCCTTCCACGACGCTTGCGCAACGCGGCCGTTGTCTTCAAATGCGAAACCGAATAATTTCCCACGTGGCGTAAGTGATGTCCTTGAACATGCCAGGTATTGATGTGATCTACTTCGTCCATCATCGCATCGACCGGATGATCTTTGATGCATTGTTGGGCAGACTCGATAGCTGTGGATTAAGGATGCTTGGTAAAATGCTTTCTGGAGGTCCCACAACCTCAGGGACGTCAGTGATGGCCACGAGAGGTGCCCACATGGACTTCATCAATGAGGGGCATTGAACTTCCGACACGTGATGGACAAATTGAGTGGAGATCGCGAATCAGAATCTGCTTGGAGATGGTGCATGACTTCAAGCGCAGCAGTCAACGCCTTGACGAAAGTCGTTATAGTCTGGTCGCGACTCAAAGCGTCGCTCATCCTGTAAAAAGCAGTTGCCTTCCAACGAACAGCAGATGTTGTGAATTGAGTGCTTGCTGGTACCGTTCGGGATCGGACACCCGCCCCCACCCGTATACGTGAAGACCCTGAAGTTCTCAATGCACACATAATGCGATCTTTCAAGCAGATATGGTTTCAAGTGATGAAGGACGACAAAAGACACGGAAGCGAATGCGAAAAAGATACAGCACCCGAGTATTCCCAGCTGGTCTCCCACGCTAGTACTGACTGGGCCCTATGATGCTTAACTTAGGAGATCGGACGGGATCCTGTGCTTTCATCATGGTATGGCCGTATCTGACAACAAAAGAAACTAAAATCTACATTAACACAATCGTATTTGGCTGAGAATATGACCTCGGGCGAACGTTTGTTTGGTACACGCTTATAGTCATATATCTGGCCCTCAAGCTCGCTGAACATCCTCACCCTCCATCCTTCCCGTTGTATATACCTTAAGCCCATCACTGCAGTGAACGGTAACGACCTCTATCGCGCTCTCTACCCGTCGACGGCGTGCGAACACAAGTTCGGCGAGTTTTGCTTCACGTTCTGTAGAGATTTCAGGCCGGAATCCGGGCTCATGGACCAGTCAACGTCCCCAGTCGCGGGCCTGGCAATGCACACAACAGTTGCAAATCGTCCATGATCATGTTAACAATCCCCATGACGGCAGTATTCGCAGAATTCCCCTTAAGCTTCTCAGGGTCCAGACAATCCCGCTGACGCCATCTGACACCTGCCCGCATTTTTGTGCATCGTGCGGAGTCAATTGCGAATTCGCCGACCGACGACCTCAAAAAACACTACACCAGAAACACCTCCAACAAATCAACCAAGTAGCAATGCGTGCTTACTACTACGCTGGAGAGGGTGATCAGAAGGAGCCTCATGAGGTTCATTTATGTGCTTTGCCGTATCTGAGGATGGCGAACTGACTGGATGAACAGGGCGCCCCCGTTACCCAAGAAAAGCTCGACCAGCTCGGTGTCCTTGCCTGGCACTTCGAGGGAGACTCCCTCGAGGGTGTTGAAGCCGTCGCGAAGGAGCGTGACTACAAGAATCGCGACACTGTAAGTTCCTCCCTCCTCATCCATCATTTATTTCGCGCATCACGCTGACAACCCACCTTAGGTCACCATCTCCCCCACCTCCCTCGGTGACCTTTACGAATCCAAAATCCGCACCTTCTTCGACGAACACCTCCACGAAGACGAAGAGATCCGCTACATCCTCGACGGCGAAGGCTACTTTGACGTCCGCTCTAAGAACGACGAGTGGATTCGTTTGCATATGGTGAAGGGTGATTTGGCGGTTTTGCCTGCGGGGATCTATCACAGGTTCACGCCGGCGATGAGTAATTATACGAAGGCGTTGAGGTTGTTTAAGGATGAGCCGAAGTGGACGCCTGTGTCGAGGGCGGAGAAGACGACGGATGAGAACCCGTACCGTTTGCAGTACGTTAAGCAGTTCGTCTCTGCTTAACATAGGCAGATGGAGAAGGAGTGTGATGTATGCTGATTTGGTTATATCCTTGGCGTTGTGATGCAAAAGTTTCTCGATTTGAATTCAATATACCTTAACCGCCTACGGGCATCAACTACACCTCGAAACACATCACGAACGATCATGACCGTAAATTGTAAAGCAAATTCTTTTAACTAACCACAATATCTACAAGCCCAAAAAGTAGACCATAACGCACAAGACAGCAAGAATTACAAATACCAACAAAGGCAAACACTCATTACACCCAAAAAGAAAAACAGCTAAAACATTCAAAACACGAGATAAACCTACCAATCCAACGTTTGTAAACTCCCAAAAAAGTGAGTGAACCAATCCGGATCCACTCCTCTAAATCCACACGCGTCACATCATGTTACTATACAGATCACTCCCATGGTATTTCCCCTCTTTTTTCGACGACTGAAGCGCAAGCTTACGCCTGCATCGTCCAGATCTTCGCCCTCATATCACCGGAACCAGTAGCGAACAACTTGCCATTCGGCGAGATCGCAACGGAAATGACAGAGTTCTTGTGACCCTGCAACATAAGCTGCGGGGTTCCATCCCGTGGGTCCCAGAACTCGACGCAACGGTCCTTAGATCCAGAAACGACCCATCGGCCATCAGGAGAAAGACAAACAGATAGAACGAAGTCCTTGTGTCCAGAGAAGGTGAGCTTGCAGTTTCCACCCTTAGCGTCCCGTCCGGTAGGCAGGCCCCTGGGTGAGTTCAACTCCCAGAGTTTGATAGTCTTGTCCAAACTTCCACTCAATAAGTCCTTACCATCGGGCGAGAACGCGACGGAGTAGACAGAGTCCTTGTGACCCTCGAGACGCTCGAGGAGGTATCCAGTCTGAGAATCCCAAACACGGACGATCTTGTCGAGGGAACCGGCAGCAACGTAACGGCCGTCGGGGGAGATGGCGACAGTAGTGACACCGTCTTCGATGGAGAGGGTAAGAATACACTGTCCGGTCTCCAAATCCCAAACACGAGCGGTACGGTCACCAGATCCAGAAGCAACATAACGGCCATCGCGAGAGAAGTCAAGGGAGTAGATATCTTGCTCGTGACCAGTGAGAAGGTGCACAATCTTCTTGTTCTTGATATCCCAGATACGGATCTGCCTGTCCTCAGCACCAGTCGCCAACAACTTTCCATTAGGCGAGAAGCAGACGGAACGGATGTACAAATCACCCTCACGGTCAGCGGCCTCGTCCTTGAGGACACAGACCCTCTTTCCGGTCTTGACTTCGTAGATCTGGGCGGAGCGGTTGCAGCCGGTAGCGAGGTACTTGCCGTCAGCAGAGAAACGGACACAGCAGACGACGGACATGTGCTCGAGGGAGTGGAGGAGGTTGACCTCAAGGTTCTTGGGTGCCTTAGGGTTGTAAACAACATACCAGTCCTCACCCTTCTTCTTCAACCCGCGGGGGAGGTCATCCTCAGAGTCATGGTCACCCATGGGGACATGAGGGGGAGCCGCGCCCATGGGAGGGACAGATCCGGCACGGTCCTGCTTGACCAAGGCGGCGTCACCACCGACATGAGGGGAAGGGACGATGGGTGCGATACCCGTGGCCTGAGACTGGGGAGTAGCGGTAACAGATCCAGCAGGTCCGTTATTTTTTGGGCGCTTAGGGACGGGTGTGGCATGTTGAGCACCTGGAGACTCGACGGCAGGGGCATTGGAGTTAGGAGGGTAGGCGGACTTCACGGAGCCCGGATACTGAGCGTTTGGGCCACCGGGACCAGGGGTATATGGCTCGGCGTCAGTGCGGGGACGCTTAGTAGGGGGCTGCTGCTGCTGTCCATTTGGGTAGCCGGGGTATCCTCCTTGACCAGGCTGACCCTGCTGCTGTTGTTGCTGCTCAGGAGCAGCGAGGGAGCCCTGACCGGACATGATGCCTCCGAAGAGGTTAGAAGGGCCTTGACCGATCGCGGGCGGCGCAGGCTGTCCAGGCTGTTGAGAAGCAGGAGTTTGCTGGTTCATGGGCGCAGCATGCTGCGGAGGGACCTGCTGTTGTTGCGGAGCGGCCTGTTGGGGCATGGGAGCCTGTCCACTGCGAGCTTCCAATTCGCGACGGAGACGCGTGATTTCGTCCTCGTATCTGTGAAAATCGTCAGAACCAAAGTTATGAGGAGAACTCGTGTTAGCTCTTACTGTTGCTTGATCTTCTTGTGCGTCAACTCGAGCTCGTACACAGTCTGGCGAACCGACTGCATCTCCTGGATCTGAGCAGAGACTACGACGCATACAGTCAGCATACAGCCCCCAAAGACGCGCATTCATCCCAATTGCAGACTCACTTTTGTGCTCATAATCGTCCTTGTGCATTTTGAAGACGCTTGCCTCCTGGGTGATGGAATCAAACTCATTCTTGATGGCGTCGAGCAACTCAGAGAGACGATTCGTCAGAGCAGGCGGCACCATGGGGCGACCGTGGTTGTAGATGTTCGACATGATCGAGGGTTATATGCGCCGTAACCGCCTGTGACGATTGATCGAGCAGAGGGGAAGTTGCGGTGAAGGGGTTGATGGGTGACGCGATGTGATGGGCGTCGTGTGATCGCTTGAACAGAAGAAGTCGACGCGATGGAGGTGTCAGGCGAATCGAGAAAGCGAGTCCCCCTTGGATGGCGAGGCAGAACCTGAGTTTTCGTCGTCTGATGGTTGTTACGTCCGGGCGTTGGAGCGACTCGTGGCAGTTTGCGCTGAAGGGGCAGCGGGAGAGAGGCTAACAGGGTGGGCGCATCACCCTCGTTCCGGCGGACTAAAAGAAGCAAGCCAAATTGACCGCACCCGAGAATAGACACATGGAGACGTGCAGCTGAACTGATATGAAGAAATCGACGCAGCCACACCAGACCCTCGAAGAACAATCCACCCCAACGCGCAGCAGCAATAGAACCCGACGGCACGCTCCACTCCCGAAAATTCATCCAATCAGCGTGAAAGTGATACCATTCGAAAACGCTTCCTTGCTTTATTCGGACCTGTCACTTTTGTTTTATCATCATACGGGCGTTTCGTCGACTCATTACCCCGCTGTGCCGGTTCTCTTCCCTGTCACGGACGATCCACACCGCAAACATGTCTCTCCCTGATATTACGAAGCATGTCGGAGAATTGGCATGTCAGAAGGACAGTTACCTAAAGTCTATCGTGACCAAGGTCGTGCGCTGCGAGAAAGTCGTGCCCGCGGCTACGAACGGCAAAAAGAAGAAGGGCGCGGCGCCTGAATCTGAGAAGAAGGATGCTTGGGAGGTTGAGCTCCTCGATACAGGTGCATTCAGGTCTCCCCTCTTCAGTTAATTGCTAACGACCGAGTGTACAGTAATCTTCCCTGAAGGCGGAGGACAACTCCACGATACCGGCAGTCTTACCCCGACAATACCAGATGCCACGGCCGTCCACGTCTCAAACTGTCAACGCCGCCTTCTTTCCTGCATCCATACCACCTCCGCTCCCCTTGATCCCTCCACTGAAGTCCGTGTCAATGTCGACTGGCCCCGCCGCTTCGACAACATGCAACAACACTCCGGCCAACACCTTGTCTCCGCCGTTCTCGACCTCCCACCTTACCAGCTCGAGACCCTATCATGGGGCATGAACGCAACCGAAGCTTACGTCGAGATCGGGCGGAAGCTAAGTGAGGAGGAGTTACAGGCCTTGGAGGATAGGTGCAATGAGCTTATCAGGGAGGATTTGAAGGTTGTGGTGCATACGAGTAACCGCGTTGACGACCAAGGGAATTTGCCTGCGGATTATGATCCGGAGAAGGGAACGGTTCGCGTCGTGTGTATCGGAGACCTCGACCGGAACCCATGCTGCGGAACCCACGTCTCCAAGACTTCGCAGTTGAACGCAATCAGCATACTCTACACAACCCCCTCCCGCGGTCTCAACACCAAAATCAACTTTGTCGTCGGCGATCGCGTTCGCCGTACCGCCAAGCAGTCCGTCGGGCGACTCCGCAAGCTCGGCAACAAGCTTTCCTCCCAGATCGACGAAATCACGGACAAAGTCGACAAACTCATGGACGACAAGAAAGACACCGAAAAGCGCGAAAAGACGTGGCGCCAACTCGCCGCCCGCTTCGAAGCCGAAAAAGCCCGTGCTGCTCTCGCTTCTCACGGAAAAGCATTCATCCACGCTTCCGAGGGCGGCATCCCTCACCTTTCGGAAATCGCCGCCGAAATCGGAGAGGCAAGAGACACGGGTGTCGTCCTCCTCGTTTGCGGTGACGATACTAACGAAAACGACGGTGGACCTGTTATGGTTACGGGTGAGGAGAGTAAGGTCAAGGAGTTGGCTGCGGAGGTGCAAAAGGCGTTACCGGATGTTAGGGGTGGAGGAAAGGCTAGGTGGCAGGGGAAGGTTGGGAAGTGGTGGCCTGGAGATGTGGAGAAGTTGAGGAAGTTGGTGGAGGGTGATGCGTAAGTCATGGCATTTACACCGGCTACGCATTCATACGACATAGAGGCGCATATATACTGCACTTAAACACAGACATGATGACAACCACCACGAGGCAGGAGATCGTGACTTCCTACAAGCCTTATAGGTATCGAAGAATTCCTCAAGTAAGGCACCCTCTCCTCGAAATTATGCGAACTCGGACCGCCGGAGCGTACTTCCCCTTTCTGATACGATATGTACAACAGTGAATTAGACTGAGAAGAGACCCAAAAACGCCTAGATAAGCCCAGTAAATCCAAAATGCAACCTCGGTTTTGTATCTTTCACGACGCCATCGTTCCTTTCACTCTCGACCCTTAAGGATATGCATTTAGGCGGCGAGAGGAGAGATCAACTTGATCAAGGAGATCTGCTTGGCGGAGCGGGTGTATCCTGTAATTCTCGATGAGTATTTCGAGCGGAAGAGTAGCGAAGATGAGTAGACGTACCGATGTAGAGAATCATGGGAATGAAACCCCAGTGGACGGCCTGCTTGGTGATCTCGATGACCCTGGAGATACGCTCCTACAGCACAGTCAGCAACCGGTCCCCTCGCCCGCGAACTCCAAACGAACCCTGGTCTCCTCTGATAGTGCGAAGAAAGGCATGTTGTTGAGTATATAGTTTTCTGATCGTTCACTTTAAACTTTTGTGCCGACGTCAGCTGCAGGTCCATGCCGGCGCCGAATTCAGCACGCCCGGGAGTCTACGATACACCTCCGCCATACGCACACCCCATGACAATTAGAACATGTGGGGACGAAGCAATACCGTCACCATAGTTGAGAAAGCCGTGTCGACTGCTGTTCCAGACTTGCCTGCTCCGGTACTGGAATATGTCTCGAGATTGAGTTCGCAACATGTGGATAGTCGGTGGAGTTTCACGCAGGGATTCTTGCTCGGGCAGTTTACTGTGATTGGCATGGTTTGCGTATTCCTGTGGGTGTTTATCTTGGGAGACAAGGACACAGTGTTGGTGGAGAATGCGAGAGGACAGTACCGGCGGAATCAATTACGGAAGAAGAAGTCCTCGGTACTGCGAAACACGCCCGTTCAATCTACTTCAGAAATCCTCGCCAAGACGTTCTACAACGTCGCCTCTCATCAGCCGGAATCACTCGATTGGTTCAATGTGCTTGTAGCACAAGCAGTCATGCAATTCCGCGAAGACGCAAAGAGCAAGGACGCAATCCTCACATCTTTGGATGCCGTTATGAACGGACCACGGAAACCAGATTTCTTGAGTGATATCAGGATCACGGAGTTGAGTTTGGGAGAAGAGTTCCCTATCTTTTCGAACTGTCGGATACGGCCAATGGAGGGTGAACCGAACCGATTGGTACACTTGCTCACTCCATTATAAAAGCTTGCAATACTGACATTGAGATGTAGCGCGCAGAAATGGACATTGACCTCCGCGACCAAATCACCCTCGCAATCGAAACAAAATTCCTCCTCAACTACCCCAAACCCCTCTTCGCCGTCCTCCCCGTCGCCCTCGGCGTTTCCATCACGCGTTTCTCCGCAACACTTTCCGTCTCCTTCGTTCCGCCCCCAGACCCTGATACATCCTCGTCTACTACAACCCTGACCTTTAGCTTCAGCCCTGATTTTAGATTGGATATCAATGTGAGGAGTTTGTTGGGTGCGAGAAGTAGGTTACAGGATATCCCCAAGATCGCGCAGATAATCGAAAAGAGGCTGAGGGATTGGTTCATGGACCGTTGCGTGCAGCCGCATTTTCAACAAGTCGCGATTCCATCATTATGGTACGCAAGTCTCATGAGTTTTAAAATATGAAGTGCGCTAACGAGAACTGTGTACAGGCCAAGTAAGGCAAAAGAAGGACATGTACAGAAAGAACGATCGACTCAGATGGAGGCTGGTGCGAATTTGCATTCGAGTGAGGAGTTGTTGGCGCCGCCTGCGTCACCGGGAGTGGAGACGGCGAGTACGGCGGAGGGGCTGCATCAGAGGACGAACTTGATGACGGGCGCAAATGGGAATGGGAATGCCGTTGGGAGTGTTGTGAGCAGGATGCCAGGAGCGATACCCGGAGAAGCATTGTGATTGAAAGCAGAAATAGCATGAGAGGGAACATTGCGAGGAACGTAAGGTACACTAGAGCATCCGGACAATTGCATGCGGCTTCGGTTCGGACGGGACGTAGGTTGTGGCCGGTGCATATGGGAAATGAACAGATACGGCCATACCATGATGAAAGCACAGGATCCCGTCCGATCTCCTAAGTTAAGCATCATAGGGCCCAGTCAGTACTAGCGTGGGAGACCAGCTGGGAATACTCGGGTGCTGTATCTTTTCTTCCTTTTTGGGCTCATGCTTGCCCTGATCATGAAGATCCAGGGCCTTTCGGCCATTGTGAAGAAGTGCAGGTCACTTCGGTAAGCGCTATCTGCTGTAGCTATAGGTGCACATGCTTCAATGCGGTTTGAATGCTCTGCTATGCTATCCGTCCCTCATAGTACGCACGTGCTTCCTCATCCAAGCAATTCACTCCTCCACAACCACCATAGCCCCCTCATTCAACCTCCTCTCATCCTCCTCCGTCAACCCCTCAAACAACCTCCCATAACACCCCTGCCCAACAACATTATAATGCCCATACGGATTCCTACTAACGAGATACGCTCCACACAAAAAACAAAAATGCGTCCCGCACCGGCCACATATCATATGATTGCACCCCATCGATTTCTCGACGGGTACGGCGCAGGTTGGGCAGGGTGTTGAGTTGTCGCGGAGCCAGCGGAGGGCGAGTTGTTCGTCTTCGTAGAGGGCGACGAGGCGGTGTAGGACGCGTTGGCCGTAGCGGCGTTCCATGAGTTTTTGGGCGGTGGGGTCGGCGGAGAGGTAGTCTTGGACTAATCCGCCCGAGGCTGTATTCGCGGGGTTGTATTTGCAGGCTTCGACGGGGCCGTGGTAGGTTTCGCGGCATAATGTACAAAAAGTATAACCGCAGCTGGGGCATACGCCGAGTTTGTCGATCATGCCTTCCGAGTCCTTTGAGGGGGGGAGGGGGGTATTGCACGAGGGCCGGGGACAGTAGATCGTCGTTGGGTCAGCGTCAAAGTGGTGTTTTTTCGCCATGTCTTTGTATCTCTGGATCTTTTCTGGTGATAGCACGCCCACTAGTTCTGATGGTGGTACTGAGTAGTCTTGGAGGTATTCCCATTCGGATTTTGCGGTTGTGGATGGGGCGCACCCCTTTTTTATCGATGACAGGCAATCGACGCAGCGGACTTGGCTGACCATACCTTCTTCGATGCAGACGCCGTAGTAGTCTTCGAGACAGGCTTTGCAGAAGACGTGGCCGCATGCGCTAAGCCGTTGACATGCGGAGCCTTTGTGGTTTGTGAGACAGATCGAGCACGCGAAACTGGTATTGTTGAATGATTTCGCTGTCGCTGATGAGTCGTATGAAAGAAAAGTGTCCCGTAGTTGGTATTGTGATGGTCCGAAGGTGAGTGATAGCGCGTGTGAAGGCGTAGCTGACGGCGAGGAGAAAAGTGTTGATCCCGAGTCGCGAACGTGTTCCGCATAGGTATATATCGACTGATCCCTCGTCTCATCCCACAACCTCACCAACCCAAGCTGTACCCGGTCCACATCCGCCGTCGCCAGCCACCTACACTCCAACTTCACCACCGGTGGCACATCCTCCGGATACCCCTCCGGCAACACAAACCGCATCACCATGGGCGGCAGATGCGACACGGTCAACATCTCTGGCTCATCACTTTTGGGAGAGGTGAATGTCACGGTCACCGGCGATGCGGGCTCGATGGGGATTGTGATTGAGCCGGCATACTTCCCGGGGGAGAGATTGAGTTCGTCGGCGTAGATTGCGGCAAGGGCTTCGAGTTCTTGGGAGCGGGAGTGGTCGTCTTCGATCGTCATGTCCCTTCCTCCTGGTTCCTCCTTGTTCCTTGTTCTTTGGAAGTGATCTGGTTCAGTGGCGATCGTGCTGCCGTATACCGCATTAGTCAGGAACGCCGCATACACACGCAGTACGTCACTGAATCAACAGAGAAGGCAAGGCATCAAGGCAAGGTGAAGGAATGACAGGAGAGACGATGGACTACACGACGCTGCAGGCTTTGACGTTGGGCGACCGCGGCGTCGAGGAGCCTGTCAGCGTGAACCAGAGGGCCTTGGTTGACAAGATCTTGGCCCGCTATGCCTCGGAGAACACCACCCTAAGAGAACTGCTGCAAAACTCCGACGACGCAAACGCTACCTCCGTCGAAATCCACTACGAAACAAAGTCAAAACTCCCCCTCAACCCCACCACTCTCCAACGCACCCGTGCCTCCCGTCTCATCCTCAAAAACAACGGCTTCCCCTTCCGCGACCAAGACTGGTCCCGCCTCAAACGCATCGCAGAAGGAAACGCGGACGAATCCAAGATCGGAGCGTTCGGTGTTGGGTTCTATTCTGTTTTCAGTGTTTGTGAGGATCCCTTCGTTAGTTCGGGTGGGGAATGTATGGCGTTTTATTGGGGGAGGACGGAGGGGACGAAAGATCAGTTGTTTGCTAGACGGGCAAAGGTGGGAGGGGAGCATGAAAAGGATGGGTGGACGACGTTTGTGTTGAATATGAGAGAGGAAATGGAACTGCCGAACCTGCCGGATTTGTGTCGGTTTTTGACGACGTCGCTGACGTTTGCTCGGTCACTCGCCAATATCAGCCTTTTCTTCGACTCGAAACCTCTCATTACCATTTCGAGAATCTCATCACCCTCATCTACCCTCTCACTCCCAACGACACTGAAATACACTTGTCCGCAGAAAATGCTGAATCTCCAAAGTGTCGCAAGCTCAGCAGTCCAAATCAGCGTGGAGTACCTCAACGCTGTCCTCTACAAGCCTGATCGCGGACCCGACACCAGTTTCAGAGGACGCTTCCTAAAGTTCGTCACCGCTGAGCCCGAGAAACCAAAAGTGACACCCGACTGGATGGCACGCACACAAGCAACCGCATTCCTCCGCGTCGCAACAGCGAGCATATCCTGCTCCGTAAAACCTTCCTACGCCCAAAACCTTTCCCGAGCAACCAAGAAACCACCACCAAAACAAACCTCACTTTCCCTCCTCTGTATCAACAAAGACGAATACGCCGCATCCTCGGTGACTGATCCAGTTTTCCGAGACCTTGTTTCGTTCCCGAATCAGGGACGTTGTTTTATTGGGTTTCCTACGCATCAGACGACGGGTGTTGCGACCCATTTGGCTGCGCCGGGCTTGATTCCTACGGTTGAGCGCGAGTCGGTTGATCTCGTTGATCCATTTATTAAGATATGGAATTTCGAGATGTTGTATGCGGCGGGTATTTTGGCTCGAATTGTTTATCACACTGAATTAGCTGCACTCCCGGGAGGCGAGGCGGGGTGGGAGAGAGCGATACATACCATGCAGCTATTTACCGTGCATGGGAGTACCCCCAGTGCGAAGATTGGACAGAGCATTGAAGAGGCGTTTCATGAGTGTAGCAAGAACTACTCAGTACCGATTGTGAGTACGCAGGGTGTGTTGCCCTCCAGCGAGGTGAGGCTACTCGGGGATAGCAAGATCACGTTCTTGGAGAAGGTTCCGGTCGTGCCGAGGGTTGTCGAGGAAGCGAAGGGCGCGAGTGCGTTTTTGGATAGGATGGTGGAGATGGGACTCATCGCCGCGGTTGGGGTTGAGGATGTTGTCAGAGAATTGGAGGCACGGCCTTTTGGGTATGCGCAGGTAAATGATTTGTTGGGGTGGATGGGTGGGAACGCTATGACACTGCAGGACAAACAGCGGATCTTGAATGTTGCGGTTGCTGTCGCGGAAGATGGAAGCGTGTATAATCTGGGCAAGGGACGGTGGTTCTTGAATGCGAAGGTTATTCCGGAAGGGTGGCCGGTGCCGTTGACGTGTGTGCCGTATGCGTTGACGAAGAAGCTGGATAGGTTTGCGTTGGAGATGTTGGGGTGGGAGGAGTTGGATCCCCTGTCGTGGGTCAAGTGGATTTGTGACACCAAGAAGGATGTGGTTTTGAAGGATTTGGAGGGGGATAAGGAGTTTGCGGTGACTGTTTTGGGTGTTGTGAGTAGACAGTGGGAGAGCCTCAGTCCGAGTACGAGGGGTGGGTTGGTTGCGTTGTTGAGAGGGAAGAGGTGTGTTCCCACGCGGAATGGGATGATGAAGCCCGAGGAGGCGTATTTCCATACGGTAAATTTGTTCCAAGATCTTCCGGTTATTGAGACGATGAAGGGCGTCAAGGAGAAGGTTCTCATACAGCTTGGGGTGAGGAAGACGGTTGAGTTGCAGATTGTGTTTGATCGGTTGTTTAAGGGTGGGGAGTGGAGTCATGTTGAGCTCATCACGTACTTGACGGGTGTGAAGGATGATATCCCGAAGAAGGAGATTGAGAGGTTGAAGAAGACGCCGATGTGTACGGCTGAGGGTGATCCGACGAAACGGTATCTGGCGAGTGATTTGCATGAGCCGAATGATACGTTGAGAGCTTTGGGGTTGCCTATCCTGCAGTGGAAGACGAAGGAGAATAAGGCTTGGAAACCGTTGAGCGACGAGGCGAGGTTTTTGTATATGTTGGGGTTGAGGAAGTACCCGACTGTCGATAAAATTCTTGAGCTTGCGGCGAGCGAGGATGTGACGTTGAGGAACAACGCTCTGGCGTATTTCATTGCTGGGTATACTGGTCATGGATACGTCCGGGACTACAAACCGGCGAATGTCCAGCATGCGTTCTGTCCGGCTGAACCGGACGTTAACGGGGTTGTGAAGCTGTACAAGCCTACCATGGTTTTCACACAACCTCTTGCGGCGATGTTTGGGTTTCCAGTGTTGAGGAGAGATTTGTGGCCTGCGTCTTTGCAGCTTGGCGTGAAGGCCGATCCTCCGATTGACAAGGTCGTGAATCGGTTGTTGCAAAATCCGCCGGTTACTACAGAAATTGCTAGAGTGCAATTTGAGTACCTGGCTGGGAGAACGGGTGATATGGCCATTGAGTATGTCAACCAACTTTCGAACGCGAATATCGTGCCTATTGCGACGTCAACGGGGAAGATCAAGCATGTTGCGCCGAACACCTGCTTTCTGAATACGCAGAGCTCCGAGGCATCTTTCTATCGCGAGATCTTCTCCTATGTCGACTTTGGTAGTCTTGCGAACGCCTTTCTCAAGCACGTGGGAACTAAGTTGGAGCCGACGCAAATGCAGATTGCGGAAATGCTGGTGAAGAGTCCTGGTGACATTTATCGCTTGGCGCAGACAGACGACAAGTACCTTAGCTTGTTGAGGCAGCTGGCAATTAACATTGCTTCGTTGCGGAAGAACAGGGGTTTGTTCGAACAGTTGAAGCAACGACCATTCTTGTTGGCGCACAAGGTCATCCCGGCCAGCGACGGCGCCCAGGCCGGTGACGATGACGAGGATGACATGCAGTCGCACGTTCTAGCCGCTGCGTCTGACATCGTCATTGTTGATGACTTTGTCTCGTATAATCATTTCAAGAGCGACTTGCTCGCTGCACCCCAGGAAGACGCTTTAGAGTCCTTCTATGAGATGCTTGGCGCTTCGCGTGTCTCAAATGTTATCAAGGAGAATCATCGTGTTGCAGGTATTGCGAAAGCAACCCAAGACACGGAGGAGCTGCGCAAGCTCATCAACGAACGAACGAGTCTGTTCTTGCACGAGACCAGTGAGGCAGTGGCATATGATGCGAAATGGCTTGCAAGATGTTTGCGTGTCGTCATGGTGGACAAGATTCAGTTGCAAAGAACAATGCAGTTTGGTACGCGGGTCTCCACTCAGGCTCAGACGACATCCGCCTTCGTTCAGCAGATCAAGGGTGCCTGGCAGTTGAACGTCACTCCGAATTGGGACTTTTATGATATTGCACAAGCACTCTGTAAGCTATTGCTGGTCAAGTCTAAAGTGCATGACCCTCTGTTGTTTACGTCACTGCTTACTACAGATTTGAAGTTGCTGAGGAGACGTGGATATAACGTGGATAGGATTTTGGCTAACAAGGAGGAAGCACGGAAGCTTGCAGAGCAGAAGAGACAGAAAGACCTAGAAGAGCACGAGAAAGCTCTGGCGATAGAGGCCGTCAAGGAGAAGGAGAGGGAGAAGGAGAGGTCTATACAGGTTGAGGGGACTCCTCGCACGCCGCAGAAGCCTATTCCGGGGGCCTTCCCTGAGTCAACCGGGAAGCATACTCTCATTCAGACACCGTCAGGGCATCAGGAATCTCAAGATTTGTACGGTAAGCTTCGGCGTAAGCTTGGTTGGGGTGGCAATACCGATAATACGAGTGTCGGGACTCTGGATCATCGCCCTTCAAACTCCAATACGGATATGGCACCTATCCATAAGGGTACAGTTGAGCATGGTCCTCTCGCAGCTCCCGCGGAAAAAGTTACGTCAACCGCAAAGCTAGAGCAGACGCTCAGATATGCTGTTTCCGCTTCCCACCCTGCCGATGCTAAGCAACTTGTGTCTCCTCCAACCATGACAACTGTGAAAGAGGCTGTGAGCACGTACTGTGATTCTTCTTCGGGACATAACAGTCGCTTGGTGGGCGAAGTCTCAGGGATTCGTTTCTACGTCAGTGAGGATGTACCGGACGAAGAGCGTGACAATGCCCTTGCTTACTTCGCTAAGGACTTGAGAGATTTTGTTGACATTCTCAAACGTCTCGCAGGAGTGTTTGACTGCGAATACCGGGTCTTCAATATTTTCTATGACAAGAAGGGTCCGAATATTGCGTTCAACCGAGGTGGTACGATCTACTGCAACCTCCGTTACTACTTGCAATTGCACGCTGGGGATGCTGGTCGTGGCAAGACTTCGGACGCAGTTGTCTACTGGTATGTATCGCTTGCGCATGAGTTTGCACACAATTTAGTTCAGGAGCATTCGGCTGGTCACAGTTTTTACACGGAGAGTTTGATTAGTCAATACTTTGGCAGGGTTGTGCCGCTGCTGGCTGGCCCAGGACAGCTGCAGCTTGAGAATTAGGGTAAGATGGTGCGGTGTTGAATATTTGTAGTCAAATACGTATAAGCTTAGACTTGCTCTGCTACACAAATACCATAGAAGGTGCTATCAGCTTACTTGGAGCGTAAAGCGTGGGAACCAAAGTGAACTCATCGTACAGTTCTGTTCCCGTTCGCGACACGACCCACTCCTCAAAGGGTTTGCTAATTGGGCAGCTGATTTTGAGCGATGGCTTCCAAGCTTGAACCAGGGTATTCATACACTGCTGAGGTCTTGTAATACAGTCGATATTTTCTCAGTGCATGCCGCCTCGATGAACTGGGGGTGCATCAAACCTTTGACATTGCAACTAGTGTAATAAGTGTCTCATACGAATACTGTCAGACAGTCTCGCAACAAATCGTGGTAATCAACCCTCAGTGTCAAGCTTGATCACCCCTCGCGGCACTCCACAAGCACATATATCCTCAGTTGAAGGAGCGGCCTTCAAGGCTCCCAAAGCGAGTACCTTCAGCACCCTCGCCTTCTGCAGACGAAGTTCGTATGGAAAGCGAGTAATATCTGCCTGTTGTGCAGTAGCAATTTCGACGGCCTGATTATAATCCGTATGCTTGTGCAGTTGGTGATGTTTAACTCGGTCCTTGACGAATTCTTGCAGTTTTTCATAGCCGAATTTGCGGATGGCACTCTGCTCAGTCCGAGAGACACAGGTGTATAAACCAACATGGCTCATCCTCAGACCAAACTGATCAAGGCCTTCTCTCAGAAGTTTGTCGTAATCGTGGCGTCGACCTTCCTGATCGCGCACAACAGCTTGGGACCTCGCCACTGTCTTTATGTTCAGTCTGTCTGCTTCAAGATGTGTTATCTTTGCTTCCCTCTTTGCTTTCGCCGCCGCTTTCACGTCGGAGAGGAGGTACAGGACGCAGCCACGCGGGCTCGAAACCGAAGGCAGTCTGATGATATCTTGGTCGTTGAGACTGTACTGTCATAGCATCCCTGTGCTTAATCAGCTGATAATAGGGATGATTGCTTTGGCATGCCGAACATGTCCAGGCGTCGCGAATGAACGGATGGAAGTAGAGAGAGGGGCTGTACGATCCGCAACCTTGACATAAATTTTGCAAACGTTGAGCAATGTTTTCACGCGCCGTCTCCTTGCGATCGTGCCTGGTGAGAGGAGCGTTGCTTCTTTGCAGAATCGGTTACCAAATAGATTCGTCCAGCCAGCCAGCGAACTGGCGGCAAGCAATTGATAAGCGAAAGATCGTCAGGATATGTTCAGGTTCTTGGAAGTAAGACATAATGTCGTAGAAATGCTCTGCGGGAACATCGGTGAGGGTGGTTCGAAATTAGGTATGAAGGACGTCAGCATACACCCGGAGGCATGAATTCAAGTACACGAACGACGCAGGCTTCCATGGTTCTGCACAAGCTTCCCTGAAGCTCCTCGTCCCTCTCATCACCCACTGCCTTATGGCGCTTATACTTTTGGATCGTTTTTGACTCGACGCCCTGTAAAACCTCATTCAGCCTGCATTCATGAAGGGGCACCTCTAAATTCAACACACTCTCGCCGTGTCACTGCACCGATCAACAAGACCCACGACCGATCCTGATCTCTTCACATGCTCACGTCCAATTTCCGTCATCGCAAGAAGCCGTTTGTTTTCTTCTCAGAGGTGACGTCGAATTCGGGGCTCCCCCCGGACCCGCTAGCGTGTGATATTAAGGCTCAATGTCTGCGTTCAAACAGACCCGCAGCACATGAATATTTTACGGCAGTGCAAGACGAAGACCACATTTTTACAAACGCTTCATGAAGGTTATTCTGAATCTTGCGCAACGGGCGAAGGCTTTCAGAAGCTGACATGGACGACATGCTTCTGAAAGGTACCCACGGTGGCCGTGACCACGGCTGCAGCCGCGGTTGTAGCAATGTCAGACCAACAGCAGCTGGCACGTTAAGCAAGCACGGTTACACAAAAACCAAAAGATACAGCACCCGAGTATTCCCAGCTGGTCTCCCACGCTAGTACTGACTGGGCCCTATGATGCTTAACTTAGGAGATCGGACGGGATCCTGTGCTTTCATCATGGTATGGCCGTATCTGACAATGTTTTTTTTGTGGAGTTCACATACGGCGAGGCTGGCGCTTCTCACGCGGCCGGCGCGACCTGCGTTGAAAGCGTCTGGGTCAATTCACACGATATCGGTCAGCTCCGATTTGCGTAGGAAGAATGAGATGAATGGTTAGAGTACCTACATTCGCTCTACCTGTACCCTTATGTTACCCACTCAGCCAATGCGATGCTTTCTATATATTACTCTGAATCCATACACGTAAAGCCCCTTGCTCTCGATCCTTCTCAGTTTTCGTTTTCTCTCGTCCTTGGTCCTTGACATGCGCTTTCCAATATCCATAACAGCTCTGGAATTGTCTTACGGCACCGGGTTCGAGCATCGGGAAGTCTCGCGCCTCCATCTTCGGTACCTCCTGAAGGGTCAGTCCACTCTTACGTAGCGCCTCAAGCTGGAAAGTGTCGAGCATGCCACCACCTGAGGCGTAGAAAAGGAAGCTTTTGAGGCCTTCTTCATCCTCAGTAAGGCTTCGTCGTTCAGCAACAGTATGCTTGTTCTCAAGCGTCCCCTTTTTCCGGTGTTCTCTCCGACTTGGTTGGGCCGGATGATAACTCTGATAGGCTCTTTGCTCGCTCTTCACAAACCCATTCAACTCCGGCCCCCTCACCCACCGATTTACCTCAACAACACACCCCTCTCCCACCATCCACCCCACTATCCTTGCCACATTCGCCGAATCATCAAGCCCGCAATGTTCCCGCCCCTCAAACCTCATCCCGCAATGCTCCAGCATGGCATTAATATTCCGCTTCCCAATCTGCAAGTAATCTGAGAAAAGGGCTCGGACATCGACGTAGGAGCCGCAGAGCCAGGGTGGTGGGGGTGAGGGGCCGGAGACGGGCAGCTGTTTGGTGTGCACGAATGACTCGAGGTCCCAGCGGCCGTCGCAGGCGAAGGCCCAGTTGCGGGATTGGGACGTGGAGGGTGAGTTGCGCCAGTCTGAGACGTGGGGGTGAAGGATGTTGTCGTGTTTGCTGAGCCAGGCTTCCACAGTTTTGAGGGCGTCTGGGAAGGTTGGTGCGTCGTCGACTTGGTCCTTCGATTCAGCAGAATTTAGCAGGGGAAAGAGGAGGAGTGAGGAGAGAGAAGAGGAGCCGTACTTGCGTAATGCCAGTCAAAGTAGTACAGAATTCAGACAGCTTTGGGTTTTTGACCGGCTTGATGTATGTCCTGAAGCGATCCACGACCTGCTTCGTTTCGACATCGTACAGCACTATCGGAAACTCGATGATCTCGTGGGGATAGACACCCGGCGCGAAGCCTTCCTCAGCCGTCGCTTCGACGTCGCAGCACAACAGGTAACGTCTATGATCCATATCAGCATGGATCCTGGGATAAGGGGTTAAGATTATTTACAGCTTCAGCTTCAGCTTCGGGCCTTTCGGGAGGGTTGCGGCTAGAGCTGCTTTCTCTGCTGCTGCTGCTACGTGTAGCTTGGCCTGGCGCTCTCTCGCTTCCTGTGAGACGATGTGAGAAAACAAACCCTGAATCGCAGTACGATGAAGTAGACTCACCTGGGCATTTTTTAGTCGCTTCTTCAATGTGTCCTTGTGACCCCGCGAATCAACTCCCAGCTGCTCAAGAGCCGTCCGAAACTCTGACACAGTCTTCGGACGTGGACCCTTCACTAACTGTGCATTTATTGGAGCTTTCGCTTCAACCAACGCTGCCTCGTCCTCGGCCGATACTTTCTTGTTGGCTATACCCGACACGGTTGCGATCGATGAGAGATTGATCGCTCGTCCTAGAGCCTGTAAAGTGGTGTCGGAGGTTAAGGGTCCGGCTATAACGGCTGCAAAGGCGTTGCTGAAGCCTTTGAACGGAATTTTGATGGTTTGGTGGGTGTTCAGTGGGTTTACCGGTTTGGTGTGTCTACGTTACATCTACCCAAGATTCTCATGCAGGTGCGAACCCCACGACTAGGCGTCCGTATCGAGAGTTCAGACTGCCCATATAAAGCGTCCGCCCCCAACACAATTGCAATCAGACCAGATACCAATTGCAACAAGGGAGACACCATGGGAGACGCAACACAAGACACATCCGTCGAACTCCAAAACCTCTCCTTCTCCTACACCGCCGACAACTCCTCCCACGCAATCCTCGATGACGTATCCCTCTCCCTCCCCGCCGGCTCCCGAACCCTTCTCATTGGCGCAAACGGCGCTGGAAAAACCACGATTCTGAAGATTTTGGCGGGAAAGCGTATTGCGAAGGAGGGTGCGGTGAAGATTGGGGGTGTTGACCCGTTTAGGGACGGGGCGCAGGGAATTACGTATTTGGGCACAGGTTTGTCACCACTTCTCTGTGGGAAGGGAGTGTATGCTGACTTTGGAAGGGTAGAGTGGGCCAATAACCCGATCGTCCGGAACGACATCCCAGTCGCACACCTTATCGCCTCCGTCGGCGGCGAAGCCTTCCCCGAACGCCGCGACGAACTCGTCCGAATCCTGGACGTCGATCTCTCATGGCGCATGCACGCCGTCTCAGACGGTCAGCGTCGTCGGGTACAGCTCGTGATGGGCCTAATGCGACCTTGGAGAATCCTTCTTCTCGATGAGGTCACCGTCGACCTTGATGTGCTGGTCCGCGCGGATTTCCTGGATTTCCTTGAGCGAGAAACGAAAGAGCGAGGTTGCACAATCGTCTACGCAACACACATCTTCGACGGTCTCTCCTCATGGCCCACCCACCTTGTCCACATCTCACTCGGCCGAATCTCCTCGTTCGGGCCAGCCTCGGAGTACCCGGAACTCAACGCCACCCAGTCGACGGGTAACTCATCGTTGTTGGCGTTGTGTTTGGGGTGGTTGAAGGAGGATCGGGAGAAGATTAGGGCGGGGGATAAGAGGATCAAGTGGGAGGATATTAGTGAGTTGCAGAAGCATGGGGAGGGGGGCGCTCATAAGTTTGGGAAGTATTTTAATAAGACTAGAGGGAAGGAGTAGATGGACGAGAGCATTATTTGGCATTAGACAGATATTGATACATTTGCTAAATCCTTGCCATCGCCGGCGCTCCCTCATGAATCACTTTCGACGCTGCCATTTCGTATTTCACGAAACGTGAGAAGATCAATTTTGGGACGTGCGATATGAGAAGTAAATTTAAAACGTTGTCAGATACGGCCATACCATGATGAAAGCACAGGATCCCGTCCGATCTCCTAAGTTAAGCATCATAGGGCCCAGTCAGTACTAGCGTGGGAGACCAGCTGGGAATACTCGGGTGCTGTATCTTTTTCGTTCTTGCCTCGGATCGGTACATGTTCCACTTTTGTTCCGAGTCTCAAGCTAGGCAACAATTTCAACAGAGAGAAGACAGGATTAAATGAAGTATATACAACTGTATTTGATTGAGTAGAGTATGAATCCACCAGGCGTAATAAGTCTATGTACGTATACAGCTTACAAAATCCCTAAACGCCGAAAAAAGACCATCCAAAACGAAAGGAACCATCACATTATATCTTAAGCCGTCGTCTCCTCCTCTTTTTGCTCCTCCTTATCGTCGCCGTTCGTCTCGACCTCCTTGGTCTCCTCCTCTTTTTCGGCCTCGCCGTTGACAGCAGGGGTCTCCTCCTGCTGCTCGCCGTTGGTCTCCTCCTGCTCCTCAGCGTCGATAGACAAGGCCATCAATTTCTCGATGCTGACCACTGTGTTCACATGTTAGCTGCGGTCTAGCCTCACGAAAACGGTGATAACTTACAGTGCTTTCCGTAGCTGTACTTCTTCAGGTTCTGCAAATGCGGCCGAATCTTACCAACCAACATCTCCCTCTGATCACCCTCCGAAATATCAAGCATCTTCTGCACAACATAATTGGCATACTGATCCTTAATCATCAACAACAGGGGGTTAGCGCCATCCTCCTTAACCTCGACCATCTCCTCCAAGACAGTATGCTTCTCCTCGGTGGTGCCGTGAATAATGCACTTCTCCACCACGTTGGAAGCGAACTTGTGCTTGGAGTAAGGAAGAACCTTACCCTTGACCGCCTCAATGATCTTGGAGCGGTCCTCGGGCTGGCCGCGCTCAATCACATGCTGGATAACGTAGTTACCATACGAGTCCTGGATGAGGGCGTCGGTATGCTGGTGCAACTCGTCCAACAAAGGAGCAGTGTCGTCAGAGTACTCCAAGATCCTCTGGATAACACGGCATCCATAGGGGTGAGTAGCGAGCGCGAAAGCCTGTTCCCGGCACGCATCCAGGATGAACTGAAGGTGCTCCTGAGGAACACGCTCAATCGCCTTCTGGATACAGTGATTACCGTTCTGGTCCTTGACGCACTTCAAGACGTGTCCGTCAAGCTCCTTCACAAGCGCAGCCTGCTGCTCAACCAAAACGTGCTCGAGCGCCTTCTGCACCACACGGCATCCGTACATTTGCAATGCCAAACTCAACACATGCCCCTCCATCTGCTTCGCCAAAGTCGTCTTGTGGCTCTGATCACCATGCTCAAAGAACTTCTGCACAACATAGTTTCCGAACACATCCGTCATCAACTGCAAGCAGTTTGGCAAGATCTCGTTGAAAACGATCTCCTTCTCATCACTCTTCGCAGTCTCCAACTTCTGCTGTATGAATCGCGAACCATGCTGATCACCAGAGAACTCGACAACGTGACCAAAGATATCCTTCAACTCGTATTTCTTGCTCTTGTTGCTCCTGAACTCCTCCAACAAAGGCGAGCGCATACCGTGGGCATCGTCCTGACGGTTGTTGTTGTGGTGACGGTCGTGGCGACGACGGTGGCCGTTGAAGTGAGGTCCATTCTGACCCTCAGCTATCGGGATAGGGCCCATGGGTCCAGGCCCATAGGGGCTCATCGGTGGAGGCATCATGCCGGGCATAGGTCCGTTAGGAGCCCACTGCGGAGGAGGAGGGAAGTAGCCCTGAGGCGCATCACCCCGCATCATGTTGAACTGCTGCTGCTGGTGCTGCTGTTGTTGCTGACTCAACAAATGCCTCTGGAACTTTTTGTCAACGCCGTTCGCCCGGGGTCCACGACCATTGTGCATGCCGTTTCCGTAGAACGGAGGAGTCATGTGGCCGCGGCGGGGCTGCTGTGCGTAAGGGTTAAAAGCCTCCATACCCTGTGGTGGGTAGGGCATCTGCTCGCCGTTGTAAGGGGCTAGCGCACTGTTCTCACCCTGCTGCTCCCACGGCTGGTTGCCCTCCCTGGGCGCGCCGTACGGATGCTGCGTAGGAGCACCGTACTGCGGGTACATGTTGCGGTTGTATGCGTCATATCCGTTCTGACCCTCGCCATTCTGCTGCTGCTGCTGCTGTCCATCCTGCAACCCCATCTGCCTCAACCCAGTCAACGCCTCCTGCTCACGAGCAGCATCGTTCCAACGACCAGGATAAAACTCCGGGATCTGGTCAATCGATCGGGGCGCGCCGTTCTGGCGGAGGTGAGAGGGGATGAACTCGCCTCCGGTGAATCCGGGGACCGCGGGTGCGCCATTCGCAGCAGAAGCCGGACTCTGACCCATGTGAGCGGCCTGAGCAGCGGCAGCTTTTGACTGCCTCATACCTGCAGTGAATCCAGCTCCGTTGGGGCTAGCAGCCCTGGCAGACTCGGGGGAGTTATCGGTAGCCAACTGCTGTCTCCTGCCGGAGGGGCTAGTCGCAGCGCTCGCTGATCCGGCCGGGGGTTCTGCACCGTTTGCCTGCTCGGCGGGAGTAGGGTTCCAGGCGGATTTAGCGGTCGGCCAGGTGTCGGCGTTCAAACGGGGTTCCGAGGGCTTGGTATTGACGGAGGACCAGGCGTTCGTCCACGGGTTCGACGGCGCAGGCGCAGCAGATTCAGTCTGTCGCACACTCTGTCAGCGTTTATCCCTTCCAAAGAACACATTCAACCCCCGGATCACCATCCGGAAGCATCCGCGCCCACACGTACCTTGTGCTCAGTAGCCATCTCTTTCACCTAAATATACAACAAGGACAAAGACACACGGCCAGTAGGAAGTCGAATGTACAACGAGGAAAGCAACGAATCGCCGAACGCTCTTCAGGTTCTGTACAACTGCAACCGCTTTGTACAAAAAATCAAAATCCCGATGTCTCGAGGACTCTCAACTTGAATTTCGTAAGGAACTTCGCGTTTGCTGCAGGGCACCCGGACTTTTTCTGGGGTGCACGTGAAGCGCGCGGACGATCGGCAAGTGATAGCAGGAAAGGAAGCTCGAAGTACTGTAAGCAATTGTATTTCAAGATCCCAGGTCTTTCTATAAGACCGAATAAACACTAGAACAAGTAGAACCAAAAACTAGATGCTGCTTCCATGTCCATGGACAGAGCAGCGATGATATAAGAGAAAACCAGAAGAAACCTAAATCAGAAAAGTCAAGAACCCAACCCCAGAATTTTGTCAAGTAAATCCAGCTTCGCTTCCAACCAACATGCTTCATGCTCAAACTTCCTATGCCGCAGCAGCAGGAACCTCACGAACATTCTCCTTCAACCCACCCAATTCCTCAACCTTCATCTCCTCAAACCCGTCTTCCCTCCCATACACCGGCGGCGACCTAACATACGCCGCACCACTCTCCCCAACCTGCACAATCACCGTCCTACTCCTTCTATTCCCAGCCTCATCAACGAGGTTCTCCTCCTCCGGGAACGTGATCCTAATTTCAGGGACCTGTAGTCCAGAAACCGTAGTCGTAGAACGGACTGTATCCGTATTAATCGCGAATGCATGATGTTGCATTACGGGACTTGAATTGAGTTGTGCATGAGTTGGTAGAAGGGGTGCAGTGGATGAAGTAACGCGCCGAGACTTGATGAGGCGGAGGATGGTGTAGAGGGATGCGGCGAGGAGAAGGAGGGTAATGAGCGTAATGAGAAGCGCGAGAAGAAGTTGATTTGAAACCATATCGTCCATACGTTTGTATCAAGTTGTCGTTTGTGGAGAAAGTCGTTGACGCTATATGCGTAAGAAAAAAAGAGAGATTGCCGACGGGCCTCGATTGTGTGTGTGTGTGTGTTGCTAGAGAGTGGACGAAACAACGAGCTATCGAAGCTGTTGTTCTTGTAGTTGTGTAAAGTCGAAGCGGGGTTTAGTTATCCAACTTGACTGAGGTATAAATGCCACAAAGTTTGCGTTTGTGGTATCGGTATCGAATGTGTCGGGTTCTCCTTTTCCTTATAACGCAACAACAAGGTGTTGACGATTGACGACTGACGTACTATGGAGAAAGCTGGAGATAGACGGGGGGGAAATTGGATTGAATGCCGATTGGTAAACGATCGACCAAACTGCCAAGAAGAACGAAATAAATGCACTGCCGGAGTGTGTCGTAGTTGCTGATTGCTGCTAGTCGTCGAGCTGCCGAATTGCCGATTGTCGAAAGAACGTAAACCCAGTCGAAGAAGGTTACTGCCGGTCGTACTTCACAGTACAAGAGAGCGACGATGATACTTTTTGGTGTAGGCCTCTCCCCTTGGTGTTGTGTTCGTCAGTAGGTTTAGCGTGTGTGTACCGCCAGCTTGTATGCGCCCAACTCCTGTTTAGGACAAAGGCACGCTGGGAAAGTGCATAGCGACGTTCTAGCATTGCGCGTTGCTAAGGGGGTAAACATTCCATCTGATAGAGTGATAACAAATTATGAATCAAATAGGTTGAGTGAACGCGTCTAAATAACTTCAAGTCCTGAGTAAGAAGGAGGGGAGCCTTTAGATGGACTTCTTCGCCTGAGCCTCAGAGAGGTATTGGCAATCATCCGCATCCCCCTCAACCTCCATCTGCACCTTCTCCATCTCTTTGACCTCTTTCTTCCACGTCTCCACACTCTTCTTCTTCTCCTTCTCAAATAACTCCTGCTCAGGCTCACCCAACCCATCCCACAACGTCGTGAACTGTCCATAGTTGCGGTTGAAGTAGAGGTGGTGGATGGTGTGGCAGGCGGTACCATTGATGAGAGGGTTGTTGGCGATGAATTCGCCGTCGTGAATTAGGATCGTCCAGATGTTGATGAAGGTGAAGAGGCGACGTAGGAGATTTTGTGGAGGGGGAAGATTTCGAGCTAGACATGGTTTTTGAGGTATTTGAGGAGTTTGAGCGTGTCGTGGTCGAATATGAAGAAGTAGGAGAGGGAAGCAAACACGAAGTATGTCAAGACCCCAAAGATCCAGGTAATCATGAACAGAGAGAAATACCGTCTGTATGCATTATCCCGCGACAAAGACGACAATGTCAAAAAGTGGTCCCGCGTCGCGGCATCAGGCGTCACGTTGCTCGGCAAGTGGCATAGTCAAACGCATAGGTATCGCCGATATCGAGAATGAGGTCCATCTCAAACGATCGACTGCTTGTTGGTTGACAAGCTGGAGCGAACGACGATGGTGGGTATGATTTGTGTGATGGACAGGTGGATACCTGGAGTGTTATTATGGGGCGCGGGGTTGGAAGTTCGTAGTAGCGACCTCGATCTGATAATGGGCTAAGACTGCAGGAAGAGCCGAGTATACAACGGACGATCACTGAGAGCGAGATATACGAGAAATGCTATGGGCCTTGGTATGACGCGGGTACAGTATGCTACACACGCCGCCTCTTCCGATTCAAGTAGCCGCCGAAACCCAGCCCGTATCTTGCCTCTCGAGATCCTTCAGGAGATTCTCTCATACCTGAATCATGCGGAATTCTATGCGTGTACTTTGACATGCAGAGCGTTTAATCGAGCCGCCACACCTTTCCTCTACCGCGCTCCTCTTCTCGACTTCTCTCAGCGATCAGGTTCGAAACATGGCATTGCAGATACGTTGAAGGCAAGACCGTATCTGGCCGAAATGGTCCGAAGCGTGAACCTGGGTTGGCATGCTAGAGATTATGGGTATATGTTACCTGGCTTCTTGGACTTGTTCCTACAAGCGTGTCAGCGGCTGGTCCGTGTAAGAGCACGGGTCATTAAACCCTCCGGGTGGGGCCAAAATGAGTCGAAGCGATTGGTATGTAGTACAGAGGTCATCTTAATTACCAGCTTGCTAATGGAATTCCGATAGGTCTCTTCGCGTATTCTGGAGCGCCTCCCCTCTACGATAACGCAGTTTGCACTGAATTTCAAGGGTATAGCAATTGCCCAAGCTGAGTGCAAGTCCAAAGGTTTCCTGAAGCAGTTCCAGTACGACTTTAGTAAAATACTACAAGCCGTCCCAAATCTCACCCACCTGCAACTGGTAGATGCGAATGTATCAGGGGATGCGTTGCGACATATCAATATGGAGAAGCTGGTCGAGCTGGACCTTACAGGCTGCTATCTCTTGACTAAACAGGACATGATCAAATTCTTCAAGAAAGGGGGTGACAAGGTGAACCTGCGGGTGCTAAGTCTCAATGAGTTCCCTAATGGCATTATTACCGACACTGTGCTATCTGCTCTTTTGCAGGGCCCTGGAGGTGCGCACAATCTACGGGTGCTCGAACTAAGACACAGCACCTTGCTTGGTAAAACTATAACAGACGTTGGTGTAAGAATCATTGCTCAATACTGCTCAGCTTTGCACGGCATCAACCTCGCTGGCTGGGTAAACATCACAGATATCTCGGTTGAGGAGCTTGCTGCTGCCAATACGCAGCTGAGGTGGATCGCATGCTGTGAGCAAGGGCCTCGCAGTGGGGGCATTACGCGAGAGCTAATAGGAGGGTTCGTCATCCGTTCCGTCTGCGTGTGAAACGAACCCGTGGCTAACCTGGGCACGATACAGACTCGAAAATCGTGGTATCATCTATAGTGCACTATAGCTATAAAGAGAGTTCCCACGGCCTGGCCGGCTGTACGTGCAAGCGGACCCTGCATCAGCACGTGAGTCGCGACGTAAACTCCAAACTCCAAAACACAATCCGCGACCTTTGAGTCCATTGCACCCTTGATCCGTCTCGAAGAACAAGTAGATAATGTCGCGAGAAGAACAGCGAAACCAGGAGGCAACCGTCTACATCGGCAACCTTGACGAACGAACCACAGACTCAATCATCTATGAACTGATGCTCCAGGCCGGTCCAGTCGGTACGTCCTGCTTATCTCCTCCTCTCCCGCATACACTCCTGACACTGTTGCAGTGAATATTCACCTCCCGAAGGACAGAATTAGCCAATCCCACCAAGGCTACGGCTTCGCCGAATTCCAAACCGAAGCAGACGCAGACTACGCCGTAAAAATCATGAACCAAATCCGACTCTATGGAAAGCCGATCCGCGTCAACAAAGCCTCTTCCGACGCCAAGAAATCCGCTGCAGCCGATATCGGTGCAGAACTATTCATCGGAAACCTGGACGCACTCGTCGATGAGAAGGTGTTGTACGACACTTTCTCATCCTTCGGAACACTCATCGCGACACCCAAAATCGCACGAGACGAAGCCGGTGCGTCAAAGTGTTTCGGATTCGTCTCTTATGACAATTTCGAATCCGCCGACGCAGCAATCGAAGGCATGAACAACCAATTCCTCATGAACAAATCAATCACAGTAACCTACGCATTCAAAAAGGACAACAAGAGTGAACGACACGGGACAGAGGCAGAACGGATGTTGGCGACACAGGCGAGGAAAAATAATATGCTACCTGCTCCAGCACAGAATCCTGCGACGATGTTTGCGGGTATTGCTGCTCCACTCACGGTGGGTGGACCACAACCGCCTATGCCGTCTGGGTTCCCGGGTGGGCCGCCAGGGTTCGCACCGAATGCCGCAGCAGGAGGAACACCACTCAACCCAATGGCACCAGGCTTTATCCCTTCTGGCCCTCCTGCAGGATTCCCAGCCGCACCTGTACCGCCACCAGGTTATGGAGCTCCTCCTCCTGGGTTCGGTGCTCCTGGTGGGTATCCTGGTATGGCACCACCAGCACCACCAGCAGGCTTCGGAGCACCACCGATGCCAGGATACGGTGGGTACCCAGGCATCCCAATGCAGCAGGGGTTCCCGGGTGGGCCGCCGGGTTTTGGGGGGCATCCTGGGTATGGTCGTTGATGGCTTGTCAAGAGAATACGATGAGAAAGGGGTTGTTTGTTACTTCGTTTCTTCGGCGTTTATCTTGGGTTTATCTTGGAATATTTGTTTGGATATCCTAGCCATAGCTAATTTCTGCATCTTGTAATCGTACGTGGTATCATTGGTATGTCCTTCCCCCTCTGCCTTGAACCTCGTGTATCTCGAAACCTTAGTGGTGGTTACTCCGAGTGAATCGGAATATAATACGTCAACACTGCGCTCGCCTCCTCCTCCGGCTCCGTAACATACACATACAACACCAACGCATGCCCCTCACAAAAACATGCAATAACCCTCTTCGCAACGACACTCACCCTCAACAAACTAACCCATTCCTTCGCATCAATCCTCACACTCGCAAACTTGTCCTTTGGCCTCAACTGCGAGGGGTGTTCTGCCGGATTCGGAACTTGTGCGGGGTCGAGTTCGGGATTGATGAGATTTGTCCAGGCGGTCTGAATGCGGATGGAGTCGGAATGTGCGAGAAGGTGGAGGGAGCCGGACATATTTGCCCGGAGGATGATTTTATCTGAGAGCCGTTGGAAACGCTCGGAGTGCTGCCTCATCACCCCTAGTGGCGGCAGTATAATATGGACGTCCGGCTCGGGACATATCGGTTCCCTAATACTCGCGACATATGACAACGTCAACACCCTAACATGAATATCCTGCGTAACAACATTCGTCCCACCACCGTGGCCGGGGAGGGTGATGATGAATGATAGCATGGGGTGTTTATCGCGTTTCGTGAGGCGCATTTGGACTTCGGTTGCGGAGGAGGCGGAGCGCAGGGATCGGGTGAGGTTTTCGATGTTGAATTCGAGGTTGATGGTGTTGTTTGCGTTGGATTGGATGTGATAGTCGTCGTCGAATAATGTCTCGACTCCGATTGCACTAGAGACTCGTCAGTGACTGGTGGGAGGCAGGAGGAGAGGCGGAGGAGAACGTACGCCCATACTTGGGTACCGGTGGTGTCGGGCACAATAATAAAGTGAACAGCATCTGGAGTGAGACGGAGGATACATTCTCGACGTTTTAGACGTTCGAGGGAGTGTGCGAGCTCTGTGCGAAACCGTTAGCCGTCAGGCGGTTAAGAGGCGAGGGCGGAGGCAAACTTGTAAAGGTAGAAATGTTGCGGATACCGGTGCGGAATCTATCAGAAAGTTAGTAAAGCAAAGCGCAAAGAGGCCGCACTATTCGTACCTCATTCTTAATGACTATCAAGTAGGTTGGCGGGCGCAGGTCGTCGAGGTGTACGTGAGCTTCCACAGTTGGTTTGGGCGACGCGTCGTTTCTATTTTTGGCAACGCGCGACCTGATTTCCCAAGAGGCCGTCATCCGGGGAAGCACTTGCCGTCGATAGGTACGATAACAATACACCGTACAAACAACCATAAAGCCTCATCAGAGATCCGTATACGCCCAAAGGCTTCGCTTCTTGTCTTCAAGTCTTTCACAACGCATTCCATCTAATCGCCTCGCTGGTATAAATGGCGGCTCCAGTCCGGCCCGGCACAGCTCGTGCGCCCTACTCTACATCATCGCAGTCATCCGGTAAAGGGTGGGCGGCGGTCCGCAACATGACGTTCAGAAGTAAGTCTTGTGCTCGTGACGGAGTGATCCTGTCCTAACCTGAGCTTATAGGCGACTCACCGCCTATGCAACAACCACAATCATCGGGACGATGGGACAAACTCATCAACGCAGCCTCTTCCGCTAAAGCCGCTCTTGCATCTTCCCTTGCCTCAGATCGGAAGCACAATTGGGACGACTCACATTGTCAAGATGAGTCTGATTCGCATCTGCATCGTGTGATGCTGGACTATCACATTGAAAGGAAAGGGGAAGTGCCAACATGGCTTGTACCAATGGCCCAGCAACAGGCAATGGGTATCGTTGCAAGACCACAACAGCAACAGGCTTCACAGTACATGCAAGATCCATATGTTTCACAGCGGCCACAGCAACGGGCACCAAGTCCAAATGACTCTAGGAGTGATGTGTCGAACTCAACAGCGGCATCAGCAGGCTCAGCAACAGCAAGAAGAAACACGTCACTTCGTGATATATACGATACAGCAAAGTTGAGGGACACTTCCAGTTTGAGACAGGAAGCGATGGCAGGTGGTTACAGGCAGAGTCAGGATAGTGCAGGGTATGACCGGGGATCATCGACTGCGGCGCCTTCCTCTGGGGGTGCACCGAAGATGTCTTTGAGGGACCGATTAAAGGAGAGGGCCTCGGGTGCGAACAGGTACTAATGATGATTGTGGCAATGTTTTGGGTGATTTTTCGAGGGATCTTCAGATGGAGTTTTGGTTTTACTTCAGCGATATCTCACAACTTGCTCATATAAGTCCTGTTGGCAACCGCCTGTTTGAACTGAAAGTCATTAATGATTGAAATGATACATTGCCAGATACGGCCATACCATGATGAAAGCACAGGATCCCGTCCGATCTCCTAAGTTAAGCATCATAGGGCCCAGTCAGTACTAGCGTGGGAGACCAGCTGGGAATACTCGGGTGCTGTATCTTTTTGTCGTTGCTCAGTTTCCTACTTTTCCGCAACCTGAGCCCAAGTATGGCAGCACGGGCTTTGAATTTATTGCCCACTAGCGTCACGGCCGGGTTCCGAGCACGAGTGACCGTGCGACCGTGCGACCCACACATCGGTATACGAGACTCTCTACAAGTAGTCCATGAAGAGTTGAATAAGTCCAGTTCGCAGTTATGTACACTGACAGCCAAAAAAAAAAATCCATCTATGCCCATTCATACAGCATTTCCTATCTTACGCGTCGTCTCTATGTTTACCATCCCAAACTCCTGATCTTGTTCATCGGAGACAACAAGCTCTTCTTCATCTCCCTCTTCTCACTCTCAGTGGAGCTCTCGCTCGCCCTCCTCTTGGCTTTGCCGAACCCAAGAAGACACAAGGTCTTCGTGCCGAGTCCAAAGCCTGTAGACGAAGGGACAGGGCTAGGAGGTGCTGGCTCCTCATCTGCCTCCTCTTGGACAGTGGCTGGAGGGCTGGGAGCCTGCATTGTGACGGAAAGCCTTGGCATCCCCGCTTCCCTGAGTTCCTTGAGCCCCCGAGGCCTGGCCATGGGGGTGGAAGGGCGCGGCGGGAGGTGGGGACGCTGCTGCGCCTGCGGCGGACTGGGAGTAGAGCTATCGTGCTTCCTCTTGGGAGCAGCATGGCCTGTCCTGCGCAGGGCACTCTTAAGCCCGAGGTCCCTGGGGTTCTTGTTCTTGGGCACGCGAGTGTAACAACCCACACTGTCGACCGCCCGAAGCTTCTTCACCAACCTTTCCCCCTGCAACTCAATCTTACGGTCAAGTTCAGACTCGGTCAAAGTGAACTTTGAGCGCTTCGGAGGTTGCACGTACCTGGTTTGAAAACCGGCGTCGTTCTTGAGGATCGGCGGAAGCTTCCTCTCGACCCTGAGACGCTGCTTGACCATCTCCGCAACAGTCGGAAGAACGTCTGCAGCCCGGGAGAGTCCGACATCAAACTGGCTCCCAGGACCCCAAATCTTGACGAAATAGGCCCGAGTGAAGTTCAACTTGTTCTTATAGGACTCATACGCGTTCAAGATCTCTACAGGGCCCCTAGGATGTTTGCCCTGCGGATACCTATGAAGCGTCGGATTCTCGATCTCCTTCGCGAGCCAGTTGACGAATGCGACGGCATAGTCCATGATGCAAAGCGGAAGGAAAGACATCTGTCCGTTCGCATAGTCCATAGCCAACTGAAGGTGGCGAGTAAACTCCGTGAGAGGTTCAAGAGAGGTGCGGAATTTCACAGGAGGACAGGGATCAGGGATGATGTCGTAGTTGAGTGCGAAGGATACTATGGCGAAGGTGACCTTCTGCTTCGCTGGCTTGGGCGGGGGAGCAGAAGCTGCGAGACGTGAGAGCAGCAAAGCCCTTGTGTCACCGGCCTTTTCAGCAGAGGACTGTACTTCAGGCGAGGCGGGTTCGGACCTCTCGTTGGGGCGAGGAGCCTGCGTTGGGTCATACACGACGGTCTTCGAGACTTCTGACGCGAAAGTAACTTTTCCTCGGACACGTTTCTCGCTGATCTGAGCCGAGTCGTTGGCCTTGACGGTCAAGATGCCGCAGTGCTGGGTTCCGCAGTTCTGCTCGACATGGCCGGGAGAGGCGATGTCTCTAACGGTAGTGACATACTCGGCGCAAAAGTTGACGGGAGTGATGGGAGACATTATCGTGATCTTTGAATAACTCGTGTAAGTTGTAAGAGTTGTAGTAAATGCAGCGAAAGATCGTTACTCGACGAGAGGTGTGAGTGTTCGTAGTGGAAGTTGGGAGAAACAGGAAGGGTGGAAATCCACCGATACTTATCCCACAGGACCGTTCGATCGCCAACCACGATCGAGGCCAGGGTTCTAGGGACGTTCGAAGGTGTGACCTCATACGCATGCAGGTCTTCTTCTCACACTTCCGTTTGCGGCAGTTCGCCTTAGCGCGGTTTGCGTCGTAGAAGCAAGAGGGATCGCGCTGAAGACGTAATCCGGGAAGCTGGGTGAGACCATAGCAAAGTGATTGTGAGGTTCCCGAGACATATGCTCCCGGGCATCATCGGAAACCTTCCCAGCATTCTTTGTGGAGTCCTAGATGCGTACTCATGTGTAGTACACATGCGCATGTGCAGAATGTCTATGCCAACTGCAGCTACAGAAAAGGGGAAATCATATTTGAAGTTGAAAGTGATGTATTAATCCATGTGTCCATGAACTATTAGCTGTAGCAGACGTTCTCCGTCTTCTAACTTTGTCTTTACCCGCCTTTTCTTTCGAAAGCCATGCTCTACCCAATCATTCCACATAACCATCGCATCCAACCCGACGTCAAGCAGCAGCCCTGAACCCCAAGGCAAAACCCGTGATGATCCCTCTCTCCTCTTCCGCTTTCTTCGCCGCCTGCCCAACAGCCGCATCAACTCCGACAACAGTCTCCTTCATCTCCTGTTTCACATGACTAATATCTCCATAAACCTCCACAACGCCCCTAAGACTCCCCTTCGGACATTCCACTACACTGACTCCAGTATTCCTCGGTACACCGCCGTATTTGACACCCTGGGCGTAGGTAAAGTGACGTTGAAGTTCGAGTTCGGTAAGGAGGGTTGCAATTGCGCCACCATGAGTTACGATTAGGACGGAGATTGCGGTGGGGCGAAGGGGTTCGATGTGGTCGCCCCAGAATTTTAGAAGGCGGTGGGAGAAGGCGGGTTGGCCTTCGCCGTAGTCGTTCATTGTGTGATTTCGGGATGTAATGAGCTTTTGGGCTTCGGCGAGTGTGAGACCTTCAAGATCACCGAGATCTTTTTCTCGTAGTGATGGCGTGTAGGCTACTGAGTCGGATAAGTCGGGACGATGACGGAGGAAGCCATTAAGTGTCTATGAATGCGGGTGTTAGCAAGTTCGGAGGAAGACGGAGGATTAAAGAGGCGCGATGCGAACCTGTCTACATCTTTGCAGGTCTGAGCAAAATACAGCATCATAGTGCTCGTCTTTCAGTCTATCTCCGACCTGGTCTGCCTGTCGAAGACCATTGGTGTTTAACGGGGTATCTTTTTGCCACAGTCAGTCTCCGTCATTGGGGTTTTGAAATGCCAGGTACAAACCAGTTGAGCCTTGAATGATTCTCTTGACGTTCGAGTCTGTTTCTCCGTGTCTAACGATTGTGACCTTCATGCTTGCTCTGCCCTACCGAGGGAGTGTATGCTGCTGAACAGCTCGCGGGAGTGTATGCTGCTAACAGCTCGCGGGCAACTTGAATGACTCCAGTCGCGCCCGCCGCCGATAAGCCCGATAAGATTTGCGCTATGGAATCACGTGAACTCGTACGCGCTCACCCACAACAAAACACAAACACCGCGAAATGGACGATGACAATGGTCGGTGCCCTGCTGAATGCTCTCAATTGGTAACTGACGTCTGGAGCAGACTTCTTTATTCGCCCATCCTCCTCCCTGACGAGCGCAGATGAACGCGCTGCTGCTGCCGTCAGGCGTCTCGAAAACATTGCATTGCCTACGCCAGGCAGCGCGAGGGTTAAGGTCGACAAAGTTGTTGTTGTGGATGCACTGAATGTTATTGGACCACATGCTGTACGAAATGGGCTCACGGATGAGATGATGTCGCGTCTTGTAGAGGTGATCGCGAATCCCAACAGCGCACTCGACAGCGGCACGGCTAGCCTTCTCGTCAAAGCGCTGCTGCCACGAAACAGAGTACCAGAGAGTATCGTGCTCAAAATTGTCGGCTGTCTCGGCCGTGGAGACGGTCGTGCTCCATTTACTGCACAACCAGCTCTCCTCAGACTTCTACTCCTCCTACAACCGTATCTCGCCTCGCCGACACATCTTTCAAAGCTATACGGAGTTTTGTTTCACTACCTTGGTTACACAACTCTCCGCCCTTACCTCTGCCACATCCTGTTCCTCATCACAAGACGAAAGCATGTTACACCGGCACGCATCAGTGCTGTAAACGAGTACATCAAATGGAGTGTGGAGGATGGAGCATTGAATGCACTTCTGCGAGTGTATGCGGATTATTACCCGGACGTCGTAGTCGCGAACACACGAAGAGGTGGAAGACGTGGAGTGGTGTTCAAAGATCCTGATCCGGAGTTCTCGGAGCGTCTGGCTGCCATCCAGGCCAAGCAGGGTGATAGGCCCTCCAGTGGTGGTTTCGAGGGAGCTAAACGCCGGCGAACGGGTGAAGGCAGCTATCTCATCCCTGACTCCCATACATACGGCAGCACATCTACCACCATCACAACCCTTGAGGAAATCCGATCAATCCATGATCTGGTCGAGAGCATCGAGAAGCTGGAGTTACCAAGTCAGTTGGCTTCTGTGCTCGACGAGGAAGTGCTGCAAGTGCTATTGATACATAAGGGTGGAGAGATGGTAGACGCGAGGCTGAATCATTGGGTGGGGCATATGCTCGAGGAGGAGTGGACCGCCATTCGTCTGGCTAAGGCAGGAAAGAGGACAGAGAGATTCGTAAGTTTGTTGGAAAAGATTGAGAGGTACACAGCAAGGACAGGGCAGATGCTTTTGGCAGTGGAGGATTGGCTGGCCGATATGTTGCCATCATGGGATGGCATGATCCTAAGAGAGGGTGTCATGAAGCTCCTGGCTTGGGTTAGCCCAGAGGCCGAAGACATCAAAGAAGCATTCTTGGATCCAGTACAAGCCTTGTTCGATAAAGGCGACAAGGTGTTCCGACGTGGATGGCTTGTTTGCATTGGCAAGATCGTGCGTCGTTGGGGTGTCTATCACGTCGCATACCTTACTTCGGACGCCTCCAGCTTACAACACCTAGCGACATGCTTGAATGCTTGCACCGCACTGGTCCTTTCAGAAAGTGCATGCTACACTGTCGTACTCGTCTGCTACGAGCAATTCGCCGCCCTCCCCCTCGACCGCGATATTATGCAAATCCACCTGCCCCCAGCCCCACTCATTCAGCACGTCTTCTTCTCCGGCTCCCCAACTCATACCTCTATCCTCTGCGGCCTCATCGCCCGTTTCAAGACCGCATTCGAGCTCTACGATGCTCGCGCGCGCAAAGGACATGGTGAGTTGTTGAGCAAAGACTTTGTGGCGGGGTTCAATAGTTATGTTATGGATGTATGTAATTGTCTGTGGAGGGGCAGAGGGTTTAATCGGAGCGATCGGAATGCGACTGGGTTTGGGCTCGGGGAGGAGGCTATTGAGAAGTTGAGGGGCGTTGCGGCAGCGAGGGGGGATAACCTTGCTGGGCTGTTCTCGCTCACTCATTCTCCGCTGTTCGCACTCTATTCCGCTCGCACATTCGCTTCCATTCTCGAACGACAGTGTTCGACGGTGTCTGTCACGGATCCAGTTACAAACGTCATGTTGAAGCAGCTTGCAGAGAGCGGAGGTCCGAAAATTGATTATAGCGATTTTAGGGTAGAGTTACTCGAAGAATTAAGAGAGGGCGGGCTTGTTGGTGTTGTGGAGTTCTTGTATGGGAGTATGACGAGTTTGATGAGTCGGAAGAGTGGTGTTGGGAATGGGTTGGGGAGGTAGGGATGAGAAGTGGACGGAGGATTTCGATACCCGTTATATACGTGAGCAGCTTAGTTATGTGTAATGATATTTCTTGGTCGTACGTACCGGATTGCCCATATTTATGTTCCGATCGGCTGTAGAGCATGAAATATGTACCCGGGGCGCTGAATTCCCATGGCCTTGCAAGTGGTCACTCAGGACGAACGACGCAAAGACAACGCTTCGGAACTGCCTTGGACAAGCTAGTGGCGAAACAAGTTGTAATTAAGGCAATGGGATTTCCAAGACGTAATAACCATCAACGACGGCAGCGGCAGATTCCTTCATACATACGGGTACTAATCGGGCACATAAGGAACCGGTTAAGTTCATTACTGGTACGGGAGAACTGACCTTCGGGAAGGGTCGGCCGGACCGTATATCAAAACCATGGACTTTACCAAGTGATAAGGCGAATAACGTAGCCGTACAAATCCTCCTAACGAGTATGTCTTGTGTGCACAGTTGGTCCCGTGGCAACAGGCAAAAAGATACAGCACCCGAGTATTCCCAGCTGGTCTCCCACGCTAGTACTGACTGGGCCCTATGATGCTTAACTTAGGAGATCGGACGGGATCCTGTGCTTTCATCATGGTATGGCCGTATCTGAAAGTGAACAAAGTTGAACAAAATTGAACAAACATATCCTCCAAAAAAGAACTGGGGATCCGCCAAGACTGACTTCGCTTAGATATTAACGCTCGCGCGCCTTGGGGGGGGGGGGGGGGTGGGGGGGGGCGATGAGAACAGAGGCCTAGACAGCACATGCGGGCGCCTCCACCGAGGCCTCGAGGAGCAATCAAAGTGCCAAGCGATGGGGCTATGATCCGACGACAATGGACGAACGGCCGACAAATGGCTCGTTGTACAACCGACGAGATCCCGACTCCGGCATTCTTGAACTTCTTCGTCCTTGGAGGGCGTATTCGTACCCTGGCCCGACACGAGTGCGAGTACGGGAGGCGGATTCGACCGTCAAGTCGGATCAGGCAAAAGCTCCGCCTGCAATTACCCCGTTCGAAACACGTTTACACTTCTTGACATAACTGCGCCATAACGTAGAATATGAACCAGAGGGTCCACCTACGTCTGTAAAGCTTCGACGAACCATGCGACTCAGACACCGATCGCGAGTTCCACCTCCGTGATACCCCTCTTCGGATACGGGTTACCCCAACAGATCACTGACACGTCATCTTAATCAGATACGATCTGTTACTGTAAGTTACATACGTGTACAAATGTAAAACGTGGGGATTCCTTAAAACTGTTTAACGGTGGGTTGGTTAGGTTCTCTCGAGTTCTTATTCAGGTGGTGTTGCGTATGAGGCGTGAAAAAGCCTCCTTGCTACGCCCCGATGCGACAGCTTCTGCAGTGCTGCAGAGGAAACGGGTGGGGATGAACCTTATCCCAGCTGAGAGTATGTACGGGCCAACCGGGTCTGATAGAGGGGGGATCATCGAGGGAGGGCGAAGAGATGAAAGCCTCGCTGTAAGGCTTTGCCACCCGTCAAGATGCTCCGACGGCCTGCATCAAATTGGATCCTAGGATGAAGAGACCAGCAGGGCATTGCCAAGACATACAGATCATGGTCCGACACTATATAAATTTGGTTCTCCTAGTCGAGTTCTTGCTGCCAGAAAGGGAATCACCTCCCAACTTAAACGCGCGCCTAAGTAACCCCTAGACCCCGAACTCCTAGGCAGCCCTTCCACACACAACAACGGCGCATACCGGTCGACCCCAGGGCCCCTAGCAATAACTACACCCCGTCTTACTGTTCAATCGCAACGGACAACGAACGGCTCTTCGGCTCGTGCTCGATTTCTATATCCGTGCCGTCCCAAAAACTCACCACCCTCCGTTCCTTTTCATCTCGGCTTCGTCCAAGCAGCAGCGCGCGCCCTCGACAGTCTCTCCTTTATCATCAATCAAGTCGTCGCACGGTCCGCTTCTTTCAACAGCTCGTCTTTACTTCGGTGGCAGAGAGATTTCGCCTCGTCTGACCCTTACAAGGCCTGCATTCACACTCCTTTCACACAAGTCAATTCGATCGCAACAGAGAAGCAGGGCCTTCTTTGCTTGATTCATATACTTTTTCTTCGACGCACCCGCATACCTTCCGTCTAATCCGCCCTCGAGCACCTGTTATCACCAAGACAGCATGCGACGACCTCTCATCATCTTCCTGGTCATCAACCTCTTCTTCATCTCACTACTACTCCATGCATTCTATACCCTCATCACGCTCCTCTTCGAAGACTGCTCCGCAGATGCTATCCGAGCCGTCGACATCCCAGCTCCTAATAGCTCTATGATCGACGCACGACCACAGCATATCCCGAAGATTATTCACCAGACGTGGAAGAACGAGACGATTCCCGACAAATGGCGGGAACCCCAGAGGACTTGTTTGGAGTTGCACGAGGACTACTCTTACATGGTGAGTTTGGAGCAGCATACATCCCTAGTAAATGGTTGCTAACGTACGTTTTACAGCTCTGGACTGACGAGAAGTCTCGGGACTTTATCGCCGCTGAATACCCATGGTTCCTCGACACGTTCGACTCCTACCCATACCCAATTCAACGTGCGGATGTTATCCGCTACTTCGTCCTCGCTCACTACGGTGGTGTCTACATCGACCTCGATGACGGCTGCAACCGTCGCCTAGATCCACTTCTCTCATACCCCGCCTGGGTGCGCAAGACCATCCCCACTGGTATCTCCAACGACGCCATGGGCAGTGTTCCTCACCACCCCTTCTTCCTTCGCGTCATTGAGAGCTTGAAGCCTTACGCCAGAAATTGGTACATGCCGTACTTGACGGTTATGTTCAGTACTGGACCCTTGTTCTTGAGTGTCGTCTGGAAGGACTATATCCGATGGGGTGTTGAGAGCGAGTCGGCTCGCGTCAGGGTTTTGATGCCTGATGAGTACAAGGGCAAGTTCTGGTCTTTCTTCCTTGGGTTCTCTGGATCTTCGTGGCACCAGGGTGACGCCAACTTCGTCTTCTGGGCTGCCAAGCACTGGGTCTTCCTTACTGTACTTGGATTCTTGACCGCTGCTGTCGTCTTCATCATCGGGTGGGTCTGCTACGTCAAGGTTTACCTCCGATTTACCAGGCGTGGACGGGGAAAGTACATTCCCTTGAAGAAGCGTGATACTTGGCCTGTTGTCGTTGTTGAACGTGAGCGACGATCGAGCATGTCCAGCGAGGAGGACTACGCCATGGACGACATCACTCGGATAGCATAGTCCCGAGTTGGTGCTTCCATTTTTCATTGTTTTCGTTATTTCTTGCATGGTGACCAGTTTTTGGGAGGGATTATACAACGAAGCCGCAAAAATCAAAGCCCTGGGATCGGAAAGGAACAAGAAGAGAGAGAACCTAATGGTGTTGGGAGGGTGGAACCGGTCGATCGAATGAGACAGCATTCAAGGGAGATATCTGAAATTGGCAGGGACTAGGTCTAAGGTGTTCGGTTGTCCTTCATTCCCGGGCTTTCTTCTTTTTTGTCAATTATTGCATCGGTATCATCATCACAAACCGCTTCTCTCGCTAGATGAGTGAAAGGGAATTACTAATATGAGGAAACTTGTGAATATCGTACACCTTGAGATCCCTGGCCAGCAGGTCTTTCCACTCATTGCCTCATTGTGATATTTCATTGATGGCGTTCGCCGCCTGTGCTGCTGCGGCTGCGTCTGCCGCTTCCGCCCTGTCCCTCTCTTCCTGTAGTCCCTTGATGTAATTGTTGTAGATTTCGACCTTTCTTACTCTATCCTCATATCGCTTATGCTTTTCAAAGTTAATCAGACGCTCCTCCCCGCCTATACAGAAGCCGAAGATAGTAATTCCGGATAGTAGGAAGCCCTGTACCCGCAATCAGCGCTGCCATTGAACCACGGAGATCAAAGGCACTGTGCCTTGTGTTGAAACGTGAAGGCCCTGTAGAAAGGCCATGTGTGATGCGCAATCACACTTAATGCAAGACCACCGGCGAACGACTTTGCTCCGCCGATGAGTGAACCCTTCACGGCTTCATCATGAGCTGCCTGGAGGTCTGGAGAATTGAGGCCGCGGCGGCTGGAGGACATGTGGGCTTTCGAAGCAGATAATGGGTATTGGTGGTGGAAATCCGGAGTTTGCGGGGCCGAAATGGGATTTTGGTGAAATCAACGCTACAGGCACAGAATTACGACATCGACATGATTTTACGAATTGGAGCTCAGCTGGCTGAGGTTGCAAGGAGGACGCTAGCAGGTGTTGTGTCGAGGAAAGAAGGTATGTAAGCGTGTGTGAGCCGTGCTGGCTTCTTCATGGCCAATTGCTGATCCGTCAATCCAGCAACAGCATTGCATAGGGTTCGGCCAACGCTTGCTGTCGCAGCATGGAAGTCTCAATCAGTGAGGTGGAATTCTACGGAGAAAATAACTAAGGTAGGGTGATATCGGGCCGAAAGGCGAGTTGCTCATACTTTGTACAGCAAATAGCTTCGTCATCAGTTTCAGCAGCAGATGAAGAGGATGCACCAGAGGAACTTGACGAGGACCTGGAAGAGGAATGGGAATTAGCAGATGAAGCATCTGTGCCAATAGTAAACGAAGCCCCAGTCTCAGCAGCAAAGAAAAAACCAGCCCTAGCAGCAAAGCCAGCAAGAAGACGAACTCTGCAGGAGATTAAGGAAAGCGTAAGCACAACTGCTCATTCTCATCGAACATATCTAACTTTCAATGCTAGCTCGAGTCCGAAATTGTTGAACAATTCATCCGTGGTTCGGGTCCTGGAGGACAGAAGATCAACAAAACGTCATCTACGGTTCTGCTTCAACACAAGCCAACCGGCATCGTCGTTCGATGCCAGGAAACACGGTCAAGAGATCAGAATAGGAAGGTGGCGAGAAAGATCCTCGCCGAAAGGATAGATCAGTTGGAGAATGGGCCAGAAAGCAAAAAGGAGAAGAAGAGAGAAAAGCTGGCAAAGAAGAAGGCGAATAAGAAGAAGAAAGCTAAGAGGAAGCTCGCAAAGAAGGACGGAGAGGAGGACAAGGAGATTGATGAGGCCGAGGAAGCTGAACAAGGGGTTGAAGGTATCGCGGACACAGCGAGCAAAGATGACCTGGAGTCGCCAGCTAAGCCCAACTTGAAAATCTTATATAAGTAGGAATGAAGAGGGCAGTGGACATGAAATAAAAGGGACAGCTTTTATTTTCGACAGATCACCAAGAGGGATTACACACAAATCCAAGAAAATGAAGCAACGGCTAAGTTACCAGCGCAAAGCACCAGTCTACAAAATCCCTGCCAATCCAAGAACCTGTTCTATATCCGTCTCAAGGCCTCTTATCTCCCTCCCCATTCATCATAGACTACTGGCGAGTAGTTCAGATGAAGCCAATCTTGTTGGCGACGTCAAGGGCGTCAACATCAGCGGTGAGGCGGACGTAAGCCTTCTTGGTACCGTCAGGGCGAATGAGGGTGTTGATCTTGAGAGCCTCAACGTCGTAGAGCTTCTTGATGGCAGCCTAAGGAGGGAGAAATATCAGCATGCATTCACAACACCCGGTTACGTATGATAGACGTCCGGTGCACGGTTCAGCAGGTCTCCAAAGGGAAAAGGGGAGATGTCCTCTTGCAGATGCAAACAGGTGGAGACCCGACCGGCATGCTAACGCCGCTCAACCCACGATGCAGATTGAGACACACGCTCACTAACCTTGATCTGGTACTTGTTGGCCTTGATGTCGCAGATGAAGACGAGAGTGTTGTTCTCCTCAATCTTCTTCATGGCGGACTCGGTGTTCAAGGGGTTGACGATGACCTTGAACTCGTCGAGGCGAGGAGCGTGGGGAACAGACTTGCGGGGGTACTTGGGGGTACGGGCAAGCTTGAGGGTGGAGGGGCGGTGGAAGGTGGCAGTGGTCCTGATCTTCTTCTGGATCTTGCCGTTGGTACCCTTAAGGGCGGCCTTCTGAGCCTGAGTGGCCTTCTTGGTGGCGGAGGTGTCTGAAGAGCAAGCAGTCAGTAAGCTATTCTCTTAGACATATAACTGTAGTATCTGCATGTTCAACGTGCTTTGCTCGGTGCTGAGTTGATGGGTGTCGCATATTCAGAAAAGTAATCTTCGGTGAGCTCATCGGACAAGCCGGGGTTTTACGGCCAGCGAGCCATCAAACAAGAGGTGCCAGAGAAGAAATCATCATTTAGTTGTCGCCATGTCGTTCTCGGATTGGCTTTGCTGTCAACGTCGGTCGCCAATCCGCCGCACTCCCGTCAACCCATCCATCAATCCATCGGGAGCGCGCCGTCCAAATCAATCGCAACCAAGCAGAGCACGTCGAGAAACGCAGATACAATCGGAGATCACTCACTCTTAGCCATTGCTGCTGTCGAAATCTGTCGAGGGAGTTCCTGCCGTTTCCGCGCTTCGCTGCTGAAAAGCTTTGGTGCAGCGCAATCCACGTGCAGATTCCACTAACCCACGTTCGGGATCGATGTCAACGTTACACAGACTCCTCCGAAGCGCGTGAAGAAAGATCCGTATTACCTGTATGCGTTGCCTGAACGGTAAAGTTCACTACAGACGACACATTTCAACTGAACTTTCCATCCCTATCAAGTCGACCGGGGTCAACTATGGGGTGCACTGTCTGCCGAGAGCCTATGGTCTTTCTCGTCTCTACGGTCAAGCAGAAACGCGCAAAAATTACCTTTAAATATCGAACGATAACTTAACTACACTACAGAATACAGCTCCAGTTGCTGCCGGTGTCATGATAAACGCGTGAGGTTCAAGGTTGCATGGCTCAGTCGCCTATAACACAGAAAAATGTAACCTTCACAGGGGAAACACTACCGACAAATACTCCTTGGTTCTGGAAGACAAGGTGGAACGATTTTGTGTAAGGATCTCATCTTTTGTGTTGGCACGGCGTCCCACGCATACGGACACTCCTGGGCCTACTCTCACGCCGCGTTCGTTCCCTACAGGCTCTTAACTCTGCAGAGTATAGCATCATCCAACACGAACGAGTTCAGATATCTTATAGCCAAATATCTAATCAAAACCATAAACGGAAGAATATGTCTAGGACATCGACCGAGTTTATTGACTTTTGCCATACGACCCTGAAGAGCAACGCGTCAACCAGGTTCAATATGGGAAAGCTCCTTGACCAAAGCTCTTGAACATTATAGCTTATGTGTGAGTTACTGATATATCATATGGCTACAATCTGAAGTCCTTTTGTATAGGATCATGCTCATCACCGACGTCATACGGGTCGAAGTTGACGTGTCGAAGCTGACAAGACCATCGCCGCCTAGAAGAACGAATAACACGCTGCCATTACAGTCCTCCCGAGCGTCTAGACCGTGTATACGGTATCTATGGCAAGCGAACGCCCCGATCCATCGGATGCAGAACTCGTACCAAAATTTCCGCTTTCGTCATAGCGCGGTTCCAAAACGGCTCCAAGTGCGGCCATCGCCGGCGACGCGTCCACCGGTTCTGGCACGTTATGTCATAGAGGGACTGCTCTACAAATCCGCAATAGGAAACTGCAGAGAGGAAGGGGTCGAGCAGATTAGCAGATGATTTTTTCTTACCCCCCCAAGCTGTCCGTCGTCCATTCTCCTCCACTACCAACCAATCCCTCCACAGAGTAACCGCTGCCTTTACCGCACAAACCTCTCTGTATCAGACCAAAAGAACCTGAAAAATGTCTTCTCTTGCTAAAGCTACTTACATTGCCGCTCTTCAGTCTGAGTCGTACCCTTTCGCTATTCCCATGGATGCTGGAGCGTACGCTCGTGCCGCGGTCAGCCTCCTTATGGACAGCTGTATCGCGAGTGAAGACGAAGAGCATATGGCTTGGTTCCAAGAGGAGCTTCGTCAGGCTGCGCTCTGGTTTGAAATGAATGATATGATTAATATCGAGCAGTCTTTCTGCGTGGGTCTCAAGTTCCTAAGTACACTGGCCGCTTACGGTCACTGCAACCACACTTGTAATTACGAGTTGGTTCTGGCCATCGTGGCTTTGAATATAGGACACAGTACCGTGTCTGAATGGGACCAGTGGCCTGCTTGGCACTGGGCCGATCTTGCGCAGACAGAGCTCGAAACCTACCAGGCCGTGCGTACTTGGGCCATCGAGAAGGCACTCAACTGGAACATTACTTTGTCTGTTACTGAGTACGCTCAGTGGACCGACTTTGAACTTCCTTACCTTCTTGGTCTCAAGGAGCCGCACTATGTCGAAGAGATTTCGCGTCGTTACTCTGTTGAGTCCGAGGACACCGCCTTCCTCTTCAACATGTCAAGCTCGACCGCGATCAGCATCCCCAACATCCCGAAGGGCAGGCGCCGTGGCCAACTCCTGCTTCGCGTGGTTATCCCCGTGGAGCAGAGCGTTGTCCTCCCCCCGCCGACCGGATACGTTGTTGATCGCGAGCTCTCGCCTGACGTCTGCCGCGTGTCTCCGATGATCCAGCCTCCCCCCGGCCTCGAGAAATTCACTCCCAGGAGCCCGATCTTCAGCCCATGGAATGTTACCAGTATCGAGGGCATGCCCATGATCCAGACCACCAGGGCCACGACCTTCACGGGTCGTCTGCCTCCCGGTCTGGAGCATGTGGTTCGCTGTCCTCCAGTCTTCGACACCTATCAAGTCGAGGAAACTCAGCGGGTGAATCGCCCGTTCCGCTTGCCCCCCGGTCTTGAACACTATGGACAGGAACAAGTAGTGCACTGTGCTCCGATGTGTAACAACACTGTCGAGCTGGCCTCTTGCAGCCAGACAGAGGTGATCCGTCCCCCTCCTGGGTTTGAAGACATCGTTCCGTGTCCGCCGGTGTTCGATGCCGTTGACGAAACCATGGCTACTGTTAGATCGAGGTCCGCCAGCCAGAGGGCTTTGCGCCCTCCTCCCGGATCTGAAGACATTATCCCGTGCCCTCCGGTCTTTGCCTCTGAGAAGCAGAGAAGACCAGTTCACACGATCAGGCCGCCCCCCGGCTTTGAGAACGTTCTACCCCATGGTCAACCTCCAGTCTTCGACAACGTCGTCGTCGACGAGAAGCTCGACCCCGCGCAAACCCCCCTCGCCCACCCCCGACCCCAGCTAATCATCCCACAGTTCAAGATTACCCAGATGGACTTCCTAACGGCCTTCGCTGCGGTCCTTGAAGCTAGCAAGCCAGTCGCGACGATCCGTCCTCCGCCGGGGTTCGAGGGCAAAGTTCCCCATCCGGCGTAGAAGGATAGATGGGTCGCGACTGTGCCAGGGGAGTGAAGGGGAGCCGAGAAGTTGAGAAGAATTTGGAAAAGGGTTCAGTGAGCCAGATGCACGACGAGCGCTCATGTACGGCAATACAACGAACAAGCAACCACAAACACAACCACAACCAAGACGACTCAACTAGCGGCGTCACGGCCCAAGAAACAACGGCCAGACAAGACGACCCGCACAACACGCCATGAACCATCTGAACGGCGACATATCTGGTCATGAAGCTATCTGACAGACCAGCACTACCCAATTCACCATATCCTGCGGAAACTAATGTTAAACAATACACTGGTGGTATACAACACACGTACACACACGTACACACAGTGTACAATACGAGTCCACCTACTCGCATAAATGCCAAAGTAGGTTCAACGACTCGGGGAAGTTCAATGAGAATCGGCAAATACGTCCTCTCTACTGCGCCCGACTGCTAGAGTGGCCTAATTCGTCACTCTTGTAGTCGTGGGAAGCAGAAAGGATTCGGATGAGCATAGATTGCCGTGGACAGAAGGAAAAAAGCCCAAATACATCGTATTCAACACTATCATACACATCTGTCTCACTATAAATCTAATCTAGAGACCCATAGGCTCAAGCTTAACCTCCCTCTTGTCATCAACCAACACGATATTGTCCCTCGGGACCAACTCCCACTCCTCCCCCTTATACGTACTCGGCTCACTTGCAACAATGACATGCTTCCCATGTTCCCCTGGCATCTTATTCCCGCCCAACCCACGCTGCTTGTGCGCTTTGGCCGCTTCCTTACCATCGGGGTGGTCTGGGTACTTCCGGTTCAGGGTGATTCCGGCTTTGGTGGAGTAGTAAAGGGAAGGGGGTTCCTGCTCGGGAGAAGAGGAGAAGCGGAGAGCGAGGAGTTGGATACCATCGGTTACGGCGAAGTTGAGGGATGAGTGGGCGCCCATTGCACCGGTCTCCTCTGGTACCTCCTTGATCATCTCAAGCAAGGTCTTCACAGTCTCGCGCATCGTATCACGGAGTTTCTCGAGAGGTTGACGACACTCCCAATCATCCCCCAAAAGCGTGAAAAACAACGCAGCAGCATGCTCCGAATCCGTCGTCCCCAAGACATTCCTCCTAGCTTTCTCCGACAGCTTCTGCAGCAACTTCACCCTGATCCCCTCAAACGAAGCAACACACCCATTGTGCATAAACGCATAGCGACCGAACACGAATGGGTGGTTGTTGGTCTCAACGACAGGGGTAAGGCCAGGCGCGGCACGAATGTGAGCGAAGAGGGCCTGGGTTTGGGTATGGGCGCAGAGGGAGCGGAAGTTGAGGTCGTTTAGAGCCGGACGTGTGTTCTTGTATGTGCAGGGTCGAGCGGAGTCCGATTTACCTCCGGAATTGAATTGGGATTGGGTAGAGGTGTAGTAAGCAACGCCAAACCCATCCACGTTCGTAAACAAGTTCGCCTGTCCGGGTGCGTCCGAAGCCTGGAGGATCTGATCCATCGTGTCGGATTGGACGTGGACGTCGGAGGTGCTTGAATTGTTCTGGACGTGTGGTGCGTAAGTTTTGTGGAATTGGGGGAAGAAGTGTGAATCAATTTGGCGGACGATGGAGTGGGAGGGATTGATAAGAACGTCCTCGAGGAGGGTGGACTCGTCCCCTACGTAAGCAAACCTAGTCTGCTGTTAACCTTGATCTCTCTTGATCACGAATCAAGACGTACCAGCGACACATGACGATTGATTGATGTTACGGTTGAGTTGGTGGAGAACTCCAATTGCCGACGTCGAGGATTTTTCAATTGAGATCACCTCTTGGCTCGACGTCACTCCACCTCATATGCGCGCCCGGCCGCGGATGCAAGGAAGGAAGGCAATGATAGCCGACAGGAATTGCAACAACGATCAGAATTGATGACAAAAACTCCGATATGAACCTATCCCAAAAACGAGTAACAATAATGCCCAGCCTAGATACCAATGACTGTCCGTTCCCTAGCTCTTCCGTTTTTTTTTTTCCAATCCGTGATCCTTCTGACGTTTCCTTATGCAAACCGCGTGAAATCCATACTCTCCACAATCGCACTCAAACTATTCTCATCCCCAAAATCAACATCAACCAACGCCCTCCGTTGTTCGGCTCTCAGCCTTGCCGCAGCCTGCTCCCTCGCATGCTCTTTCGCCTGAGCAGCATTCGCCTGTGCCGCTGCTGCCTGAGCCGCAGCGTGTTGTTGCTCAAGTCTATCCCTCATCCGACGAATATGCCGTAACCGCTCACACCAATTCGACACAAACTCGCCTCCCCCGAGGTTATGCACATGACAGTAAATGTTGGCATTCAAACACACATGCCTCACGAACGCCGACAAACTCTTCGCTGACACGATCTTCGTCTGGCAAAGAGGTGAAATCTCCGGAATATCACCTCGTCGGAGCAAATCAACCTGGAAGAACCTACTATCGGCTTCCTCAGTATCGGCGCCATAACGATGGGTGAAATCGGTTCGAGCGTCGGGTGTGATAACCACGTTCAAGAAGTTGAACTGCCCGGGAATGACATCCAGACTCCACGGCACACCACTCTCATTGAAGACAACATTCACGAAATCATTTCCAATATGACGTTTCTTGAGAGTACACTGTGGGTCGCGGTCGAGTGCTGTTGGCATCATCGAGGTACAGTGGAAAATGATTTGCGTGATTTTGTCGTTCCAGAAATACGCGTATTCGCCATCGATGTCGTTCTCGGTGTCTAGACCACCAGTGTAGACCTCCTTAATGCCCTTCAACCGGATCAGCTTTCCGAGCCCGTCGACGAAATCCAAGTACCGTCTCGAACCAGTCGTATTGGCAAGGATCTCCGCTTCTGTCGTCTGCCCCGGTCCAACGTAGACGATACCAATCTTCGCGAAATCGACAACAGGAATGCGATCGAAGACCGAGGTCGCACGTTGAGATGCATCATCATCTGGCATCAACAGCGGACGCGGTTGATCAGCGATTTCAGGGTTGACGGTCAACTGCAACAACACATAACTCGGCAAGAAAGTGCTCAACTCGCCCAACGGATCATGAGCCTTCCCCGTTGCTGCATCCTCCTGGCCATGCTCCGCCTCATTCTTCGCAGTCAGAGACTCCTCCGTCTCAGCGAGTAGGTCAGTAATATCAGCCCCGACATTGGGCTTACAAAAAAAACTCGCAGTCCCAGACGGCTTCCTCACAACGATTTCTGACAACCCTCCCGTCCCACTAGACGTCCGAATCGTGATAACCGAATTCCCATGTACCCAAGTCTTCGAATTAATCTGTGCAGTGCCACCTTGGACGTATTTCTCGAGGGTCGCGGGCCCAGCTTTGAGTTCAGAGTTAGAGTAGGCGAAGCGGCCGAGCATGTCGATAAGTGCTGCATTTCGCTCGTCGATCGAGTCTTTTGTGACGTTTGAGGCCAGGAGACCTCTAGTGATCCACTGCACGTACTTCGGGCGTTCGTACAACTTTAGGGATAGGAACCATGCCGAAAGTACGTTGTAAGCCTGGGTGAGAACATACTGATTCAGGGCCGACGCAGTCGCTTCGGAATTGGGATTCTGCTTCGTGATGGTATTTGCATGTTGAATGTACTGGAGTGCCACACCGAATACGCGACGATGATCAGCTTCGGTGAAGTTGACGTAGAGATGCGGCGCGCGAGCCAACGCGTACAAGAACTCGAGTACGTGCACCGAAACTCCGGCAGCGGTGATAATCTGCGACAAACGTCCTGTGGTCTGTGCCAGGAATCGGGTGGATGATAGAGGCATCTCGTGGCAACAAACTGCCAGGCCGTGCATGCAGTACTTTGCCGTTCGCTGCCACTTAAGTAATCCATTCTGGAACGCTTGGATGACTTCATCGTCCTGCTGTTTCGAGTTGTGCTTGTGGTACGGGATCATGCTCGTCAATGTCACAACGATGCCAACCATCACGTCCGTCTTCCTGACGTTGTTTGGCATTTGGAGACGAGATGGTGTAGAGCCGTTACTGAGCTGATTGCAAATCAACCCACGCAACCTCTGGATCTCCGGAATGTGTTTCCAGAATAAGAGAGTGTTGTTTAACTGTGGCGCGAATCCCGCCACGAGATAGGAATACACCTCCCAATCACTGTCCCTCTCCAAGATATTCGTTGCTGTCCTCAACCACTTCACAACCGGTAACACAACCTTCCTCGTACCGGTCTCCGCGTCTTCCTCTCCTAGTTCGGTCACGAGGTACGCACAAGACGTCTCTGGCGACTCCATGGGTAGTGGATCAGACTCCGGCACAACCCACAACGGCAACGACTCCAAACTCAACGCAAGATGCTCCGTTAACCGACTCCCAGCCGGCCTCCTCAGACTCCCACCTCGACTCAACATTCCACTCCCAGACATACTGTCCGATCCACCACTGACCTTCCGTGGTGTGTGTCCCTCGCCGTGCATCCTCGACCCTAACATGTTCTGCTCCCCTTCATGCTCCACAGCAGTCTTGGGGGTGCGGTTAAACACTTTAGCGACCTCCGTATTCTCAATCGTCGGCGTGATCCAGGTTTGCCGTGACATATCCACACGTATCCGGATCAACAGCTTCATCGCCACAAGTCGTGCCTCGCTGTCACCGTCACTTCCCACGAGCCCGACCAAATCCTCGAAGATAGCCGCGCACCGCTTCGCCTCGTTGTCTTTCAGACACCGTAGGAACATGCACACGAAACTCTTCGCCGCAGCACCAGGTAACGACGCACTCGGCACCCCCACCGTGTCCATGTGCGACGACCCCTCAGACTCATGCGTCCGTTCCGATCCTCTCGACGGGTGTTCCGACAAACTCGCCAACGAGGAACTCATATGCCGACTCAGCGTCGAGGGCTCCGGTGCCGTAACTGATCTTGTCAAACTCGACGTCATTCCTGTCGAAGCGTACTGACTCATCCGCGAGCCAGCACATCTCCGTAGTACCGCGCTCAACTTTGCGAAGTGCTCTACTGATGCGACAACGGCTACATCGACCAACAATGCCAACGCATCCGTAACGACCGCAGCGTCCTTCTCTTTCTCGAGGGTGTCCAAGAGTGGGAGGAGGACTTCATCCACAAATGAGTCGCCATACACATCTTGAACGACGTCCCAAACATCGCTTAGGAGCCGTAGTGCCCGTTGCCGGATCTCAGTTCTCTTCCCAGGATGCGTATAGAAACTGTTCACGACGACCTCACAATTTGCTACCCAATCAGGCGAGTTGGGTAGACACAGATGGTTCACCGAATAATGCTCCAACACCAACTCCTGCATATCCACCGGCAATCGCTCATGTACCCTTACCAACAAATCCACAAAATCGCCTTCGGGACCGTTTAAGGTATGTTCCTCATACATTTTCCTCAACTTCCCTACGACATCACCGAGCACATGCGCCAACTTGACCGCATGGGAATCCCCTGGTGCATCAACCTGGCCTGGTATGATCATCACCGCACTCGGCACCTCCTCCAGGTAACGTGTGGAGATATAAAGAATTTCTAGTGGCACCGTCCACTCCTCATACGTAATCTGCCCAACCAACGCCTTATCATCCAACACTTGCGACAAATGTCGCAACACCTCCAAACACGTCCTCAAACTCCGTTTATTCAATGCGGAGCGATACGTCGTCATCGCCATCTCCACCCCAATAACCGGCAACCCCTCTTCTTCCTTCGCACGGAAAACCCTCGTAAAAAGTCTCAGCGCACCCTTGACCGTATTAATATGCTGCTCATTCCCCGTCCCATCAATAACACTCCTCAACGTCTCCAAAGCCGAATGCGAGATATGACTCTTCAGCAAATTCCCCAGGATCCTCCACGTCCTCTCCCCAAACTCCGTGATCGTTTCGTGCGCACTGCACAACACTTCCATGACACCGCTCAAGTTCTTCACGGGGATGGTGCCGTAGCAGATAAGTGTATCCATGAATTCGAGGGCTAGGGCGATGTCGGAGCGGGTTCCGGTGCGTTTTGAGATTGAGACGACGTTGTAGAGGAGGGCGTAGATGTCGTTTTCGGAAAAGATGGCGAAGTTGAACTTTACGGCGTTAGTGGCGGATTGGAAGACGGCTGTTAGCTCGTCTTCTTGGCTCTGTTCCGTGCTTGTACCGGCCGTTGCCTTGTCTTTGGAGGGCGGGTCTTGTCGTCGTTTGTCGGCTGCGCGGTAAGTCTGTATCAACCACGTCGCCAATAACGTCCCGATAGACTGCTCAAAAGAGGTAAGATCTCGTCCGTTCTTCGTGAGCGCCGTTAAGGCCTTCAACTGCATCCCAAAGTCTTCCGGTACATCATGCTCCTGAATCGCCTGGAAAAACAACAACCGATCCACCGAGCTCAGTTCCGTCTGCGAATTAATACACGTAATCATCAGATAAAATGCCGCTTTCCTTGCTTTTGGTGGATTGCTCTTGTCCGCCAAGTCTTTTCCCGCCAACCATATCTCGGTCACACTCGGCACCGCATAAGTCTGCGTGATCTTTGCCAAACCGAGGGCGGCGGAAGTTCGCTCGTCCAACGTGTGACCGGGTCGGAGTTGTTGAAGGAGGGCGTCTTGGTCCAGAGAGGTCCGCGCGTCGTGGGAGTGTGCGGCATCGTGCGCGACGGCTGTTTGGGGGGTTGATCTGGCTTGGACGAAAGAGCGGAGGGCACCGAAGAGTTTTGGTTGGCCACTCATGGTAGTATGGATAGGGCCCTCTACGGGCTATGAACGATGACCGCTAATGATCAGGATGGCTGACTGTTTGCTCTCTTGGTGTTTTGTTGAAAGTTCGCGGGATCAGAATGTCGGGAGTCGGAGATTTCTGAGATTTCTGGAGTCACTTAACCGACATTCGACGTTCACGCAACTGACCTCATTGCACATAGCCAGCGAACAGGAGGTCGGGGCTGGGGGAAGAGAGATGAAACTCTTTCCAAATTATCTTGAAGACATATACGATGTTCTGCGGGATCCGTCGATGGTTGCCTTTCACGTGTCCAGTTAGCAACGGGTTACGTTTAGGCGGCATGAGCCCAAAACACTAGAAAACACAGAACCTAAACTCTAAAAAAAGGAAGAGACCCTTCCTCCAAGAGACTCTGACATCCCATATATACCCCCGTGTGGACTCCTAGTCACCATGGAAAGCATTGCATCGTTTCTACTTCAGTCATTGAACCCTGCTACAGCCAAGCAAGGTGTGTTCTTCATCCTATAGTACGATGACGACGAGTGCTAATATGAGGTGATCCACAGCTGAGCAGCAATTGAAGGCCGCCGAATCCCAGCCCGGGTTCTCCCTCCTCCTCCTCCAGATCGTCGCCTCTGGAGCAGACAATGCAACCCGTCAAGCAGCAGCCCTCTACTTCAAGAACTTTGTCCGAACAAATTGGGCCGATGACGATGACAAGAAGATCTCAGAATCAGATCGAGGCTCAATCAAGCGCGAAATCATCGGTCTCATGATTTCCGTCCCGCCACTTTTGCAGGTGCAGTTGGGTGAGGCGGTTTCGATCATCGCTGACACGGATTTCCCTCACAACTGGGATACGTTGATTGACGACCTTGTGTCGCGGTTATCACCTGATGATATGGTCCGCAATAACGGTGTTCTTCAGACTGCGCACTCGATCTTCAAGCGCTGGAGATCACAGTTCCGTACTGATGAGCTCTTCACTGAGATCAAGTTCGTCCTCGACAGATTCTGTGTCCCTTACCTCCAGCTCTTCGCCCGCGTCGACGAACTCATCTCCTCTACCACCGACCGCGCAGCGCTCGCTATGCTCTTCCAGACCCTTCACATTATCGTCAAGATATTCTTTGACCTCAACTGCCAGGATATCCCCGAGTTCTTCGAAGACAACATGCCGCAATGTATGGGCTTGATGCACAAGTACCTCTCCTACGCCAACCCTGTGCTCAACACTGACGATGACGAGGAAGCTGGGCCCGTGGAGAAGGTCAAGGCGGGTATCTGTGAGGTCGTGGAGCTCTACACCCAAAGATACGAGGAAGAATTCTCTCAACTCCCGGACTTCGTCAACACCACCTGGTCCCTCCTCACCACCACCGGCCTCGAAGCCAAATACGACCTCCTCGTCTCCCGCGCCATGGCTTTCCTCACATCTGTTGTCAAAGTCCAACGGCACTCCGCTCTCTTCTCCTCCGAAGACGTCCTCCGCCAGTTTGTCGAGAAGATCATCCTTCCCAACATGTCCCTCCGCGAAGCCGACGAAGAGCTCTTCGAGGACGATCCTATCGAGTTCATCCGTCGTGATCTCGAGGGATCGGATTCTGACACCAGGAGAAGAAGCGCGACGGATTTGGTGCGTGGGTTGATGGAGCAGTTTGAGAAGAGTGTTACGAGTGTTGTTACGCAGTACATCACGTTTTACTTGGATCAGTATGCTGCGGACCGTGTGTCGAACTGGAAGTCGAAGGATACGGCCGTGTATTTGCTTACCGCTATCGCTGCAAAGGGTGTCGTTTCTCAGCTTGGTGTTACTTCTACGAACATGATGGTCGATGTCGTCGATTTCTTCACGAAGAACATCGCGCCGGATTTGACTACTTCTTTCGATGAGGTTCACCCCATCTTGAAGGTCGATGCGATCAAGTATATCTATACGTTTAGAAACCAGTTGACGAAGGAACAGTTGGTTTCTATCTTCCCCGTTTTGGTGAATCACTTGCAGAGCCCGAACTACGTTGTCTACACCTACACCGCTATCACCATCGAGCGTATCTTGTTCTTGAAGAGGCAGAACACCATGTTGTTCAACAAAGCCGACATCCAGCCCTTCGCCAAGGACTTGCTGGAGCAGTTGTTCAGGTTGATCGAGCAAGCCGACACTCCCCAGAAATTGGCCGAGAACGACTTCTTGATGAGAGCGGTGATGAGAGTGATTATCACTTCCCGCGACAACATTGTTGCGCTCACCTCGATGACCATCGAGCACCTCACCAAGATCTTGATCGAGATCAGCAAGAACCCCTCCAATCCCCGCTTCAACCACTTCGTCTTCGAGTCCCTCGGTGCATTGGTCCGCTTCGTTGTACCCACCTCCCCCGCTGCATTGAGTCAGTTTGAGGCACTCCTCTTCCCTCCCTTCCATGCGATTTTGGGACAGGATGTTACTGAGTTCATCCCGTATGTGTTCCAACTCATGAGTCAGTTGTTGGAGGCACACGCGGCTGGTGATCTCCCTGATTCGTACAAGGTCTTGCTTGCGCCGCTGTTGACCCCCGCGCTTTGGGATTCCCGGGGTAACATCCCGCCCCTTGTGCGTTTGTTGCAGGCGTTTTTGTTGAGGGGTGGAAATGTCGTGGTCGAGACCAACAAGCTCCAGGCGATCCTCGGCATTTTTCAAAAGTTGGTGGCGAGCAAGCTCAATGACCACTATGGATTCGATCTGTTGGAGACGGTGTTTGCGAGTGTTCCGGTTGCTACCCTTCAGCCTTTCGTGAAGCAGATCTTCTTGTTGCTGTTGACGAGGTTGAACTCTTCCAAGACTGAGAAATTTACGTTGAGGTTTGTGGTGTTCGTTTACTACCTCGCTGGAATGCAAAAGGAGGGTGCCGGACCAGACTTCGTTGTTGCGTCCATCGACAGCGTGCAGCCCGGTCTTTTCGGCCAGCTCATGCAGGCGATCTTGTTGGGTGACGCACAGAAGGTCAAGGGTAACGCCGAGCGCAAGATCTGTGCCGTTGGTATGACCCGCTTTCTCTCCGACTCCACCGCCCTTCATTCCGAACCCTACCAGAAGATCTGGATGCTCCTCCTCACGGCACTCCTCAAGCTCTTCGAACTCCCCATGGAGGAGTCTAAGGGCGATGACGAAATTGAGGAAGTCGATGTCGAGGACGTTACCTTCCAGGCTTCGTACTCTCGCTTGGGGACGGCTGGTAAGACGAAGGCTGATCCATTCGCTGCTGTGCCTGAGCCGAAGAGGTTTTTGGCGGAGCAGTTGACGAAGGTTGATGCAGCTAGTGGTGGCCAAATCGTTGCTACTATCAAGAGTAGATTGCCTGCTGATGCGCAGGTTGTGTTGAAGGGGTACGGAATGTCGTTGTAAACAAGTCAGCGAGGGAGAGGGGAGAGGAGAGGTGGGAGACATTGCATCGTATTTCATTACACACATATAACAATATTCTCACGGACTAGGGCTTGATCGTTAAACGACGGGTTACGTCAATTTACAATCTATTTTGAAGTATTCTGGCTCTGAAGCGGAGTGAGTGTTCATAGGAAAGCTAAGGATACACCGGCGGTATCAACAATACTGTGCATGTGCTGTGGAGGCAAAAAGATACAGCACCCGAGTATTCCCAGCTGGTCTCCCACGCTAGTACTGACTGGGCCCTATGATGCTTAACTTAGGAGATCGGACGGGATCCTGTGCTTTCATCATGGTATGGCCGTATCTGACAACGTTTTGAATTCAGTGAAAATATCGTGCGTAGCAAAATCGACCTTCTCACATTTTGGATCACACGCCAGCGAAGGCGCTAGGGCGTCGGCCCAACATCTGGCTCACAACTGGTGACCACCACAGTGTTTGAGTTTGCGAGACTTTTCGCGAGACCTCTCGAATTAGATGTCCAATGATATCAAAAATAAATGCTTTTCGATAGTTCTAAAAAGAGTATGACTTATGATACTGCATATCGTACACCTCCACCTTCCGCGCATCACTATCCTGAAAACCCACCGAAGTCCATCTTAAGAGAGATGGTAGGTTGGCTAGCTTCACTCTTGACGACCGTTCCTTCCTCTCTGCCTCCTTTGAGAATCATTTCCAAAGCGGTCTTCTGGGCTGCCGGCAAATTTGCTACGACAGTCTTGAAAGCGTCCGCATTCAGTCTTGCTAGCCTGAGGAGACGCTCGGCGGTATCCTCAACGTTGTTGACCGCAGGATTCGTAGCATATGTTGTGAACGTCGCAATGACGATCGTCATGGCAGGGATAGCCTTTTCAGGAGGAATAACCTTCACGAATTCCACAAGGACATCACAGGCATCCTCTGCCAACGAGACTTCATCGACCACCTTCGAACTAGGGCTAGATATGAAGGTTATAAGATGCGGCAACAAACGTAAAGTTGCTTGCTGTCCAACAATACTACGCTTTGACGACAAGATCAAAGAGCGTATGCATTGTAACGCTACTGCGGCGACCTCATCTGATTGTGAACCTAAACTAGTCTCCAGTGTATAGGAGAACTTGGCGATGAAACCATCGTTTGAAGGCACCAGGTGTCCGAGTGCCGAAGAAATCAAGGTAGTCGCCAAGAACATGTTCTTCGCCGATGGTGTAGCAAGATACCCCTCTTGAGCACTTGCCTTGTTCATCAGATCGACCATATGGGTTAACGCCCCTCTGACAATGGTGGACAGCAGACCTTCGCCATTCAACCCGCAATCAACGGCAACGACGACATTTCGGCAGAATATCTTGAGAATGGCTAGGCTCTGCGGGGCAAGCGTAGCTTGTGCATCTTGGTCCATCATGATCTGTCCGAAAATGTGGAAGATGGTGTCGTACAGATCGCCCTTGATGATGCTAGGAAAAGTTTCTGCCATGTCGACAAAAGCGGCGAGTGTTGCGGTTGCTCTTTGGACGGCATCGGCTGTGTACGCGCCACGACGTAAAGGCACATCATTCTTGTCATGCAATGAGGGGATTTGTTGAACAAGAGCCAGCGTGACGATCCTTTCGAGCTCGAAGAGCTGATCAATTTCATCGGACAAGCCTTCGCTGTGAGCACGGCCTTCATTGTTTTCGAGTGATCGCGTGAAAGGATGATTCTTCGCAAGGTCGCATGCGATGTGCACAATGGCGCTTTGCACATTACCACCTTCCAGGAGAACCAAGCGATCGAAGAGATCCGTAGTTTCCGCAAAAATGACGTCCTTGTAAATCGCTTGACCGCACACGGATGGTCGCAAGATTTTCTGCAAGGCCAAAAGGATATCCAACGTACGTGTGCTGGACTCGCCGTTGGCACTCGTGGCAAGCGCTTCAAAGCAAATTCCAAAAAGAACGAAGAAGAATGCTGCAGGTTCTGCTCTGTAGTTGATGTCACCTGTACTCTTCATCCTTTCATGACCATGAACGCTGGAACGACGGTTGTCTAGCGCAGCAAAAACAAATTCGCTGTCTTGATCGATCAAACTGGCAATTGCATCAACTAGTCTAAGCCATGCCTCTTGATAGAAGCTCAGAAGAACATCGCGGTTAGTCGAGGATGGACTCGCCATACTACCCGAACCTTCTGGTTCGAACCGCAGTCTCGCGTAATCCTTCAGGGTTTCCAGCCAGAGTCCCACAAGTTCTGGGACGTGCGGCTTGACAACGTCTAGGAGGAACTCCTGTTCTTGGCTGGCAATCTGCAACTCAGCCCAGGCCGTAAGGACTGAAAGCTTCAACATGAGCATTGCGTTACCACTGAGATTCTTCAACTCGCCCATGACGTTTGCATTGGCTTTATGAGAGCACCCTTCAAGACCAGACCCAAGCAACTTAAGGATACGACCCATACGCTCAGCGTCTTTCGCAATTCCGCTGGCAACAAACTCCGCACAAATGTTGAAGGCTGATGCAGCCAGTTCAGGATACGAATCCGCTGCAAACGCTGGGGTTAGTGCAGAGGCAATTTGGGCCTGATATTGCTCCAGAAGAAGATACTCCGGGAAGTCTGGGTCTGGCACTTTGCTGAACACCTTCACAACAGCTCTGAGGATATGCAGACCTGTCAAACGAAGCTCAAACACAGCCGCAGTAGATGCTGTGAATGCCATGCGGATCAATTCCGCAACCTTCCCTACCAGCTTCATAGGCGATGCCTCGGCTCCTTCATGCACAATGGATGCTTCCTTGACACTGAGGTTGATGACGTCTAGAAGGCATTCCAAGGCGAAGCATCGTGTCTGCCAGCGCATAAGCTCACCTGAACCATGGTCAACTCCATTATCACCAGGTCTGTCAGACGCCTGAGCCATGGAGGCCACTTCCTCATCTCCCAAATCAGGACCTTGGCTAGCTGTCGGAGCAGCGTGTACGTTTGCCTTCGCCAATGGCATAGTAAGAATTCTCTGACAGAGATTACTCCAGTACACTGGGTTAGCAGCTGCCGTTTGCTGCAGCCAGCTCCTGATGATATTCTTGACCCCTTCGCTTCCAACCGATGCATCTAAGACGTACCACAAGCATAGTTCAAAACCCTCTCCAGCATAGTGGAAAGCGGTCGCAGCATCACGTCGAACGAGGTGGTGCACGCCGCTTACGGCAGCCGATCTCGTAGCCTTGTCAGGTGAAAGCATGTTGCGACGCAAGCGGTTGATGAAAGGCCTAGCGTACAGGATCTGCGGGATGAAAAGTGACAGATTTTGCGTACAATACACCGCTTCGGTGGCCACGCCCTCATCACCTTCCGCTGAGAAGGACGCGATCAAATCCATGATCAGCTCTCTGTTCTTCGACGGCATCGCCATATCCGGACCGATCACGTTGATGATGGCATCGGTGCACCTTACCAGCGTCTGTGTTGTAGGAAGGTTGATTGCGATGTTCGCCGTTGCGATAGAAGCACTCTCCGAATCGTGACTATCTGCCGTGTAGAGTTTGGTCACCTGCTCCAATGCACTTGGAATCTGGGCGGAGTACGAAAGTCCAGCAGACTCGATCAAGACAGTCAATGCATCAAGCGCCCAGAAGTGAACCGTGGGATGCGGGTCATTACTGAGGGACGTAAGAATACCTGCGATAGTCTTCAAGTATAGACTTCCCGCCATGCCTCCGACATACTTGTACAACGAACTAAGAGCCACTGAACTTCCAGCTCTAGCATGCGAATCCTGGTTGCTCACGATCTGGTCAATCAAGGAGTTCAGAATCGGAGCCATGTACTGATTTCCGCACACATTGATCAATCGTCCTAGCGCCTGCGTCGCAGCATTCCTCAGGTAATCGTCCGTACTGGTCACGCCCGCTTGGATGATCTCCTGTGCAATTTTCACCACACGCTCTGCATTCAACCCAGTCTTCGTCTGTGTGTTCGTCATGAACACCTTGAACACGCCAAGAAGAGCCATCACAGCATTGCACTGAACAGCAAGCTTCATCTGCGGATCCTTCTGCAAACGCGGTGAGGTCATCACAGTAGCCAATTGCTCCAAAATACTTTCTTGCACCTTAGCCGGCTGCGACGGAAACGTGACTGCAAACAGCTCAATGGCCGAGTCAACCACTGCGGTCGCTGCAGAAATCGGTTGTGGGGCTATGCCATCCCGTAGACGTTCGAGAGTGTAAAGGATCGTTGGATCATGCTCAACAGCCCCAACAATCGGTTCATCCAGCATCTGTTCGATCGTATCCTCGACACTAATCCTCTTAGTAAAGTGCATCATCTCACCATCACTCTCACCCTCAAATGGGAAATCCACAATACTCATACCCTTAATCAGGCTCGTAACTCCACAAGCATAATTATCTGTCAACCCCCACAAACTCTCTCCACTAACACCCGGCGCCGACGAAACCGTCCCAGCTCCAGCCTCTGAATCCGCAAACAACGAGAGCGAAAGCGTCAACAACTCGCTCTGCACGACTTCCATATGATTCGACTCACTCATCTGCAAATGACACTGTAAGATCCTCCTTCTCGTCATCTGCGCCCACTTCACCCTCTCCGCCCACGCCAAATCATCCTTGTCTTTCTTCGCACTTGGTACACCGTTCACGAAAACCAGTGCGTTCCCAAGCATTGCGATAATCCTCCTCGACACATCCAACGTCAACAGTCTCTTGTTATACTTCAAGAAACACAACAGCGAAGACAATGTCGCTTCCCTTGCCTCAAGCTGCAACATCACTTCGTTGTTTGACTGCGTCCGCCAAAAATCCTTCGTCAACGGTTTCGGCAACGAATTCTTCCACAACAACAATAACTGAGACAAGTGCGTCTTCGCAAACCCATGCCCAAGACTCATCAACCCGCCGATCAAGATCCACGCAATCCGCTGCTGTGCACAACTGACACCCAAGACATAATCCCCAGTCTTCTTTAACACCGTGGTGGCTAAGCTGAGCACACGCGACATAACATCCAAATTAACATACAACGGCTTCGCTTTCGCAATCAAGCATACACCCGCCAACACTTCCGCACAAGCGATCGCTCGCCTTTTCGGATCCGCTTGCGCTGGAGTGTTGAGCGCTGATAAATCCCGGGAGATAATGTTGATACAGAACGTCATCACTGGACTGATCTGCACAGGCGTTTCGTTGACGAGGCAGCGGATACACCACGCCGCGCTGACTTGAACTTCGCGACTCTTGCTTCTGGTGATAACGTTTAGGAGGGTGGTACGCAGAGTGTCTGACTGCATCGTGATAGCGGATCCGAGTGCGGCGATCAAAACCTGTAGGGCTTCCAAAGCACTGCAAAGGGCCGCGTCGGTTTTCTGCTCCTCTTTCGCGATGTACTGCTCCAAGAGAAACTTAATCGCGTTTACCTGGGCCGTCTCTCCCAGCATCCTCTTGGCGATGACTCCGCTTAGCAGTAACCTTACATGTTTCCGTGTCCACAGCGGGTTACCATTCGTAACGGGCGCAATCTCACAAAGGAGATTATGCGCGATAATGGCATACGACTCCTGCACAACATCGTTCCCCAGACCCTGTAGCAACGCAGCATACGCCCGAATCAACCCGGTCCGCAACGCCGGCAACGAAGACGACTTCCCATACAGTATCGAAATCTGTAACAACATTGTCTGCAACGGAAGAGCATACCTCTGTGGCCCACTCGCTGCTCTAAACTTCTTCGATGTCGCGGGTGGTGCTCCATCCTCCCCATCAACCGGCATACTCCCAGTCCGCTTCGAACCCGGTGCTTTTGTCGACGTTGACTCACGGCCTTCTGACCCCGTTTCTGACTCACCGCCATCCCAGACGCCTTTGAGGAGGCTTGCGAAACATAGAGACCCGGCTTCGCGTACAGCCTTGATCCGGGACTCCATTCCCTTAAGGGATAGTGATTTGATTGTGTCGAAGTCTGCTGCACTTGCTGGTGACTGTTCGCGGGCGATGATTTCGAGGACATTTAGTGCTGCTACCTGCGCAGCGTAGCTCTTCTCGGCGAGTATTGCTTTGATGTGCTTCAGCGTTTCCTTGGCGGCAGAATCATCGATGTCTTTCCCGGCGACGGCGTAGTATTTCGATAGAGCGTGTAGTACAGCGAGTTTGAGCACATGCGACGCCGACGAGGACTTCAGGATCCGGTTGTATGCTTGATGTGACGAAGGGAGTAACGAGAATATCTGCGATCCATGCGCCAACGTGATCTCTCCAAGCACATAGATCATGGCCTGTTTCGCCTTAACATCCTTTCCCGCCAACTTACCCCCAGGAATCCCACTGATCTCCTTCACCAACACATTGAAGGTCTCGAACAGGCCCTTCGCACCACACTTCCGAAAGATCATGACAAAACACCTCCCCAACGCTGCGCGCACCGGCCGTGAAGGTGTCGCTTCTCGTAGAACTCCCCATAAGTCGTTGATCAGCTGTGCTTGTCCATTCGTGAGTGCATTGGAGCTGATCCGCGTCAGTCTCCGCTCGAGGGAGGATAAGTATGTGAAGAGGAATGGTGCTTGGGCCGTAGGAGGCAGGACATTGTAGTTCGACGACGACCACTGAGGAATCTCCACAGCGGCTGGCTTCCCTCCAGCTGCTTGATCAGCCATACTGCCCTTTCAATTGGGTGTTGACGCGGGTTTGTTTGGAGGTTACAGTTCACGCTTCGCTGGCTCCGACGGCGTACGTGATGCAGTCCCCTGGCTGTAGCGCGAGCGGTGTGACGTTCGCTGGGGAAGTTCCCATCTCCCTCAAGCAGTCAGTCATATACGCTGCACAGAAACACCGCCAGATACGGCCATACCATGATGAAAGCACAGGATCCCGTCCGATCTCCTAAGTTAAGCATCATAGGGCCCAGTCAGTACTAGCGTGGGAGACCAGCTGGGAATACTCGGGTGCTGTATCTTTTTCGTTTTTGTCCGGGTTGTTCTTTCCAGTCTGCAGAGTTCCGGGCCATGCGGCCATGCGCCAAATCGATTTACTCGGCAGAGTTCTTGTTTGTTTTGCGGACCTTACATAGTAATGTGGTTCGCTCCTACTGGCAGAGTACGTCGGCGAGCACTCGCCAGGAAGCATGGAGCGTGGCAGTATGTGCTCATGAGAGCTGCCACGTATCTATCAGACAGATGCCCGTGAGAGGGTCCTGTCTCATGTACATAAGTCGCCGGAGTGTATGCTCTGCGTAAGCGCTCCCGGATCTTGGGAGTTCAACCTTCGTGAATGCCAGGTGTTCAGCCCCGGCCCTTCCACCCTTAAGCTGCTTTTCCAGCGTCCGCAGAGCCGGCCCAAGCCAAGAATTGACTTCAATTGCCTCCCTTGACTTCCCTCCTTGGCATCGTCATCTTTCATACACTTACCCGTATCCTCGGACTTCACCTCACATTGGCTTCGGCAGATTTCACCCTACAAGGCAATCCGCAAGCGCTCCGCGGCCCAAACACCACCCCCGGCCTGCATGCATGTGTGCAGATTCACCGCCCCGGAGACGTCAAATAAATGCCAGGTGCCAAGTACCAGCTGTGACCAAGGCATACGGTCCGATCATTACGCTTAAGGCTGGGCTATCTGGATCAGGGTCTCCTTGTTGTTGATTGATCAACGACGGGGGTCATAAGGACCGGACATCTCCAAGCATACACACCTATAACTACACCATTCAGTCGTATACCCAACCGGCGAGGACCTTGTTTAAGTGTGACTGTTTGAAGAAAACGACAATGCCACGACCAGCAGTGCTTGATGATCTTAGGAGGGAGTCAGTGCTACGACATGAGAAGCGTGAAATTGCGGATACGGAGACGATTACGACACAGACTGTTCATAACAATAAGCCGGGGAAGTCCGCGAGGCAGTTATACCCCAAGCCGAACGCATTCAGGAGGTTTTTCCTGCGATGGACGATTCGGAGGGGTTTGAAGGAGGGGTGGGGTGAGGGTGTGCCTGGGGCGGATGATCTGGAGAAGGCTGCGAACATGGGACGGTTCGCATCGAGGCCAAGTGATTTGTTCTTGAAGGTCGGCAGGAAGTCCTAAAGCCTGACTTTAGAGTTTGCTAACCTGACCGACAGATATACGGTGATGTCCTTACTACCCTTGATCGCAATCCTCTAGCAGGCTGTGTCTCCCCACCCCTCATCGGCACCTCCGGCACCCTCCCCCTCACCATTCTCTCTACAATCCCCGACATCATGCACCACTACTACGAATGCATACTCGCCGCCGAACACGAAGTCATCCTCGTCACAAACTACTGGCAACAATCCAACTCCCAAGAAACGATCTGCAAAGCCCTCCGAGACTTATCCAAAAAACTCGATGGGTCGAGAAGGAAGATTGTAGTCAAGTTGATGTATGATCGGGGAGATATTTCGCAGGTTCTTAACTTCCATGCGAGGGTGACTGAGAAGAAGTGGGTTAAGCTCAATATCCCAAAGAGGAGCGAGATCCCAAATTTGGAATTTGAGGTGATCAACTATCATCGCTGGTTGATGGGCACATTGCATGCAAAATTCCTTATTGTCGACCGGAAACTAGCACTCCTCAACTCCAACAACATTCAAGACCGCCCAAATCTCGAATTCATGGTTCACCTCGAAGGTGCTGTCGTCAACTCCTTCTACGACACATTCCTCATCACATGGCATCGCACACTCAACCCCTCTCTGCCACAGATGACTTCTCCCGCTCCCTCTGACCCTGTTTTCGGCGAGACGCTGTACTTCTCGAAGGCTTCCACTGAACACGTCAAGGAGAAGTTCAAGGAAGCCGCGACTCGTGCTCGTACCCGCCTCAACCGCGATAACACCCGTGCGAGCATGGAAGCCGTTCATCTCGACTTCCAGAACCAAAACCAGCTCTTGGGTCGTTTCAAGGATATGGTCGGTCGCTCCTCCCTCGATGTCTCACGGCGTATGGAACGAGATGAGCACGGTGAACCCATCACGTTCGAGAGACACGGGCAGATTGAGCCGCATGGACATGTGCTGAAGGGCAAGACGAGTGTGGATAGTGGGATCCTTACGGATGGGGTGCGAGTTGCGCCGCATATGGATACATTGGAGGAGGAAAGGTCGGTTGTGGGGAGTTCGACGGAGGTTATGTCGGATGTTACGGCGATTGATGGGCCTTCGTCATCCTACATGCAATCTGAGAAGGTAGCTAGTCCGGTGTCGATGTCACAGGGGCAAAAGGGTCTGCCTCCTACGCAGCCGCCGACGGTGCCCAACTCCGCCAATGTCAGTAGGCGGAATAGTCGTATCGGGTTCGCGACACTGGTCCAAATGGTGACTGAACGGAGGAATAAGGAGTTGGCAGGCGAGGATCACCCCTCCCCCATCGAAGCATTCCGCGCAAAACTCGAAAACCTGGCAAAGCACTTCAACTCCACCGGCGTAAAATCAGAATGTGCACCAACCCTCGAATCCGAAGTCCACGCCTCTATTCTCGATGACGACTTTACGCCCTATATTGCACACCAGAAACATGTCCCGATCCCAATTGCTATGGTTAGTCGTAATCCGCATGGAACGCCGGGCCATGCGGATATCCGGAATCCCCAGGATGCGGCATGGATGGCCGCGATGCGGTACGCCAAGCGTGAGATCTTCATCCAGACGCCGACCTTCAACGCCAAGCCCGCCCAACGTGGTGTCCTCGAAGCATGTCGTCGTGGGATTAAGTGCACGCTCTGGCTTGGTCTCGGGTTCAACGACAAATCCGAATCATTCCCTTTCCAGGGTGGAACGAATGAACAGGTCGTGAGGAAGCTATATAGGAAGTTGAATAAAGAGGGGAATGGGCATGAGAAGAATTTGGTTGTGTGTTGGTATACGGGGAAGGATCAGACGAAACCACTGAATGCTGTGCACAAGCAGCGGAATTGTCACGTCAAGTTCATGTGTGTGGATAACCAAGTCGCTATCTTCGGGTATGTTGAACCGATCCCACGTGCCAGAAATGCTTACTAATCACCCGTGGTGGATAGAAACGGCAACATGGACACTCAATCCTGGTTCCATTCGCAGGAGATTAATATCATGATTGATGATGAGCGCATTGTGCAGGAGTGGATGGTCGCGTTTCGTAAAAATCAGAATACGCATTTGTATGGACAGACGGATACGAATGGGGACTTGCCGCCGGATAAGCGTTGATGATGACATTTGCACGGTGGGCATGTGGGAAGAACGTGTGCGTCGCAAGCACGTGATATACGAGGAGGAGACTGATTACGAGTGTGTATGATATGATAGCCGACTGGATGCGGCAGTTGCGGGTGCCGAAGCACAGCAGACGAGAGTACAGTATATTCAATTTGGGCGCTGGCGTTCTCCTTTTTTGGTTACGGGCATAGCATTCTTATTCCCTCAAACCAGGTATACATAAACATTTTGATTGGAGTATGCTTGGGCGGAATGTCCGGATTTCCCTTGTTGACCCGAGAAACCGACGAGCCGCTGAGTGCTCGAGCGCGGCGCAGTTGCTCAAGGGAAGTTTAGCGGGACCCCGGCCACTGCGGAACGGAATACCCGGACTAGGACTACGACCATCCATAAATAATACAACCCGCTTTCTCTCTCTTCAACAACAACGACGACAACTCCAATTCCTACGAGCTTACACAGACGACAGCGTGGTACCATACACGTCGTTACTGCCAATCTATCCATTGATCAACCTACCATCAATCTCTGATCTACCGAATTACGCGTACGAACGCAGACACAGCCGTTTACATTCTCTCTCGGATTACCTGATCCCAAGTTCATCATGGCTGCGTCAGTAGTTGCTGGACCACAAGTGACAAAACCTGTGTTGGTCGCGGACGTCTCGGACGACGTCGCCTCCCACCGCAACCCTCCATCCCTTGTCCACACCGATTCCGCCACCACAAACGTCACCGCCGACGACGAAGATGAAGTCGAAGATGATATTGAAGACGATGCTACAGAAGGCGAATCCATCTCTCCCGAAATGCAGGAGCGAGCAGCGAAGTGCGAGGATCGGATTTGCAGATTGGAGGGCATGTTTTTGTTGTTGGCTGCCAAATTGCACTTGGCGAATAACAAGAAGCCGAAGAAGGAGAAGGATGTTAAGGTTATTGAGGCTGCGAAGGCGATGTTGAATGACAAGGAGGGGGAGGAGCTGGTGAGGAAGGATTCGGGGTATAAGAGTGTTGCGAAGAACGAGGCACAGGAGGGAAAGTGAGCTTGAGCCGGGATAAATGATGGAGAGGGGACTTTACGGAGCAGATGTGAGCGAGCTTGAGCTTTGGGGATCTATCTGGCGTTTATCGGTGTTATTGGGACTTTCTTTTACTTTCTTCTTCTTACTCTTCGGCGATAAACGGCGCCGACAGGATCGAGCTACCTACCTTATCACAGTAATGTTTCGGGAATGAACCCTTCGCTGCACAGCTGCACAGCTGCTCGACGCAAAACGGATCTCCTTCCGATCAAACATACCCGCTGACATAATTGGGATTCATCTTGCAATTGACAGGTGATACAATCTGCTGATCTTGCGCGAATTGGGGAGTTGGGTGGGGTTACTCTACTGCCGGATGCCGGAAGACAGCCTGGTGCCGCGACTTTTCGAAATAGCAGGACATGATGCTTGACTGAGGAGATCGGACGGGATCCTTTGCTTTCATCATGGTATGGCCGTATCTGACAGCCGATAATTTCTTGTCGGCTGCTTTGCCCTCGGAATTCTCGAGATGAGGTCGAGTGACGTCAATCGTCTCGGCCGCGGGGAACTTCAACCTCGGCAACAACATCCCGTTCCAATCACCGGCGAGACGAAGACGACGATTGCAATGACTGAACATCACTCTTCAGCCCATCAAAACCTCCGCAAGGCCCGCGGTAACGAACACGTAAAGCACCGCGAACACCTCCCCGGTATCAGCCACCCGGGGTCTACCGGGGTTATTTACTGCACCGAGAGGGCTACTGCGTTGGGATATTCTGATAAGGATTCAGAGTGGGCGAATTTTGGACAGGGTGCACCGGAGACGCCGACTTGTATGTGTATTGGATGAATGTGGTGATGGTGTGGATGATTGCTAATGCGTGGATGTAGTGCCGGGTGGATTCGAGAAACCGACTACGATTACGGTGAGTAATAGTTCGAGGGAATATGGACCGACAGGTGAGCCTGAGCTTGTCACTCGATGTCAAGAAAATGCTTACGGATCTTGTAGCTGGTATCAAGGAGCTACGAGAGGCTGTTGCGAACTTGTACAATGAGCAGTACCGCCAAGGCAAGGAGAGCAAGTACAATTGGGAAAACGTAAGAACTTGATCATTGGAGTCATAGTAACATTGTAACTCACAAAGCTTCGTACAGGTCTGTATTGTACCTGGTGGTCGCGCCGGTTTGATCCGTATCGCCGCCATGCTCGGCGAGACGCTCGTCTCGTACTTCATCCCCGACTATACTGCATACTCCGACATGCTGTCCCAGTTCAAGTCGTTCTCTCCGTTCCCCATCCCTCTTTCGGAAGAGGATAAGTATCATGTCAATGAGGATTTGATCCGTGATGAGTTGAAGAGAGGCGTGAGCGTGATTTTGACCAGTAACCCACGCAATCCTACAGGGCAGGTGTTGAGGGGAGAAGAGCTAAAGAGAGTGCAGGAGATGTGCAGAGGGAAGTGCACGTTGCTTTTCGACGAGTTCTATTCGGGGTATAACTACACGTCTGACGCGGATGGGAAGACCATTTCATCGGCGGAATATGTGGAGGATGTTGATGAGGATTCTGTCGTCATCATCGATGGACTAACCAAATCTTTCCGCCTTCCTGGGTGGCGGATTTGCTGGGTTATTGGGCCGAAGGAGTTTATCAAGGGTATGGGCTCGACGGGGTCGTTCTTGGATGGAGGTGCGAGTCACCCATTGCAGGAAGCTGCTATCCCGCTGTTGAAGGTGGAGAGTGTCCGGAAGGAGATGAAGGTCTTGCAGGAGCACTTCATCAAGAAACGCGACTACGTCCTCGACCGGCTCAGCAAGATGAACCTTTCCGTCGCTTACCCACCCGAAGCAACCTTTTACATCTGGCTCGATCTTTCACACCTCACCTCCCCCGAACTGTCCAACGGCCTATCCTTCTTCGAGGAGTGTTTGAAAGAGAAGGTCATTGTCGTGCCAGGGATTTTCTTTGATCTGAATCCGTCGAAGAGGAGGGAGTTGTTTGATTCTCCTTGTCATCATTTTGTGAGGTTGAGTTTTGGGCCAGGGATGGAGGTGCTGAGGAAGGGGTTGGATGGGATTGAGAGGGTTTTGAGGAAGTTCGGGGAGATCTAAATCTATGTATGTTATCGAGATTGATTTATTATTAATGAGTCTACCATTAATGAGGGTGAGGGACATCTGTACCCAGGCGAATTCACACGCTGCACGTAAACCTTGATGTACATCACGGCCCGTCCGCATCCAACCCATCTCCATTCCAAGGACCTGAACCGTAAACAACCGTACACCTTCACCTCTACCTCCAACCATCATCATGGCCGAAAACGTTTGTGACTCAGGCCGTAGCACTCCAGCTCATCATACAGACATGTTCCACGAGCCTCACCGCCAATTGGGCGACAGATACCTCCGTCTCGAGAAGGACGACGGGTACGGCAGCCAGAGTCCCTTCTCTGACGTAGACTGCCATAAACCCGACTGCGTCCATGACAAAGAGGATGTTGCGCTCTTGAGCCGTCAGAGCGTAGTGAGCTCGAGGATGCTGGAGCAACCGGAGAAGAGGAATATCTTGACGAGTCCTGTGGAGAGCTCAGTCTACTCTCCTGTTTCGACCACGGGGTTTGACTACGGAAAAGAGAGTGTAGAGACCGCTGGCAGTACCGTCGTTTACGGTAACGACGAACTTGCCGAGTTAGGTATCGATTCCGCTGTTACGAACGCTTGTGGGATTTCCTGTGCGTTTTGGGATATCGGGACCGGACGCGGTCTTGGTGGGGTGAATGTGGTGTTGGAGCATCACCTCATCGGGAACTTTGAGAAAGAAGAACCGGAGGGGTGGGAGGAAGTTGCGAGGTCTATGTCGGCGGCGGGAAAGGGAATTGCTTTTGATTGGAGGAAACCGGAGGGGACAATGTTTAATCTCCAGCAGTGGTTCAAGGACGCGAAAATCGATACCGGGGAGAGATTCAGGTTGTGCATCGATTTGGGTAGGTGCTACCAGCATCCGGTTATCAAGGGTGTCACAGCAGAGATGAAACTCCCGAATAGCCGAATGGACCAGAATCTGAGGTTTATGGTTGGTCCGTGTTCGGTTACGTTACTTGGTGGACATACGTTTGGGGTTGAGCAGAGAAGTGTTACGCCGTTTCCGTTGGGGAAAAATGAGAAGGAGGCGAATTGTCATGTTAGTGCCGAGGTTGTTGACATGTGTGCGGGGTCTGGTGCTGGAGGCTATCACGGTTAGGTACATGTGCTTACTTTCAAAGGGGCCTACTAACAGGGTTGGTAGTATCTCTGTCCTACATGGGCGACGGACAAGGCACTGAAGGGAACGAAGTTGTGGCATATGCCTCTGCAATCACGGAAGCGACAACCGGCAAAGTCGCACACTGGGATATGCGCGGACCAGCAGAAGAAGCTTTCAATCAACCAGGAACATATCGTCTCGGAATCCGTATGTTGGTTGAGAGAAGCCTCTTGCATTAAGATACTGAGTCAGTCAACATAGACCCCGACTTTGACCGTTTTGGAGTGTCCTCCTTCTGGGAGCATGTCTCGGCGGACATGGCTGTACACGACCCCTCAATCAAGCGTAATGCGGTGTTTACTATGGGACCGAGTATGTGTGGGGTGTTTGTGCAATCGCAGTAAGGCAGCGGGGTGTATTAAGCCCTTGGTCGTAATGAGAGCGTGGTCGGGGTCGTTATCTCGGAGGAAATACGAAATTAGCAACCTGAAATATCATGATCACAACGTAATTGACCCCTCCCTCTCCATTGACGGTACGTCGGGTCTGTATTGTTTGGGCATCAAGCGCTCACGTGTAAACCGCGGCCTTTGAGCGTACCGGTACGGCGGCCGTATATGTGGGGCAGTTGGCCGACCGTGGAGCCTGACTCACCACCAACACAACCAACACATATCACTACAATGACAAACGCTCTTTCAGGAACTTCTACTCCGTCTTCGGACGCTTTTACAGGTGAATCGTCGCCACACGTAACTCCAGTACTAGAACTATATTGACTCATTGCTGACAGTCTGCGTTTACTGCGGTTCTGGACCTGGGAACTTGCCAATCTATACCGAGACCGCAACAGCACTCGGCTCCCTCGTCGCAGCTCGAGGTTGGTCTCTCGTTTACGGTGGCGGAACGACGGGGTTGATGGGGACTGTGTCGAGCGCAGTCGCCGCCGGTGGCGGGTTCGTCCACGGCGTCATCCCCCAAGCGCTCGTCACCAGAGAAACGAGCGGAAAGCCAGAGGAGTGGCACGGCAAAACAACGATCGTGCCCGACATGCACACCCGGAAACGACTCATGGCCATGGAAGCGAAGGCATTCATCGCGCTTCCTGGAGGGTACGGAACCATGGAGGAGTTATTCGAGGCGATTACGTGGAGTCAATTGGGCATTCATTCGAACCCGATTGTCTTGTTGAACATCAATGGGTTCTATGATGGGATCGTGAGCTGGATCGAGAATGCGGTTGAGCATGGGTTCGTCAGAGAGAATCAGAGGAATTGTGTGGTGGAGTGTAAGACTGTTGAGGAGGTTGTTGCTGCGATTGAGGGGTGGAAGGTTCCGGAAGGTCGATTGAAGTTGAGTTGGCAGCAGGAGGGGGAGTGTGAGTTCACTAATGGACATAAGAAGGTGGAGGCCGAGGTTAACGGGAATGATTTGAAAGCAAGGAAGATGAGCGTGCATGATGAGCTCATGGGCGAAGTGCTGAGGGAGAAGTTTGAGAAGTGAAGTAGCACCTGCTGCTCTTGTGTTTACATCTGAACACTCCGATGCGTCACGCTGGCTTCGTGACACAACTCCCCTTATGAATCGTCGCAGGACGTCCGTAGCATCGTTCGAGGCGTCATAGACCAGAACGTTGGATGGCATAGAACATTTAGCATATCATGGGTCTCCAGGTACTGAGCGTCTCATTCCAAATGAATCAACCTTCCAAGCTCTTTGGTATCAATTATGCAAAACAATCGCCTGTATCCTTTCGCGACCCTTTCCACATCTCACATCTCTCTAATCAGTCTCCATGGCCTCGCCCTGCTGTCCACCCTCAGCCTGAGCTCCACCCTCCTGGCCCAGTTGCTCGAGCCACCCTCTAACATCCTCACCCTCAATCAACTTGAACGCCTCTCCCTTTCCAACAACACCCACACTCGTATTCTCCACCGTCAACTCCTTATCCTGTGGCAGCGAATCCCTCAAAGCCTTCAACCCATGCATGATTAACTCCTCCGCACTCATCTCAACCCCAACAAAACTCTGCGAATTCCTCTCCAAGTACGTTCTCGACGCCTGGGAACGCGCACCGAGTGCGGAAGCGTAATACTCCAAACACTGCCCACTCGGCAAAAACTCCCACAGATGCGGGCCGGTTTCGTCAACACCGACGATGAGGAGGCCGACACCGTAGGGGCGTGAGCCGTAGTGTTGGGTGTGGACTTGGGCTTTGTCGGCGAGGGAGTCGGCCAGGCGGGAGAGGGGAAGGGGACGGTTGTAGAGCATGCGGGAGGAGAGGGATTGTTGGCGGAGGAAGTTTGAGAGGACGCGGGCGTCGGGAGCGAGGCCGGCGAGGGCGAGGCCGACGTGGGAGTCTACGCGGATGATCTTTTTCTGGTAAGAACCGAGTTCTTCTGCGTTGCGCTGAAGTGAAAGTCAGCCAAATGTTCGTGTATGTGTTCGCGACGAGACAGTCGCAATAGCAATGGCAAAAGGGGATGAAATACCTTCAACGCAACCAATACAGCATGGTTCTTCGACACCAATCCCACACAAGCACTTCCCTGCTTAATAGCTTCCAGAGCATATTCCACCTGATGCAGTCGTCCCTGGGGTGACCAGGTCGACGCATCCGAATCGTACATGTTGCGGAACATCTTGAACAATTGTCTGGTGTATTGGGAAGGAGGAAGGGGGATAGGATAGGCGGTTGCTGAGGGTTGCACTGCGTGTATGCTGGACGGTTACGAGGCCGCGTAGCCTGCTTGTGCGTGGAGACGTCACGGGCAAGCAACTCGGTCAATGGGATGAAGGTGGACATTAGAAAGTCAATTGTAAGGAAAAATGAACTTTAATCTCATATACCATTAGCACTGACGTATCTCATCCCTACCGACATCTGCAGGGACAGCCGGCCGCCGGTCCCGATCCCAGCTGCACCCAGTTGACGCTGCCTCTCCCTTGATCTCCCCAGTTGCAATCATGGCCGGCCTCAAAACGCACGTCTTCCCAACGGTAACGAGCAGTGGCATCGCTGACCGCGTTGGCTTTAGGATCATCGCGCTGTCCTTTGTGCTTGCAATCGGCTTCCTCCTCGTCATCCTGTCCTCGGCACTTTACGGCAATTGGCTACCACTGTTCGTCGGTAAGTCCAGGCCCTATTTCGTTTGCCTTCGCATCGCGAGGCGTGAAGAGCCGAGCTGACCATGACGAACAGTCGCGATCTACCTCCTCGCACCCCTCCCTAACGCCCTCTGCTCCAAACTCGCCGGCGAAGAGGACTTCATGTCCGATTCCACCGGCAGCGGTCTCATCGATTTTGGCCGGTTCGTGACGGGGATGTTGGTAGTGAGTGGGATTACGCTCCCGGTGCTGTTGAATCATGTACGGCTGATCGTGCCGGGGGCGATGGTGATGAGCACGGTGGGGGGGTTGGTGATTTATGGGACGATTATTGCTTATACGCAGTTTTTTGCGAGGGAGGGGGATGACTTTTGAGAGTCGTGATGGGTGTGAAAGGAATGTGTATGAGTAATTTGGGAACATGGAAGACATACCACAAATCAGCTTACGATACCCACGGTAGCTAGCGGTGACGCTGGAAGGACTCCGGGAGGTAAGGTAGCTTGAACAGACAGATGATATGAAGAAGTATCTACCACAAAAATGAGAAAAAGATACAGCACCCGAGTATTCCCAGCTGGTCTCCCACGCTAGTACTGACTGGGCCCTATGATGCTTAACTTAGGAGATCGGACGGGATCCTGTGCTTTCATCATGGTATGGCCGTATCTGTTGGATCTCGCCAAAGATGAGACATCACAGTTACAAGCGTATGCCTGAGAACAACTGTAAACACTCCCTTCAACGCTCAATTATCTCGTCCACTAAGCTCAAGCAACACGCACACCCCGATGAGCAGGCAAGCCGACCGTCTCCTCCATATCAACGCTAATAGCGTGCTCGGAATGCCATAATTAGCTATATATCAAGAAACAGTGTCCATAATGCTCCTCAACCCAGCATACCTCCTCATAACCACGCCTCGGTAATAGGTATTCATTGGTATCGTACATCTCTTCTCTCTGTCTCCTCCCCTTCAAAGCACCTCAATCTGCTTGATCAAAAAAACCTTCTCGTCGTTAAACTGCTCATCGTCCTTTCTGTCATTATGGAAGCCCGAGAGGAAGACCAGGAGCTTGTCCCGGTTCTTCACGAGGATTTTCTGGACTTGGGGGGTTTTGTTGGGGTTTGCGACGAACACCTAAAACGAAGTTCAGCCAATGTTCACACTGGATGAGGAGGTTCTTACCTTGAATACGTGGAATGCCTCGAATTGGATGTTCTTACTCCTGTCCTTGAGGAGGATCATCATCAACTTCAGGTTCTCAGCACTCGCGATATACTGTGTCATGACCGCAAAGTTCGCTCGATCGAGAAGGATCTCGCCGAGGAGCTTCAGGGATTGGCGTTTAACGACATAGTTCTCTGACTCGATGAGGGCGGTGAGTTTGGCGAAGAAGATGTCGTAGTTCTGGAGGAGGAACTCTGCTGCGAGGGATTTGTGCCGGGTGAGTAGCTCCTGCGAAATATGTTAGCCACTTGACGAACTAAAGTGGGCGAAGTCGTGCACCTTGAATGTTGAGAAGGCATCACTGGTGATGTCAAAGTTCCCGTTCTCCACATAGCCGATAAACATCCAGAAATAATCCGAAAACAGCATGATCTTCGCTAACGACTCGAATTTGATGCACTCCCGCAGCATTTGTCCGCAGTTAAGCGCGATATCTTTGTTGTCGTACCCCTTTATCAACGCAAACAAAGTATCTTCTTTGCCGCACAGGTAGTCAACTGTGGGATATCGCTGACCGAGTTGACGTCTGAGCATTGTGTTGAAGATGGAGGTCACGTCTTTTCGTGCTTCGAACTCGAAACGCCAGATATTGAGTGCGAGGAGGGGTAGGAGGTCGGTTGCGTAGGACTCCTGGCAAAGTGCCGCGAATTGATCTGGTAGTGGTTCAGCATCTGAGAAAAAAGGTCAATGATGTGCATATAGGGAGTTGAACGCGCTTCCTTACCTCCATCCCCGTAGAGAATGACCTTCATCTGCGCAAGTCCCCTGGATACCTCATCTTGCGCCTGTGAGACCAACGTCAGCAGGAGATTTCCAGAGACGACGAGTTCGGCTTACCCTTCGCTTGTCGGCAGGACTGTCTAGGCGGTGAATGCTGTCTCGTAGAGATCTTACAAGGTCCTGAGGAGACTTTGTTCTTGAACGGTTGAAGAGGAATGCCATTGATCACCGTAATAAGAGGTCAGGCAACCCAGTGAGGTGTACAGGTGTGTCCAAGCAGGTGTCCCAGAGGGTTCGCGACTCGTCAATGGCGGTACGGTAATCCTGCTGTATGCGTCAACGGTATAGTAACGGGGGATGAGTTGCGTATATGGCGGTCTTATCGATAGGGGGTAAAAGTAAACACAGCATTGGATTAGACGGCAGGACGAACGACAGATATAAAGACTTCTCTATAAAACCTAACATTGGAAGTTATTGCTCTTGAAGATAACATCAATGTAAAACCAGGATGCCGCGTGAAGGCTTCCTGGGAGCGCGGGAGGTCCGAGCTTCATAAATTACCACGCCTGTACGGCGCCTGGAAATCGAAGCCGCACACGCCATAGACGACCGCTCACAGGAAGGATGGCCCAGAAAAGGGTCAGACCCAATGCTTTCGACGAGCATACATCCATAGACCTCGACATGAACATCGACGGAGAAGCTGCTCGCTTGAGTAGGACTTCTCTCTTGGTCGGGATGAGCGTCGGTCCAGGTGGTGTTATGCATTTGAGGTACGTTCAGATCAGGGGGTGTCTGGATTTTGGTGTACTCATGAACCGTTGAAGACCAGTTTCAAGAGGAAATCAGTCTTTGCGGTCGACACATCGGAGAACAGCATTATCTTCACCTCCGCAAACGCGTTATGTTGCGGATCAATCGACGCGAAGTTCGGCGTCGTATGCGCCCTCTACGAGAGCTCCGCCTCCAAGTCCCCCAACCTCGCCTCTCACTCCAAACACGTCCCTTCTGATGCCCTCGACTAATCATCAAACGCGCTTACCTCGCATGAACCTCCTCCTTCGTCGCGGATCAGAGCCTCTGGAAATCATCACGCCAGCCTCACCACCAATCACACCTGAACCCGGACAAGAGGACGCCCTGGAGACTTCACCATTCCCTTGGAGATACCATGAACCAGCCCTAATGTCACCTACCTCGCAGCCAGCTTCAAATCCCAGATCCTCATTTGGTTGGGACGTTAATTTGCAGACAGACCCATCGGTCATCAGGTTCGATTCGCGCACAGGAGAGTTACTTGCAGCAACTGTCCCCGCGCTAGTCGCCCAGATCACCAGCTCTGATACTGTTGACTACGGGTTGATGACCGACGTGTTTCTCTGCAAGAGCTCTTTCGTGGATAGCATGCATCTCCTGCAGCTGCTACATTCTCGATATATCTGGGCCAATGTGCGGGGTGACGATGTTGGGAGAAGAATCAGAGTTCGAATTTTTGCTGTTTTTCGGCACTGGATTCTCAACTATTATCCAGATGATTTCGCTGTTAGCGAGGCTCTGAGGAACGAATTTGTAAACTTTGTGAACAACCTCTGGAAGCTCGCCAACGACCGAGGAGATGCTTTCAACAAAGGAATTGCCCGCGAATTGAAAAGATGCTGGGTGAGAGCGTCAGACTCGTACATCACGAACGGCCGAGCGCTCCTGTCGGCGGGCTTCGAAGAGACTGCTTCCATAAGCGCTGGCGATACAACATTCATGCAAACTCCAAAGAGCCCAAGAATCGACAGCCCCTTATTTAAGAACATGTGCCCGGCTGATCAAACACGTGGTAAAACGCTCAGAAAGACACGCTCACAGCCCTTTCTCCAAATTGGCCTGCTGCCTCCACCGTCCTCCGCGGGGTACCCCAGAGGCGGGCATGTGCGATCAAGGTCTGAGTCAGTGTCGCAACCGACGTCTGGTGTGAAGCGAGTCTTTACCAGCCTGCGAACCGCTCTTTCCAAATCATCACAGTCCACGCCAATGCGTCGTTGTCACCAGGTACCCAGTCGAATCTTGGCGGTTCCCCGGACAGATCTTTTGGGAGTTCCGAATGTCCAAGAGAGGCTGAAGAAAGTTAGGCAAGAGCACGAGAATAACGAAGGGAACGATAGCCTAGTTGTCGAGCCTCCAACTTCGGACCCCTATGCTGAGCAGCAGGCCGCGAGTGTGCTGAACGAGGCGATATCGCTATGGCAATCCACCGAAGAGCCTTCGCCAAACTCAACACACGGAGATGATCCATTCATATTTGATCATGACTCGAAAGGAGACACGTCGGACGAGCAATCACCGACTTCTGAACCTGGGCACCTGAACGCGGAGGACATGGATACGAATGAAAAAGGGGTCACTCCCTCACAGTCTTCCGCTGAGTTGGATCATAGAATCGAGTGCATCCTAAAGAAACAAAGAGGTCTGAGGAAGCTACCGGCGGGCGATTTGCGAAATGCTACGCACATCGCCGACTTGCAGGGTATGCGGCGTACCAGCAGCACAACGCAATCAATTTCGACTATAGGCTCTGCACCCAAATCACCACGAACTCCGTTCTTCATCAATACAGCTGCTCCCGAAGACTCTGCGGATCAGGTCTTAGTAGGCCTTGGAATCAGATCTTTGGAGGAGATCCTCAAGTTGCGAGACCTTCCTGAAGTCGCGGCAGAGGAGACAGGAGTAGATGCTGCTTTGGCAAAGCTTGAGGGTCGAGCCACCGGAGTAAATACAATCCCGAACGGACCGCAGCTTGCAAGCTCTCCCGAGTCTAGCGACAGCAGCAATGTTAACTCCTTCCCTTTCGAACAGCCACCAGGGCTTGTGATGCCTCATATGCCACTCAACGGGGCATCTGAGTTCATAATGCCAACAGAACTGACACCACCTCCTTCAGGAAGAGATACGGAATCTTCCAGGAGTACTGTCAGTGAAGATGAGGCTGTTCGAGTTTCGAAACTATTCAGCTTCGGCGATGTGGCCGCTCCAAGGATGGCAAATCCATCGCCCATTTGCCTCCCACGCCCTTCACAGTTGCATCGAGCTTTCGTGTTCGACCATGATTCCCAGGAACTGGCCAGACACTTTACGATGATAGAGAGAGATATACTGGCGGAAGTCGACTGGTTAGAGCTTCTTCATGGATGGCCAAATCCTGGACGACTCAGCAGTCTCACAAGCTGGGCTTCTTTCCCCTACAGGGAGAAAATCGGTGGAGTAAGTGTCGCGATTGCGCGATCGAATTTGGTAAGTGGACATAATCTGCCCGAAAGAAGTAATGTTACTCATATGCGAGTTGCAGACATCGAACTGGGTCACCTCCGAGGTCTTCCTCACAACAGACAATCGTGAAAAGGTGCAGCTAGTTGAGAAGTACATACGCATTGCTTCTCATACCCTCCGTTTCTGTAACTTCTCGACCACTGTCCAGATTGTCCTCGGTCTGTCATCACCTTATCTAGAAGGGCTGACGGAAGTCTGGGATGCAGTGTCGCACACGGAAGCCGGGATTTACCAGGAGTTGAAGCAACTCGTGAACCCTCAAAAGAACTGGGAGAACCTGCGATTCACCATGGATCGAGCATCTGTAAATGCACAGACCGGATTCTTACCTTTTATCGGGGTTTATCTTGCGGAGTTGGTCGACAATAGCAAACGACCGGCGCTTGTGCACGCCCAAGGCAACGGCGAACCGCTGGTCAACATTCAGCGGTATCGACATGTAGCGAGCATCGTGAAAGCCCTTTTGAACATGGTCCACGCTAGTCAAAGATATCGCTTTGCTCGCAATGTACACACTTTCAACAAATGCTTATGGATTGCCTGCTTGAACGACACGGATATGCGACGCCATTCGGGCATTATGGTCTGAATGATATGACATGACTTGATTAGACATTTGGATTTGCCTCTCTCTTTCATTTATTGGAAATCAGGTGGCGTTAATGGAGTCCGGCGTAGAAAGGACATTATGTTTGTTTTATCTCTATCGCTGCTAATACATAGTATCGTGCGCACTTCGATCACCGGAGCTTATAAAGCTTGTGCACGTTCGTTTTACCAGCGGCTTCGCAAGACCAGTTCACCTCAATGTCCAACTCGCGGGAGTTGTCAGCAGCCTTGCCATAACGGATGCTACCCTTGACAATATCGCCCTCCTTCAGCTCAATGGCTTCATCCAACATGAGTAAAGTCTGGTGCCAGTGAGTGTCCTTACCCTTAGGACCGGTAGTAAAGGCGTTACCCTCCTTTGGTTTCCACGACTCAGCGAGAGCATCCGCTTCAATCTCGGCCCCCCGAGCAGTGAAGTATGTGTCGAACCAAATCAAGAAAGATGTCAGAGGTCCTGCTTTCTCAGTCTTGATCTCGAAGTTTGAGGTGAATGACAGATCGTCAACAGTAATGTCATGTGCTGGTAGAGGTTTGAAGACGCCGGCGTTCGTATTCAAGTATTTTGCCTGGATCGATTCCACATGAGCCTCATCCAAGATACCTTCCTTCATCGCAGTCATCTTGAAACCGTACACCTCATTCCAGAAGTGGTATTTGTCATTGATGTACTCTTCGTCAGACAAACCGGCGACGAGCAGGCGGGTTTCCGATGGAATCATCAAGCCGTCTTTGATAAGGTATCTATCACGGGCGTTAAGGACCGAGTCGTACATGGATTCGTAGATCAATCCATAACCCATCCACTCAGATACAATGATATCAACCTCCTTGACAGGAAGTTCAAGGTCCTCGATTTTCCCCTGAAGAACAGTGACGATCTTGTCCAAACCGTTCTCCATGACGTTTGCACGAGCTTTGTGGACGATTGAAGAGTTGTCGACAGCGAAGACCTTAGCAGCACCCGCTTTGGCACAGAACATGGAAAGGATACCAGTACCACATCCAACGTCGAGGACAACCTTGCCCACGAAGAGGTGTTTGTTGTCATAGATGAAGTCTCTGTAGCCCTCGGTTCTCGCAGTATCTTTCAACATGGTTTCGTGAATCTCGTTGTGGCCATATGACTCGAAGTAATGAGTGTCATCGTCACGCTTGAACTCAGGAAGCTTGTCATTCGAGGAGTCTTGCTTGGACTCAAAAGACTCCCGCACAGCATTCTTGTATTCGGTAAACTGAGTTCGCAAATCCGCGAGCTCCTTCGCAAGACGCTCAACAGTAGCATTCGGATCGGATGACTCCACGTTGGAAGGAACCACTTCGTCATCCTCGTCGTCCAAGTCGAAGATCAAAGGGTCATTCTCGAGAACCGGCCTCAAGTAAGTCTCACCCTCCAGGTACTCCTTAGACTCAAGATCAGGCTTCTCTCCAATCTGCACCTTAGACCGGATGTAGTTGATCAAGCGAATGCATCCATAAATGTCCAGGTTGTTACTCTTGCGGTATGCATAGAAATCGAAGGAGTGCTCAAGAGTGCAGTGAGCGAACACATCGGCAATTGAAGGCAAGCTCTTGTGGCAGAACAGGCATTGAGCTTCCGTAAGCTCGGCGTCAGAAAAGTCGTCCCAATCAGAGTCTTCGACGTCGTTGTCGGACACAGGATCACGGTCAATAGGCAACTCAGACGACATTTTGTTTGTTTCGTGTAATTAAGGTTTTCCTCGAGGCAAAATTAGGAGTGGCTGAGGAGGCCGTGCAGTAACGTTGATACCCGAATGCGGCGATATACGCAAAGGTTCGAAACTCATTGAGATAACGTATCTCTGTATGCTATTCCTTACTCTCTATCGTATTTTACCACTCTCGGTAGCACTTACAACTTCAACAATTGTAACATGAACCTAGTTCCCTGAATTTCTTGCTCTTCATCCGCAACGACATCACCCTCGACATTCTCCGCACCGGCCTTCTCCATTGGTCTTCGCAAAGTCTTGACCAACAACTCCTCATGTTGAGTGATGACATTGTCCAAGCCAAGGGTATCCTCGTCCACCACACGATAGAGCATCCTCACGTCATCCGTCGCAACCAAACCAGCCTTCTTTCGTAGACGCTGCACTCGGTTGATGACTTCACGCGCAAGACCTTCTGACTGAAGCTCGGGGTGGATAGCAATGTCGAGCAAGACGAGGACGTCCTGGTCGGTGTTGGTGTCGTAACCCTGGTTCTTCTCCGCATCAATACCACGAACAACCTGCAAGTCCTCCTCAACGAGCTTGACGCCGTTGACCTCAATCTCCTTCTCGGCGATAAACTTCTTGACATCAGCAGTGGTGAGCAATGGCAGAGCACTCTTGACCTTGACCATATCCTTCCTGAGCTTCTTACCAAGGACGGGCCAGTCAGCCTGAACCTTGTACTGCACACCGTACTTGTCCTCATCAGCAGTCAAGACCAAGTCGCGAACGTTGAGCTCCTCCACGATGTAACCCTTCAAGGACTCGACATCCTCGAGGTAGGAAGCATCGGGGTGGATGACAACAAGCTCCTTCAAAGGGGTCTTCAAACCAATGGTGTGCTTCTCACGCAAGTTACGACCGAGGTCAATGACCTTCTGCATGCGGCCGACGCGGGTCTGGATGGCCTCATCCAAGAACTCCTCACGCACGGGAGGGAATCCAATGAAGTGGACAGAGCGGTCATCCTTCGCGAAGGTACCCACAGGAACGTACTCGCGAAGCTTCTGGTAAATGGTCTCGGTAAGGAACGGAGTGAAAGGACCCATGGTGCGGACAAGAGTAAGAAGAACATCGTAGAGGGTGTTGAGAGCGAAGATGGTGTCCTCCTTGCCGAACTCACCCTTGAGACGTCTGCGGTTAAAACGAATGTACCAGTTGGTCATGTCTTCAATGAGGTTGAGCAACTTCGGCACGACAGTGTACAGACGGTACTCGTCCATCTCCTTCTTGACGAACTTGATCAAAGACTGGCACGAAGCAAGCATCCATCTGTCCATGACGTTCTCGCTGACAGGCATCTCGGTGTTGAACCTGAAGTCGACACCGTGGTTCTTCTTCAAGAGAGCAGCCTGACCCTCGAAGAACTTGAAAGAGTTCCACCAGGGCAAGAGAACCTTGGAAACAATCTCCTTAACACCCTCCTCCTTGAACTTGAGAGTCTCAGCACGGACGACAGGAGAGTTGATAAGGTAAAGACGGAGAGCATCAGCACCAAACTTATTGAGGATAGCCGTAGGCTCAGGGTAGTTCTTAAGCCGCTTAGACATCTTCTTTCCGTCAGCAGCCAAGACCAAACCGTTGACAATGACGTTCTTGAAAGGCGCCTGACCGAAGAGGTGGGTACCGAGGACGAGAAGGGTGTAGAACCAACCACGGGTTTGGTCAAGACCCTCACCGATGAAGTCGGCGGGGAAGGTGTTCTCGAAGCCCTCCTTACCCTCGAAGGGGTAGTGCTTGGAAGCGTAGGGCATAGAACCAGACTCGAACCAACAGTCAAAGACCTCCTCAACACGGCGAAGAACGCCCTTACCCTGCTTGGACGGGATGGTGATGTGGTCAATCTTGTCGCGGTGAATGTCGGTCAAGTCGCCGCAACCAGAGAGCTCCTGAAGCTCAGCGACGGAACCAACACAGACAACCTCCTGGAAGTCATCGGAGACCCAGAGAGGAAGAGGAGTTCCCCAGTAACGGTTTCGGGAAATGTTCCAGTCACGGGCGTTAGCAATCCAGTTGGCGAAGCGCTTCTCCGAAACGAAGGAAGGAACCCAGCGGGTGCGAGCGTTGGCGTCCAACATCTGTCCGGTGATGTTCTTGACACGAACGAACCAGGCGGGAACGGTACGGTAGAGGAGGGGAGTGTCGGATCTCCAACAGAAGGGGTAAGAATGCATAATCTGGCTCTGAACAATCAAGCGTCCGTTGGCCTTCAACACCTTCTGAATGTCCTTGTCGGCCTCCTTAACGTGCTTACCCTCGAAGTCAGGGACCTCGCTGGTGAACTTACCGGACTCATCGATAGGGCAAGGAGGGTGGATCTCGTCACCGACAACACCGTGCTCAGTGCAGACGCGGTGATCGTCCTCACCGAAAGCAGGAGCCTGGTGGACAATACCGGTACCGCTGTCAGAGGTGACGTAACCGTCAGTAAGAACCTTGAAACCACGACCCTTGAACTTGTCGGCGTAGTATGGGAAGAGAGGCTCGTACTCGAGACCTTTCAAGTCCTTTCCGGGAATCTTCTCGAGGATCTTGAACTTGGCGGTCTTGGGGTTCTTGTAGAGGGTAGAGAGGCAGTTCTCGAGGAGGATGTAGTTGTGGCCCGAAGCTTCGTCGTGGATCTTGATGTAGGTGAAGTCGGGGTTGACACAGAGCGCCAAGTTGGAAGGAAGAGTCCATGGAGTGGTCGTCCATGCGAGGAAGGAGGTGGAGGGGTCGGAAACAAGGGGGAAAGCAACCGTTACTGCGGGGTCGTTGACGTCCTTGTAGTTTTGCTGAGCCTCGAAGTTACTCAGAGGAGTAGTACAGCCAGTAGAGTAAGGCATGACCTTCATTCCACGGTACACCTGACCCTTCTCGAAAAGCTGCTTGAACACCCACCAAACGGACTCCATGAAGGGAGTGTTGAGAGTCTTGTAGTCCTCCTTGTCAATCCAACGACCAATGCGCTCGATTGTGTGCTTCCACTCGTCGGCGTAACGCATGACGATAGCGCGACATTCAGCGTTATACTTGTCAATACCCATCTTCATGACATCGTCCTTGCCGGTGATGTTCAAGCGTTTGTCGATCTCGTGCTCGACGGGGAGACCGTGGGTGTCCCAGCCGAACTTGCGCTCGACGTAGTGACCTGTTGACTGAGCGTAACGGGTGACAGTATCTTTGATGGTCGAGGCGAGGATGTGACCGTGGTGAGGAAGGCCGGTAGCGAACGGAGGACCATCGAAGAAGACGAAGGGCTTACCGTCCTTGGTGATCTCAAGGGAGGTCTCGTAGGCCTGGATGTCCCTCCAGAACTGGACGATCTTCTCTTCCTCTGCGACGAAGTTAATCGACATCTTGGGAGTGCTCGAGAATGGAGTTTACTTGAGCTGCACGACGTACAAAAAGTGAGGTCCCCAGATGCAGGTGAGATGTCGGCAGTCACACCCGCTGCCTAGGATAAGATGAGATTATAAAGACAACAATTTGCAGGGCTTACAGATCAAGAAGGATCATCTACAATGGCTCCAGTAACAGCCGAGGACTGCTCATGTCGCGGTGAGTCTTGATGGGCATGTGCGGCCGGGGAGCGCTTTAACTTTGTAGCGTGCTGCAGCGCTTCGAGGTCAAGCAGTAACGTTGAACCCGTCAAACGGATCTGATCCAACCATGGCTTCGGTCAAGGACATCGTCAAGGTCCCTATCTTGGGCAAGGACAACTTGATCCAGGTGGGATACAACTTGCGTCAGCACCTCGTCGAGGATATCTTGGAGAACATCAAGTCCTCGACCTACGTGATCATTACCGACACCAACCTTGCTCCTCGTTACCTCCCTTCTTTGGAGGAGGCCTTCAGGAATGCCTCTCAGAAGTACACTCCGGCGCCGAGGCTCTTGACCTACACCATCCCTCCCGGAGAGACTTCCAAGTCCCGTGCGACCAAGGCCGAGATCGAGGACTGGCTCCTCTCTGAGGAATGCACCAGGGACACCGTTATTCTCGCTATGGGAGGAGGTGTTATTGGTGACATGATCGGTTACGTTGCTGCCACCTTCATGCGCGGTGTCAGGTTCTGCCAGATCCCTACCACTTTGCTGGCTATGGTTGACTCTTCGATCGGTGGAAAGACTGCTATCGACACTCCCCTTGGCAAGAACCTCATCGGAGCCTTCTGGCAGCCCGAACGTATCTACATCGACTTCTCTTTCTTGGAGACGCTCCCCGAGCGCGAGTTCATCAACGGTATGGCTGAGGTTATCAAGACTGCTGCGATCTGGAGCGAGGAGGACTTCATCCGTTTGGAGGACAACAACGAGATCGTCTTGAACGCTATGCGCACTACAGGCCAGGCCGGTGCCTCCAAGTTCGCCGAGATCAAGGATCTCCTCCAGGCTATCGTCCTTGGCTCCGTCCGCACTAAGGCTTACGTCGTCTCCGCTGACGAGCGTGAGGGGGGTCTACGTAACCTCCTCAACTTCGGTCACTCCATTGGTCACGCTTACGAGGCTATCCTCACTCCTCAGATCCTTCACGGTGAGTGTGTTGCCATCGGTATGGTCAAGGAGGCTGAACTCGCCCGTTTCCTGGGTGTCCTCAAGCCTATCGCTGTCGGACGTTTAACCAAATGTTTGACCGCGTACGGCTTACCTAGCACCGTTGAGGACAAGCGCATCAAGAAGCTTTCCGGCGGCAAGCACTGCCCCGTTGACCAGCTCCTCAAGATCATGGCTGTTGACAAGAAGAACGACGGTAAGAACAAGAAGATCGTCCTCCTTTCCGGTATTGGTAAGACCTACGAGAAGAAGGCATCCACCGTCCAGGACGATGTCATCCGCAAGATTTTGGCTGTCGACCTCGAGATTGGACAGGTTTCTTCCAAGCTCGGTGAGAAGGAGACTGTTATCACTCCTCCCGGATCCAAGTCCATCACGAACCGTGCCTTGGTTCTTGCTTCCCTTGCCAAGGGAACTTGCCGTCTCAAGAACATGTTGGCCTCTGACGACACTCAGCACATGTTGACTGCCATGCAGTTGCTCGGTTCCGCCGAGTTCCAGTGGGAGAACGAGGGTGAGGTCTTGGTTGTGAACGGTGGTCTCCAGTCCCTCAAGGCCCCTGCACAGGAACTCTACCTTGGTAACGCCGGTACTGCAGCCCGTTTCTTGACCACTGTCTGCACGCTAGTCAACTCTGGCGATGCTAAGCGTGAGGAGGTCGTTTTGACCGGTAACGCTCGTATGAAGCAGAGACCTATTGGTCCCCTCGTCGACTCCCTCCGCTCCAACGGTGCCCAGATCGAGTACTTGGAGTCTGAGGGCTGCTTGCCTTTGCGCATGAAGACCGATGTCGGTCTCAAGGGTGGACGCATCGAGCTCGCTGCTACTATCTCCTCCCAGTACGTCTCCTCTTTGTTAATGTGCGCTCCCTTCGCCAAGGAGCCCGTCACTCTCGCTCTTGTTGGTGGTCAGCCCATCTCCCAGCTCTACATTGATATGACCATCTCCATGATGGCGTCTTTCGGAATTCATGTTACGCGCTCTAAGACCGAGGCCAACACCTACCACATCCCTCTCGGAGAGTACGTTAACCCTGCTGAGTATGTCATCGAGTCCGACGCCTCCTCTGCTACTTACCCTCTCGCCATCGCTGCCATCACTGGTACCAAGTGCACTATTCCCAACATTGGCTCGGGATCTTTGCAGGGTGACGCCCGCTTCGCCGTCGATGTGTTGATGCCCATGGGTTGTACCGTCGAGCAGACCCTTACCAGCACTACTGTTCAGGGTCCTCCTGTCGGCACCCTCCAGCCCTTGCCTCACGTTGACATGGAGCCTATGACCGATGCTTTCTTGACTGCATCCGTCCTCGCTGCCGTCGCTCAGGGTCGCAACGGCGCTGACAACACTACCAACATCACTGGTATTGCCAACCAGCGTGTGAAGGAGTGCAACCGTATTGCTGCCATGATTCACGAGCTCGCCAAGTTCGGTGTTGTCTGTAACGAGTTGCCTGACGGTATCTCTATCAACGGTATCAACTACAAGAACTTGAAGAAGCCTACTGGCGGTGTCTTCTGCTACGACGACCACCGTGTTGCTATGTCTTTCTCTGTCTTGTCTATCATCGCTTCCGAGCCTGTCTTGTTGCTCGACAAGCAGTGTGTCGGTAAGACCTGGCCTTACTGGTGGGATGTCCTCGAGAACAACTTCGTGGTTCCTATCAAGGGTGTCGAGATCAAGCCTTCTTCTCACAAGTCCACCTCTGTTCAGGTTGACAAGGACTCTAGTGTTGTCCTTATCGGAATGAGGGGTGCGGGTAAGACCACTATGGGTGTTCTTGCCGCCAACATCTTGCACCGTCCCTTCGTCGACCTTGACCAGTACATGGAGGAGATTACCGGCAAGACCATCCCTCAGATCATTGAGGAGGTCGGATGGGAAGGTTTCAGGAAGAAGGAAACGGAGATTCTCGAGGAGTTCTTGAGGACTAAGCCTAGGGGTTACGTCGCGGCTTGTGGCGGTGGTGTTGTTGAAACTTCGGAAAACAGAGATATCCTCAATGCCTACATCAAGGATGGCGGTATCGTTGTTCACATTCACCGTAACATTGATGCCGTCATTCAATACCTTAACATCGATAAGACCAGACCGGCTTTCGTCGATGATCTCATGGGTGTCTGGCTCAGGCGCAAGCCATTCTTCAAGGAGTGCAGTTCCTTCCAGTACTACAGTCCCTCGGCACGTATCGACCAGTCTTCTGAGTCCTCGTCCGCTTCTTTCCGCAACATCTCTATTGACTTCGCTCGCTTCCTGAGAAATATCTCTGGCGAGGGTCGCTTCCACGAGGCATTGATGCGCAAGCAGCGATCATCTTTCGTGTCTCTTACCTTCCCGGATGTCCGTGGAGCTCTGAGCACTCTGTCGAAGGTTACCGAAGGATCCGATGCTGTTGAGCTCCGTGTTGATCTCCTCCGCGAGGAAGGGCAACCCGCTGCGTACCCATCGCTCGACTACGTTGCCGAGCAGTTGTCGGTCCTCCGTGAGTGGACCCCGCTGCCTATCGTTTTCACTATTCGCACTGCTCCTCAGGGTGGTCAGTTCCCCGCTACCGCAGAAGATGTTGCGCTCCAGTACATGTTGAGTGCCATCAGCTGGGGTGTTGAGTACGTCGATCTCGAACTTGGCTGGTCCAAGGAGACTCTGCAGAAGGTTGTTAAGAGCAAGGGATCCTCGAAGATCATCACCTCTTGGCACGACTGGTCTGGTGCCCAGCCATGGTCAAGCCCCATGTGGACCCAGAAGTACAAGCTCGGCCGCGAGTACGGTGACATCGTCAAGCTCATCAACAAGGCCGATACCATCGAGGACAACTTCAGGCTCGAGCAGTTCCGCAGGGATGTTACTGCCGCTGAGCCCGGACCCCTGATCGCCATCAACATGGGCCGCGTCGGTCAGCTTTCGCGTGTCTTGAACCCTGTCATGACTCCCGTTACTCACCCGGCTTTGCCCTTCAAGGCTGCTCCTGGTCAGTTGTCTGTCGTGGAAATCAACCAGGGATTGACCATCTCCGGTCTTCTCGCCCCCAAGACCTTTCACTTGTTCGGAACCCCGATCTCGCACTCTAGGTCCCCTGCACTTCACAACAGCTCCTTCCAGGCTCTCGGACTTCCCCACAAGTACGAGCTCTACGAGACTGCTGATGTCCAGGCTTTGCAGAACGTGATCCGCGGCGAGGACTTCGGTGGTGCTTCCGTGACCATCCCTCACAAGCTTTCCATCATGCCTTTGTTGGACGAGATCTCCCTCGATGCCCAGACCATCGGTGCTGTCAACACCATCATTCCTCAGGTTAGGGATGGTAAGACCGTCTTGATTGGTGACAACACTGACTGGATCGGTATCCGCGAGTCCATCTCTCGCGCTATCGCTCCCGTCCTTCCTCAAGGCTCTGCTTTCGTCATCGGTGCTGGTGGTACGTCCCGTGCTGCCATCTTCGCTCTCAAGCAGATGGGCTTCTCCACCATCTGCCTCGCGAACCGCACCTCCGACAAGTTGGCCACCATCGTTCAGTCCTTCCCCGCCGACTTCAACTTGATCCCCGTTGCTTCCCAGGCCGAGGCTGCCGAGGCATTCAAGAAGAACGGCGCACCTATGGTTGTTGTGGCTACTGTTCCCGCTGACATTCCCATGGCGGAGAACTTGACTGGTATCGTTAACGAGATCCTTGCTAACGGTGCTGAGACCAAGACCAAGGTTCTGCTTGACTTGGCTTACAAGCCCTTGGTTACCCCTCTCATGCGGCGGGCTGAGAAGGCTGGATGGAAGGCTGTGCAGGGTCTTGATGTGTTGTTGGAGCAGGGAGTCGAGCAGTTCCGTCTGTGGACCGGCATGAACGCACCCTACGAGGTCGCTTCCAAGGCCGTCTTCGGTGAGCAGTAAAGGTGTATGGTCTGAACATTTGAGGGATATTATGTTAGACTTTCAAAGGAAAAGATAACAATGAACAAATACTATGTCAATTAAACAACTACCCGTTTCATATCCTACACACCCTTCAACCATAAGAGAACGAACCAAATACATAACGTCACTACCAAAAGAATTCAAAAGTCCATAACAAGAACGTGAAAGCCAGTAAACAATCAAAAGCAAAGCTAGAACGCCCATTACAGTCACTGCCGCCATTCTATCTTCTAACCCCAGACGCACTTTTCACGTCTTTCCAAATATATCGTACACTCCTTCCCATCCGTAATCTCATTCCTCGGCATTCATACTCGACCGTACAGTCAGACCGGCGGAGCCATACTCGTAAACTGCTCAGCCGAGAGCGCCTCTTCAGCACTCTGACTCGCGGCCATCGCCTGAGCCTGCGCTTGTCCTCTCGGCGGCTTACCCAAACCATGCTTGACCCTCCTATGCCTTACTAATGCATCCGCTCGTGCAAATACCTTGTCGTCACCGCAGATCTCACACTTGTACTCTGGCTTCTTCTGCGCGTGAATCGTCTCCTGATGACGAATGAGATCGTAGGGACGGGAGAAGACTTTATTGCAGGGGAGGCCGGTGTTGGGGTTGTTCCAGTCGCAGCGGTGGGGACCATGAGAGCGGGAATTTGGTTTTGAGGGGGTACTTCCCGTGTGGCTTGCAGAGTGGGTCATTGGGCGGGATTGCAGGTGCGCTGGCTGTTGATGGAATAGATGAGCATTGGCACTGCGAGGCGAGGGTGGAGCTGTGTTAGGAGCCGAAGCGGTACCCTGCAAAGCTTGAGGGAACGGATGTCTGCTTATGGCATCTCCGTTGTGCGTACGCTTGTGCGCCGACAAAGCCTGAGTATTGTCGAATCTTCTGCCACAATCAACGCAAGCGTACGAGTTGCGAGGAGCATCAGGTTTGAAACTATCCGTGCTGGCAACCGACTGAGTCGAGTACCCCGTACCGGGTCGACTGTATTGAGCCTGGTTCCGGGCTGGTTGAGGCAGATACTCGTTATCACTGTCCTGCGAGAATTGTCGTCCAGACGACGAGGACGATAAATCCGAGGAACCTGACATCAACTGCGGAACCAAGTTCTGACGATGCTCTAGAACCTGAAGTGGAGGTGGCATAGCATTATGCGGGACAAAGTTGGGAACTGTCGATTCCTGACTGTCACTTCCATAACTGTTGCCGTTGATGGTATCCGCACTCCTTTGTGACAGCTGCGAGTCGATGGTACTCTCTGCACTAAGACTAGGTGGCGAGAACAATCCTCGCGGAGGCGGCTGCTCAAGTTCGGGGAAATCCAAAAATGCCTCTTTCGGGGACACGGTTTGCTGCGGTAGCGCAGGTCCCTCTTCATCTCGTAACCTTCTGACGGATTCAACCATAGCATTGCTTTGCTGTCTCTGCTCCATCTGCCTTCCTTGAGTGGGGAAGCCCATGTGAACCACCGGCGGGTACCATGATTGATCGTCAAGAGGTGGAGGTGCCATGGCAGAAGTGTACGAACCGACACTGGCCGATCCCATGCTCGATGGAGATCCATCATCGGATGGCTGATTAAGCTCAGGGAAGGCATTGATCAGACGCTGGATGTCCTCATTCTGCTGGTAGTTGTCATCATACTCCTGCAGTGAAGGCTCCCTATGCTTGGGAATATGCTGATAGAGCTCATCCTCGACGATATCTGTAAGCGTTCTGTCGAGCTTCGGGAACTTTGGGATGAAGGGTGGTGGATCATCTGTAGCTTCGATTAGCACGGAGAGCTTCGCCAGACACCCATGTATGCGCACCATGATCACTCCCACCATCCGGCTCCGGCGTGACATATCTCGAACTTACTGAAGGCGAAGGAATAGGCGTGATCGGGTTGCGGTAGTCGCCCATGCTGTTGTGCATGGGCATAGTGTTAGTGTTAACATTCAGGTATCCATCCGCCGAGACCGCCCTCCTGTGTCCGCCGTCATTACTGTCACTCGGCTGCAAGTTCTGGAATTGTGCTGGATTCGAATGAGGTATAGGCGCGAACGTATAGTCGCTTTGTACTGGCGTAGGGTAACTGTACACCCAGTCCTTCGGATCGAAAGCAGAGAACCCTTGGGCCTCTGGGACAGGCTGCGATGATGGAGGAGGATCGACGATAACGGGAAAGTCCCTGTACGGAGCGTCTTCGTCGCCGAACAGGACGAAATCCCCCTGTGGTGGAGCTGTGTTCATGGTGGTTGTAGTGGTCGTCGTGCTTTGCGTTTCGTCGGCGTTCAGTTCTCGCCGTCGCGATATCGATGGGAGCGGGGATATCGACCACACGTCATACCACCGCGTCATCCACGGAACGCAGGAAGCAGGGACTCTGATCCAGAAGGCGCTGAAATGGAATCTGACTCATCTTCTTGTACAAATACATACATGACATCAGCACGTCCGCACGTCAGCCATCCACGCACTCTGAGGCAGCCATCCGGGGCCGCGCATGATCCACTGACAACGGGAGTGAAGAACAATAAGGAAACGAACAAGATGGAATTGGCCAATTCAGGTTTATTTGAATCCGGATAGAAAAAGCAAAAGTAGAACCCCAGTATAACTCCAGTAACCCGAAAGACAAGTACCCAGTTTGTTGTGTAAAATGAAAACACCCTCCTTTAACCCATTATCCTCCTATCACCATCACAGAAGAGACACGCTTAAGCACGCTCACCACGGAGACGGCGGGCAAGGGACATGTCCTTGGGCTGGATGGTAACACGCTTGGCGTGGATGGCGCAAAGGTTGGTGTCCTCGAAGAGGGAGACGAGGTAAGCCTCAACAGCCTCCTGGAGAGCACCGATGGCGGAAGACTGGAAACGGAGGTCGGTCTTGAAGTCCTGGGCGATCTCACGGACGAGACGCTGGAAGGGGAGCTTGCGGATGAGGAGCTCGGTAGACTTCTGGTAACGACGAATCTCACGGAGAGCGACGGTACCGGGCCTGTACCTGTGGGGCTTCTTGACACCACCGGTCTGGGCGGGGGCGGACTTGCGAGCGGCCTTGGAGGCGAGCTGCTTACGGGGAGCCTTTCCACCGGTAGACTTGCGAGCGGTTTGCTTGGTACGAGCCTGAGAGGAGACAGGTTAGCATATAGGTCGATGAATGTGTGCGAATCAATGCCACTCACCATTGTTGAATGTGTTGTTGAGAGTTGTTGAAGAGATACTTTGTTGGATGGAGCTCTGGTTGACGGGGTGGTGGAGGGTATTAATAGGGGCGTGTCGAAGTGCGAGTTTCCGAGAGCGCGCGCGCGGGGGGACGACGAAGACGCGTTGCGTGGTTGACTTGATCCGCGACGAACGTTGACGGGAAATCACTGGGGAAGAGCGGAATGGAGCAGAAGAAAGAGACGACGACGCTTGTGTAGCTGATGAATAGAGCTATTCTCGCGTCTCTCCTTCTTGTCCTCCGCGTCCTGAAGGCTGTGATCACGGCGCGGTGCACTCGTTCCCAGGCTGATCAGAAGCAGAGTAAGCCTTCCCGATTAGGAAGGCAACTTGATCAAGCGGTACCCGACCTCCACCAAGAGCGCGTCGAGGAGAGCGATGGAGCAGGCAGAGGAACGAGACCGCTTCAAACCGAATCGATATATCATTTCTCTCCACTTTCACTCGTTCACTCTGCCTGGTTTCACGCGGCCGGGTCTCCCACTCCACCTGATCGTCCGCAACGCGCTCTCACGTCCATCCCCGGCGACATCGACCATCAACCGAAACGCAGCAACGCTAACTCCTCCACCCTCCAACTCACATAAAACCCATTCACTCCCACCTCAACCTCAATCCCCATCAACTTACAACAAAGTCAACTAGGACATCCAGCTCTTAGTTACTTGAACCGTATCTCCTCAACAAACCTCAACAAAAGAACTTATCAATAATGTCTGGCCGTGGAAAGGGTGGAAAGGGTCTCGGAAAGGGTGGTGCCAAGCGTCACAGGAAGATTTTGCGTGACAACATCCAGGGTATTACCAAGCCCGCTATCCGTCGTCTCGCTCGTCGTGGTGGTGTCAAGCGTATCTCCGGTCTTGTATGTTCTTCCCTTATCGCTCAAGTCTTGAATCAAGTTCTAACATGTTTGTCGCAGATCTACGAGGAGACCCGTGGTGTCTTGAAGACCTTCCTTGAAGGTATCATCCGTGACGCCGTCACCTACACTGAGCACGCTAAGCGCAAGACCGTCACCTCCCTCGACGTCGTTTACGCTCTCAAGCGCCAGGGCCGTACCATCTACGGTTTCGGTGGTTAAACGTCTCGCCGGTCCCCCCGCCGAAGAGTGTGAAAGGAGTGTGGTTTTCTTGTTATTTCGGGAAACTTGGGTCTGTTCGGTTACTTGGAGTTTATGGGTCTTTTTTTTTTACTTTTTCTCTTTACAATCGCGGTCGTTATCGTTGCGCGGATTATCAGTGTGAAGTCTAGGCAGAAATGCAAGCTGTTCTCTACAATTTGTTCTTCCTCTTATTGTCAATTTGTAAATGATAGACTGCTATGCTAGATTGTGTGTACAACTATTGCTTTCCATTCTGCTGCATCTGCCTCTGCAATGCCTGCAAAGCTTCAATTTGCGCCTGAATAGAAGCAGGATCAGTCGGTCCTGGTGCAGCCTGTGCCACCGGCGCCGGTGGTGGAGCAGGAGCAGCTGCCTGCTGATACACCTGTTGAGGTTGAGGTTGCGACCACTGTTGCTGCTGTGCTTGTGCCCACTGCTGTTGCTGTTGCTGCATCATCTGCGCAAAGAACGCAGGGTTGACGTGTGCTCCAGGTGGCAACTGAGGTGGGAAGGGTGGTGGAGCCATGTATGGGTTGAACACACCCATCATGTTCATGTCTGGCGCTGGCTGTTCTTGTTGCTGGTGCTGGGGGTACTGCTGGGGGGCGTATTGTTGCTGGTATGGCTGGGAGTAGACCTGGGATGGTGATTGGGTGTGGGAGTGGGGGTGGTGCATATCCGCACGACCTTGCTGAGGCGAGCGAGCTCCACCACGGCCACCGCGGCCTCCTCTACCCCCACGGTCACGGTCTCCGCGTCCGCCGTTTTGCTGTTTGTTCCCACCCTTTCCGCCGCGGCCGCCGCGAGCAGCGGCTGGTGGTGTGGGTGGTGGTGCATTCTGGAGTTCGTGCAAGTTCGTAGGACGAGCGAGGGGCTTGTACGGTTCGTCCATGTCTGCTGCCGAACGTGCTGATGGTTGAGCGGGAAGTGCGATACCAGCTGCCTCAGCAGCGAGTGAAAGGTCCGGAGCTGATGCTGCAATAGCCGTAGCTTGTCTCGTTTGTTTCCTTGCTTCCCTCTCTTTCTTCACTCTCCTCTTGTGCTCCGCCTCGGCTTCATCGTCTGAGAATTCCTGTTCCTCGTCGCCTACTTCTTCGTCGTGGACGTTACTTGCGTCTGTACCCTTCAGCGCCTTCAATGGCTGGGTGAAAACGTATTTTGAGTGTTCTGGGACGTGGTAGATCTTCATGCCGACCTTGGCGCCAGTAGCAACGAGCTCTTCATGTGTAGCAAAGCGAGTGGAATATAGAGGGTGTGCGACAGGTCCGAACGTCTCGAAGACGGTGCCGAGGATTGTCCGGTCCTCGAGGCAGAGCAGTGCTCCTTCGTCGAGAACCTGGTAATCACCAGACACGGAAGCGAGAATGATCACAGCCTTATCCAAGACCTGCTGAATCGTACCAAGATACTCCACCTTCATCTCAGGAGTCACGACTACCTCCGGCTTCGCAACCGGTGCCTCTTCAACATCCTGCTCATTCTTTGTGCGAAGAGGACCAGAGGTGCCCTTCTTGCCTCGACCTTCGTCGTCGGAGCCTTCGGCATCGGCTTGGAGGAGTCGGCGTTCGCGTTCTTTGATGGTGAGCTCCTCTTCTTCGTCGGATGAGGACTCGTCGGAGGAGTCGGAGGATGAATCACTGTCGCTGTCGCTGTCGCTTTCTGAGTCAGAGTCGGAGCCGTCAGCGTTGGCTTTTGGCTCCTCTTTGATGGTTTGTGCTTGCTCAGTCGCTTTCTCTTCTCCCTTTACTGCTACCTGCTCTTGTACAACCTTCAGATCATCCGCGACGACCGCGGGAGCCTTCTTCACCTCCTCATCATCAGAGCTGGATGCCAGATCTTCGGAATCATACGGATCCACTGGCGCACTAGGATCTGCCAAGAGTCGATTGAGGACATCAAAGTCGACGCCGTCCTTCTTCGGCGTCGATAGTTGCTCTTGTGCGACAACTTGTGGTGCAGGGGCGGATGTCGAGTTGTCGATGACCTCAACAGCGGGGAACGCAGTCGCAGCATCACGCTTGAGACTGCGTGACTGAACCTCGGTAAGGCCAAATGCATCTTCCTGTTTAACAACAGGCGCAGCGGGTACAGGTGTCGCCTTCAACGCCTCACGCTCCTCCGGCGTGATCTCGCTAATCAAGGACTTCTTCTGAGCTGGCTCCTCTTCCGTAGGCGTCGTCCCAGCCGAAGCCCCTCCCGGCACCAAAAACAAGCCGGGAATCCCTCCCGCATCCACACCAGGCGAACCAAGGTATCCTCCATACGTGCTCGAACGTAGCGCCTCGACTTCCTTGGCCATGGCAGCGTGGGAGAAGCCACCGAGGCCTCCCTCCTGTGCCTTTTGAGAAAGGTTGTCCATGGGATCGAGGGTGTTTTGTCGACTTGCAACTGTCTACAGGTTGTTCTGTTTTTGCCGTCACGTGTTGAGAATCTGCTATCGATACAGTACTCCCGCGTTACCGTTTCCGGCCACCCAGAACTGTCAACGTTACACCACGACGCAAAGTCATGGGGAAAGGTATCTCCGTCCTCGGCGCCTTCTCGATCCTCCTGGTGCCAAGATTGCTGGCATCAACCTACGCGACGATCCAGGATTGCGACGAGGTGTATAACTTTTGGGAGGCTGCACATTACTTGTCTCACGGCAATGGATTTCAGACATGGGAGTACTCGCCGGAGTATGGGATTCGGAGTTGGGCTTATGTCGGACTTCATTGCTTGATTGGCTTGCTTGGAAAGTTGTTCGGACTGAGCAAGGTGCAAGAATGGTACTTCATCCGTGGAGCACTGAGTGTGATCTGTGCTCTGTGCGAAGCTACCTTCTGCGCCTCTGTCTCCCGCAACGTCGACCGGCGAGTCGGTAAATACCTCCTCTACATCCTCGCTGGGAGCGCAGGAATGTTCAATGCATCTGCTGGTACGTCTTACACTTCATTCCTCCAATGGTGCTACTGACACTTCACAGCCTTCCTCCCCTCGTCGTTCTCGATGTACGCCGTCATGCTCGGTCTCGCGACCGCTTTTGAACGACCGAGTCTTTCGAAACCTGTGTGGGGCCTTTTCTGGTTCGCATTGGGTGGACTTCTGGGATGGCCATTTTCGCTAGCTATGGGAACTGTTTTCTACCTCGACGTTCTGGTGCAGGCAGCTCTGCCACCTAATGGCCCAAAGATCAAGGCCGTGGTGCGGGGTGGACTGTTGGCGATCTGCGTGCTGGTATGTTGATGAAAAAGCCGTCATGATTGAAGCTAACTGTCTGTCACACAGGCAATCCTCGTCGGTGTCGACACGATGGCGTACAGGAAACTCCAACTCGTACCCTTCAACATCGTGCTTTACAACGTTCTCTCCGCTGACGAGAACCACGGACCCGATATCTTTGGTACGGAGCCGTGGTGGTTTTATGTCGTTAACCTCATCCTGAACTTTAATGTCGTTTACATCCTTGCTATGCACTCGGCGCCGCTTTGGTGCTTGCAGAGGCTGTTTTCGTCAAGCAGGCAAAGTATTGGCGTGGCTTTGAATGCGATTGCGCCGTTTTACATTTGGTATGCGATCTTTACGGGTCAGCCTCATAAGGAGGAGCGGTTCTTATTTGTTGCGTACCCGGCGTTGTGCTTGAATGGTGCTGTGACTTTGAATGTCGTCGCTGGGTTTGCGTCGAAGCTCAGAGTACCCCGTTCATTGGTCGCAGGTTCCGTCTTGCTTGGAGCAGCCGGGTTGTCCTTGTTACGGGTAATGGCTATCATTACGTCGTTCTCGGCGCCATTGCACGTTTACGAGCCCCTTCAGCAGCTGGCGAATGCTACGGTAACAGCACCAGTGACACTATGTATGGGCAAAGAATGGCATCGCTTCCCATCCTCATACTTCCTCCCAGATGGCGTACGGCCAGAATTCATCAAGAGTGCCTTCACGGGACTCCTGCCTGGTCACTTCTATGAAGAGGCTCCAGATGGTTCAGAGGGGTGGCGACCTGGATCGTGGATGATTCCCGAGGGCATGAATGATGTGAATCAAGAGGAAATGTCGCGTTATGTTCCTTTGGATCAGTGTACGTACTTGGTTGATTCGGACTTTCCGGCGCGCTATGAGGATGCTGAAAAGGGCGAGGATCCACTTGAGCCCAGATATAGTAAGGACGAGGAGACGTGGGAGAAGGTTGCTTGTGAGCCGTTCTTGGACGCAGAGAGAAGCGGCCCATTGGGGAGGGTGGTATACATGCCATTTAAAAAGTATGATCAGAGAGTGTGGGGAGAATACTGTCTTCTGAAGCGAAAGAACCTCTGATTCGTTTTGCACGATTGCGTACGACGCGTGGCATGCTTCCCGATAAATACTCTACCATAGATACTCCTAAAAATCAAATGCAGAAAAGTCCGGTTCCTCAAACATTGTTGGCGGAGGCGCTTTGAGACCCTTCATCTTTGCTGTAATTTCCTTGACAGGCATGTCTGCGATGACAGAGCTTCGTCGTCGTAGGTGACCTGGACGGATGACGTTTACATCCTCAGCCCGTTTCTTGACTAGAGTCAAGGCTGCTGAGACGAACGTCCAGTTCTTTATCAGATCCAAAGCGAGGACTTCGCAGCCCATGCGGTTATAGGTCTTAGCCATATGAAGGATGAAGTCGAACTCGAGCTTTGGTGGGATCTCGGAAGCGCCCTTCAATGTTTGTAAAGACTTTTCCCGAATTTCGCGGTAGAGAATGACAAGAGCAGGGTCGTCAGCGTACGCGTCGTCTGACTTGATCATTGGTCCAGGAATTTCGATGAGGGTTTCCAGAGGAGTTATCAGACCTCGTACAGCCTTGTCTCGGGCCTTCAACATCCAGAATGCCCAATTTGCAAGCCATCGATCGCCCTTTTCGGCAGCCAGAGGGAGAATGTGCCGTTCCAGAATATCTTTGAAGACTGGACCGTTATCTCCCTCGTAAACACGGCAAATAGCAATTGCAAGTTGGTAGTCCTCGAGATTCCTTACGCAAATGTTCACGGCATCCTTCAGACTATCACCAAGCAGGAAGAAAGCCGCAGCAAACTCAAAGCGCCGTTTACTGATAAGTGCGAAGGCATTCTTCAAGGCGACTGTCTTCCATCTTGGGCTTGTAAAGTCATTCGCTAGCAGTTTAAGCATGGCCTTGGATTCTGGATGCCATCCAGCTGACCGCCATAGTCCGAGCATAACATTCTTCTTGCCGAGTGCGAAGTAGTAAAGCGAGCAGTCAACGGGATTCTTTTCATCTGACTGCGTATAGTGGGTCCGTGCAATTGCTTCCATCTTCTCACGCAAGGTATCCGTGCTTCGACACCAGAGAAACATCCCTGATTCACGAGCATCGGCCCATGATAGCCGGTTGTCATAAGCTCGCATGGTCCTGTCCATCAGAATCTCCTGAGAAGTGCTGTGAAATGCCCAGAGGAAATCCCGCGTCGACATACTCACATCACCTCCTCCTTGTCGCTCGTGCTTCGTAAGACCATGAAGCTTGAGGAACAAGTAATAACGCGCTCCGTTCAAATCCATTGACCGTCGATGTTGTTCGATTTCGGCAACACAAGTTATGATCGCTGCTAAGCGCATCTGGTTATATCTTGACAGATACGGGATCGTGACTTCGGCGAGAAGCTGGTTCAGCTCCGCGGCCTTCTCCGCCGTAAAAATTGATGGAGATTCACCATCCTCCTGCGGCTCGTCGTCAAGGAACATCGAACTCCTTGCAACCTGTTTCGTCATGGACCCTTCATCATTTCTGCGAGTAAACTCGTCAATACCAAATCCTAAAAATGGTATGGGCTTGTATTCCCCTTTCTCCCTGTCGTGGCGTTGCAGGTTGTCGAGGAACCTCAGTAGAATCGTATGCACGAGTACAACCTTGCCTGTCAAAAACGCTTGCTGAATCAACTGCGGATGATATACAGCAAGTCGACCGTTCAGGAGAGACACAGCTTCGAATATATCGGAGCCTGGTAGGGTCTGCACCTCAGAGTTGGTGTTTTGAGCTGCGTGTGATTCCTTCAGGGATTTATCCATGACATAAAGCTGATTGCCCGCGCCGACGACGAGGGCACCATCATCCAGCCATATTGAATCGCCAATCGGGTGTGGCGTTATCCTTGTCATGTCAATTTCTCTGAACTGAATCCAAGATTCCCGAGTGTCGAGGTTTTCCCACCGCTGCTGACAGAAAAGGGCGACTCTATGAGGAAAGCCAACTGCAAGTATTGACTGTGCGTCTGGCGTGCACGCCCAATCCAGGTCTTGGATTACTTGATCATCCGTCCATACTTGACGGAAGTCCTCGCTTCTAGTGAATGGGGATGACCGCATATCCCAGATTGTCAGCTCATTGCCCGCCTTACTTACTGCAGCAATCATCTTGAGCGAGCTTGCTCGGATTATGGAGGGCTTCGACACTCCAGATTCCACATTAGCAAGCTCAAGTATGGCAAGCCTGCCCTTGATGACTTTCGCCGCCCATGTCTGTATCTTACCACTGGAAGTTGCTGTGACAAGCACCTCCCTCGAAGATTTCGTAAGAATGTTCTCTTGTAGGGTTGTTTTCCAACCCATGGCGTCCGCAGCCGATATTTGGTGCAATCCCTCTTCCACTGCCAATGACATCGTATCGAGCAGGGTCACAGAAGCTTCGCTTGTACCGTTATGTGCATGACCTGTTTGCTCTGGGAGACTTATAGTCAAAACAAAGCATTCGTTTTTGTTGGAGATCCCCAGGACATGGCTCGTATATTCGAAACCCCTTCCCTCGCCTTCAGGCAAGGCAAACAGGCATACAGTTTTGTCTTTGAATGGTAACGCGCATTTGCTGCAGGCCTGCCCTTTTTTATCACGTCTTGAACAGTCCCATAATATGGCGTTTCCATTCTCAACGGAAAGTGTGTAAAGACCATCGTGTAGGACAACAAGCGCATCCGGAGCACTTGACGGAACGGATGACATGAGTCTTAATTCCATAGTCCATCCCACTTGATAAGACCATGTGATAGCTTCATTCTCGCCGTCCCATGTTACCAACCCTCTGCCATTGATCGTCCGTGCCAGCGTTTTGACATTGTTAACATGACCGGTCCACTTGTGAGTCAACGCCATGCGACGTTCGATTGGCTTCTGTGCGAGGAGCTCTCCAATGTTAGTGTGAAATGAGTAAACCTGACCGGTATAGTCGTGCGCTACTATCGTCATATCTTTTTCTCCTGACCGATCGCTGCTGAAAGCAACGAGCTGCACCAAGCCACCAGTGAAAGGCAGCGCGAGGGAATCTTCATCGAAGTGAAACAACTCCACCATGGCGTGTTCGTTCTGACTTTTGCTACCCACATTTTCCAAGGCCCATGCGGCGATACTGCCCCTGGCACTCATGGCAATGCATATCTCTGGATTGCGTTGCGCTGTTGAAATGAGCTGCTGCAAATTCGCCCAGCCTGCATGGGTCTCGTGTGTGTAGGTAAGGGCAGATTCGATAGCCATGACGAGGTCGGCATTGTCGATGAGCACGCAATATGTTTCAGCCACATATTCTCCATTGCTGGCATCAGCTCCTCCTGATCTTCGTCTCAAGTCGACTGATCCCCATAAATGCAGATTATGCGACTCCAACGCGTTGGTAGGTGCCCAGATGCGAAGCACATCATCCTCGCCGATAGTATATAGCACGTTATCAATTGATTGCTCCTCATGAAACGGTTGCCGCCATTTCAGTGCTGTTACTGGGGAAGGGTGTGGGAGGTAGGTGTAGTCATAGCTGGGCGGCTCTGGGCCGTGAATGGTTGATCGTCGCCAAATCTTCACAAGGCGGTCGTAAAGCCCAACCGAAGCGACAAGGAAAGCATCAGGTGAGAATGACGCGATGTATGCAGGGTTCGCTAGCGCTTGGTTCCAGAGTAGGCCCGTAGGACCGGCGTCTTTCGGTGACCAAAGCCTAACACTTCTGCCAGCAACAAGCAGTTCACCGTCAACTCCCCATGATAAGGCCGTAATCGAGTCATCATTGACAACGAGTTCCCGCTCATATGTCCAATTGATATTTCGACCAGTTGTATGCGTGACGTTGTATACCATAATCACTCTGGTCGTCGCAATTGCAATCCGACCCGATCTGCAATCAAGTTCGACAGCTCTGATCTCATCATCCGAGGCAAGCGTCTGTAAGAGCTCGCCCGAGCCTGTGAATATTGTGACAGATTCCCCCGTTGCGAAAGCCTATGCCGACAATTAGCCATGCTCCCTTGCAAGGACTCGGATGATTCACGCACAACTAGGCGAATGCCATTCCACCGCGCTGTAGTCAATGCTTGTCTCACATCATTGGGTCGACCGGGCTGGGTAAACAGCATCACTTCACTTGGCAGCGTTCTCCTGAATTCAACTCACCACATTCAATGTTCAAAGCCTGGCAGCAATCTCAGCCGTACCCGTGCGCCCTTGCCTGTGGGGTGCCGACAGCTGCAGCTTCGAATTGGCCAACAGACGCAAGGGCACGGACAAGCTTCAACTTTAAAATGGGGGCATGACATTGAATTGATGAGGAAATATGATTACTAGGTCGCTCGACAACATGTCACGTAGATGGACCTCTTGCTGTTGGTCTCCGGAATCTCGAATAACCACGGCTATGGACAGGTGTCCTGACATCTTCCAATAGCGACCGCGCTAGGTTCAACCCGTTTCCACGACGTGTCGGAGTACTTGCAACCGATCCTTCGCTTGTCCCGTCCGTGAGTATAGTCGTATCATTCCCCGGTCGTAACTTTTTCCTCCATATCCGCCACATGACGCCAAGCAGGATGTGATCTCTTCGAGCGGCAAACCTTTCAGCCTGCTCAGTGGCCCCGCGTATCCGGAATAACAGCATTCCCCATGATCGCAAGGCAATTTTGCATGCCGCTAAGTCGCGGCTAAGGCTTTGTTCGTTCGCTATTGCCTTGAGTTCTTGCAGTTTGTCAAATGACTCCCTCCATGTTTTGAAGACTGCATTTTTCAGATGCCGCTCAGACGTTAGTTCAGCTCTCGCATCCGCCTCACGAACGTCTTCGAGTTTTTCACGCCACCTTGTGAGCAGTTTACTGCATAGTGCGTTGTTCATGCTCGTTTCTTTGTCACACGCTTCCTTCTGCATCTCTCGAAGCAGGATGATTTTCGTCGTCCAAGATTGGAGCGCAATCCTGCTGAGTCGGCCCTCGTGATGCTCCTTGGCGACAAGGGTCTGCTCTGCGCGGCGGTTTCGCACAGTCGTCTCGTGCACTTCTTGCCATATTTGCAGGTATTTCTTGAAGACAAAATATTGCGATGCATGGTCGGCCATCTCTTTGTACTTCTTCTTTTCTTCAAACGACGAACGCCAAAGAGAGAACGCATTCTTGGCGATGGAAGCGCTGTATCGAGAATGTGCGACGGCCTCGCGTCTTCGTCCTTCTTCGTACTTGTCTTGCCACATTGCAAGAATTTCTTCTTTCAACTTCTTGTTCAGCTTTCGCTGCAAAGTCCGACACATTAAGTCGGTACGCTCATGTGTAATGCGAACACGGTCGAGCCAGCTGCCAAATGCACGCATAACGAGGTGTTGATCTCGGTGTCGTTCGAAGGAACGCAGACGCGCGAACAGTGATAACTGTTGTATCACGTGTCTCATTAATCGGTCCTCTGATTGCTCAAGAAATTTGTTTGCTCTTGCCTCATTCAACCAAGCCGTGAAGGTTGTTCGGAGTAAGGATTGGTAGGCGAACGTCGTTGCTACCTGTACGTTTCTGCACCGATCCCTCCAAGTAACGAATGCTGTGGCCTTCAAATTGTCGTCAAGATTCCCCCGAATTACGTGCAAGTTCTCTTGCAAGCGCGCCGTGTTCCTCCAGGTATGCAGAGCGGCCCGCGCGGTGCTCACTGTAGAGACCTCATCTGCCTCAGCAGACATCTTAGTAACTTCAAGGGTTCGTGACCGCCATCTATCAAGTACAGCAGCTGCCAGTGTCTTTTTGTAATATCGTTGACCTCCCCGAGTTTTGCATGCTACGTCCCTGGTCCTGGTGATCCATAGGCCCAACAACTCCCGTCCGATCTTGACGTTGTGATACACTGATGCACGATTTGCGCATGCTTTATAGAACCACGCCTTCCATGTCCGCTTCACAAGGTCATGCTTATATTTAGTCAATGCCGAAGACCGTTTACCCCGCAGCGCAGAAGCTTTTTTGTGCCATTTACTCCAAACGCTCTTCAGCCTGAATTGCAGCGCTTTTTCATTATCGCGCTCGATAATGTGCTTCCAAGCGTGAAGATGCCTGCGTACGAGGAGCGCATCACGCATTCGCTCACGCTGTTCAAGAGATGTCTGTGTCCTTTGCTTCCACCAAGCAAAACAACGTTCCAACAACAACAAGTTCCGGGCTTTAGCCGTCTTTCTCGTCATCATCATGTAAAAGGCGTGCTTATCGTGCCAGATTGCCAATGACTGAAGCATTAACGTTCGCCGGTCATGTCGGAGGGCAAGCCTGTCTTGACGTGAATGGTACGTTGATAAACGACGTGCACTCTGCCGCCAAAGGTACAGATACCGACGCAACTTTGATTTGAGAAACTCCTCGAGGAGCTGCTTCCTATACGCATGCATTTCCTCGGACACAGGGCGGACTGAGTGTGATTTACGCGCAATGGCCAAATTTTCGGGTAATATGCGATGGGGCGGCGTAGCAAATCCGTTCGCTCCAAGCGGTGGTGTTCTATAGTCCACTGTAGGCGATGTTTCTGAGTAGGCATAGTGAGTCCGTGTGGAGGGGTTGGGATCTGTAGGAGCTTGTCGACGAGGCTGGTGCGCTTCCCTTTGTCGTGACGTTTCGAATACTGAGGCATGAGTGGACGTTTCAATGGTGCCGGCCAATTGCTTTAGTATGCTCTGAAGCTTTTCTTGATAGGTATCGCCCTCGACCTTTAGCAACTTCATCATCAAGGGAAAATACACCCCATCGTAGGCGGTATCTATCCGATGCGCCTTGAGTACGGTGTTGTATGCGCTCCAAACTGGCGTGAAGGATGAGTCGCCCGGCGTTGATGATGCTAGGTCGGCAATTTCCCGCAGGATATCCAGATCTGCCAGAGGTTCTGTCAATAAGTCGCCTAGGGACATTGTCGAGGCTACCCGTACCTTTCGCTGTATACCCATGTGATTGCGATTGTACGGAGAGGTGGCCGTTTGATCCATTATAAGATTGTTCGGCATGGTCTTGCTCCCTGCCGGCATGTCGAGAGCGGCGAGAATTCATACGGGCGGCGATCGGATCACAAGGTTGTCATGACCGCGGCGGTGTATAGATTGTTGATGAACCTGGATGTACGAGGGAGTGCGTACAGTACCGGCGGTGTATGGTGGGAAGCGCACCTGGGCAATTTCGGGAGACGCGATCGAACTTCGCGACTTTGGCAACAGCGGAACGTGCAGGGACGCGACGTTATCGGCGTTGGTGAAAGAGACTGTTGCAATGTTCAACATTCTCGAAACACAAATCGAATGAATGTGGTTTTCTTCGATAGGCCAAGAGAACCGTGTAAGAGTGAGTGCAGGGTCAGGCGTCAAGGCTGCGTCGCCGGCGTATACATCATTGATAAGGTTCCAAGGTTACCAGTCTGGCATTCAATCGAAGGAGTCGAAGGTTCATCAATGCCTTCACAAACACGCGATACGGCTCCACTGCTGAGCGATGGGGAGCCCAGAGACGACAGATCAGACGCTTATAATGATGATGACACCTCAGCCCGTGGTGTTCGGATCTTCGGCTACGACGTCTCCAAGCATTCCATCGCCCTTACCATTTTTATCTTTCTCACAACACTCGCAATCGTTTTTGGATCAATTGCTGCTGGCATTTTGGTCGGCCGTCATGGACAGGGCAAGCATAATCCACCGGCACCGGCACCGGCACCCTCTCAACCCCCAAAGCACGACAAGCCTCATAAGCACAAGGGAGACAAGAGCCATGGCGCTGATGTTTGTATGACTCCGGAATGTGTCCTGACTGCTGCTTCTATTCTGCAAACTGTCAACATGTCGGCATCACCCTGTGACGATTTCTATGAGTTTGCTTGTGGAAACTGGGTTGCATCTCACGATATTCCGGATGATCAGGGTTCTACTTCAGAGCCTTACCTTATGGTGGAGGAAAGTCGGCGCATTATGAGGGAGATTCTGGAAGGAGACTTCAGTTCCAGTACGAAGGATGGTTTCGGTTTCCCTGCTTCTGACGACTTGGTGGACAGACAGAACTTCGAGAAAGTCCAGGCAACCTATAAAGCCTGCATGAACGAGTCTGCCGTTGAGGCACTTGGAGCCAAGCCCATTCAAGACCTTCTTACCAAGGTTATTCTTCACTATCCGGTTGGTGTTGCCTCGGATGGGTCAATCTCCGCAAACTTGACCGAGGCCTTCCTTTACATGAGCCACCTTTCACTCAGCCCATTCCTTGAGTTGGATGTCGGAGAGGACTCCAAGAACCCTGACTATAATATCCTCAGTGTAGCCCAGCCTGACAACGGCTTGCCTTCTAAGGAGTACTACAAAGATGCGAAAGTGGTTGAGATGTACGTTGACGCCATTGCCGAGCTTTTCCAGAAGATCTTGGACTCTTCGATTGCGGATCCAGACACTTTGAAGCACAGGTATAGCAAAATTGCTAAGGCTGTCGTGGACTTGGAGGACAAGGTTGCCCAGGCTGGCCTTGACTTCGAGGATCTCAACGACGAGGTTGCGACTTACCATGATATGTCGGTGCAAGAGGCCGCCAAGCTTGTCACTGCCATCGATCTCGAGAGGGTCGTGAAGTCTCTTGCCCACGAGTTACCTGAGAAGATCATCATTAGGTCACCTGAATACCTACAGAAGCTGGAGAAGATCATCTCTGAGACTCCTAAGGAAACAGTTCAGTACTATCTTTTGTGGAAGGTGATGGAGGTGTACTCTCCTTACCTTGCATCCGACATTTACGCTCCTCTTCGTGGCTTCCGCAACCAGTTGCAAGGCAAAGACCCGGAGACTAAGTCTGCTCGCTGGAAGACCTGTATCAACCAGGTCGATGAGACTGTTGGTTTCTTGGCCGGTCGTTATTACGTTCAGCGTCAGTTTAGTCAAGGATCCAAGGAGAAGGCTGAGAGCCTGGTCAATAACGTTAAGGAAGCTTTCGTCGACCATCTGCGTAAGCTTGACTGGGTGGATGATGAGACAAAGGACATGTCCGCCAAGAAGGCTAGGGCATTGGTGACTAAGATTGGATACCCTACCAAGTCTCCCAACCTTGATGACCCTATCAGTTTGGCTGAATACTACGAGATGCTGCGTATCGAGCCTGACGAGTATGTCTTCAAGTTTTCCTATCTGCATTGACCTAGCTAACCATCCCGTCCTAGATTTTTCGGTAATTACCTCCGTGCCTCCCACATTGAGTTCAACAAGGATATGAAGAAGATTGGAAAGCCGGTGGATCACGACCGCTGGCTCATGACCCCCTACACCGTTAACGCGTACTACAACCCACCCGGTAATGAGTTGGTCTTCCCAGCTGGTATCTTGTCCAAGCCAATGTTTGACGCCAAGTACCCGTCGTACATCAACTACGGCGCCATTGGTTCTGTCATGTGAGTCGTTCTACTCTTCCGCCGGTGGCTACCTGCTAACGATACTACGTAGTGGTCACGAGACAGGGCATGCATTCGACAACCTTGGTCGCCACTTTGACGAGACGGGTAAGATGCGTGATTGGTGGTCAAATGCTACCGTTGCCGAGTTTGAGAAGCGGACTCCTTGCTTTGTAAACCAGTACTCGAACTACTCAGTCAAGGGTCCTGATGGTGAGGAAGTCCACGTCAACGGAAAGCTTACTTTGGGTGAGAATTTGGCCGATAATGGAGGTATTCGTGCGGCTTACAACGCTTGGAAGAAGGAGCAGAAGGGTCTTAAGCGGAAGGACAGGGATCAGAAGCTTCCGGGTATTGACCTTACACCCGAGCAGCTCTTCTATGTGTCGTTCAGCAGATTCTGGTGCGGAAAGGCAAGACCTGCTCAAGCCGTTCAGCAGGTGAGAACGGACGAACACTCGCCTCGTAACGTTCGTGTCTTGGCAGCTGTTGCCAATTCTCCGGAGTTTGCGAAGGCGTTTGGCTGCAAGAAGAACAAGGACCGATGTGAGTTGTGGTAGTTAGAATCTCTCGCTATAGTTAATTTATCTGCTCTTTACCCATGGCCATTGACGACTGTTCCCGCAGTGCTTCACACACATGCACGTACGGTAGCCGTAGCCGCTCCAGCCATGAATTGCGGGGTTGCGGAGTACTCCGACGTCCGAGCATACATCCCCTAACCTCCATCGACAAGCTGCATTTACGACCATTATACCCAGAATACCGTCAGCAATGTCCGCTGTCTATATCGCCTCCATCGCCAGAACGCCAATTGGCACCTTCCAAGGTGGATTGGCCAAGTTCTCCGCCGTTCAGCTCGGCATTCACGCTTACAAAGCGGCCCTCGACAAAGTTCCTGATGTCAAGCCGACCGAAGTTTTCCTCGGAAACGTCTTGTCAGCAAACTTGGGACAGGCTCCCGCTCGTCAAGTCGCCCTTGGTGCAGGCCTTCCCTCTTCGACTGTCTGCACGACAGTGAACAAGGTGTGCTCGTCAGGAATGAAGTCCATCATCTTCGGTGCGCAGTCCATTCTCCTTGGTGAGAATGAGGTTGTTGCAGCAGGAGGAGCAGAAAGCATGACGAATACGCCCTACTACTCTACAACGGCTCGATCCGGTGCCCGTTACGGCCACACTCAGCTCATCGACGGAATCGTCCGTGATGGACTTAGTGACGCCTACGACAACAGCGCCATGGGTATTGCTGGAGATGTATGCGCCAACGAATATGGTTTGACAAGAGAAATGCAAGATGAATATGCCATCAGGAGTTATGAGCGCATCGGCGAGGCGAACACGAAGGGATACTTTGCGGACGAGATTGCCGCAATTGAGGTTCCACAAGGTCGAGGAAAGCCAAACAAGAGGATGGAGCAGGATGAGGAGGCTACAAGGCTGAACGTCGATAAGCTTCGGGGCGCGAAGCCCGTGTTCTCCAAGGATGGCACTGTCACGGCGGCTAATGCCTCGCCCATCAGCGACGGAGCAAGTGCTACGATCCTTGTGTCTGAGAAGGAGATCAAGCGTCTTGGCCTTAAGCCATTGGCTAAGATTCTTGGATGGGGTGAAGCCGCTCAGGATCCCATCAAGTTTACTACTTCCCCCGCTCTTGCCATTCCGAAGGCGATCAAGCATGCTGGTCTTACCGCAAAGGACATCGACTACTACGAAGTGAATGAGGCTTTCTCCGCCGTTGGGTTGGTAAATATGAAACTGCTCGAGTTGGGACCAGATGTTTTCAATGTTTTCGGTGGTGCCGTTGGAATGGGCCATCCCATTGGTGCTTCCGGTAGCAGAATCGTCAACACGCTGATCAGCGTACTCCGACACAAGGGCGGCAAGCGAGGTGTTGCCGGTATCTGCAATGGTGGAGGAGGTGCCTCGGCTATCGTGCTGGAGTTGGTTGATTAAGGAGCAATGAGCTAAACTTGGGAGTTACCGACACACCACTTCCTATTACCCTCGTTGTACGCCGCTGAGGAATTTGGAAATAACTAAGTAGTTTTGCCAATGTCACGTTATATCGTTTTGTTCTTTCTCCCTGTTCCCCCGGACACCCTAGATGATGTCTATGTCTAAACGCCCCTCTCAACTTGTACAACGAGCTCTTTGAGCCCAGGTACGCTCTCGCGCAGCTTCTTCTCTACCTTCTCCCTTACCGTCTCCAAGTCGCCATCAATGCCGACCTTCACTTTTACAGACCCGCTGAGGTTCTCACCGATAGGGTAGAACCGCGGCTCACTGTAACTTAGAACACCTTTCATAATACTGACATCTGCCAAAGCATCCCGCAATGCATGCTCTTGACTTTGTGACAAAGTGATAAGTAACGCCTTTCCAGATGAAGCAATAAGTGGTAGTACAGAAACAGTGATGAGGAATGCAATCATCAGCGATGCAACAGGGTCCCAACCTGTCCATCCGGTCCATTTGATAAGAAGAGTTGACACGATAACGCCAACACTTCCCATGGTATCTGCAAGAATATGCAAGAATATACCTTGCATGTTGTGGTTGTGGTCGTGTCCGTGGTGACTATGCCCAGCATGACTGTGGTTGTGAGTGGGTGCATGGTCATGATGGCAATCATGATCATGGTGATGATCATGCCCTCCGGTGGTCGAGTGGGAGTGCGAGTCTTGCGCGTGTGAATGCTCATGCGAATGATCGTGGTTGTGGCTATGGCCATGGCCATGGCTATCGCTGTGACTGTGGCCGCCGTGACTGTGGCCGCCGTGACTGTGGCCGCCGTGACTGTGACCGTGGGCATGACTGTTTCTCGTTAGAAACTTCGGAATGCGTAGTTTGGGACAGAAAGCTTACCCATGATTGAAAGCAAAGATCCCGACAAGATTGACACCTAAACCTAAAGCGCTGACCAGCAGCAGCTTGTCGGTGTTCATCTCAGGCGGTTCGGACAAGCGGTCGATCGCCTCAAACACGATCGAGATAGAGATGAGAACTAGGAAAATTGCGTTTGCAAAACCACTGAGGACCTCCATCTTTGCAAATCCATAGGGGTATGCAGCAGAACTTGGCCATTTACTCATGACTGCAGCAAGTAGTCCCACAGCTAATGCCAAGCAATCCTGGTCCTTAGTCAGTTCTGAACGGTTCGGAGTGCGGGATCAGACTTACAAAAGCCATATGAATACTATCAGATACGAGCCCCAAACTGTTGCTCCAAATACCGTATAGCATCTGCACGAACATGAAGGATAGGTTCAAAAGGAGGAAGTAGAAGATTTGACCTAAAGAGCATGAGTGGTCCGAGGTGATGAAGTAGACAACTGCACTTACGGGAATCATCCACAGCAAGAATTGGTGCGATATAGGTATCCAATGCCGTACTTTTCTTCTGATCCAAATGCCTATGTGCATGGACACGTGTGTTTGCAATACCCGGCGTCTGAGCAATCTCAACGTGCCGTGCAATGATTGTAAGGATAACTGCAACATTGGATCAGTTCATATGTACGCACAGCATAGATAGTGGACTAACCCCAATAGATGGCTCCTGTGACAGCAACTTCTGCAAGGCCACAGTTCTTCCTTCCGAGAGCCCAAGACCCGGTGATGGCGAGTGTCACACCAGCGGGCCACCCGTGTTCGACAATGGAACGAGGGTTGATAGCCGGTGCCATAGCTTGTCTGCAAATGAGGAACATGGCGTTGGTGACGCTGCATGCTATGAAGGGTACAGTCGCTAGAGTTGCGCCTTCGGAGAACGCGCTCTGTCCCAGTGATACGACGAAGGTGAAGGCACCTGCCGTGCTTAAAACAAACTCGTCGTGATGCCTGTCATCAATCTGTGTGATCCAGATATACACGGCGCTGAAGAGGGCTGCGTGTCCGCTGAATATCATGCTCGGTGTCTCTGTGTGCTGCCGTTAGCGGATGTACGTTAAATGGATTGAAAGTGGACGGTACCTGATAATAGTACGAGATCCACGAGGATGGACACCAGCCAAACGCCCATAAGCATGTATCTCTCCTTCATCCGAATCGTTCGTACATCGAATCCGGCGCACGCAATGAGGAAAGCCATAGTTGATCTACTCGCACCAAGGCAGGATGTTGCAAAGAGCATCAACGAGACCGCAGCAGCAAGTTGCGCAGCTAAGAGAAGGTCAGGCAGACTCTTTAAACGCGAAAAATAGGCCGCCTGTGTTTCGAGTCAGTCCATGCCCGTCGATTGCCTCGGGTAGCTCTAACCTTTCTCTTGTCTCTCCTGAGCGCGTACCAGCCCAAGGCAGCAACACATAATGACGTTGTCCCTGCAAACGCTATGGGTATTGATCCCGATCCGTTAACCGCACTTGCCAGGATTGAAGTAGCCGCTAGGAGCGATAACGCGACCGAGGACAAGGCAGTTTGAGCTGGTGGTGGACTAAAGGACACGTCAGTCGTCCCGCGATACGTCAAAGTAGATGAAGCTGACCTCTTCACCGAGAAGTAGTCCAGGCCCTGCTCCGTCTTTGTTCTTTGGTGATTGTGTGTCCGTTGCATATTTGTTGAGCCGGTCAGTGTTTTCGCTCTTCCCTCGGGCCCCAGGGTTCGGTTGACGTCCATGCGCATGCAAGCCGCACGAACCTTAATTGCCGCACCGTGGGCATCTGAAAAGTACCGATGCTGTTTGTCCAACGATAATAACGACAAAGAGGTGGTTGGTATGCTTAACGATGGCGTGAAATGCATTTGATGTTAAATTACGTGACCAGTGAGCACATGTACAACACACCCTGCGAGCCCCCCGAATTCGACTGTCACGAATACCTGATTCGTGATTGCACAAATATGGATTAACATGTTCCACTTCCAGCAAAGGCACTCGAACAAGCCATTCAACTGTACGAAAGACGCGAATAAAGTGGGAAAGTATTCAAGTAGAGTGGAATTCCAATTCATGGTACACGAATACCTTATTTGACGGGTTTGGATCGTGAGACTGGCTAGATTTCATGGGTCTTCGAGGGAGGAGGGAGGAGGGTCTTTGATGGATCGACGAGGCTCAATGGTCTTTGGTGGCGGTTCTTTGGCCTGCGCCTCTCGAGAGTGACATGTGAGCACTACTGGTGCGCTGGTAGATTTCACCAAGTCCTCAGCACCAACCAGGAACCCACCACCATCAACGTCTCAATCTCCCTGGGTGTCTCACAACTGACTGACAAAAGCATCGAATCCTACACCTCCCTGGTCCTCTCCCATCGATGTACGAGTCCCTGGCTCTCTCCCATCGAAATCACCAACTTCTACGCCTCCCTGGTCCTCTCCCATCTGTTCTCCCGATGCTGTGGCTTGTATCGTGTCAACCCAAACTGGGCACATGATCGCTGTTGCTGAAAGGTTAACATGATGGTTGTTTAATCTCGACACTCTTGCTTGATGTCTCCTCTTATTCGGGTGAGTCCCGCACTTTGTTGACAGCAACAGTAAAACGACTACTCATCAGTTTTTACTGACCCGCCCTGACCCAATGGCAATGAAGGTTCGTGGTAGGAAACAGCCCAGAAAGAAGACCTTGCGCACTTTAGGAGCATCAAATCGATACACATCCAATCGCAGTTTCCAAGATGATCCGGAGTTTGACGTTGACGATGATGATGAAGACGATGAGCTTGTTTCGACTGAGTGGACAAAGGAGAGATGAGAGGAAACGTCATGGTATGCATATGTGTGATGACAGTGGGAATTGAGGCAAGGTTGGACTTCTGAAATTTCGGGTCTTATTCAAGTTTCAATAACATCAATGGGCCTAGATTGATGACCTGTGATAGATGGGACCAATGAATGTCACGTCTGTGCAGTGTGCAGTCATGAGGTAGAATATTATAACAGTGTAGTGTTGGTAAACCGTATAAAAAATTCTACTTTCAAGACGAATTGTCAATCCAGATTGTGCCCAGAATATCCCACTAACTCGAATAACTCTATTCGTGATACTGGATAATTTTATGACTATTTTATAGTCGTGTTTGGTAGAGTTTGGGGGTCTCGTAGGGACAGAAGCTCTCAAGTTCATGCCGGACATGGGTGGTAGTAGCATGCCAATGTATATGATCGAAATTTTCTAGGACTATTTCACGGCTTCACATTCTTTGTCTCATCTGCCCTACGGCCGTGGTTGTGAGAATCATGGATTACAAAATTCCGGTTAATCCATGATATCATTCCGCATAATTCATGGTTTTATTTCGTATAGTTCATGATTTTTGACTTCGTGGGGACTATCCAGAACAATTCATCTAGCATTGGGCCCAGACCTACTCACATAATATTCACGGAACAGTGCTGGGAGATGCATATGTCGGGCACATACTCCAAGTGATCTATCGAAGAATATAAGCCAGGGCGTGCTAGGTGCAAAACTGGTATAGTACATGTAACGCGCATTTCTGAGACGATCCGACAATTCAAGCGCTTGTGCAGCTGACTGAATGAGACTTTACCCATTTTTGTCAAAGGACTTAGAAGGATATTTGGCATGAAAAGCTTCAGCTTAATCAATAATGAGATTTTGTGTCACCTGTCACGATCCCCCCCTATATAGGTATGATTTGGCATTGTCCTCGAGGGTATCTGGCATGTAGTGCACGCCGCAATTCTATATAATCCACGATGAGTCCACAATCGGATTCGACGTCATCCTTCCCTACGACCCAGCCCAACGTGGATTTACCTCGTTGGTTGTTAGGCAGCGCGGAATTTCCTAGTTGCCAGCGTGGAAACGTAGTGGATTTTTTCCATGACTAGGAAAATCCTAGCTGGCCAACGTGGAAACGCAACTAAGAAAATCCTAGCTGGCCTCTTAGTTATAACGTGGAAACACAGGATGCAGATCCTAGTTGACGGACGTGGAAACACAACTAGGATTTTTCTAGCTGGCCAACGTGGAAACGGCAGCTGACAAACGTTGACGTGGCCATGGATGTATAGACAAGTAGTACTAATCAGTCGATTAACAACCTAGCCGCATTGTTCCACGCAAATGTCTCTCTATCGATGATCCACGCAGGCTTGACTGCATCTCCCCTAAGCTCGTCAATCAATGGCTGAGTAGTCAAGGTGCCAACAACCCTCTTGATTTGCCGTATGTTCACCCACTCGTGTAAATTCCCAGGCGGTTGAGTGTCAACCACAAAGAAACGGCCACGACGAAGCTGAGCAGGACCATAACACCGAATGTACGCCAAAGGGTAGTACACACGCCTCACCAATGGTCTTGCAAACAGCATAACCTCGCCAAAGAAGACTTCCGTACCGAAATCAGAGTCATGTGTGTAAAAGACAATGTTGGAGGCGCGGGTTTTGTCGCTTTTACGCTGACTCTCGTAGGAACCGATTAAATCTCCTCCCTCGCAAAGCTGGAAGCGCTTGTAGGCACGAACAGTCTTATCCACCTGATCTGCCTTGATCCGCACATCCAGCTCTTGAAGGTAGTCCACGAGATGTCGATGAGCGGTACAGCTGAGTTGAATGAGCTTTTCGGGTTTCATGAACCAGCCGGAGGGCGTCTCATATGTGCAGGTGTGTATAGGCGAAGGTTTGACTGACATGGAGAAGACCGGGGTAGTGGTTCTGATGTATCCGAAGAGTTTCAACTGTTCGTCGAGGAGGACGGCATTGGCAAGACTCTTGTTGAGTTCAGAGCGAGACCGAGCCTTAGGCACAACCATTCCATTCATTCTCTCCATTGCGAAAACCCAGAAGACCCAAGCAGGCCCCAGCCATTCAATGCAATCAGCGACGTGGAGGAGCATGTGTATCGATGAAGGGCATGCTGACATCCTGTTGTAATCGTACTGGTAGTATAAGCGTTCGTATTCCAAGACGAACTCCTTAAAGATCCTCCGAATCTTGGTGAGTTCATCCACAGTGATCTCGAAAGCGATTGACATGTTGTAGGCCTCACATACCTTCTCCCAGTTCGCCAAATACTCATCAGGAAGGCGCCCGGAGAGCAGGGGAACTGAGTACAGAGAAAGCCACAAAGACCATTCTGTTGCCTTGAACCCTGCCGAGTTCTTTGCAATGTTCCTAGGCGCCCTTCCAAGTTGATTTGGGATACGCCGGCGGCATGCCCTCATATCCTCACCAATCTCCTCCCACATCTTGGAGGTGAGCACCCACGGATCCTTAGCACGTGCCTTCTTCGTCGTTCTCGCCGGACCGGCCTCTCTTGGAACACGAGGAGCAGGTCTTTCAGCGGCTGGCGGGCCGACCGGTGCGACAGGATCTGCGTCAGGATCACCGGTATCATCGGTCCGTTCAAGCGGCCCGTGTTCTCTTGCCGGCAACTTCCCGGGAGCAAGATCCGGGGCCTTCGCATGAGTCCCCGCAGGAAGACGACCATCCCAGAGGTTGTACAATAGGCGGGAGAGGTTATCACAGATCAAGTGCATAACATCGACACCAAACGACATGGAATGTATATGTATCCATATACATATATCACCCTAACAGGCTGAATCTATGATTTATACCATGGGCCCAGGTTACTGATGAGATCAACGCATCCAGGGCCAGATCCTTTGAGTTGGAGACCGACGGCTACCCTGAAAATCTATTTGAAGAGGAGGAGCTGGAGGATGAGCTTGAGGAAGGCGATGTGGCCGTGATCGACCATCGGTCTTTCAGAGAATGACATGCCAGTACCGTTGAGACGCTTGGTTGGATGATTTTGCGACTTTCGCCGGAGACGTTACGTACCACGTACGTGCACCATGGACATTACACAAGGACGAATTATACAGTCGCATTACTACTACCATAATACCGTATAAGGATAAAGAATATCGCTCTATTATAACCCCATCAAACGCCCTGATTCCTGAAGCGTAGCTGTAGAACTTCAGCTGGTATGCTTGAGTCTAGGTCTGTAATTTGCATGATCACTGTTCTGTAATTTACCTGCTACCTGGTCTTGGTTTACAAACTGAGTAGCCTGTAAGTTACATGTCCATTTACATGACTGTTAGCAGACTGATTACGTGCTATTTGAGAACATAATGTGTCACTTTGTAGGGTAAATCAGCTGTAAATAAATGGCCCTATGACTCGAAATGTTAGCGCAAGCTCAGTCTTGTACAAGAAGATCTCATTCATACCTGTTCTTGCTTGAACTTTGCTGCTCAGGAGTACATTTAGGGACTTAAGGGTTTGCGGAATTTCCAAAGAGGTGGGGTTTTCTAGTTTATAAATACACTTTCCTGCACAGCGAAAACACAGCCATGCACTATACCATAACAGTCAACGGTCATGTATGTTGATTATGCTACAAGGTCAATGTTCAGCAATCCTTGCCTAATCCAGGATTTTGACTTGCATTACGCATTTTGTTAGGAGTAAATGGGTTTAAATTAAGCCTGGCAACTCGCGTCATAGGGCGGGATTTTGGTACTCGAAAATCCCATATGCATGAACATATTATTGGAAGAGCAGAGACATGTGTACATGGGCCGTTATCACACATATGTATATACGAAGGAACGAGGTCAAAACCGGCTTATTGCAGAGGATATCGAGCAATTCCAATCTGCAGCATCTACACAGCAGCAGTGATCACGCTCACCTACCATAGTCGCCGCAGTTGTAATTAGGTTCCAGCTGATGCCCGGGCTCATTCACGCTCCTTCGAAACAAGGTGAAGGTGCCCAGTTCAATTGCGGAGGAGGGTCCTGGATCGTGACAAAGTAAAGCAAGCTTGTGCAGTGGATGTGCTTGCAATTGGTTCAAAATCAATCAATGGAATGATGGTTGAGGGAAGGGTGCTTGACCAAGGGGTGCGTACAGGATCTGAGAGGCGTGCACACGAGGGGCAGGGCATACAGTCGGTGGATCAAGGCTGCATGACATACATACTACTACTACAACCGATATACCCCTTTACCCTGACTTCTTGTGCTCATGGATCTTCATGGGATATAGCCTCGCAACAAATTCACCTCACCCAAGCTGTCATTTTCTGAGAATCATTCTCAAACTCTATTCACACAATCTCTCTATGATACGTGAACGCAACCATCCCGACACACGTGAGGTTTTTGGGATTCTCGTGAAAAAATCGAAGAAAACGTCTGAGCCAGCTGGGACGCCCGAAAATATGACTATCAATTCCAGACATTTGATATGGATACTGGAGATTGGAATTGTAGACCAAAATCACGCTGGTCCACTGACACATACCACACGTGCAGGTTCGTTCGTGGACACGCCTCATTGTAGAAAGCGAGCGTCCCTATGAAAATGAAAATTCTGAATTAGTTAACTCAAATCTGGGAAAGTGCGCCCATAATTCCCAACGCGAGATCGTGGATTCCACTGGGATCAGTCATGGATTATAATCCGGGCAGAAATATCAGACAAAATCATATCTTACGATCCTTGATATATCCACGGATTAAGCCAGAAAAATCTTATGGACCATAAACCCTGGCTGGCTTTTTCCATGGATTTAGCGTCAAGGATTGTGAACCACATCACGGTTAGGACTCACAATCCAGATTCCCGTCATGGATCACGAACCCGATTTTCGTCCTCTGTATGTTCCTCAACACGAACACAGTCATGGATTAAGCCGTACGTGAGCATGGGTTATGCCCAAAGTTGTCAAGGATTATGTGGAATCAAACTGTGGAATCATCAAAGGTTAAGCCGTTATTTTTCAAGCAATGCGTCCAGGATCGATATCAGTAATAAATTGGTGATCCTTGATTTTCATATACGTAGGGATTTTGCCATACAGAGGCCATTATATCTAACTCCGCTAATGACTAAACCTCCGCCGAACGAATTGGCTAACATTCTGCACAAACGTGGTTATGAATTCTCTAATTATGAATCGCTAGGACAGACACCGACAACCTGGTATAACCCAAACTTTCATGCACACGGCCAAATATGCAACCAAATCATGCAAAGCCCACAACCCCATACATAACTCAAAGATAACGCCGAAAATACCGTCCAATTGCCGACATCGACTACCGCAATGCGTGCATGCTCAACTGTTCGAAGAAGGGACCGACATCTGGATCACGGTCAGTATTCACAAAGTGGCGCTGTGTAAATGTGGCTTACCTTCTCTTCTCACTTCGACAACGCTGGCTTCGAAACCCTTCAGTCGGCTGCGCGCTGCATTGGACTGAGATACCTCGTGGAACGCGTTGCCAAATTTGTTCTGTCGTGCACCAACTGGAGAATTTGGGGCTACAGTGTCAGTTCCAACAACCAGGAAACTGTCCGTCGCTTCGTTGAGAAGGGCGATGACGAAAGGAAGAGTGTTGACACGCCCATGTTCCTTCTCCTGCTCGTTGATCGCTTCGGCCACCCAAAGCGCAAGCTTCGTCAACGCGCCCGGATGACCCAAGATCAAGACATCAGGGCCTTCCCTGACAACAGCCATGCGAAAGGACTGCAGGCGCTTGATCCCACGCTTATCAATGATTGAAGTACCAGTGCGGACAATTGCACGCTGTAAATCCATTGCAGTGGTCAAAGCTTTTCGCAGGGCATCAACACTGGAAGTCACATATGTTAGCTTGATCATCACACACCGACAAGGTTCGTGTGTACATACCTGCTTAGTGCATCCCAAGCATCCCAAAAGTGCTGAATCCAGCTATCTTCTTGGGCCGCCTCTTCCTCGTCTCGTTTCTCCGTGGGGTTATTCGACGCATTCTCGTTGTGCTTGGGTCCTCCATTTGCCAGTGGATTCTTTACACCTCCCTTTCCAGCTTCGAGAAGGGCACTTAGAGCGTACGCGGCATCACTGGCACTTAAGGTGCACTTATATCCCCATTCTCGGACGAAACTAGGATATTCGACATCATCCAAGCCATACACCGGACTAACTTTCTGCAAAGTATCCTTTAGGGCACGCTTCAGATCAACATCCATGTGCGTGTAGGTCTGCCTACATTGCTGTAGTGAAAATCCCATTTTCGCAAGCATCTTGTGAAAACGTCGGATTCCCGTCTCATCCCAAATTTGCAACCGGGTAGCGAGATACGGTGAATGGAGCATTGCATCATAAAGCGACCAGTGCCGCACCATCATGAACCGGAACTCTTGTTCCGTTCGAATAGATGTATCACTTGCAGACTTTTTCGATCCCAATCGACTTCGCAAACTATGGCTCAGATTAGGAGGGTTCAAGCGTTGTACTTCATCCCTGTAATGAAGGTAGTACTGATCGTACTGCTCATCGCTTTTCACACGACCGTGCGTTTGCTGGTACGCCAGAGCGACAATTCCGCACCACAGCATCTCGTTGTCTTCACGTCCAAGATCTGACGCCATAGAAAATACTAATGCGGCAGCGCCCTCGCCGAACCACGATCCTCTGCCATAGTATTCATTGACCCTTGTGAGGTTTTTGCGGTACACTCGCCGCAGCTCTTTCCGGGGATTACCGGTCTTTTTCTGAGGTGTCGCAGGCGCTGATGTTGTCGGAGACGTCTTGCGTCGCTGACGAGGGGGTTCTGCAGAGTCAGATTCATCGGCTGGATCATCCTCGTCCTGGTCCGAGTCTGCCGAAGGGGATTTTCGCTTGCCATTTGATGACATAGGTTCCTCCTCCTCATCTGCTCCGTTGTCTCCGCCATTGTCGCGGTCGTCGTCATCTTCGCTGTCCTCCTCATCTTCATCGTCCGTATCGCTCAACTCTCCATTCTCACCAAGCAGGCCTTCCTTCTCCATATCAAATAAGGCCTGCATGGCCTTCTTCTCACTGCCCAATTCAGCCACTTCTCCATCGTCAAACACTTTGATGTTATCGTGTTCACCAAATAAGTTTGCAAGATTGTACGGACGATGAGAGTCAATGACGTACACAACCACATCGGGTCTGACAGGAAAGAGATCGCACAAGTCCATGGTATTACCGAAGCCCAGCATGAAGATATACCGTAGCTATGTCGCAAATGAGTATGTGGTTGAAGCCAGAGAAGGAAGACCTTACATCAATATTGTTCTCGATTAGCCTTTCCCGTGCAACGCTTAGATCGTCCCATCCTGTTACCGGATGAATCTCATGGGGGATATAATCTGCTTTGAGCATGCCCTGCGCTACACGTCAGCAAAAAGGCCCTCAAAAGTACACGTCAAAGCCGTAACACGAGAGCTCGCATGCGTCTCTCATGTCCTGGATACCCTGAGCACCACAAACACGTACCGATAGCATCTTGCAGGCGCACAACGCGTCCGCATCCAGAGAGACGAACAGCAAGACCGGACATGATCCCGAGATGGAAACCGATTTGATCTTCTGGTACGCGTTGCCAAAGTCCCCGCGTGTGATGAAGCCCATGTAAGTTCGCTCCTACCGGGGTATACTGCTCAAGGACTGCTGCTGTGTATGTCGAGACCTGATGGCAGCTATTGCATGAAGAGACAGAGGTACTGTGGTTGACAAATGAAGAAGGCGAAGGGTGAAATATGCTAATTGAATGCGATGCTGATGCTGAATGACTGTTCCCTGCTCTGTTCTTGGTATGCTTATATGGGACGTCGCGTGTTTGCTGTGGAGCTGCAAGCTGCGCGACGACGACACGCCTCGCTGCAACTTCATGACCAACTTAATTCGTCGACATCGAGTTCAAAGGAATGCAAGGATCGAGGATCGTGAAGACAGTGGAAAATTCATAGCATACAAATTCCGATACCGAGATATATTCGTCTTACTGTTACATACGTCCTGCCTGGGCAATTGCTTTGCTCGTCAACTCGACGAACCTGCCCGGCGCATCCTCATCTTGTCTCGCCGTCTCAATCATCGTCAAAATTCTCTTGATGCCAACACCAACGTGATTCGAGCCCGTAAGACCCTCCAACTCCTGCGTGATACCACGGACCTCAGCCTCAGAGAAGGCATCCGTCGTTTTCAGTACATGGGCAAGCTCCTCCTCCGTGTTCACGGTGGGAACAGGAAGATCAGAGTCGAAACAGGACAGGAGGTCCATCTGCTGAAGGACAGACCTCTCAGTGGTCGTAGCAAGGATGAGGAGTCGACGTCCCTATATACGCAATTAGCCAGATACTTCACCGTTACGGAATTGAATCTTACCTTCGGCGGCTGCTTCCTTAGCAACACCATCAACGCCTGCAGGACAGCGTTTGAGAATCTTGGGCCAATGGGGACCCAATCCAGCAGACGTTCGATGTTATCCACAACTACCACACTCAGCGGGCTCTTGTACGAGTCGTTGAAGACCTTGTTAATTGCGGCCACCTTTGAAGCTTCGGTGTAACCAATCATACTTTCAGGAGAAATGAGCTTCACGAAAGGAAATTCGGAAGCCATGGCGATACTAGCCGCCAACGCTGTCTTTCCGGAGCCAGAAGGACCGTGCATCAACACACTCACAAGTGGCGTGCGCTCTGATTGACGGACCTGCTGAATGAACAGACGACCCTCCTGAAGGATGTTCTCGATGCCTGAAGAGAAGGAGACAATGCCGTTTTGGATGCAGGTGGCAAGTTCCTCCTCGGAAACACCGAAAGCCGGCTTGACTTCCTCAAGGGCATGCATGAAATCATCCCTCGTCACCTTCATGTTCTCAATATCCTCAGACACACCCGCCATTGTTCCCACCTTAACATGGCGGTTGAAAGCAAAGGAAGAGGCACTCTTCACCAAACCACTAATATCAGCACCAGTGAAGTTCTTGGTAAGCGAGGCTAACTCCTCGATGTCAACGTCAGGTGCCATGATGTGGTTATCACGCATCTTGGCCGTGTGAATTTTCAAAATCTGAACGCGCCCGCTCTCGTCAGGCAATGAGATTTCCATATGCACCTCAAGACGACCAGCACGGAGCAACGCCTCGTCAATCATGTCCATTCGGTTGGTCATACCAATGATGAGGATGTTGTTCAACTGATCAACACCGTCCATCTTAGCAAGGAGCTGGTTTACCACAGAGTCACCGACACCAGTTCCGTCGTTCTTGCTTCCACGCTGCTTACAGATAGCATCCAATTCATCGAAGATGATGATGTGAAGACCAGACTCATCGCCCTTCTCCTTCTGCTCCTTCTCAGCATCCGCGAACAGCTTACGGATGTTCTCTTCGGATTGTCCAACAAACTTGTTCAAGATCTCAGGTCCGTTCACGATCTTAGGCTCACGCGCGTTGAGCATCTTTCCGATCTGCCGTGCCATCAAAGTCTTACCAGTACCGGGTGGGCCGTAGAGCAAAAGACCCTTGACGTGCTGGATACCAAGCTTCTCGACCAATCCTGGTGGAAAGATACGCGACGCGAATGCACGACGGAAGATTGCACCGAATTCCATGTCGAGACCTCCGATACCCATGTCCTCGAACTTGAAGTCAGGAGCGATAATAGCATTAGCAGCTGGACGCTTCGACGAGGGCTTGAGGCGGACCGATGAATCGGGAGCCTTGTAGAAATTGATGATCGTCTGAGGCGTGAGAACACCACGAGCGCGCGGGTCGCTATGGACTGCCGCATCTGTAGTAGCCTTTTCGTTCATGGCGAGATTCACAAGCTGAACAGACTTCACATGACAGCGGAATTGAATGGCTTTGTAGTCAATTACTAGACGCTGGCCGGGAGCAAAGATCTGCTGTTGGTAGTTCTGTGCAATCCTGTTAGCATACATCCCGTACCCAATCACCCTTACGACATACCCTTGTAAACAATTGTGCCATATCCTCTGGGTCCAGCATTTGATCAGTACCCTTGTTGGGCCGCATGAAGCTAAGCTCCACATCAAGAGTACCGAGGTATACTGCATCACCACGAGCAAACGGATCGTAAGATGCAACAGTGACCTCCTGGTTCAATGACCAAGCCGCCCACTCACGCTGAAGGAAAGAAGCTCCGAGGGTCCCTGGTGCCACAGCAGGAACGGCTCTGAACACAAGATCATTAGCATGTATGCCATCAGAAGGCAGTTCAGCAACTCACTGTGCAGCCAAAACGTATTGATCGTCAATGATGATATGACCCACGTCCGGTGGGAAGTCGCTCGGTGATACCGCGATGACGTTCATGATAGCCATCTCATCTGAAGGGATCTTGTTGACGCGGAGAACTCTACTCGAGAAACCTGAACCCTGCTGGGATCGCTGTGGAGGAGGAGGAACATCCCTGTACTGCTTGGGCGGAGGAGGAACACCTCGAGGAGCTTGCTGCTGCTGCGGAGCACCTCGCCGCGGATCGAACAGCCCTGCACGCGGATCCACGGGGGTATATGCGTTGTTGCTGGTGGGGGTAGGCGACGCGAAAGCGTTTCTGAAGCGATCCATTGGTATTGTTTTGATGTGAGGTTACGGAGGTCGGACAGATGGAAAGCATGTAACCCTAACGTGGCGTGGGTGTGTACAGTAGCGACGCGCACTGTGATGACATCCCGGCGCAGCACGCCACACCGTCTGCAACGGACATCGAGTGGAGCGTACGTACGTGTGAGGAGGAGCAGCGACCCCCGGCGGGATTATTCAGCGTGGCCAGGCCAGCAGCAGCACCGATGCCAGACAAGAAACCACCAGATCTCACCCAGCTCAAGGACGCTGTGAACGCCCACCTCATGAGGGCTCAGACCACGATACGCAAAAAGTCGCGCCTCTCAGAGACAATGACCGCCGCCGCCGTCTCCCACAACACCACGCCGGACTCCCTGGGCTCCATCTCGTCACTGTCGTCAAACAACTCCACCTCCTACCCTTTCCCGTACACAGCTACACCAACACAACAGCCCAAAAGCGAGACGCCAACACCACGAGGTGCTCCTAACGGCTTTCCCGGTCCGACAAACCAACATGGTAACCCACTTTTCCCAGCACCAAATATTTACGATCTTACACTACGACTCAACTCGGCCATCGGTATCGAGTTGTTTTGGAAGAGTGTTGTGGATATACTGGTGGAAAATTACTGTGCGGAGCGTGTGACGCTGGCCATCCCTAACGATCTGACAGACGTAGAAAACGTACCCTGGGGTCTCAAGGCGACTTACGATGGAGCAACAGACTTTGCTGCACCAACATCAGGGGGCGGTGCGACGTCGACGTCACCTCCACAAGGTGTACCATCAGAAGCAAATATTATGGATCCCTCGGTGCCATTTGAGAATGAACCGGATGATGACACTACGCCGACAACAGGAATGCCTGACCAGTCACGACCGCCTCTTCCAAACAGATCGCGTGGACCGTCCGTCAATTTACCAACTGGTATGCGTGGAAAAGTACATCGTGCACTGCTTCCTCTGGAAGACGGCGACGAGCCTCTGATCGACAACATTGGTGTCGCACGCGTCATCGAGCGTGGACGGCCGGTTGTGCTATCACGAGAGTACAGAGATATTAATACCTTCCTCGAGCGAGGTCAAGGACAGACGACTTCTCCAGCGCATATCGAGCTCAAGCAGGACCAGTTGAAGCAGAGACAAGAACGCATCGCAAGCAAAGCGGCAGAAAAGGATGCTAACAAAGGTACTCCTCAAAAGCCGCTGCGAAACCCCATGGAGGAGTATTTCAGCGAAAAGCCGACCTCAGCACGAAAGAATGTCATGGCTTCGCTAAGTAGCCACCTTCACCAGCCGTTCCCTCCGCAGAGAAGTGCGAGCTATGAAGAGTATGAGCAGGCTATGCTCTCGCCTTGGTCTTCGTCACCTGCGCCATCACCTGCAGTGCACACTGACAGCAATCGCAACCCCTTCTTCGAAAGCCCCATGGTCGAGGAAGAAGCTTTCTGTCCGTCAGAGTTGAGTCCGGTGTACACTCCCTACGAGCAGGTCTACACCATCGGCATGGAAAGTGCGCATTCAGTTATTCACGTCCCCCTCATCCACCCAACCTCCGCCAAACCCGTCAGTGGCGCAAGCGGTACCGTCCCGATCGGTATCCTCAGTTTCCTGTCAAAAGTCATCCCTTACCCTCAGAACCTCGTCGACTCACTCGACAGCTTTGCGCCTTTGATTGCAACGAGTTTGAGTCAGGCTTTGAGCCACTCGAATATCTTGCACCAGCTTGCTTATGCTCCTCGTCAGCCATCTCAGTCGACGAGTGGTAGTTCGCCGGCGGCATCACGGGCAAGGAGCTATAGTCGAACGGATTCGTTGGATAGCTCGCCTGCATTGGCCAGCAGCCCGTCGTTCTCGAGTTCGAGCTCGGTTGGTGAGCGTGCGTCGTGGGAGGGAATGGCTGGTATTGCAGCGGGCATGCTCAGTCCCAATGTCGCCATGTTGGGAACGCCGCTGAGTGCCGGTGAGGTCTCTGGTGACTCGTACTTCTCTAGAGTTCGGAGACCAGTCGCTGTACGAGCACCTGCTAGTTCGAGTTCAGTCCTATCTTCAGCTGCGTCCAACGCTGGTGATCTGAATGTTCCCGTGGCAAGCGGAAGCAGCAGAGGCAGTGCGAGCAGCGATGATCTTCCTACTCCGAAGCTCTCTGACAAGAAAATGGAGGATGTCAAAGAGGATGGGAATGGACAGGAAGAGCAGGAAACGTCACCGGGAAGGAGGGTGGCGAGTGCTACATCGAGGAGGAGAAAGGCAAGGAGACCAGCGTCGTTGTTGCATTCACATGGTGCAAGCACTTCGGCAACTTTGTCGGGCGGCTTTGGAAGTGGCAGCGTTCCTGCAGAGAGACCGGTTCACAACGGAGGAAGGCGCTCGATGTCTACCGGTTCTTCATCTTCTGGTCGCGGCGAGATGCCCGTGCCGAGCGCACGTCTGCTCAAGGTCATCGTGGATTCTATCCCCGTGCATGTCTTTACTGCCAGTCCACAAACTGGCAAAATTACCTGGATAAATGCGCGGTCTCTTGCATACCGTGGACAAACCGCAGGAGAGGTAATGAAAGACTTCTGGGGCGCATTGCACCCCGATGATCGGGATTCGTATGTCAGTGGATGGAAGGAGGCGATTGCGAAGGGAGTCGGTCATGCTAGGCAGGTACGAATGAGGCGATTCGATGGTGTCTACCGATGGTTCATGACCCGTGCTGTTCCCCTCCGTGACTCGCGAGGTGCGGTTGTTCACTGGTTTGGCACGTCTATGGACATCCACGAGCAAAAGCTGGCCGAGCAGGATGCAGCACGACAAGCGGAGACTGCGGCGAGTGAAGGAAAGTACCGCAGTTTGGCTGAAGCTAGTCCTCAGATCGTATTCGCTGCTACTCCATCTCAGGGTATCACTTATGCGAACACGCAGTGGTTCAGGTATACCGGAGGTTCTTTCGAGGCTACGGTTCGATTGGGATTCATCTCATTCGTGCATCCAGACGATCGCCTCAAATGTGCCTTGCCGGCTGGAGTGTGTCCTACGAAAGATGCGCCTTTCTCTAGTGAGTTACGCTTGAGAAAGCACGACGGCGAATACAGGTGGCACCTCATCAAGTGCGTCTGCGTCGAGGGTTCCTCGGGCAATGGCGAAGACGACTTGTGGTTCGGGACATGTACCGACATCAACGATCACAAGTTGCTTGAACAGAAACTTAAGGAGACCAACGAGGCTGCGCAGAGGGCGATGGAGAGTAAGACGCGTTTCTTGTCGAACATGTCTCATGAGATCCGTACCCCACTGATCGGAATCACTGGTATGGTGGGTTTCTTGATGGACTCTCAATTAACGCTCGAGCAGTTGGATTACGCCCATACTATCCAACAGTCGGCCGATGCCCTCTTGAGTGTCATCAATGACATTCTTGATCTCAGCAAGGTTGAAGCTGGAATGATGAAGCTTACATCGGAATCATTCAATGTTCGAAGCATGGTTGAGGACGCCAACGAGTTGCTCAGTACTATGGCTACTGCAAAGGGGCTTGAGCTCAATTACGTCGTCGAGGAGAACGTACCTGCTATCATTTCGGGCGATAGGATCAGATTGCGCCAGGTTGTCCTTAACGTCATCGGTAACGCGATTAAGTTTACCTCCTCTGGTGAGGTCTTCTCCCGTGTGTCGGTCGCAAAGGACGCCGACGTCGGTGCGGACGAGATTCTGTTGAATTTCGAGGTTCACGATACTGGACCCGGTTTTGACAAGAAGGACGAGCAGTATATGTTCAAACCCTTCAGTCAGATTGACACGTCCAGCACTCGCAAGCACGGAGGTACTGGACTGGGTTTGGTTATTTCACGTCAACTTATTGAGCTTCATGGCGGTAAGATGACATGTTCGTCGGTCAAGGGCGTTGGTTCTACGTTCTTCTTCAGTGCCAAATTCAAGCTCGCTGAGACTGTTGCTACTGCCGCAAAGAATTCTGCCGAGCCTGACGCTTGGGAGCTTTGTAATACCGATCCACCCGCTACTCGTCCTATGGCTTCCCCGGGCAAGGGCAATACGTCTGATAACACGGTGCCTTCCCTTTCTCAGGGATCGTCTGCTTCGTCTGGTTGGTCGTCTGTTTCTTCGAACCCAGTGTCGGCAGCAATGAAGGACCAGAACAGCGTGCTTGCGGATGCATTTGCTGTTACACCGCCCGCCAAGACTCATCAGCCAATTCGCGATATCGGAGCTACGCAGCGCGCACTCCAGATCTCTATGCCGCCGAAGCCCGATCCTTCTTCTATGAAGTTGGCTTTGCCTACCCCGGTGAAGCAGAGGGTTGCCGAGTACGTGGCTGAGACGACCGGTCAGAACAAGGCTGCAAGGACGTTGAGACCGTCTAATGTACCGAGCACTCCTTCATCTTCGGGCGAGTCGACTGCTACGGTCACAGACAAACCATCAGGCCCGCCCAAGAGCTCACCTCCTACGCCTCCCATGTACAACATCCTCGTTATCGCGGAGCAGCCTTACGGTCGCATGGCTATCCAACATCACATTCGGATGACTTTGCCAAAGACCATTCCCGCAGCCATCGCGACCTCGAACAGCTTCCGTTCTGCTTATGATATCGTCACCAAGAAGTCACCCACGATCTTCAGTCACATCGTGATCTCTCTTCCAGAGCAGTCGGAGGTCAACAAGCTGTTGCAGGCTCTCTCGAAGGCGGCTGCTTATGCGAATACTATGTGTATCGTGCTTACCACACCCATTCAACGGTCTTCGATCTTGGATGGATGCGGAGATGCTGCCAAGATCTTGGGTGACCGGTTGCAGTTCATCTTCAAGCCGGTCAAGCCATCCAAGTTTAGTGTCATCTTTGATCCGCAGAGCGAGCGTAACGAGAGTACCGACATGAAGAGGCAGAGTGCGCAGCAGGTGGTAGCGCATCAGAAAGAGGTCTTCAAGTCTATGGAAGATGAGGTTGGAGGAAAGGGTCACAAGGTGTTGCTCGTTGAGGACAACCCTGTGAACCAGAAGGTCATGCAGCGGTTCCTTCTGAAGGTCGGGTTGGAAGTGGAGATCGCTTCCGATGGTGTGGAATGTGTTCAGACGTACTTGAACAAGCCTCACGGCTACTATTCCCTCATTTTGTGCGATTTGCATATGCCTCGCAAAGATGGGTTCGAAGCAACTCGCGAGATTCGTGACTGGGAACAGACCAATTTGCCTCCGGGCGTAGCACAAGTACCTATTGTTGCTCTTTCAGCTAACGTCATGTCCGACGTGGCCGAAAGGTGCACTGCATCTGGGTTTACATCCTACGTTTCGAAACCCGTGGACTTCTCTACTTTGAAGGACACGATTGTACAGTTGTTGAACATCAAGTCGCCTGGAAAGGTTTGATTATAGCATCAAGTTCGGCGCAAGATCTTTTCATCTTTGGCATGGCATATCATCGCCGCTGTCATTGAAAGTGGTTATTTTGTTGTTTTATCTATTTTGTTTAGCTTTTTGTTATTTGCTTTAGGTTCGGTGTCTGGTATTTATTGTGGGAATATGTTTTTTGCATTCTTCCAGCGAGAAGATCGGTAATATGGCACGTTAAGAGAGGGGATTGAATTGGATGGCTTGGAAGCTTTGTACGATAGTCATATAGAATAGCAGATCATGGTAAACGAAGGCATGATCAATGGCGACCCGCGGCCGTCCTGAAGCATATACAGCAGTGCATGTACGTGAACGAGATACCTCTGAACCTTTATCACTATATTGTCAACAAAGTGCTTGGTTAAGTCATTCTGATTTAATACTGGCGGCCCGACGCGTTCACGTGCATGTCCTGCCACCCCCGCTAAACCGCTTAATTTTCGGACCGAGCGTCGGAACAATCATCCGCCGAGGGTAAACCTGCTGGACGGTGGCAGCCAGTCAACGTTACCAGCTGCTGCGAGGAGGACGTTGATGTTCAGTCCTGCTGAGCAATTCTTGCCCGTCTCTGCTCGTCTTCAGTCGCCTTGATCTCGCCTGATCCTTGTGAGTCTCGCGGTTGGTATCCGCCAGGGTTCTGTCACCCTCTTGACACCGTTCAAACCTTGCGCGAGAGACTACGCACGACCATGCCACATTTGACGTCGACATCGATACCTGGGCGCTTCCCTATCATCTGCATTGTGAGGCATGCGGAGCGGTTAGATCAGTATGACAGGAATTGGTCAAAGACAGCAGAGAGGCCGTATGACACGCCTCTGACGAAGGGAGGCATTGCTCAAGCTGCGGCTACTGGTCGCTTCATTCGCAGTTGGTTGCACGATAAGAAGGAAACTGCGCGTCGCAGGACGGTGCTTGTGGAGGATGAAGAGGATGAAGACGACGACCGCAATGTTTGGGTGCCCAACGTTGTTATACATACTTCGCCTTTCCTGCGTTGTATGGAGACAGCTACAGCACTCGCAAACCAGTTATACAGAGCGCCATCACGCTCGGGTATGGTAAACAGAATAAACAGAGATGCCAGTGAAGTGGAGGCTGCGACATATTCTCGTATCCGCATTGACGACTATCTAGGAGAATGGCTCAACCCGGTCTACTTCTCAGAACTGAAAGAACCACCGCCAAGCACTCTACTGCCCGTGGAACTATCGCCAAACATTGACGCGACGTGGGACAGGGCTTTTTTCAGTGAAGCAGGAACATACCCGGAAGAATGGGAGAGTCTCGAACTGCGTTTGCGTGCAGGACTACGAGAGCTCTTGCTTTACTACAGTTCACAACCCGACATGCCTGATGCTGTTGTTCTCATCACACATGCTGCACCACACGCCGCTCTGTTGCATTCCTTGAGCGGATACCCAGTCTTGCAGACACCAGCCATCTCATCCCTGACAATGGCAGTACCAACACCGACGACAAAGGTCGACTTGAAAGGTCTTGGTGCATGGGACTTTAAACTACAAGCATCTACGGCTCATCTGAAAGCGGCCAACTTTGCCGGAACAGGCGGAGGGTTTCATCGAACGCAGAGTTTGCATGCGGTTCCGAGTGTGAAACCAGATGGACCTGGGCTGTGGAGACCTGGTGGTAGCGGTAGCACGACGCCAAGGACATCTATTTCTGCTTCTGTCGGTCGCAGCTTCTTGTCTCACCACAGTGGAAGACGCGCTGGTTCGCTCTGGGCAAGCACGTCCTCATTGTCGTCCATGGACGGCACTAACCAACCATCCCTTCCACGTCCCAAGTCACCTCCCCGAACCAGATCACCACAGCGTCCGCGTTCACCACAGACGGCACGGAAACCCGCCCTGGCATCCATCAAGCAGGAAAAAGAACCACGTACGCCCACCTCTACTACGCCTGCCCCGATCATCACCGACGGCATCAAAGGAGTACACATCCAAGACATCCTCATTTCACCCACAACCATCGAGCCGCCACCCCTATTCTTCGCATCCCGTGTCCCCACACCAAACGAAGACCAGCCCAAGAAACCACCAATTAGGAAGAACAGTATGCCACCTGAACTCAGCAAGATCGTCGATGGCGAAGGTGCTGGGAAAGTCAAGGAGATGTGGCAGCAGTGGGTTGTTGAGCAGCAGTTGGCTGTTGGTGAGGTACCTCGTGAGCAGGGTATCCGAGGAAGGAGATGGACCATGGCGTCGCCATGCGAGAAGAAATAAGGCAGTGAACGGGATTGAGTATTGTCGGTTATTGAAATTCGGACGGTGATACCCTTGCGAGGCCGACGCGTTTTTATTTACTATTGGAGTTTCATGGAGTATGTTCTTTCTGGGATTGAATCGGCATCATTAGGAAGCAAAAATTTGGTATTGTATACGATGTGAAGGCCAGCTTCTCTGTCGTAAAGTCCCTCCTTGTCCGATCAGTACATACCTTTCCATGGATCTTCGAAGAAAGAATCGTTGATGAAGCCTTCCACCACGTGCCTGTCATATTCTGTCGGACGTGTCGGTTCTCCCTGGATATGTTCACCTGCACCCTCCTCACCATTGTCCTCACCATGCCCCTCTGTATCCCCTCGGCGGGCATGACGGAAGCTGTCTTTCCCTCGTTCACGACCACGACCACGACCCTGCCCTCTGCCTCGACCTCTGACCCTGCCCCTCCCTCTTCCACGATCTCGACCGTTCCAGCGATTTTCCGACGATGGGTCCTCCTCGTCATGCGTTCTTGCTCGCTGCTTGTCACACTGTAAGCCGCTGTCCCAAAGCAGACTCAAGTTCTCTTACTTTTGAATCGCGTTCTTCATCGCCCATGCCCTCTTGACGTCCTTCCTCTGTTGACCCCTCGCCTTGTACCACGTCCGTTTGGGCATCCTCTCGATACGACTGCTTGCTGCGCGTCATACCACCAAAGTTTGTCGGGAGACCCATGGCTTGCAGCATACGGTCTTCGTTCATGAAGTCATTGTCGTTATTCTGATTGTTTTCCATCTTGAGTTCAGAATGGGTGTATGAGATGCAGGCGGGGTTGTCACCGTGACTGCATGCTGGACGTACGAAGGCCAAAGCCATAACAAGAGGCCTGACATCATCAATTATCTTGTAGACAGCCAATTTCTCGAGGATATCAGTTCGTGAGCAGGAAGAAAGCGTTGGAAACGAATCAATGGAATCATCTACAGATGCCTCGTCTTCTTACGCGGGCTCCGATCACCGCCGAGACAATGAAGAATGCGTCAATGCAGTCGCGGAAATGCTTTCGGAGCAGCTGTCAACGGCATTTGATACTCTTGCACTGGACAAGGCCATTGCGATACAAGCTCAGACGTACGGGATTCACGAGCACCCCAGCAGACCTGCTTGTACTGACATGAATGCAGTTCTGGACTCGTCAACGGATGTATGCACGAATTGACGTCTCTACAAGAAGAAAGTCAAAAGAAATTAGCAACTACGAAGGCCAAATTCTCTGAACATGTCAACATTGCACGCCAGGTTAGAAAGGATCTGGACGCTCTGCAGAAATCTATCAGGTAATGTAGCTTCTACCGAATGTTTGAGAGATGTCGCTGACGCTGTCACAGAGTTCTGCAAAGGAAAATGAAGAATTCTCATCCGATAGAGTATGCTGCGGCCAAGGACAACCATCCTGACCCCGACGAGGCGTGGGATTAAGGTTACTTTCCCACAACGTAGGCATACCCAGCCAGGTTCCGCAATCTACGCTGCCATGATTCGCTTCACATCCATCAACATACCAGGTACAGCTACACCTGCAGGAGACGACGGATTCGGCAAAAGGGGACATGTTCGGGATGAACTCGATCGGATATACATGAAGGGCAGACGGACGGATGACATCGGGGCCGATCATGACCGGACAAAGCCCCAGGGCGTGAACAGGGAGAAAGGAAAATTAACAGAACCTGTCTATGAGATTTTACAAAGCGAATAGCGAACTGCTCCAGCGTATTCATGTATCTTCAGGGTAGGGTTTGGTCTTGGCTAGGGTTAGATAATGCGGTGATCGTGCCTGTTTTTGCCGCGCGTCTTACAAATCCGGGTTGAGATCCTGTGGGCCGAGACTTATCAGATGATCGTTATCATTATCTGAGAATTATCAGATTCAAGATCTCATCAACCCGAACCTCACCTCCCATCCTCCACCAGCATCCCAGGACGACCCTGGGCAGTTGTTGAAGAGACCATTTACCTGATACCTCTCCCTACAGCCAGACCTCCCATGCCTGGACAAATGCCCATCGCTATTGCTCCGGCAGCTAGTACGCCGCCCGTGGCTCCGCTGGCCATGGCTCCCCGTCCCATCCAGGTTTGATCCTCGCGCAACCCTCACCGGAACACACTGACACTCGAGAACAGGGACGCTCTGAGCAGCCTATAACCCTCGTCACATCTAAGGAATGGGTCATCCCTCCGAGACCAAAGCCTGGTCGCAAGCCTGCTACAGACACGCCACCGACGAAGCGTAAGGCGCAGAACCGCGATGCTCAAAGAGCCTTTCGCGAGCGCCGTGCTGCCCGGGTTGTGGAACTAGAGGACATTCTTAAGGAAGTGGAGGACAAGAATGCCGAAAAGGAAGAAGAATACAAGGATACGATCGACCGGATCACGGCGGAGAATAAACAGCTCAAGGGTCACATTGAGGTTCTGAACGCCGAAATTGCCAACCTGCGGGCTATCTCGGACAAGGTCAGCCCGCCTACACCACCCGCCGAGTCACAGCTCCCATATTCGGTTCCGATCTATGCTGCCGTTCCCCTCCGGAAGCGTCCTTCGTCCCCGACTTCGGCTCAGCAGACGAAGCGCAACAAGTATATATCATCCGAACCTCTCGAGATCGACTTTACGACTCGTGCGAAGCCTCAGTCTCGCGTGCTCCCCCCCGCTCAACCTCCTTTTCCTGCGCCTCTTTTCTCTGCGGCTCCCGACCCAATTCTCATCCCCGACTCTTGCGGATTCTGCTCAAATGGAACACCCTGCATCTGTGCTGAGGTAGCTGCTCAGCAGCAGAAGGTTTACGTCAAGCAGGAACAAACCCTTTACTCCCTGCCTCCTCTCCAGGAAGCTGTGCCGTTCCCTCTATTGAAGTCTGCTTCCGCTCGCAGTGGAGGATGCCCGCCTGGTGGATGTGCTCAGTGCAAGGCCGATCCCATGAGTAGTCTCTTCTGCAAGACCTTGGCAAAGAGTACCGGTGCTTCTTCTTGCTGTGGCGGAAACGATGCTGGTGGTGGCTGTTGTAAGGGCAAGCAGGAGGAGCGTGAGCGTGACCCTGTTCTTGCGTACGCCCCTCCTCCGACGCGGATGCCTATGAGGAGTTCTTCGACCACGTATCTTCCTTGTGCCGACGTTTACCAGACCCTCTCCCGCCACAAGGGTTTCTCCGAGTCTGATCTTGGTGCCGTTACGTCGCTCTTGGCCATGGGCCGCAAGCCCGGCCAGGGCTTCATGGAATTCGACACTCTTGTTGTGCGCGAGGCACTCAAAGAGCTCGACCGAACCGCTTCTATGAAAGACTTTTATTAAAATGGCATTGGGCTACTTATTTGGGATTTACGGGCTTGAGGGACTTTATACTATACCAGAGATAACTTGAAAATGGGGGGTTAACGGGGTGGTCACTTGTCGTTTGTTTCTTTGACTATCATTTATGGCGTTAGAATATATGGGTTTCCTGAAGATGACGTTTGCTCCGTAAGACCATGAAACGTCCATCTATTAGAACCAAAAGCTGACACTGTACGACGGTGTCAGACTCTTCACAAAGTGCCACGATCCCTTCGGTACAAAGAGCATCTCACCCGGCCCCAATATGCCCTCCCGATACTGTGCTTCCGCATACTTGGGATACTTTTCTAAGTCGACTGCACCATCCACGTCCACCTGACTAGTATTTGACATGTCAACACAATCTTCCTCCCCTCGCGGATACAAGTTCTCCGTCTCTGATTCAGGAAAATTTTTCCAGTACTTGTACCCGGCTACCTGTGCAAAGATGTTGCAGTACGGGTCCTTGTGCAGTGGACTTACCGTACCTTTGGGACCAAACCAAGCATTCACTATCGGCTCTTCTAAGGCTGTCTCATGATCGGCATAGCAGTAGTCTGGTATCCTGATATCTTCTCGTAATCTTGGTATTTGAGAGAATAGGTCATGTTGTGCCAAATATGCGAGAGCTGGTGGATCAGGGTTTAATATGTATGTCTCGAGAAACTCCTTGAAAGGCATAACTTTCTGCGTCCAGTCTTTGGACACATAAGAGTCTCCGATTTCGACCGGTACGAGGCGTTGGCCATTGGAGGTTACGTTGAGGAGATAATCAAATGATGACCATGACTCCAAATAGACGGCTGGCCAATTCTGCATCGCCTCTGTGATGATCAGAGGGGTGTTCCGCGTTAGTAGATGCTCTTGGAACTCTCCGATACCCAGCTCGTCGACCCGGTCGAAGTAACGAAGGATTGCTGGTACACTGCTCTCATCGAGACATTCGAACGAGCTTTCGGCGCTCTGGATTAGACCAGCTGATATCTTGGTAGCAGTAGCCAATACCCTGTCCATGTGCTCGATCAAACTCAGCACGTCCCATTTTCTCGACCCACCGCCTGTGGTGATCAAAGTCATGTCCAGTGTATGTATGACCTCGATTGCCAAATCGCAATCAGCGCTCGCAGCAGCCAAGATTTGTGCAATTGCTTTCAGGAGACTTGCTTCGGTATGTAGGTTAAGCCACTGCTTAGGTGTATGCCCATCAAGCCCTGCCCGGAGGTGTCTACCACAACTTCCCGGCCGTTAGCAGAGTAGCGGAAGGTAAGGACCGTACGCGTACCTGGATATGATGTTTCCTATCTTCTTTATATCAGTCGCACTATCGTGTGGTAGACTTTTGGCAATCTCGGCCAATGCGTAATAGCAATGCCGGAACTCTCGTCCACCGACCTCCTCATGATCTCGGCTTGTGGTACTGCTGCCTATGCCTTCTTGAGAAGCATGGAAACGGATAGAAAGTTCATTGAGAAGCTCCCTGCAATAGTCTAGCAGATCACCTGGCCATTCTTGCATGTTTTGAGTGTTTACGTGGTGGACGACGCGATGTTACGGTGGTTCGACGTCGGTCAGGCTCAAACGACCGTGCGACAAATCACAAAGTGCGAACAATGGTGGAACCGAACAAAAAACATGTTACCTATAGGTATTTAGGGTAAATCGATATAAATGAGCAGAAACATGACCACGAGCCTCTCTTCCCAGAACTCGAGCGCACACCCACAATTACCACCTCTTCCCCCATACAGAGTACCCTTAGTCAACCCTCTTTCCTACAGCTTCCATAAGCTCCTCTCTAAGTAGTCTCAACTCACTTTCCACCCTGCCGATTCTCTCTCGCAACTCGCCTATACCTCCATCCTGATATTGAGTCTCATCCTCTGTCTCGTCTTCAGAGGCAGTACCACTCCGGAGAGGTCGAGAACCCCGCAGACCAATACCAAAACCTATACCTCCCGCACCGCCCCTGAATGGCGTACCTCCATCACCACTGCGAAGAAGTTCCTCAACGGTCATCGTTCTAGCCTTGCTCAAGCCCGGGCGGTTGGCGCTCCTGTTTGGCAGGCGACGTTCCAGTGACTCCCACATTGCAACCAAGAGCACAAACGCAGAATGTGTAATGAAAAGCAGCCAAAGCTTCATCCTCCGCAGACTTGGGGAGGAATGTGACAAGAACAGGCGGAACGGCCGCAGAAGAATAATTGTCAAGATGTTGAACGGCGGAAAAAACACGACAAGGTGATCCGATATGGTTGATTCGATGCATGTGGCTGCGAAGAGGAACAGGTATTCTTCGCGGGCGTTGTTCATGACCGTGGAGAAGGAGTTAGAGAGGATGGCAATGAGAATCGTGACCAGTAAGATTTGTGTGACCGTCACGAATATGACCATCAGCGTTGGACCAAAAACAGGGTTGATGTTGTACATTTCATCAAACCCAACGTAGCTGGATCCGAAGAAGATGCGTATAAGGATCCATGACATGCGCTGTATGCCAAAATTCTCACGGCCCAGAACACAGAAAGTGATCACAAATCCGACGTAAATGACAGCAACAAGAATCATGAACTTCAAGAAGTCCCAGGTCAGACGGCGTAGACAGGGCATCAAAATGCCGAAATATGGAATGAGACTGAACACCGAGAAGCATCTTGGCACAAGGATGATGGCAGCAAGACCAAGCACATTCCATGCCACCGTTGCTGTTCCCCAATACCCTTCCCCACCGAGCAACCCGAAAAGTCGCACTCCTGCCCAAGCAAACCAGATAGTGCACAGACCCACATCTGCACCCCACCAAAGATCACCCCACCACAATCCGGCATTGTCACGCCACGCCTGTACCTCATCCAAGACATAGCCACAGATCCAGATTAACAAGACAAGCTCCTTCCATAGCCATCCAATCTCGGGAGGAGTGGCAGCAAGAACCCACAGGTACAAAGCTAGGAAGATGACGCGGTTCACTGTCTCGCAGAGTACACGAGACCGGGGTACGCGTAGTCTGGAATACAACTCCTCTAGCGTACGACCGTGAATATGAGGCTTATAGAACACCGCCTTCTTGTGTGAGTCGACGTTCATGGTTGTCCAGAACACAACTTCTCCTCTCCAAACGGCGTTCAGGACTTCTTGTACACGTGAGCTTGCAAGAAAATGCTTCGCAGGGGCCAATATGGCGAGCTCCAGGGCATTGACACTGTTGGAAGATATGTCACTAGTCGAACGTATCATACCCGGAGCTAAAAGTGGTGCTCGGTCATCCAAACGTGGTGGAGTAGCAGGAGTAGCTGGTGTGCTATCACGAGGATCAAACTCAGTGGTGAGGCTATTGATGAGACCAGTAGGCGTATAGTTGCTCAACAAACGGATAGCAAGAAGTTCTGCTGCCCATCCTCTATTCCAGAATTAGAATGGTACTTGTGGAATCGTGTGCATACGACTTACCGAGCGCTATCATGATTTCTCTCGCCATTAGCCCGATCATCGAACTCCATTTTACACCATATCAACGCCAGGATGATCCCGGGATGTTTACTCTTGGTAAGCCATCTAAGTATGGGTCGAATCAATTGACTGGACAATGGCGGCGTCCGAAGCTGTTCCGCTGCTTAGAGACTGTTTGCTATGCATGTGAAATGAACCATACCTGATCATATGCATACGAAGAATCAATCGCTTGGCGCAGAGATGCACGCAGCTTCGAGATTACCTCCGTGATAGGTGAGGAGGATGATATGGGCGTGAGCTGCATGAACTGCCGAGAAAGTCAGGTTAGACCATGGGTAATAACAACGTCAGCCGAACGAAACGCACCGGAGGGAATGATGTTCGACGATAAACCGGCGGTAGTATGGCGGCCATACAAGCGGATAGAGTAGGCGAAGGGCACCAGACTGTCCTTACACGTCACTCTCAGTGATTGCAAACCCTGGTCCGTCAAATGCCGTTTCAAGACTGAGCAGACATAACAGATCAGCGACGTGCTAGTAACGTGGACACGGCCGAGGCAGGGTTCATGCCAGATTAGGCATAATAGACAACGTTAACAGAAGCTTCTACATGTACAGGCTACGAAACACTTCCCAATTCGTTTCCAAAAGTTATTCAGCTGTCTTCTATGCAAAATCTGGGTGTATGTGCAGCCTCAATGCCGTACGCGTGCTGTAGAATGAAGTCAGCCAGCAGCGCAATTGCACCACCACGGTACATCTTTCTTCATACCCTTCCTCTCATTCCGAATCCTGAAAGGTATGCCGTCATCGCTACTTCTTCCCTTCACTTCTTAAAGATATATGCTCGTGTAGCTCTACCACAACGTTTGCCACACAATGTCGACTACCGCCCGCAGACGTCTGATGCGTGACTTCAAGGTGCGTTCTTGGCAATGCTACTTGCTATAAATAGCGTACTGATTGACCTTTTGCAGCGCATGCAACAGGACCCTCCCGCCGGTGTTTCCGCATCTCCCGTTGCTGACAATGTCATGACTTGGAACGCCGTCATCATTGGCCCTTCAGAGACCCCCTTCGAGGACGGTACATTCCGCCTTGTCCTCCAATTCGACGAGCAGTATCCCAATAAGCCGCCTGTGGTTCGTTTCATCAGCAAGATGTTCCACCCGAACGTGTATGCCAATGGCGAGCTCTGTCTCGACATCTTGCAGAACCGCTGGTCACCAACCTACGATGTGGCTGCGATCCTTACTTCCATTCAATCCCTATTAAACGACCCGAATAATGCTTCTCCGGCAAACGCGGAAGCAGCGAGTCTTCACAAGGAGAACCGAAGAGAGTACATGAAGAGGGTGAGGCAGACCGTGGAGCAGAGCTGGGAATCTTAAGCACTTAGATCCTGAGATGGATGGAATTGTTGATTCATTTATGGCGCATTGTTATGGTTGGACTGGTTCGGTGTTTTCTCGATAGGCTGGCCTCTTTTTTTCGTTATTTTGTGTTTTTTGTCGCTGCTTTCTTTCCGATCATCAATGCCTGCCGCGGTTTTTCTCACTTTTGAAGTCTGTGACTGGATATGTGAAAATATCTCTTATGTTCCTAGGTACTATGACTAGATGAAAGAGTACTCCGGGGCCTCGTGCGATACAGTCCCGCTGCTTCGCACGCTGTGCCTCCAAGGCCTTGTCGGCGAGTCCACAGTTGCTGCTGCCATCTCCTCCACAAATTCCTTCTCCAGCTTCTCCATGTGCGTCTTCATGACCTCCAACTCACCTGCTCGCTGAAGCACTGATTCACGAAAAGCCACTGGAATGACGGAAGCCCGTGTGACCTGGATCTTCGGAACCAGAGGACGAGGCACCAGCTTCCGCCTGGGCGGCGGTGGTTGCGGTTTCTTGACAGGAGTTTTTGTTTCTTCAGCTTTCCACCAGACTTTCTCATCCGTATCCTTCAGGGTGCGAGACCCGTCTGTAGTCCTGCTGCTGGTGGAACTGTCGCTTGCAGTGCTCGACACTACCTCCATAAGGTTCCTGACCTCCGGCGTCCGTGGCCGGGTTGGTGTATAATGTTGCATGGTTGCTTTCGCCTTCATGACTCTTTCTGGGCCATGGCCTTCGAGCTTGGAATATAATGGCGGAGGAGACGACGAAATACGTGATGTACTTACGGTCATCGGGCTAATAGGCGGAGAGGGCAGCAAAGTACTCTGGTGCTTGACTCGTGTGTAGCCTGGTGACACAGGGAAGTTCGTGCTTAGTGGCGACAGCACCGAAGGTATTCTGAGAGCCTGACTGGCTCTCCATGTTCGCGCAGTTTGCCAGCTTGACCGGTGCGGACTTGTCGGCCCGGGAAAGTTGAAAGCCTCCAGCATGGGTTTTTCTCCATAAGCTGAGATACTGTGTTGCATTATCCTTCTCTGACGACGACGAACAAGAAGCCAGACGACAAGTGCCGTTCCGAAGACAGCAACCACCGCACAAGCGACTACGATGGGCATGAGGACCTGAGGAAGCAAAGTCGTGCCTGTTGACACGATTTCGGCAGATCCGCCATCTGTGATGGAGACCTCTGTAAGCATGGTATCTGTAGATGAAGCAGAACCAGCAGCAGCAGCAAGCGTCTGAGTGTCTCTGATAGCCATTGCGAGTGCGTATGCCTTTACTGATCTGTCTTTAAGAAGAGGACCCACGCGCGGGAGAGGGCCTGAAGGCTATATAAGGCCCCCCCCATCCATCGGCAGAAGCAGAGACCTCTGTCACCATGGTATTACGGAAGGTTTACGACGGTTCCATATTTCTTTGTGGGTCGTGGGTGCGCTTTGAGCGTCCTTTGTCCCTGAACGGCTCCGCGCGTGTAAAACCGAGGTCAATGAATGTTCCGCTTTCGGCAATTCTTAAATGCATGGGAGAGTGCAGGGTTATGGCTTATTTGAAGAAGGATAATACGAGCGAGAGACACATTGGATTGCAATGATATCAGCCATATCTTTCTCATGAACGGCCACCGCGCCCACTCTTCCTCCCCGCAAGAACCTTTCTCCGCTTCTCAAACCTCTCTCCAGCAGCTGGGCCCTCTTGATCAGCACCCTCATTTCCTGTCCTCTTCCTCGATCTCTCCACAACGTTATCCTTCGAGCTCTTAACCGTCCGGTCATACACAGACCTATCAAGGACTCCCCAGTCTTCACCACCGAAACCGATTTCCTGGGACCGTCCCTTCCTCTTCGACATCTCCTTCTTGCTCATAGCCGGCAGACGAATATAATTCTCTTCTTCGTAATTCATACGACGGCGGTCCTCATTTCTGTCGCGATCCGACACAGCCATAATGCGACCCTTGTGAGAAGTGATAGTGGAACCAATCGATGGTTCAGCAACAGGTGCATCCGTAAGCTCTTCCGAGATAAAGTTGCGCATAGTCGCGTTCTGCATGGCCGATGCGCGTTGTCGACGTTCTGCTCGGGTAGGGTCGAGGGAAGCCGGAAGAGTGGTAGAGGAGATCTTTGGCGGGCGGTAAATACCATCTGAGCGCTCTGCCTCCGCACCGCCTTCCTCGTCCTTCCCAGAAACCAACGCTGACGGATTCGGCTTGAACGCCAAAGCACCCGCTGCCGACACGATATCCTTCGCGTCTCCATTCGCAAGTCCTGTCGCCTCCAACCGGTCCGCCGCGCGAACAACCTTCTGAATCATGTAACTCAATCGCCCCTCCATAGGCTTAACTCCACGCTCGAGAATTACACGCAATTCAATCAACTTGTCGCGGACATCCTGTCCGAGGCAATCGTCGTCGTCGTTTAATGATTTATTGCGGAGCTTGATGAGAATGAGGAAGACCAGATGGTGAAGGTACGAAAGCAGTGCGTGGTTCTTTAGCGATAAAAGAGAGATTCCGGAGGAGGTCTCAGGAAACGGAGGCGTGGGGAGAGAGGTGGACGTCGCCTCGAGCGAGGAGTTGAGGTTGCGCAAGAGGCCCAAGAGAGGCGAAGGGCCGCTGGATTCGTTGTCTGTCATATTCTGAACTTACTGATCAGGGTTATTTCGAGCCGGTGTACTTGGCCAAAAAAGTTGGATACAAGTGCCGCACGTGATCGCGAAGATCCAGGCACGCGTACGTCGAGCAACGAAACTCACAAAAGTCGAAGTTTCGGTTTATCGTGCACAAGCAATGTCATTACGGCCAGCATTCACTTCTTGCCTCAAGGCTGCGGCTCAGGTGAGTCTTGCGCTGCTCAACCGGCATGTGGTACTGACGAAGCGTGTCTACAGCGCCGTACTATCTTCACCGTCCGTCCGCTCGCTATCGGAGAGGCTGACCCCGAACAGAACGGTATTGGTCCTTTCTTGAACGCCGAATCGTACAACAGAATCTGGACCCAGAAGCAGTACGCTGTTTGTGATAAGTTGAACACGCTGACAGCTGGTATGGCGGACGCATGCGCACGATCTCGGGCCAAGTTGTTGACATGACTGTATAGGATCTGAGTTAAGCAACCTCCCTCCTCATAGTGTTGCCCTCCAGACGGCGCGCGATCCTGCTCAGGCTGCCGTATTCAATCACGCTTCCTTCCTCGCCAACAATGACTTCTTCCTTCAAGGTCTTCTTCCCACCCCTCGCGAGGCGGTTGATTCCATGGACAGGAAACTGGTCCAACGGATCGAGAAGGACTTCCGGTCTGTTGTGAACTTGAAGGAGCTCATGATTTCTACGGGTATTTCAATGTTCGGCTCGGGTTTCGTGTGGTTGGTCGAGGACGACAGGCGTAGGCTCAGGGTTTTGGCTACGTACAACGCAGGATCTCCCTTCGTCGAGCACGCTGTGACCGATGCCAACTCTCCCCTTACGAGTTTGGACGCACACGCCCGTGCGATGAGGCCTTTCGCCGTTATGCCGCTTTTGGGTGTGAGCGTTTGGGAGCATGCCTGGGTGCCGCAATATGGCATCAACGGAAAGGAGAAGTACTTGAAGAACTGGTGGAAGCAGGTCAACTGGCAGAAGGTGAACTCGATCTTGCTCGAGGGCAGTCTTGTTTAAAAGGGCATAGAGAAGGTGTTATTAACACAAATCGATTTAAAACGAGTTATAAGTCCAGGGCATTCCGGGGGAAGCTGCGCCCCGAGCCCTGCGCCCCAATAATACGTAGCGAGGCCGCCCCGGCCCAGATACCAAGACCTCCCTTTAACCTTCATCAATACACCCTACCAACACAAGAACATCCTGTAGCACAGTTTTCGCTAGCTAAACTTTCCCCAACAGTATCCAATCTTCCGGTATCCGAGTTCACTTGCGCAACCATGGGAAAGTCACAGAGTAAGCTGTCCAGTGACCAGCTTCAAGAGTTGGTAAAATCGACATATTTCGACAAGCGCGAACTTCAGCAGTGGTATAAGGGTTTTGCAAAGGACTGCCCCTCCGGTGTTCTTACTAAGGTCGAGTTCCAAAAGATCTACAAGCAGTTCTTTCCATTTGGAGATCCATCAAGCTTCGCAGACTATGTGTTCAACGTGTTTGATGAGAACAAGAATGGCTCGATCGATTTCAAGGAGTTTATCTGCGCATGTATGCTCACCAACCTTATGACATCTTTGAGTGTGTTCTGATCCGTCTCTTTAGTATCGGTAACCTCCCGCGGTCAACTCGACGAGAAGCTTGTATGGGCTTTCCAGCTGTATGATATCGACAACGACGGCTTCATCTCGTACAAGGAGATGCTCCAGATTGTGCAGGCGATCTACAAGATGGTCGGCTCGATGGTTAAGCTGCCTGAAGACGAAGATACACCAGAAAAGAGAGTGAACAAGATTTTTGCCCTAATGGACAAGAACTCAGATGGGAAGTTGACTATGGAAGAGTTCCGGGAAGGAAGCAAGAAGGGTGAGTTCGCACGCTATTGCAGACTGAATGTGTCGTTTACGCATACTTTAGATCCCACAATTGTTCAGGCTCTCAGTCTATACGATGGTTTGGTGTAAGCGATGATGGGAAGGATTCGTTTGGGGGAGAATAGAGAGCCCGAAAGAGGGTATCTCGGATTCTTTACGTCGAGGCACGACGAGAGGTTGGAGAGTCGCACGCTTGGATTATCACATGTCAGAGGTTGTCAGTATGAATGACTTGTTGGGAAGCAATAAGAAACCGTCAGGAATGTTTTGATATAGTATTGGAGCTCGTTCTGCACCTTTCATGTACCTCTCTGGTCCCCAGACTTCGTAAGGTTTGGCGCCCCCTGGCTACACGGTCGGGATAAACAACAGGGATTACACTCTGAGACGCTCGGCCAACGCGAAGTTTGCGACGTGATACAAGGCGGCACACCCGAAGAAGCCGCTCAAATCGGATCTTGAAGCCGTCGCCGGTCTTCCTTTTTCACCGTTGGGGCAACCTGCAACTCGAAATCAGGTGCTCACCCTTACTTTCCTTGTCACCCCAACAGTGTAATCACGCATACAGCTCCGACCGACACTTTCAATTACCAGCAGAAATGTCCGGCCAAACGATCAAGGTCGTTGCGCGTTTCCGTCCCCAAAATGACATTGAATTACGGGAAGGTGGGGGACCAGTGGTGGAGTTCGAGGGTGAAGATACGGTGAAGCTCAATGCCGCCGAGTATGCTGGTAGTTTCACTTTCGACAGAGTATTCGACATGCAGACAAAGCAGAAAGACATCTTTGAGTATTCCATTAGGTCAACAGTCGATGACATTCTCAATGGTTACAACGGAACTGTCTTCGCCTATGGTCAAACAGGATCCGGTAAAACATTCACAATGATGGGTGCCGATATCGACTCAGCCGAAACGAAGGGTGTCATCCCACGTATCACCGAACAGATCTTCACCTCGATCTTGACATCGCCAAGTCATATGGAGTACACCGTCAAGGTGTCGTACATGGAGATTTATATGGAGAAGATCAGGGATTTGCTGAATCCACAGAACGACAATCTGCCAATTCACGAGGAAAAGGCCAGAGGTGTCTATGTCAAGGGCTTGCTCGAAGTGTACGTGTCGTCCGTGGGTGAGGTGTACGAGGTCATGAAGCAGGGAGGTCGTGCAAGAATGGTAGCAGCAACGAACATGAACGCCGAATCTTCGCGATCACACTCCATCTTCTTGATCACCGTGACTCAGAAGAACCTGGAAACTGGATCGGCAAAGAGTGGGCAGCTCTTCTTGGTCGATTTGGCTGGTTCAGAAAAGGTGGGCAAAACCGGTGCAAGTGGACAGACTTTGGAGGAGGCGAAGAAGATCAACAAGTCCTTGTCGGCACTTGGTATGGTCATCAATGCACTGACGGACGGAAAGTCGACACACGTACCGTACCGTGATTCCAAGCTCACTCGTATCCTCCAAGAGTCGCTCGGTGGTAACTCACGAACAACCCTCATTATCAACTGTTCGCCAGCATCATACAATGACGCCGAAACATTGTCAACACTTCGCTTCGGTATGCGTGCAAAGACTATCAAGAACAAGGCCAAAATCAATGCGGAACTATCACCTGCCGAGCTTAAGGCCTTGCTTGCGAAGGCGAAGAAGGAGTCCGTCAGCTTCAACGAGTACATCAATGCCTTGGAGGGCGAGATTACAGTCTGGCGAAGTGGAGACACTGTGCCAAAGGAGAGATGGGTGACAAGAGAGAACAGTTCGCAGTTTCAACCGGCAATCAGCACGCCGCTCAAGGCGTCCTTCGCGGACAGCCCTACATCCACGCCAAGAGCCAGTACACCCATCGTCGCGCCAGTCTCTCTCGATAAGGACGAGAAGGAAGAGTTCTTACGACGAGAGAACGAGCTGCAGGATCAACTTTCGGAGAAAGAGTCACTCCTAGCACAACAGGAAGCCGAGCTCAAAGCCGCTCGTGAAGAGCTTGAGGCTACTCGCTCAAACTCGATGTCCGCGGTGAATTCGAAGAAGGACCTGGAGCTGAGGATTGAGGAGATGAAGATCTCTCTCGAGAAGGTCACTTACGAGAGCAAGGAAGCCGGTATCACCATCGACAGTCTTCGTGAACAGAACACGGAGTTATCTGCCGAACTCGAGGACGTGAAGCGCTCATTGACTGAGCTCAAGCTCCGTGGGGCTGATGCTGACGCTGAAGCCGAGAAGGAGAGGAAGAAGTTGGGGAAGATGAAGGAAATGATGTCTTCGTTCGAGCTCAACGGCACTGACGCTATGTCAGAGAACATTGACCGTGCCTTGCGGGACGCCATGGAGTTTGCCGAGATGGAAGGCGATGATGCGAAGAGGGACGTGCTCAAGTCAAAGTTGACCGAAGTGGAGGTGCACTTGAACAGCCTGCAGCAAGTCGCAAGAGATCGTGCGATCGAGGTGCATGCTCTCATTAAGAGGAAGGAGGAGCTCGAGGATCGTCTGCGAACGCTTCAGGCCTCCCACAGCGAGCTATTGGAGAGCAAGGTTGGTGAGGCTGGATTGAGTGCGGATGAGTTGAGGGCCAAGGTCGAGGAGGCCTACGCACGTGAGAAGGTTAGTTCGCAGGAAGATGAACTTCGACGAGTGATGGAGAAGAAGGAAGAGGAGAACAAGGCATTGAAGGAGACCATCGAGGAGTTGCAGAAGGCTGCTTCCACCGCTCAGGCTCAGCAAAATGGTACCGCTACATCGCCAAGCAGGGCCCAAGCACGCTTGGAGGCCCAACTTGCTGAGTTTGACATGATGAAGAAGTCCTTGATGCGAGACTTGCAGAACCGCTGCGAGCGTGTCGTCGAATTGGAGATCTCCCTCGACGAAGCCCGCGAGCAATACAACAACGTCCTCCGCGCAAGCAACAACCGCGCTCAACAACGCAAAATGGCATTCCTGGAACGCAACCTCGAACAACTCACCAATGTCCAACGCCAACTCGTTGAACAAAACTCCTCACTCAAAAAGGAAGTCGCCATCGCCGAACGCAAGCTCATCGCTCGTAACGAGCGGATTCAGTCTTTGGAAGCTTTGTTACAGGACGCACAAGATAAACTCACCATCCAGAACCACAAGTTCGAGACGCATCTTAGTGCGGTACGGGAGCGTATCAACGCCTCGAGGGCGGAGAAGTTGAGTGCGAATGGAGCTGGTGGGTTTCAGTTTGGTGGATCGCGGATTGCGAAGCCGTTGCGTGGAGGAGGGGGTGAGCAGTTGAGTGGTGTCGGGTCCATTATGGGGCCTTCGTCGCCGGTTAGTCCCACGACTCCCAAGTCTCCGAGTGAGAACAGGAGGTCAAGTGGGTTATTTGACTTTATGAAGACAAAGGCGATGGGCTCGTCGCAGTAAGTATGCTCTGTGAAAGTTAGGTGAAGGGACGGGGTTTGCACGTGGATTCGCTGAAGGGTTTGCAATTGTTTATGGGGCGTCTTGTTCGTAATTACCTTGATAAGGCGGGCGTATATCTCATTTCCTAGAATTTTTAGCATATAGGTATTCATGACTATCCTATACCATGCATCTTTCTCGGGGTATTCTCAAACGACGAACGCCAAATGCTCCCTTTTCTTAACATGACTACTCCGCATCAGGATCAAACAAATCCAGCCCAAGATCCTCACCCTCCTCTTCCTCTCCATGCTCATGATGGTGCTGATCCTCCATATGCACATCATTAACCACCTCCTTAACTTCGGCCGGCGGCTGACTCGCCTCCTCCACCTTCCTCCTCTCCCTCTCCTGAAACTCCTCGATTGCCCTCTGCCTCGCTAAACTCCCCGCCTCGGGTCCCATTCCCAATACGCCCACTCTGAGCTTCGTCTCGTCTGGCCAGGGGAGTGCTGCGCTTGGGGCGCCGGTGAATGGCGCGATCTTGGCTGCGTAGCTTAGGAGGGTTTGAGCATCGACTTTAGTGTTGGTGGTGGTGGAGGTGGAGGGGGTAGAGATGGGAGCGAGGGATGTGGGGAGGTGTTGGAGGGTTTGCCGGGCCGTCGAGAGCGTGCGGAGGGCGGATGAGATTTGGGTTGATAGGGAGCGAGATTGGTGCTGTAAACCCAAAATACGGTTATGTTGGGCGGTGTGGAGGTCAGCTGCCTAGATCATCAGCACAAGCGTCCAAAGATACTTGAGAAGCAACTCGAACCTTCGTCAAGGGCTTCGTTTAGAGCTTTGTCTGCTTCTAGGAGGGCTTCGAAAGCGGAATGGGTTGTTTCAGGGTTGAATTGGCTGACGGTGAAGCTGGACAACAGACTTGTGACGGCAGCTTCGTACGCTGCCAATGCAACTGGGAGTTTGATCGCTGATTGATCCCCGTTCATTCTTCCTTTACAATGGGTGTAGTGTTTGTCAGTTCACGTGCACGGACGTCGGTACCCTGCAGACCTGGCAGATACGCGCAGGAGCCTACATGTCGGTTGTTTGCCTCGCCTTTCCCGAGAAAACACAAAGTCTACGTTACACCTCCATTCATTTGATCTCCATGCCAATCGCTACAGCTCCACAACGAAAACGAACAGGCATCGCCGCACTCTTTCCCGTTCGGAAACCATCCGTGCCTGTTGTTAGGAGAGCGGGAAGCTTAAGCGTGCGAGCCAATGACGACGGGGAAGAACGAGATCCAGATGTCTTCAATCGACGACAGAAGCTTCAGTTGTTGAGGAATCAGTCGAGTAGTCAAGTAGATGAGGACGACCTAGAAATCCTCGAATACGATCTCGCACCCCTCCCCCTTCCCCAGGAAATATCCGACGTCCTCGCCGGGTTATCGTATCTCCTCACCCACCGCTACCCCCCCTTTGATCCCTCGCGTCTATCCCGAGGAGTAGTGGCGAGCACGCTCAACATGCGACGCTGCATGCCAGACGTCGTCCCTGTCGCGAGTATCCGGGCACTGTTGAAGGATGGAACGATGGTTGAGAGGGAGGTTAGTCGCTTGGCCGCGGAGGGGCGGGTTAGGGTGTTGGAGATGAGGGCGCTGGGACAGGGTGAGCTTGGTGTTTGCGAAGCACCATACTATCTCCAACAAGTAAAGACACGCGCGGAGGAGCTGGAGGAGGAGGCGGCGCGGACGGGGAAGGAGGAGACAATGGCGGCCGTCGACGCACTCCGCGCATTTGCGGAAATTCTGAAAATGAATCCAACCGGATTCCCGACCGCGAATTTCCCTGTTAATGGACGGCTAGAGGAAGGACAGCTGAGGCATTTAATCACACAAGGCTTCCTCGCTCTCGCACCACACTCCACCCCCGGCGCCGGCCACCTCCCCCTCTCCACCTCCACTCCTTACACATTCTCTCACCCCTACCTCGGACTCCTCATTCGTCATTCGCTGCTGGGACGGCAACACATCATTCGCTCGATAACACGAAATAAAGCCAAGACGAAGGCGGGGGTGGTGTTGGAGAGTATGTTGAAGGAGAAGGTGGGGAAGGAGTGTGGGTTTGGGGTGGGGTGGGGTGGGTGTTGTGGGAGTGTGTTGGAGGGGGGTGGGTGGAGGTTGTGCGGACGCCTGTCGGGCGGGGGTTTAGGTTGGGAGGGAGGAGGGAGTGATTGGAATAGAGAACGAGATGTCCATTGAAACTCATTTACAGAAACTCAATCACTTGAGATGACGGCATTCCTTATCTCTCCGTTTCGTCGATGCGTCAAGTCGCGCACCCGTATCCGCGGCGAAAGATAAGCAGAGCCCGTACATATACCCTAGACCCCCCCCCCCCCCTCCCTCTCTCCTCCATCAACAATTACACTTGCAAGCATGGGCTTTCCACTATCGACATACTCTACAACTGAGACGACGACGAGAGAAGCGGAGAGTGCAAAGCCACCCAATGCAGCGGAGGTGTTGGCCGCAAAAGTCGAGAGGATCGCGACCACCCTCCTACAATCACAATCTCGAAGACATCACAACCGCACCACCCATACCCACACCGAAGGAACCTCGAGGGGAGCATGTTGTTTAGAGGGATACAGCGTGGAACGTTTCGCCGAAGATCTCCAACCTGACGATAAATTCGTACAACGCATCTTCGAACTGCTCCTCAAAGAAACCGCAATGCGGGCACGTCAATCCAACACCGCCTCCTCCTCTGTCTCAAACTCCGGCTTCTCAACCCCCGCACCAAAACCGGAAGAACCCCTCCCCTCACAGCTGCACCAGAGACCGAGAGTCGTCGCCGCACCAACCCAAGCCTGGGCATACGACGTCACGCCCCCCATGGGTTCATATCCCTACGAAAGCGCGGAGTGGGAAGAGGGCGAGAGTGAGGAGTACGAGTTTACGGAGGATGAGGAGGGTGGGGAGGATGTGGAGGGGGAGATGTGGAGTCCGGTTGAGGTTGGGAGTGGGTGGGTTTAGTCGAGTCAAGTCCGAAGGGGTTGGGTTTGGGGAAGTGGATGGGAGAAAAGGATACCATGCGATCATGCAATCGCATACGACACACTACAGAACATTGCGCTCTGCTACAATGGCAATTGGCAACTGGCTTCTACGGGACAACGAGGATTTTCGGATTTTTGGAGTTTGATTCATTATATCCAGGGTGAGGTGCTTGATAGCATAGTGATGAGACTTTTGGTTTTGCTTTATTCATTTGAGTGTGCTCTTCATGCTCTGCGTCCTGACTGCGCAGTGCTCGAATGGTGCATACACCCCGGTGGTCTCTATAACCGACATCCTTTGTAGCCCTGTCGCCCGACATAGGCGTGAATTGCTCGCTACGCCGTCTTACATCTGTTCTCATCACATATCGTACATCACACGCCCTATTACTGGTTCCGTAACTCTCGAAAAAGTCCGTTCACCACTTCCTCCCAGCCTGTACACACCCATTAGCCCAATCGCCACACCCTCTTCCCATCTCATATACATACCGCCTTCATAACACACTCCTTAAACGCCAAAAACTCCTTCTCGCACGCATTCTTGTGGATATTCTCATATTGTGCCACCACGCATTTCCCGTATACTGCTGATTGCGCCGAGCAGGCGGATATTGAGGAGGCGAGGCGTTGGAGGGGTTTGCCTGGTGCTGAGCGGGTCATGATGGAAGAGGGGGGGGGTGAAGGGTGATGTATGCGTTGGGTGCCGAGAAGGGAATGGTGTGGGAGGGGATGCAGGGGATGCATGTCAACGTTACAGGGTGAAGCTCACTTGGGCGTATTGTGAAAAAGTCGGTTGATGAGTTCTAAGGTGATTTGGTTGATGGAATGGAGTATGTGGAAGAGGAAGACACTGACACGAAGCTCGCTATCCTTGCCTCCATTCTGACGGAGACTTCGACTTCGCCGGAAGAGTTACTTGAGTTACTACTCCAGGCTGATGGGAGTGTCGAGAAGGCGGTGGAAAATCATTTGGACAAATACATCGGTCAGCCAAGCGCTACTGGAAAGCGTAAGCCGCTGGAGAAGCAGAATAGCATAATGGATCACTTTGGCGGACCGCCTTCTCCCAAGCGGCTGAAAGCCTCGTCCGAGCTGGTCTCGGGGGCTTCGGGCTCATTTGATGGTCCGGATGTTGCGTCCATGCTAAAGTGGACGGAAAGTGCGGAGAGAAAGAAGCGAGAGTTCGAGAAACCACTGCATGTTTACCTCCCAGAGCATCTCGAATCTCTTGCACCATGCACCCTCCACCTTAACTTCCTTCCACCAGACCTGGCTAAACGACTTACTCAACGCCTACTTGACGAAAGCAAGACATGGAAAAGCAATCAATTCAGGTTGTTTGACAAAACCGTTAGCTCGCCGCATACGACATGTTTCTACGTTGAGGATGGAAAGGATTGGGTGAGTGGGGGGTTTTCGTACAACGGAAAGCCCTTACCAGATGTGCGAATGTTTCCGCCAGAGTTGATGGAAGCGAAGCCGTACGTTACTTTGTTGGTCAACAAAATCCTCAGCGAGCGTGAGAGAATGCGATACCAAATTCCAGCAGGCGAATGGGAACCCAACGTTGCGTTCACGAACTTATATGCAGGCGCACACCAAAGCGTCGGTGCACATGCCGACCAGTTGACGTATCTTGGTCCGCATTGTGTTATCGCGAGTTTGTCTCTGGGGGTTGAGAGGGAGTTTCGGATTCGGAAGACGACGCCTGGGGTTAAGAATGCGGATAGTGCAGCCCGTGCACTCTCAATTCATCTACCGGATAACAGTTTGTTGATTATGCACCCGCCCATGCAGGAAACTTACAAACACTCCATTCACCCCGCTCGGACATTGACGCCCCATCCAATCATCGGGACCTCGAGGATCAATATCACGTATAGGATGTATCGCAAATCATATGTTCCGCCTGATGGAGGTAAGAAGTGTAGGTGTGGTGTTACGGCTGTGTTGAAGACCGTGATGAAACAGGAGAAGAATGCGGGGAGGTGGTGTTGGATGTGTGATAATCGGGAGAAGCCGTGTGGGTTCTTTGAGTGGGCGGAGTTTGAGGAGAGTGGTGAGCTGAAGGCAAGGTAGCTTGGTTGTTTGGGGAAGTTTCATGAGGTGTATGCTAGCGATAATAGTGTATTGATACGTGTAGAAGTAGCGTGAGAATAATGATGTTGTTCACTGAAGCATTACACCAAAAACCGAGTCATCCTTCTTTGGTCAAGGGGCCCTGCGAGTCCAATACTGACTGCTGTGACGATACCCAATAGATGGACGGTCTTCCCACGGGTGGTCGGCTCTTGGCGCCGTATGCGATGACATCACTTCAAAGTGCTACACCAGATCAACCAGCAAACAGCCATGATGGATCAACCAGCCATGACGGATCAGAACGAGCAGAAGCAAATGGAGAAGGCCGAGCAGCACGCACAAATCCCCGTCGAGGATCCCGCCACCGCTCCAGACACCCTTACGGACTACCACAAAGAAGGCGATCATGCTCGACTTTCCTCCGCCCTCTCCTCCTTGGTATCAAAGTCAGCATCATCCGGAGAGAGCGTGATGATGAACCTTTTAGCCCCGGCAACGGGCGTCATCAAGAAGTCCGGTTGGCTGGACATGTCGAAGAATGCGTTCAGCGTCATGGGCAATTACGCCGATAGCTGGAATTATGGAAACTATGTCATTGTAAGAAAGACGGGGGAGAAGAAGTGGGAGTCGATGCCGCTTTATGCCAGGATTGGGATGCATTTGCTGTATGGCACTCCGTCATGACTCCTCGTTATGCAACGTCGCTGACGTCGAGGCCACACAGATTTGTCGGTAGAGCCGAACGCACACTACTCGAAGACGGGTACCTCCACACGCTCTTCAAAAAGGAGTCAGTCCAGTCAGGATTGAACTTCGAGAACCCAGCTTCAGCCGCCAATATCCCCCACTTCGTCTCCGTGTACAAACTTCCTCTCGAGGACCTACTCGAGCCCGATCTTACCAAATACAAGAACTTCAACGACTTCTTCGCGAGAAGGCTGAAACCAGATGCAAGGATCATTGAGGGAAAGGGTGATGAAACCGTCTTCACAAGTCCCGCAGACTGCCGATGCACAGTCTTCCAAACCATTGACCTCGCTACCCAGTACTGGATCAAGGGCAAGAAGTTCACACTCGGCAACCTCATTGACGACGACGAACTCGCCAAGAAGTACGTCGGAGGAAACATCGGCCTCTTCCGTCTCGCACCACAAGACTACCACCGCTTCCACTCCCCGGCAGACTGCACGGTCGGCACCGTCCACGACATCACAGGGACATACTACACCGTCAACCCAATGGCCGTACACGAGGACCTCAATGTCTTCACCGAAAACAAACGGAGCGTCATGCAACTCCACCACACACGTTCCTCCATCCCAATCCTCTTCGTTGCGATCGGGGCATTGTTGGTGGGGAGTATCGAGTGGACGGTAAAGGAGGGGGAGAAGGTTGGGAAGGGGGATGAGCTTGGGTGTTTTAAGTATGGAGGGAGTACGGTTATTGTTGTGTGGCCGGAGGAGTTGGGGGTGGAGTTTGATCAGGATTTGGTAGAGAACTCGATTTCGAGGATGGAGACGGTTGTTGAGGTTGGGAACAGGGTTGGTACGATGAAGACGTGATCTACGAATCATTGTACGATATTATTTGGAAAGTGGAAAGTTAGGGCGTTATTTGTTTCTGATACAGTATATTGTCCATGCCGGAATCCAGTCCATCATCTAAGCATAATGTAGATCTCCCACAGAATCATCCATCACATCACTGACGAGAAAACGCCTTTTGCTCCAGACGCTAATAAACGACAAACAAACTGGGTATATCTATCGTCTCATTCCTTCATCCCTCATTCTCCACGCTCAACGCTCCACATTACGACACTTAAATAAGGGTGTCCAAGAAACGACCAGCAAACTCAACACCGGCGAACGTAGCCGCGTTCGCAGGGAAAGACCTCAACAATGCCGGTCCGATACCAGGGAAGAAAGCCTTGATACCGCCATTTCTGTAGAGGGTGCTGCAGACCTGGCTCAAGCTCCTCGCCTCACCAGACTGCAACTGGGACTTGATGGTGTCGATAGGGAACACCAATGTCCACATAGCAATACCAGCACTTCCACCAGCCATGATGATAGCACTCAATGGAGGTGCCTCAGCGTCTTCTGGGGTCAACTTCTTCTTGAGGATTTCGTAGGTAGCGAAGTATGCCGCGGACCCGGGTCCATCACGCGCGAGCGTAGCAAAGGATCCACGGAAAACGGAGCGGAGACCACCCTCCTGGTAGAGCTTCCTCATGACGTCAAATGAACCGTTATACTTCTTCTCAGATCCCGAACCCTGAATTTGGAGGAGGACCTTGACGCGCTCGAAGGGGGCTGTGAGGATAGTCATGGGTACCGCGGAGAAGAATCCAGCGATTGCCATATCGGTCGTGGAGAGCTGAGCCTTCTCATCGTATCCGTGGTATTGACGGACTAGTCTCTTTCCAACATCGTATCCCCAGAACGAAACCGCGAAAATCGGGGTAACACCCGCCAATGGCGCACCAACACCCGCATACAAACCCGTCGCACCACTCTTTGCGATGGTCTGCTTGACTACATCGAGAGCGCCCTTATAAACGCCCGGCGCGGCGGTCTGCATTCGTACTTTGACGAGGTCGAAGGGGTGACCGACGAGGACGGCGCAGATACCGCCGAAACCGCCCGATGCGAAGGATTTTGCATTGGAGATGAAAGATGATTTCGGGGTGTCGAGGACGGCGGCGGGGTTGGGAATGGATTCGAGAACGGTGTCTGAGAGGGATGTTAGCCAATTGAGTCCGTTGGAGGGATGTATGCTGCGCAATTGCTCGTTAACCCGGGGTGTATGCTGCGCCCAATTGCAGTTGCGGAGGAGTGAAACACGTACCTACTGCGTCGCTCATGTTGTCGGTCTTTGTATTGTCTATGGTGTTGTTGGTCGTTCACTTGCAAGATGCCTTGTTGGCCTTTTAAGGTTGCGACTGGATTAATGGCGTCTTCCGTCGGAGGACCGGGAGTGGGGATCTTACACGTGAAAGGACTGATGCGCTGACGTGGGGGAAAACATGGAGACGAGCTGACCTCCGAGACTTGCAGCAAATACAGATAACATTGGAAGAAAGGGGAAACTACGTATTATTGTTGTTTTTTCAATCTAGCGACCGTGATGGTGGATACCTTGGGGAATGCATCATGGAGGTCTTTAGCAACCACCATGATTTTTCGGCTGGAGTGGATCGTTCCTTTGATGTATCCCTGATCCACAAGGTTCGCTGCCATCGCTTCCACATCCAGTATATCCCATTCTGGTTCGTCATCTGGTGTGCAGCCAATACTCCGTACTGCGTCTGCGGCTCGCTGCGTCGACAACCGTGTCACCGCTAATAAGTCATCAAACCACACCTGATTTCCCTTTGGAGTTCTATTCTTGGTAAGGATATGTGTTCGTCGGAATAGTGATCGGAATAGGAGGAGTTGTAGACGGTCTCGGAGGATGAGGTAAACGCCCGACCTCAAGTACCACGCCTTGTGCATTTCGATCGTGAGAGCATGCAGAGCAAAGTCTCCTTTTCGCTGCGCATGAATCAGCGGCGAAAAGTACTCTGCGAGATTATATCGCCGTAATAAATCCTCCCGTGGCAGCATACCGATGACGAGCCCGGCCGCGGTGAGGTATATCAGAATCAGCCGTCGATTGCGGACACTTGCGTCCATGCAATTATTGAAGGCCCATAGTAGATGTTCCCGTGCTGTCGGGAATTGGTTTCTGCTCAATTCATACCGGCCTTGGTAGTACCGGTACTCCACAATCTGCGAAAGGGGGTAGCCCTCTATCTTGGTGATTTGGCTTCTGATACTCTCCATTGTTGTCCCCATCAATGTCGTTTTCCGCAGCTGTTACACATCCGTCAGCATGTCTTCTGAGCAAGGAACCATGCAACACACCCTAAAGTATAATCTGAAGAGGAGATTCGCGACATGGTACGCCGCGCTCCGCTTCGAGGGAACCTGACAAATATGAGGATGCATTCTCTGCAAGAGCGTCGCCGCCTTCTCCGTGTTACCCAGCGCACGATTTCCAGTCATTTGGTCAGCCGCTATGCTCAGCTCCGCATACCATCTCGCCATTCGCATCACTAGAGTATTAAGGAATCCTGCGTCGTTACCGTAGGCGGCATGAAGTTGGTTCATGAGTTTGGAGTAGTGCTCAAAAACAGACACTTCTGATGAGTAATCGCAGTTCTTCATGAATGTGAGGTACCCATAGACGAGGTTTCCGAAAGCTCGGGATCCTCCTTGGTCAAGGTTGTCACAGAGGTCCTCCACGACATTGGCGTTTGTCTGTATAGCAGTATGAGCATCCCCCTTCGCGGATGAACAGACTACGAGTTATACCTGGAGTAGTTCTCTTCTTAGGTCAGGATAACCAGGCGTATTTGGATCGAAGATGAACAGAGAGCTGATCGATTGCGAGTTCTTTGTGTCGTTCGCGGTCTTGATCAGAGCGAGGTATTGAGCGAGGAGCGGACCAGCGCTCATCGAGGTGTATGCTGTCTGCTTCTGTTGGTGGAGTACTCGTGCCCGGGTATACGACATCACGTGTGTAGGCAGGGCCCCGCCAAACACGTCACCGCCCACCAGAGAAGCTCACCACCAGCATTCATTCACCGTTCTCCATCATGCGATCAGGATCAGTCGTAGGCCTCCTAGCACTCGCCGGAGTAGCCAATGCGTTCTATATCCCGGGAACACATCCTACGAATTACGATGTTGGCCAGGAAGTCCCTGTCACGGTCAATGTTTTGACCCCGGATACGGAGGGAAATAGTCAGACATTGAAGAGTTTGATTTCATATGATTGTAGCTCTCGCATCTGCTCAAACTTGACTGTATACTGATCAGTGGGTGTTACAGATTACCACCCTTCTTTCCACTTCTGCCAACCACAAGGCGGACCAAAGCGAGTATCAGAGTCCCTAGGCTCAATTATCTTCGGTGACCGGATCCAGACATCACCATTCGATGTCTCGATGCAAACAGATACAGAATGCTACCACCTCTGCACCTCCACCATCCCCGCCTCCGACGCGAAATTCGTGAACGACCGAATTCGGGAAGACTACAAATACAACATCCTCGTCGACGGACTACCAGCCGCGAGGGTAAAGTACGATACGCTAACAGAGACGGAGTATTACTCGAATGGGTTTGAGTTGGGGGAGGTTATTGGGGCAGATGAAAATGGTGATGGCGGGGTGCCGCATCTGAATAATCATTATGAGATTATCGTGGAGTACCACCAGATACAGGACAAGTACCGCGTGGTGGGGGTTATCATTCAACCTGAATCTCGTGCTCACCGCGCAGATCCTTGCGCGAAGACTGGAGAGGCCGTGACACCGATGATTTTGAGCGAGGAGACGGATAACCAGGTGGACTACACGTACTCCGTCCGCTGGCAGCATTCCGATACCGTTTGGGCTACACGATGGGATAAGTACCTCCATACCTCCGCTCCCCAGATTCATTGGTTCTCACTCATCAACTCTGCCGTGATCGTGGCGATGTTGACCGCGCTCACGGCCGGCACTGTCATCCGCGCCCTCCGCCACGACTTTGCCCGGTATAACGCCCTCGACTTCGATTCAGAAGATGCCATGGTCCAAGAAGACTCCGGTTGGAAACTGATCCACGGGGATGTTTTCCGCCCTCCACGTCGCCGCATGACACTCTCCGTCCTCCTCGGATCCGGGGCGCAGCTCTTTTTCATGACAGGCGCCACGATATTATTCTGCGCACTCGGTTTCCTGAGTCCGCAGCAGAGAGGGGGTGTAGGGACGTTCATGGTGATCGTGTGGACGTTGTGTAGTTTCGTGAGTGGGTATGTCAGTGCGAGGACGTATCGGACCCTTGGTGGGGAGGCGTGGAAGCAGAATTTGGTGTTGACGCCTTTGTTGGTGCCTGGGTTTGTCTTCCTGCGTTACTGAGAATGATTTGAGTGCTGACTAGGGTGACAGTGTTGTTTTTGGGACGTTTTTCCTGCTGAACCTCTTTTTGGTTGGGGCTGGGTCTTCGGGGGCGGTGCCGTTTGGGACGATGGTGCTTATCGTTGCGTTGTGGTTCTTGATTTCGGTGCCGTTGAGTGTTGCTGGGTCGCTGCTTGGGTTTAGGCAGCCTCCCATCGCTGCGCCTATCAAGACGAACCAGGTATACCAAATATTCTTCGTCTCCTCTTTTAGAAGTTGCTGATCAGTTTGGTATAGATCCCACGCCAAATTCCGGAGCAGGTTACGTATTTGAAGCCGATTCCTTCGATGATGTTGGCGGGTATTTTGCCGTTTGGTGCGATCTTTGTGGAGTTGTACTTTATTATGAACTCCATTTGGCATCATCAGGCATACTATATGTTTGGATTCTTGTTCTTGTGCTATGGAATGATGGTGCGTACATTAAGATTTGCTGTGTTTGACATACTAACTCGAGATTGTACGCAGATTGTCACATGTGCTGCGGTAACAGTCTTGATGTCCTACTTCCAGCTGTGTTCCGAGAACTACCACTGGTGGTGGCGCTCGTTCTTCACTGCTGGCGCGACGGCTTTCTATATCTTCATCAACTCGCTCATCTACTGGGCGACCCGACTCTCGTTTGGAGGACACAATGTGACGAGTAGCGTGCTATACCTCGGATACTCGCTCATGATCAGCTTCTTGGCATTCGTGCTGACGGGGACGATTGGATTCTTCTCGACATATGCGTTCGTGAGGAAGATCTATGGAGCGATCAAGGTGGATTAACCTAGGTCCAGCTATATAAAATTCCAAGTTTTGGTTGTTCTATCTGTTATGTCACGGTGCTTAAACTCCAACCCATGTGCGCCCACATCGTGCAACCCCGGCCGGGCAACCGAGAGGCGAGACATGAAGCACATAAACCCTGTCCACCTCCAAGTGGGAAGAGTAGAACGACAATACACGACAATCGGATCAAACAATGAACTTGGAATCCTTGAAGGATCGCTTCGCCGTTGCTTCGGCGGATGAGCGAAGGCAGTTGTGCGTTATCTCTCACAATTTGCTGCTGATCAATGAACTGACTGGACGGATCGCGATAGACTTAGCATGCTGGTCGATGCCTCGAGACCGAGTGACCTATGGCACCTGCAATCTGCACTCTCCCGAAAGAAGGGTTCATACTTTGATATCGTGTCTGCTTTGCCGGCGGAGCTGTTGACGGGTTTGCTGGACTTACTGGAGATTAATGATTTTGGGAGAATGCAGATGGTACGTCGTATTACCTCTCGAGATCGCGGGATATGTGCTCAACGCTGCTTGACAGGTCTGTAAGAAGTGGCGGGAGCTGCTGACGTCGCCGCTTCATGCTCAATGGGCGCTCAAACGATACTACCCGCATGAATACACGGCGGATATCGCGAGAGCGGCATCGATAAATGACGGCCGGTACGCACAGGAGTTCCAAAGAATCGCGGCACGAGGATGGGCAATGCAGACCGGCCACGCGAAGCAATTCGGCATCCTATACCCCGAGGGCGTAGATCCGGCGAAGCCGGAGGAGACCTCATACCCGATCTTCACCATCTACAAAGAGGGATGGCTAGTCATGTACTCACACTACAACTCGGACCCAGCACGACTGATCACAATCCGGAATCTCCAGCACGGACTCGAAGCAGCCAACACAGAACGGAAAACGTTTTTCTATGCACCGAATCGGGAACAGATGGCGTTGATGTGCGTTGGGGGTGGACATATGGCCGGTGTGAGTTTTCGCAGGTATAGTCATTTGTTTCGAGGGTTGGTCCTCATTGTTGTGATAGATTGTGTGCTGACGCTGATGTGTGCAGGACGGCTTATGTGTGGAATCTTGTGGATGGGACGTTGGTGAATACGTTCAAGTTGGCGAGTGCTGCGGTGCACGCGATGGATTGTAATGAAAAGTATCTGGCGGCGGCGTTTGAACATGAGATCGTTATGTGGGATTTGGCAGAGAACAGGCTTGCGTCGTTCATGCCGCTTGAGGTAAGTTGGGTTAGGATGTGTGCTTATGGTCCCAGCTGGCTTACAGAACCTCCAGTCTCTCGAGGCAAGAGTAGTAAAGGTCATCGGCATGGCCATTGATGGTACCGATCCACGACTCATTTACACCGCTGTTCAAGAAATCCACGACGACAACAGCGAGCATTACCGCCTCGACTGCTTTGATGGCCTCACTGGTACACTTGCTAAGCGTGGTTACCTACCCGACATGGAAATCACCTTCGCCCAGCTCAACCGCGGCCGAAACAAGCTCTTCTTCACGCAATTCGACCAGGACAACTACTGGAACGTCAACCTCGAGACAATGGAGTTCGACATGCGACCCTGCGAACACGTCACAGAGTACGCTGACGAAGAATACGGCCGCCTCTTCTTCCCTGATCGCCGCCTTCTGTTCCGCTACGTCCAGCCCGAACGAGAAACAGAAGCAGAAGGTCTTTACGTCGAATCCTACGATGACAAGACGGGGCAAGTGAGGATGTATAATCGGGTCGCGCATGACGAGGGGAAGGATCAGGGAAGACATCATGATATCAATACGAGTCATTTGTTGCAGGGGGATGAGGGGTGGATTGTGTATTGTCAGTTGAATAGGGCGTTGGTTTGGGGGTTTGAGGAGCCGGGGTATATGTATCCGAGTTCGGATCAGGCGCAGCCTGGGCCGAGATGTAATGGGACGGAGGCTGTTCCAGCAGATTGAGATTTAGGGAACGGAGGTCTCTTTAGGCAGAACGGATGATATGGTGAAAGCGCCACTTGCAAGTGCAGAATAACAGTAATGTTTATTCCTATTCAATCAACTTTCCTTACTTAACGCCGTTTCCCATTTTGACTGTTTCTCAGTTACATCGGAGCACACATTTTATATCGTAGCAACATCTTCCCCTCTTCCCTAACGGCCAACCAACCTCGCCTCGGTCTTGGCCTGCTCGTTCGCCTGCATCTCCTTGAGCTCCTCCTTGGTCATGTTGTGAGTAGCGTGAACCTGGTTGAACGGGTTCTCCGGGCTCTTCTGGAACTCCTTGTAGATCATGTCCTTCATCTGCTGCAACCTCAAACCCTTGTGCTCCTCCTTGAGCTCAGGTAGTCTTCGCTCTTCGTACGCAGCGAATGCAGCCTTGAAACGACGCTCAGGATGTCTGTCGACCTCTCCGTTCTTCTTCGTGCCGACCTTCCTGTCCTCGACCAAGGTCATCATGTCTAATGCATCATCAATGTTAGAAGCGGCGAGTGCTGGTGCCTTGTTGGTGGCGGAGATAAAGTCATCGATTTTGCCGGCGCGTTTGGCCGCGACCTTATCGGCACCCTTTGGCTTCGGCTTGGAGGGCATGCTGGCCTCTTCCTTCTCGAGCAGAGCCTTTGCTTCGGCCTTCTTGCGAGCGTCTTCGGCTTTCTTTGCGGCGGCGGCTTCGGCCTTTGCGTTGGGGCCCTTGGAGCCCTTAGACCATTCGGCATCCTCCTTTGCTGAAACAACCTTTCGTGTGGCATCAGCCTTAGCATCTGCGGCAGCCTGTGGAAGCGGATCAGTATGCGATGGACGACGAAGACAGATCGAGAAGGTGACGTACAGCTTTCCTGGCGTTACCGGCAGCCTTCTTGGAGTTTTCTCCTGCTTGCTTCTTGGGCATTGTTTGATCTGGAGGGTATTGTTTTGCTGGAGGCAAAAAGTTCGTACTTTGCGAAATCTCGAGACCGCGTTACGTAGCCGCGGTTCAGCCGCCGAGGGCGAGTCAGGCAGGCCCTTAATCAGGTGAAGCACATGGGCCGGTGAGATAAAACATGTATGAAATGTGGTTGCGATTGAAAATAAGTTATTCTAAAGCCTCATGGGCCTTCCTGGGTATCCTTGTGTAATGCTAACGCCGAAGCAACCCTCCAAACTCGCCGTGCAAATGAAGTCGTGAACTCCCCATCGTCTTCTCCCATATGGCAAGGTCTTGACTGTCTAGACGATGCTATCACAATTCCCTGATGGTGCCTGGTCTACTTCACCATCTTGGTGTTCCAGGCCTGCTTGGACTTACTCCCGAAGGATCATCTTCTGCAGTATCAGCGCTGCTTCTTAGGCGCTCACCAAATCGACGTGGACTGCTCATCCTTGAAGGAGTCGCTGGTCTCTCAGCATCTTTTGGTGCTGAACTGGCCAGTGGATGATCCGACAACAATGACGCTGCAGACACGGCAGATTCACTGGACACTGTTGCTTTGACCTTAGGCCTCGGACTTCCAAGAGCATCCGCACCTGCTCTGAGGTTCAGATGAGCGAACTCCTCAGCAAATAACCCATCGTCAAGACCAACGCTCCTACGTAAGGCTTCATGTCGTTCTCTCATTACCTGCGTTATCTTCGGCGTAACCCCATTCTTCTGCGGACTTCCCTTCATGTATGGTGCCCGCTTCTTGATCATCGCCAACACCATGTCTCTGACATCACTAAACTCTCCTTTCGTCAACTCGTGGAAGCGCAAAGGGTTATCGGCTTCGAGAGGATCTTGATCAAATGGGTCGAGCGGCGGATGGTAGTATAGCATTGAAGGTGACTTCGAGACAACTGCTGATTGCATTGCAAGCCTGTCGAACTGTTCTCGCCGCTCACGAAATGCCGACAAGGCTTCCAGATTCCCTAGTCCTTCATCGCGGATGCCCAAGATCCTCTCTAAACCCTCAATAGTAAATGATGCCTGAATGTACCGCAACGCGTCGATAGCGTAGTCCTTTCGTGCGACCCACCGAGGAAAGCCTGCTTTCAGATAGTATTCGCCTCGGTAGGATATTAGAGGGTGGAAAATTTCTGATTGGAACATGACTGTAGGCGGGGTATTGGGGTAGGTTGGTGGAAAGATAAGGTGAAAGCGGAAGACGGCGCCAGCATAAGGCTCAGTATGAACGAAAAGAGATGCGTGCCATACTGTGTGCATCGCTCCTTAGTATGCGAAGATGCCGATGATGGGGCTTACGCACCAGAAATATTGTTCGGCGAGAAAGCGACATACATCCACTCGATGTAATTCGTCGGAGCTTGCAGATTGGCACTGCACGTCTCAAGTTAGTAATCGGGGAATGATTTTGGTACTAGGCATGCTGGTGGTACATACTACTCAATCATCAACTCCTGTCGTCTGAAGTACTCGTCCGAGGACGTCGGTGCACCCTTAGAAGGTGTCAGAATCGGCGAAGCTGTAACTACAGTAAGTACACATTAAAAGGAATAGCAGACGCCTTTACATACCCATACCGTCCCTTCAGCACAGGAGGCACGATGACCCGGTTACTTGATCCGGCTCTTACGTTGATGTTTGGTAGTTCGGTAGAGTTCATACAACGCGATGCACCCCAGAAACTGCGCCGGGGGAGCCGCCGTGATGTACGTCAGGCAGAAAGGTATACAAAGGATGTAATGAAATTCTGTCTGACGTGAAGTTCCTATTTGCTATCCTTGGACTGGTATTACAGCCTGTCTGGGTTGGCTCGTCCAATATATGCGCCCCAATTCGAGGAGACACCACGTTTAACGCGTGCGGCTCATGTAAAATTACTGCTCCGTAGTCGGGTGTGGTTGCCGTAAACGGAGAAGTCCTTCTGGAGCGTCGCCCGACTCCTCGATCGGTCTGTTCGGACTCCATGTCGATTCATCGTTTCTGTACAGCAGGACCATTGACGTCGAACACGTACACGTGTTCGTCCCAACCCGTACTCGCTGCCCATCCTTTACCCCACAGGCTCCAATCCAATCCCATGACAAACTCTCTATGGGCATCCATCTTTCCTATCTCGTTTCCGCCAACCTTCTGCATCCCACCCGGCTGATCCGCTTGCCATAATCGTACACTCATATCGTAACCTCCGGATAGGAACATGCCGCCATCATGTGGGGAGCATGATACTTTCCGTACGGCATATTTGTGTCCAAGGAAGACTTGTAATGGCCGGCCTGGATTTCTGAGGTCCCACGATTTGACCGACTTATCAACTGACGCGGTCATCACGACTCCCTGGTGGTATTTGTTCCAGTCCATGCTCAAGATTTCTCCCTGATGTGCCGGTATTGTCATCGCTGCTTGCTGTCCCGTTCTCGGATCCCATGTCTTTAATGAGCCTTCTCCACTAACACTTGCCAGTATACTCGGATGATGTGGACTCCACGCTGCTTGATATACACAACCCCCATGTTCGCCTGTCCACAGACTCGTTGTTCGCTGTGGTTCCCATACTTTGATTGTACCGTCCCATGATGTCGAAAGGAAAGTGGATTTCTCGATTAGGTTGTAGTGGGTTGAGAAGACTTCTCGAGTATGTTCGTGGAAAGTGAGAATTGGGAAGTCACTGAGAGTGATGTCGTACAGCTTCAAGGAGCCGTCACCAGATGAGGTGAGGATGTGGTTTTCATGCGATTCCGACCATGCAATATCGAACAGACCGTCTTGTGTGTCGAATCTGCAAAGCCGATCAGCCATCGAACTCTCCAACTACAGCCGCCCCACTCACGTCTTTTGCGCTCTGATTCCTTGTGGAGTCAAACCAAGTATAAATAACTTGCCATTCCCAACAAGCCCGAAGTTTGCTGAGGTCGCGACCGCTATCCGATCGTCGAAGAACGGGGAGTATTTGACGGAGTAGCCGTTGTAACCCTGTACCAAGGATCAGTCGGGCTCTCGATGCTCTGTTTGCATACTTGGCACCTCTGTTCTAAACTTCAGCATTGTGTCATCAACGATAGGTGAATGAGGATCGGTTGACAAACCTCCAGCTTCGTCTTCGGTGTTCCCATACGGGCTGTACCCCGCACATGCGACGTCCTGCAGCCAACCGGCGGTGCCGATGCTAGGTCCGCCGGTTTTCCGAAGGACTCGTTTAAACGACTGAACTCGAGTTGTTCAGTGATTTTCATGCCTTGCAAAGTTATTTTGCGTTTTTCTTGTTCCCGCAATTTGGTGGGAGCGTGGGAGCGAATTCGGTGGTCAGCTGTAGACGACGATCCCCAACTTGCCGCGTCAACTTCAACCCGAACACCATCTACTCCTTCATTGACCCTTGCTATCTGGCATCCTGGATCTCATCGAAACCGTCTACCTCTCCGTTGAGGAGATAGACCATTTTTCGTTTGATCTCGGTTCCACTCCGCTCTTCTCACTTTCTCTCTGGCTACTCTCGCTTGTCCTTGCTTGTGTCCTTCGTTTACTGAAAATGTCACGTCCTTCACCAACTGAGCAGTCGTCTTCACTTCCAACACCAACGAATGGGTCATCCACTCAGTCGAGCACACTTCCGTTTAGAGTTCAAAGAATCGACACGGACAACAGTTCTGCCAGGCAGGGGTATGATACCGTAGGGTTTTGCTCGATTTGCAAGAATGTTTTGGCCCCGGAAGAAGCTGTGAAGGATCCAGGATGCAAGCATATGGGTCATCCTTCGTGTCTTGAGTCGGTTTGTGCTTCTTGACAATTAATCTCTGGGATATATGCTGAGTATTTGCTACGCAAAGGTCACCCACTGCCCCCTCTGCGGCAACGAGAAAAAGAAATCGAAGAGAAATGCACTGAAACGTCTCTCGGACTCTTTCAAACACCATAAGAAATCATCATCGATCACTTCGGTCAGCCAAGTTGTTCCCAAAACTCATCAGAAATCCTCCTCTGTCTCCTCGATCATCCAGGTTCAGGTGCAAACACCGCCTCTTCCAATTACTATTCCAATTCAATGGGCACGTCCTATTCTTCCCGTCATATTTCAGGTTTTTGTCGAAATTTTGCCAGAGTTCTCCAGCTGGATCGACGGAGAGATGCTCCTTCTTGTCACTGTCAGGGCGGACCTCAACCACACCCTTCCTCGCACAACCCCAAACAGTCTCGATATTGTTTTAGCTTGGGACCTTCGCATCTCGGAGCTCGATCAAGCAGCATTCATTGCTGCCAAAAATACACTCTCGACTGTCCTCTCCTACCTGTACCCCAGCGATAGCGTTGCTCTTCTCACTTTTGGACCTGCAAATCGTTCAATCACGTCTCTCCCCGCCTCTGCTGCTAACGTTGCTCACATTCGCACCTACATCGAGAGGGCAAGGCCGGTATATTCCGGAAACTTGGACGGAGTGACGGACAGCGCCGTTGAAGCTGCTGTGGAGATTTTGGACCGCCACGAACCACGGAAAGATGTCGCACAGCATCTAGTCGTGATAAGTGCTGGTCTCGAAAAAGGTCATAACGTGAAGGTGGAGGTTCCGCCGCATGTCACGGTTCATGCCGTCAAGGTTGGCAATGAAGCCGATGCGTCTCCATTGAGAAAATTGTGTACAATTGGTACAGAAAACGGCGCGTACATCCGTGGGAATGTATCGAATATGGACGCCGAGTTGCGGAGAACCGTCGAGGTAATGAGAAGCGGCGCCATGGCCGGCATCCTGAAGAATGTTGGCGTGGAACTGAAGGGTAGAGGTGGCATCGCTATCGAGGATGTGCTGGATGTCGAAGGGCTGCGGATTGCACGAGTGCAGAAAAGTCAGACCGTAGAGATTGGTAGGAATCATCTTCTTGCGATTTCCTAAGTGTCGCTAACGATGGACGATACAGGGAACATGCCGCTTTTTGATTGCCGCTGCTTGCTCTTCCGTCTGTTCCTTGAGGACCGTCAACAAGACTCCACCACATCTCAGAGATCTCAATCAGGGCCTTCGACAAGTTCAGGTCATTCTGCTGGATTGAAGGTCAAGTACACGGCTCAATTCTCCTCGCCGCATATGACTCCGTCGGTCACACGCCTGGCACCAAACCAATACTGCTTCGAAAGCTCAGTCTCCAGACTAGATTTCGGTACAGCTGCTGTGTCCAACCCAAGGGTGTTACAAGCATACAAATCTGTACACCTTCGTCGCGCCATTGCGAGCGTCAGAACCGCTTTGAATGCCAAGGTAGACCGTGAGGAAAGGATCATTACCGCGGTGGTCGAGATTGACAGAAGCGTGGCTGAACTATTCACACGAGGTCTGCAAAAGGAAGCATTGCAAGAGTTCATGTTGCTGAAGGAGCACCTTACGCTGGCTGTTAACCCTCCTCCACCTCAAAACCCGTCTGCACATCATACCCCTCAGCAGGTTCGCCAGGCGGATATAAAGTCGCATATGCTGGTGCCAGTTCAAAAGAGCCCGAGATCAAAGTCTGCCCCATCGCCGCCGCCGTCTCGCGGCACGCCCGTGAGGAGTGCGAGCACGAGTCAGGTTGACATGCAACATGTTTTGCCGAGGACTTCAGCCGAAGCTGATCAGCAGCGTGCGAGTTTACCTCGAACCAGCAGTACGTCTTCGGCAAGTCACCAATCACATCAGTTATCGGCGTATCCGAGGCGTCCCCATGAAATTCAAAGGCCAGGTGTCGCGCCCAGCGTGAACACAGACATGCACGGCTCTCCTCGCGGTTCGAGTTACTGTTTCCCAGGACCGCAGGTTGACCAGTTGACTACCCGCGCCGATGTTGGCACTCTACCGGCTCCAGTGCGTCCTGACTTTACTACTCGTCGCGCAGACTCTGAGCCAGATCCGATGGATATGCCCAGGCTCACCCGGGTCACTCCGGTGTCCGCACATGCTCGGTCGCACTCCATGTCTCCCCAAAGAATCTCGACTACTCCTGCACAACCATCCCACCTCGGACAGGGCCACCGTCGTGCTGAGTCTTACGCTCCGCCGCGTGGGAGGTCCCCGGTGTGGGAACAGAGTCAGGGACATATCGTGGCGCCGGCGGATCCGTTGTTGGAGTTCGATGAGCTGTTGCCCAGGTTAGTCGTGCCCTTGAGTGGGATCAAACCGTTTTCGAAGGCAAGAGGGAGTCGTCTGTCTACGGGCGGTAGTGCCCCTTCAGCACTTCAGCAAGAGCCAATCACCACCACCGAAGACCCGTTCTCCGATGACCAAGCTTCCGAGCCTTCTATCCCATCCCATGCGGAGACTTTGCCGTTGGCTGGTGTTACGACGGAGAGTCCGCGCAGGGAGAAAAAGAAAACGAGGGATGCGGTGGTGAGTCCGCAGAGGCAGATGGAGAATGAGACGGACCCGGCGCTGGCTATTTGGAAGTTGTTGGAAAGTGACGGGCTGAGGCAGGTTGAGACGCCAGTAGAGCCCACCAGCGAAGGGTGTTGGGAAAGGGCTTTTTGAGAACGAGGTAGGTTCTTCTGAGGATAGCGGGACATTGCATGGATAGGGATGTGGTATCGGGTATATTCTTGTGAAGGTATCAATAAGTATCGTTTTATCCACCGTGCAGAGAGCTGATGAGGTGGATGACATCTCGGTCCTGTATCACGTATTCGCCCTCGCCTTCGAGCTCCCAATCAGCGTCGTTGATCAGCACCAACATTCCGGGCCGTCTGCTCAACCATTAGCTTCAGGAAATAGGGAGAAGTTCAGGAGAAAGCATACACTGTATCACCCTGAATGAACAAGTCTCTTCGTTTGTCGGTCATCTTCTCGTCTGCCAGGTAGAGCAGGAACGACTGCAGAGTCAGATCGGCAGGAATCTCGAGCGTGTGCAGTCGCGTGTTGGCAAACATGAGCTCTGCGCCGCCGGACAGCTCCAGCGTCACTGATATTGATCCGGACATTCTGGGGCGTGGTGTTGTGTCTACGTTACCGAGGCGGTACAATTTCTGGCCGGATTTGTCGTGGCCAGGCACGTGCGGTGGGGTCCGGGCGAAGATTTGAGGACGTTGGCGGGGCGGCGTTGGGATGTTCGCTACACTCAGATCAACCCTGCGACATCTATCACAAATGGGTCGCGGAGGAAAAGGAAGAAAGGGAGGCCGGGGTGGAGGTCGTTCCCGCGGTACTGGCTCATATGCCGACATTCCTCAGGAGAACCAGAAGTTGGAAACGTATTACAAGGATCAGAAGATTATCCCGGAGGAGGAGTGGGAGACGTTCATGGGTACGATTAAGAGGACGCTTCCTACGACTTTCCGTATCACTGGTTCCCGCTCGCATGCGATCGATATCCGTAATGCGTTGGAGAGAGACTACATTCCGTTCTTGACAAACATCGAGCACGAGGGACAACTCGTTGAGGCTCCTACGCCTTTGCCCTGGTACCCCGAACACCTCGCCTGGAACCTCTCTGTCCCCAAACAAGTCATCCGCAAGCACAAGGACTTCAAGCGTTTCCAAAACTTCCTCGTCTACGAAACCGAGGTCGGAAACATCTCCCGCCAGGAAGCCGTCTCCATGATTCCCCCGCTTTTACTCGACGTTAAGCCCGAGCACATCGTCATCGACATGTGTGCCGCTCCTGGATCGAAGACGGGTCAGATTATCGAGGCGTTGCACGCTACGCCGGAGGATGCGAATGACGAGCCTGCGCCTAGGGGATTGTGCATCGCGAACGATGCGGATTACAAGAGAAGTCACATGCTGGTGCACCAGGTCAAGAGGTTGAACTCGCCTTGTATGATGGTTACGAACCAGGACGCTACGCTCTACCCCAACGTTCTCGTTCACCCCTGGGTCGCCGATCCTTCTGTCGTCTCCGGACCCATGGACGCGAACGAGAAATCCGCGATCTTGAAGTTCGACCGTGTCCTCGCTGATGTCCCATGTTCCGGTGACGGAACCATCCGCAAGAACCCCACCGTCTGGTCATCCTGGACTCCCGGAAACGCACTCGGCTTGCACCCCACCCAGGTCAAGATCTTGTTGCGTTCTTTGCAGATGCTCAAGGTTGGTGGACGTATGGTGTACTCTACCTGCTCGCTTAACCCCATCGAGAACGAGGCAGTTGTTGCTGAGGCTTTGAGGCAGTATGGTGCTTCGGTCAAGTTGGTTGATGTCTCTGAGCGTCTTCCGGAGTTGAAGCGTCGTAATGGAATTAACGACTGGGTCGTCCCTGATGGCAATGACGGATACTTTGCGTCCCGTGAGGAGGTGTCTAAAGATAAGCACAAGCGCTACCCTCAGTCTCTCTGGCCTCCGTCTGAGGATGAGGTCAAGGAGTTCAATTTGGACAGGTGTATCAGGATCTACCCCCACTTGCAGGATACCGGAGGTTTCTTCGTCGCTGTGTTGGAGAAGCACGCCAAGTTGGCCAACCACAGGGAGGGAAAGACTGGATCTACCAAGTGGATGGAGGAGAAGGGTATCACTGCTCAGGAGGCTGCGGCTCAGGGTACGAAGAGGGCTGCCGAGGCTGTCGACGAGGAGGCGCCCGAGGCTAAGAAGGCTAAGGTTGATGAGGCTGCTGTTGAGGAGGAGACGCCTGCTGAGGCTGTTATGGCTGATGCTACTGCTATTCCCAAGGCCGTTCCCGAAGTCGGCGAGGACTCTTCCCGCGGTGAGTTCCGTGCCAGCAAGAAGGACGACGACAAGAAGATCTTTGAGGAGCCATTCAAGTTCTTGCCGGCCGATCACCCCGAGATCGAGGTTTGCAAGAAGTTCTACAACCTCTCTGAGAAGTTCCCTACGGATGCTTTCATGGTCCGTAATGCCGCTGGTATTCCCACGCGTGGTATCTACTTCACCTCTGCCCGCGCAAAGAGCATTTTGTTGCTCAACGCACAGGAACCCCCTCGTATGAGATTCGTGCACGCCGGTATCAAGATGTTCACAAAACAAGACTCTGGCGCCGCCGCCGACGAAATCGAATGCAAATGGCGCGTCCAATCCGAAGGGTGTCGCGTCGTCGCCCCCTTCATCGGCGAAGACCGCGTCGTCACAGCACCCATGGCAGCCTTCGAAATCCTCCTTAAAGAAGCCTACCCAAAACTCTCCCAGATCGGCCCCATCCTCCGCGCCCAACTCGAACAAAAAACGTTTGGCTGCGTGGTGCTCAAGGTCGATCCACGCGAGAACCCGGCGTTAAATATGAGTATCCCGATTGTGTGTCCGTTGTGGAAGAGTAAGGCGAGTACGAATTTGATGGTGAGTAAGCAGGATAAGAGTGCGATGTTGTTGAGAATGTATGGAGCCGATGCGCCGATGCCGGCGAATCCGAGTGGGAGGAAAGAAAAGGAGGAGAAGGGCGATGAGGTTGATAAGCAGATTGAGGAGGAGGTTGATGGGGAGATTGAGGCTGCGCTGGCGGCAGCTGAGAAGGAGGCGGAGAGTGGATGATATTCCTTAAGCTTCATACGAATTTGCACATCATAATTGCCCATTCTGTCGAGCTTATCGACTAGCTTCTCTCCATAGCGTATTTTGTCCGCTTACCCACCCGTGAACCAGTACGTGCTGTGAAACTTCAATCGGGTGCGGCACTGTTCCGTCGAACGCCATTTCAGAAAGAAGTAAGGGTAAGGTTTCCGACTGGCCCGCTCCCGTGATTGAAATTGCAACTGGTATTCACTCTCACATTCCCGGCCCCGATAAGCGCGCGCCGCTTGGCATGTGAAAGTTCAACCAAAACACCACCACCAACACAACCTCGACCCCAGCAACCAGCGCCAGCTTTCACGGGCCGACCATATGCAACCATCCCGGTCTCAACCGGTCGTGATCAACAACGAGGATGGACATAGAAATGGACGGGGACCCACCCAATTCGACCATCCCATTGACTACGACCAGTTTCCTTAAGGCGAGGGAATACAGGCATAGACGCAGACGGAGTTTGGCTGAGAGTGAATCGAGCTGTAATTCTGGCAACGATTTCAACCAGCAGAAAGAAGGTACAAGTCCGGCGAAGAGCAGGTTGAGGGAGGATAACGCGATTCAAACGATTGTTCAGGTGAGTTTACCGTTTGATCTATACCGCATTTATTTGACCCATTGACCTATAAGCAGACCCCACCACCAACAACAGAACACCCAACCACAAATATGGCCTCAACACTACGCTCACCCTCTGCGCCTCCCATGCCAAACGCGACCCGACTCGGAATGAACAGCACAACGACCACGCTTCTGGGATACGTACCCCAGATCCTGCCGACGCCGTGGAGTGTGAAGAGGTGGTTACTCGATACGCCTCCCCCATCAACGTCGGGTGATGGAGGAGATAAGGGGTTTGGGCCTATGCAGAGTGCAGCGCCTGTGCCGAGAGCAGGAACGGATACGCCGCCGTTTATGTCCATTGAGAGGGATCATGGACAGGGACGCGTCGTCGGTGAGGTAGTGAGAGAGACGAGGCCCCCGACGTATGAGACTTCGGTTGGGAGGCGACATGGGACCGAGATCGCTGTACGCATCAAGGAGAAACATATCGACCAAGACAAACAGAAGGATTATGAGAAGAAGCCGGGGTTCGATAGGAAGAGAGCGGCGCAGGGGTTGAGATTACTTTCGAGTGCGGTGGAGGAAAGTGCGCCAGGCGGTGACCCGGAGCTAAGTCAAGCGTTGTACATCGACGGCGCCGTATACATTCTTCGCGCACTTCCTGACGCTGGGGATGGACTCTCTGCGCTTGACCGTGAGCGACTTTCCTCAATCCTCGACCCCCACGGACCAAACCCTAAACAACAGAAAGTGGAAGAATCGGCACTGCATACGACGATTGTATCGAGTATGTACTTTACTGCCCTCGCCACAAAAACCTACGCTCCCCTCCTCCTAACCCGGATCCGACGTCTTCATCCCTCGGTGGATGATTTATACACGTACAGTCTGGAAAAGGTGTGCGAGGTGGAGGAAAGGTGGGGGGTTAGGGAACGGGTTGGGTGGGTTTTGGGTGGGGTTAGGGGGAGTGGGGTTGGACCGCTTGTGGGGGATGTGGTTGGGGCTGTTGTGGAGGGGGGGAGGGGGGCTGTTGGAGTCTTTACGGGTGATCAATAGTAAGGATAGCTATACGGTTAGAGGGTAGAGTATTGCTAGGGTTCACTGGATTAAGCTTCGATGCAGGGTTCGAAATGTGACATCACCACTCACCGTGCACGCGCGAGAGACCCGAGCACAAAATGTAAAAAGTCCGATCCGAACTGTCAAAAATCCCGAAGCTTGCTTGAGGACGTATATGATTAGAACTTGTACTCGACAGACAATGGTACAGACAAAGAGGAGTGCTACGACTGCAGCTGTGGCCATGGAGGGGGCGAGGAGGAGTACGAGGTCCGCAGCGGCGGGGGCGGGGGCCAAGAAGGTGAAGGTTGAAGATGACGAGGTGGGAGTTGGGCTGAAGACACCACCGAAGACGCCGAAGCCTAGGGTCAAGAAGGAGAAGGAGAAGGGGGAGGTGGATGATGCAGAAATGGACGCCGCACTCTCGAAAGCCGCCACCGTCGTTTCATCGAGCACGAAGGGCAAAGAAAAAGCCGGCGTCTTCGATGCGCATACATTAAAGAAACTCGCCGCGCTGGGAACATCACCCTTCCCAGACTACCCCTACCCAACACCAGAACAATGCCACCACATCGAGAAAGCGCTCGCGAAATGGCATAGTTACACCCCACGCCGACGAGCGGGGACACCGAGCGTACAAGGCGAGAGCGTTGCTGCGAACTGTGGTGCGGTACCGACTGTACTCGACGCACTCGTCCGGACGCTTTTGAGCCAGAACACGAGTAACCGGAATTCAAGCGCGGCTGCGAGGGGGCTATATGCCCGCTTCGGACGGAATCAGTGGGATAAGATCGCGGAGGCGGAGGTTAGTGAGGTGAGTGATTCAATCCGGATGGGTGGGTTGGCGAATATCAAGGGGAAACGGATCAAGGCCGTCCTGGAAGAAGTCAAACGTCGACACGGGACCCACAGTCTCGAACACCTCCGCTCCCCTGACATCACCAACGAACAAGCCATGCACGAACTGGTCTCCCTCCCCGGTATCGGTCCCAAAACGGCCTCGTGTGTTCTTTTGTTTTGTCTTGCGCGTGAGTCGTTTGCGGTCGATACACATGTTTTTCGGCTTACGAAGAAGTTGGGGTGGGTTCCATCTAAATCAACGAGGGAACAGGCGTTTGAGCATTTGGATAAGAGGGTGCCGGAGGAGTGTAAGTTTGGGTTGCATGTTTTGTTGATTCGGCATGGGAGGGAGTGTGGGAATTGTAAGGCGGAGGGGAGGGGAGGTGGGGGGAAGGGGGGTGAGGGGTGTCCGGTTGTGGATTATTTGAGGGAGGAACGATCAAAGGGTGGTGCGAAGGAGGAAGATGTCGATGAAGAGGTTAAGGAAGAGGAGGAGATTCATGAGCATGGACTGACGGCGTAGTGTGAAGGCAATCGATAAAGTACAGATCCTGTAGGGTATCTCAACAAACGTCCAGTCTATCACCTCCTTTTTCGCTAAGCTATATATGAGTCCTGCTCATCTCTTCCTCGTTCGTCTTTTTAGTAATTGTTTCCAGTGGCAGCACCCCAGATGTACGCCGCCCACGCCCCCACAATCAACAAACACACCAACCCAAAGAATACCCCCGAAATCTTCTTATTACGCTCATATTGCTCACCAGTCGTATTAAACTCCTTCCTCTCATTAATGATGTGACCGCGGGCAATACGCTGCTTGCGAGTCCACTGGAGAGAACGCATATCGACGGATCGGAAACAGAGAACGACCATGACGAGCACGACACAGCATGCTGCGGCGGAATCGGCCGCGTAGACGATCACGGCACGGTCGTACGAATCGTTATCGGCGTCTTGGAGCGCACCGGTGATCATCGCGATAATAATATTCATCGAATTATTAATCGCGATCTTAATCGCGTACGCGGAGCCAAAGACGCCTTGGTAGTGCATCGTTGTCCGAATCCCGTCGATGATGACAGTGGGCCCGAACGAGTACGCTACACCGTAGATTCCGAACGCGGCGGCGGTTGCTCCGACGGTTTTGCCGAATGCGATAAGGATCATTGCGAGGAAACACCCGAGGCCGACGACGGCGAAAACGGTGATGCGGTTTCCCAAGATATCGATGAATACGCCCAACAAGGGCACGAGGAAGAATCCGATGTATTGGGTCATGGCCGAGTACCACCCCGCTTTGATGGAGTCGACGTTGAATCGCTGTTCTGCGAGTTCGGTCGAGTTTTGGGAGAATACGATTGCGGTGGAGGTTTGGAATGCGGTGAATAGCATCACCATCCAGAACGTCCACGGCAACTCGAGGACTTTGCGAATCTCGAACTTTTTGTTGGACTCGGTTAGTTTCTCGCCGGTTGCGGGATCATTTGTGCCGTGGAATTTCTTGTTTGCGTATTTTGTAAAGAACCAGAATACGAGCGTCGCGACATTTGTGAAGATGTTCATGAAGACCGCGGTCCAGTATACCCATGCGAAATCGCCGGTGTTTTTGGCGATGATATTGGCGGAGGACTTGCCGACGAATGAACCGATCTTGCCGATACCGAGTTCGAAACCGAGGGTTGCGGCGAAGCCGGCGGAGGGGGGGAACCAGGATGAGAAGATTTTGTATTGCGCGACTTGGGTTGCGATGTCGCCCAAACTCTCGACCACGGTTCCGAAGATCATGAACTTGAAGCTACGGCATTGAGCGGCGCCGGCGATGAGGATCGAACCGACGGAGAAGAGGGCGTTACCGTAAAGCATTGCGGATGCTCCTCCGACACGGTCGGTCCACATACCCGAAAAGAGGATGAGGACCGTGACCATGAAGTCCTGCGAAGAGGTGAGAAGAGCGTATTTAGTGTTGTTGATCTTGAGTTCCTTTTTGAGGGTAGATTTCATTGCGCCGGTGACGCCTGAGGACCAGTGTCCGCCGAAGCCGATGAGGGAGACGAGGAGGATGGAGATGAGTTTCATGCTGAGGGGGACTGGAACGGTGGTGCGATCTGAGGCGGTGGATTCCGGGCGGGAGGTTGTGGTAACGTTGATTTCGGCATCCTTTTCTTTCTCACGAGTTGTTGAGGACCCGGAGGAGGATGAGTGTGAGGGTCTCGTATGAGTAGGGGTGATCTCCGTGGTTGGCATTGTGATTGAAGGAGGAGCCGAGGAGGATGAGGATCAGATAAGATGGGCGACGCTGGGTTTTATAGTGATAGTGATGAGGGAGAGATCCATTATCAGATTCTTTGATCGGCGCTTGTCGGCGTTCTTCGCGTTGAGGCTAGCTCTAGCTTTAGCCGAGATTGATCCGGTGGTGTGTGCAGACGTGACGGGGCCCGCTGTTCCGGTAGGGTGAGGTGTCATTAGGCTACCCGCTCTGTCGGGTGCTGACGGGCGGAAGACGGAGAGGTGAGGAAGGAGTGCTGGGCATTCGCCAATGCGGAGCAATGATCCCACGGCCACCCCAAATGAAAAACTCACACCGGCTCCTCTCACTCTGAACTTTTATCAGATCATGCACCAAACAGCCGCCTTTCTCTCGCAAAAGTTCAGGGACGCATTATCTGATCTGTCGGCCACATTCCCGTAGTGTTTGTTTAGCGCCAAGCCCACTCGCTTAAGCGCGCGGAACGGATCTGATAAAAGAGACGAGTTGGGATGCTGAAGCGAGAAACGTGAGAAAGCCATGTTCGAAGGTGTGCCAAGAAAAGACATTAGCCGGCGGAGGATGAAGGGAGGTGCGTGTTCGGATACTTTGCTCGCGGGCTTGGCAGGTCAGTTATAGCTGGCGTGCCCTTAAGCTCACGATGGTCGGTGTTGGGTTCCGTGTCGTGTTCCGGTTGACCGAGGTACGACGTCTAGAAGTGTGGTGGATACGGGAGCTGAGTCATCTTTTCAAGCTCTGGCAAGACACTGTGCCGGCGGGAGCGATGCGGATTGCGAGAGGGATGTGCAAGTCTCCGGAGTTATCCATGTCCATGGCATTCGCCGCCTCCTCCATGGTAGCGCCGTTAGCAACGTTTCACACTTTGAATGTTAATGCGGAACCACTGACCTGAGCAATAGCAAACGCCCTCAACCTTGCCCTCCTCGCCCCCTTCACCGCATACTTCGCCTCCTCCATCCCCCTCTTCTTACTCAAAGCAGCTTCCGTGAAGGCTGCGGACATATACGCACGTCTCTGCTTGGCCGTAGCAATCTTCAGAACGCGGCGGTCTTGGAGTTCGACCCGTTTGGAGGGGGAATGGCGGGTCATGAAGGTCTCGTTGAACTTGACGGACTATGAACGCGATGTTAGCTATTGATCCCAAACATAAGTAGTGGCAACTGTATCACGAACTCGCATCTGCCTGATGAACCGGAGCGGTTAGTCGCCCATGATCATTTCGCGATCACTGAGGATGTTGACCTGCGCGGACGTCCACTCCTCAATCTCGTCCCAGTCGAGTTTACCTTTCGGGCGTCAGGACCGTCATTCTGCGACCATGGATTTGTCGAGCAACGAGGACTGCATGATGGATCCGATCGTTGAGATGAAGCGGCAGATAGGCGAAAATGAACAGCACTGGTTCCATGCATGGTGGCTGCATATCGTGGGAATGCTCAACTTTGTGACGATAACGGCAACTGACAGGCTTTGAAGGTTGGCTGGACGAGAAACACATACAAAAGAGACAGATTCACATCACCATTGTCGCTCTGGAGGCACACCATTTATCTTTTTACTACTGACGTGTGATGGAGGTGCCATCGATTTGTGCGCGTGGCCGACCACGAGTTGGTGGCCGCAAACCTCTACACTCGTCGAGTTCATCAAGCGACGCACGAGTGTCTGCAGTTCACCGGGTAAAGATTTGAGTGAGATCAATGACGGGATCAAGTTCAAAATTGTTCAACGTTTTCTTTTTCTCTATTTTTAGAGGGTGTCTATGATGCTATCCAATGCTAAGCGGTGCGCCTCGTGAGACCGGCCCGGCCTTCAAGGAAGCCTTCACGGAATGCCTCTGCGCACAAGGCTGGCGGTGATGACTCCCCCCACAACTGCCGCTGAGATCAATTCCGCACTCCTACGGACGATGTTCCCTTCAGCAGCCGGTTGAACCCTCTGCGCCGGAGCGTCGGGGTGATATCTGATGCGCCCGGCAGCTGGAGAGTATGCGCCGGGAACAACAATGTCGACCAACTGTGAGACTTGTTCAGCATCATGCTGCGAAGACACGACTTCCACCACTAGTCGAGGACTCACCTGGGCTTCGGGAGTTGCTTCGCGCATCTCGAGAGACGTATGAGCATCCGTGGTCTTGGCCGCCAACTCATCCGCAGCCGTAGCCGTAGCCGCAGCCGCAGTCGCAGCCTGAGCCTGCAACCTCTTCTTCCTCTCTCTCTTGACAACGTACTTAGAGGGTTTCTTCGTGACCTTCCCCGCTTCTTCGGCAACCCTCTTCGCTAAGACAGTCCCCTTGAATGTCCCCCTCATGAACTCGCGCCGTTGCTTGGTGGTAGCGGCTTTGTGGACGCGACGATGTTTCATGTGCTCCTGGATGGCTTGCCATTTGATTGGGAAGTGGGTTGTCATGAACCATTCGTCCCTCATCAGATCCTAGACCAACGATGACGAATTAGCTTTTTTACTGTGTGCTGAACTTGCTATGGTAGAACTTACTCTTTTGCTCTTAGCCAGCGCAGCCGAATCATAGCCCATCCCACAATCCCTCATCATATTCTCCTGTGCTGAAACCCAATCCATGATAACATCCCACTCCAGATTGCCCTCCTTTATGTCAGTGAACCATTTGTACCACTGCGAAACAAGGTCGCGAAGATCAGTGACGGGACCAAGGCCATTGGAACCAGAGACGAAAAACTCGCTGAGGGCATATTTGGGCAAGGCGAGGTTTGGTGGGACGGAGGCGGTGGTGTAGCTAACACCTGTTGTTAGTGAGGATCGAGGAATATTGGGAGTGGTACTCACCGGACCTGTCGGCACTGGTCCCAAAGCAACTTCTCCGTCCCGGTTAGTTCCTCCTTGAGAATCGTAGGCTCGGGTTTGTGGCACTCGCTCACTGGCTGAGTTACCTGGACGGTCTGAGCGTTTTTTTCATCCCCAAAGGTCTTACGATCCTGGAGGTGATCCTCCCTCAAACGCTGGCGCCCACGCTCAAACATTTCCCTCTGTATCTTTCTCGCAAGGAAAGACTGCATCATAAACCGGGGGCGGATCGAATGAAGGAGCGATGCCTCAAGATGAAGGATGGCAAACCACACACGCAGAGGACGAGTTGCAAATTTGCAGATTATATTGTGCTTGAGGCTGGAGTGTTGGTGTTGTCTATCTGTAACGCTCGGTTATGCATGGTGGCTGCGTGGGAAAACAATAGACGTCAGGTAACTTTTGTGTTGGCGAAGGCAAATATCAAGATACGAAGATGAGAAAAGCACACAGTACGCTTGAAAGCTATACCAACGAGAAGATATTGAGAGGAGATGAGACCGGTCTCTCCTCAGTCCTAACGACTCCTCACCTGAGGCCGGCACACCTGCATCTGCCGGGCCGGCAATTAGATTACTTTGATCCCTAACACAAACTCAAGCCAGACTCTATGCAATCGACAAATACGCTCAAGAACAGCACAAGGAAAAGGTACAGAACGTCATGAGAGAGTCTCTCAAAATTTTTAAATGTACATGGGCAAAAAGAGAACCCCTTGTCATTACATGGCCCCGTGTGATAAGAACCAGAGACTTTCTGAAATGCGTGGGCCCCCTTCCTCCGTCTGTTGAAGACGCGTTCCATCTCGGTGTGACTCGAACCCAGGCCGTTTCGGACGCTGCATCCGTTGAGCCACCTGTCATGGACAAGATTCTACTTTCAAAGATTGAACATGACCCCAAAATTCTGGGCGAAGGGTGATAAATGAACCACGCCAAACACCCAGCGATCCTTTAACGACATTGAAAGACCTTTAGTATGAGTATAAAAGGAGGTATGTAAATCAATTACGGTGTTTGACTCTTGAAGTTTGGACAATACCCTGGACTTCGGGCGAAATGGGAGGGATGAGCAGAAGTAAACACACACAATCGTCTAAAACTCTAATACGAGCTATTGGCAAGGGTTTGAAGTAACCCACTTGGTGGTGGTCAGCGCGATCTGGTTTACGGTTTGCGTACACAGCCTGGGTCGTCACGGACGGGTATGCTCCCCATGTAACAACCGTACGGTACCGGTAAGCGACGTGCAGTGAGTAATACATGATAACACGGATCGATTTTATAGCGACAGAAAATTAACTTTTCATTCCCCTACATCTCTCTAAATCGTCCAGAATCACACTTTTACGCCTTCACCTCCTCCGCCGCATTCGCCTCCTTCTCAAGCCTCTCAACCTCCTTCCTCGCCTTCTCCACGTTCTCCTTGGTGACTCTCTCCTGGTTCTCCTTCCACCAAGTGACCTTCTTCTTCAACTCCTCCACGACACGGGGCTGGTCTTCGGCGCTCATCGGGGGCTGGATGTTGAGCTTGGAGAGGGAGTTCATGGTGCCGAGATCGATGTTGAACTTTGATGCCGCGGGGGCGGGGGTGCGGTTGTTACGGGCGGCCTTGCCTTTCTTGGGGGCGAAGAGAACTTCGTCGTCGTCTTTGCGGCGGAGGATGGTGCCTTGGGGTGCGGTGGCCTGGGTGACCTCACGAGCGGCGAGCTTTCCGGTGGAGTTGGGCTTGAGCGAGGCGGACGAGTCGGAGGTAGCAACGAATGAGGGGTCAAAGTACTTCAACAAGTTCTCCGCCTGGATGATCTCGACCTCGAAAGCGGGGTGAGAAGCTTCCTCCATATGTGCGGCAGCAGCCTCACGTCTTCGCTCGGCTTGCTCCTTCTCGCGTTCCGCGCGCTGACGGTCAAAGCGCTTCTGGCGCTCCTCGGCCTCGTAGATCTTGTACGCGTTCTTGTTTGTGTAGAACTCGTCCTGCAATGCTCGCTTCTTGGCGTACGCCTCGTCCAAGGTCGTCTTGAGGGCGTTGCGCGTTTCGTAGGTTGCGTTGCGGGATTTGTAGGCTACGTCGGATTCGAGACGGAGTTTGTCCATTTCGGCGCGGATGGTGTCGTATTGCGCCGAGAGGGCACGAGACTCGGGGTCGTCGAGGGAGGCCCGGATGGAGCGCTGTTCTTCACGGAGAGCATCGATCTCAGCCTGCTGAGCCTCGAAACCCTCGGCGTTGCGGCGGGCCTTCTTGAGGTTGGAGATCTCGGCCAAGGCCTTTTTCTCCTCGACGAGCTTCATGGAACCGGACTCGACAGCGGCCTCCAAGTCGGCGATACGGGCGGTAATCTCTGCTGGGTTGGTAGACGGAGCCTTCTTTTTCGCGGCCTGGAGGTCAGCGATCTTCTTCTTGATCTGGTCGTCGAGGATGCGGGCACGCTCGTGGATCTTGCCCTTCTCGGACTTGCCGGCGGCTTGCTTGGTCTTGATCTCGTCCAATTGAGCCTTGAGCTCCTTGTTGCGCTCGCCACCGGCACCATTCTTGCCGAGAGAAGAGATCTGAGCCTGGACGGGCTTCAATTGAGCCTCGATGGCGGCGATTTCCTTCTCGATCTCGGTACGGGCAGCGATGAAGGCGGCGTCATCAGGCTTGGTGGGGCGGGTGAGGGTGGAAGGGGAAGCAGTGGCCTCTACGGCGGGAGTGGTAGCCTCGACAGACATGGCAGTTGCAATCGTCTTCTTTGTGAATTGGTTGTTCGGGGTCTTCGAGCTTTGAGCGCACCGTCGGTTTGGAGGTTGCCGTAGTGTGTCAGCGTGAAATCTCAGGCACCGAAGCATCGAGGGGCTTCCGTGCTCAAACCTTAACCGTGGAAGACGAAAGACTTCGAAGGGTGCGCCTGAAAGTTTTTCCCAAGTTACAGTGAATACTGTGTGCTCCATATGGATTTCAAGATAACTTAACATCTCTCAAACCAAGAAACACTCATCACAAACACGCCTTGACAAATCGTACATGTCATCAGAACGAGTGCCCCTTACTTCCTACGAGACCCCCAAATTCTACCAAACACGATTATAAAACCTGAATAAAATTATCCAGTATCCCGAATAGAGTTATTCGAGTTAGTGGGATATTCTGGGCACAATCTGGATTGTTAAATCGTCTTGAAAGTAGAATTTTTTATACAATTTCCCAACACTACACTGTTATACTATTCTACCTCATGACTGCACACTGCACAGACGTGACATTCATTGGTCCCATCTATCACAGGTCATCAATCTAGGGTTAGGGTTAGGGTTAGGGTTAGGGTTAGGGTTAGGGTTAGGGTTAGGGTTAGGGTTAGGGTTAGGGTTAGGGTTAGGGTTAGGGTTAGGGTTAGGGTTAGGGTTAGGGTTAGGGTTAGGG